CATTTTCAAGCATTGACACCCTATTGGACCATCTTGTATGAGACGAAAACATCAAAGACCAGACTACTAGATATTAGAAGACCCATTATTAAATCTTTCCGAACAACTCGAGTTACCGATATACTAAACGGTCGTGACAAAGACCACAATTCAAAAGCAAATGTCTAATTAAATCATGAATAATATTTTATACATATAAAGTGATATTCTTGATAGTTTTGACATATATTTAATTTACCAAAATTTTTGTAAATACAAAATTATATCATGAATGATTTAAAAAGCTAACAAAAATATCTTTATCGTATGTATCTTTTTCTAAACGAACCACACTCGACAAAATAATGACGACGCCCCTCAATGACGGCTCTTATTTGGGTTCCTTTGGTTTGGATCGGACCCTATCAAGGTTGTCAACCCGCGGGTCGACCCAGTTTGACCCAGACCCAATGAGAAAAACGGGCCACACGCACCCGCCGGGCCGACCGCTATAAGGTACCGGGTTGGAGGTCAAATTGTGTCATTTTTTCCTTTGATTTGCGAAATGCGCCTTTTTTCTGATTTTTCTTTTCGTCCAACTCAATCTTTGGAATCCTAAGTTGAACATTTGAATATTTATGTTATATAAGTGTGTGTGAATTTTCATTATATGTTGGATCTAAGTATGATATGTTATTTTGGTGTAATATTATATGTTATAACTCATATGTTAGATAATATTGATATAATTTATGAGGATAAGTACAATATAATGACTTTTTCCATATTTCCGGGCCGAACGGGGCTAAAACAGTTGACCCATTAACCCTTGACCCACTACCTCCACCGGGTCCGGGTCAACCCGCGGTTGACAACCTTGGACCCTATTGAATATCCAACCGTATTTATAGGTCGGGCTTGGATCCTCCTTTTCTTACTTCACATGCATCTCGTTGTAACCGTTTTCTTCTCGACTTGGCCCATTTCAATCTAATCCAACTTGTTATAAGAAAAAAAGAGTGAATTAATCTGTAGAGAAAGGTTGAATAGTCCCTTCTTGCCGTTGCATTTTCTTGTTCTAAACAAAGTGTAGACTGACTAAACAAAGTGTAGAACAATCATGTCTATACCAAGTTCCCCTATGTACATTTCCTTCTGAAAATCAACGGAAGGTCCGGTGAAGGCACAACACCGATGTATTTAATTTCCATCATCTGAATTCTGAAAGCAACATTTTTTGTTCGCTTCCCGTTTCTCCATTAGCAACCGAGACAAATTACAGATAGCCACAAACCATGTAGCCACTACAGTCCAGCTTAGGGGCTCAGAGTTCATCGCCATTTTTCATTAGGTAGAATAAAACATCGCCATTTTTTTTTTTTACATAACACAACACCGTGAATAATTCATTAATCATTTCCCAATACGAATACTAATACCAAAAACCCACCTTTTGCCTCGGCGATCTCTAAAACAACAAGCTAAGCATCCCCCCAAAAATGGCGTCCACGACGACGACCAAGGTCAGCGGCGAAGTGATCGGAATCGACCTCGGCACCACCTTCTCCTGCGTCGCCGTCGCCCGCAACGGCGCCATCGAGATCATCGCCAACGACCAGGGCAACCGGACCACCCCGTCCTCCGTCGCCTTCTCCGCCGCCGAGTCCGAGCGCCTCATCGGCGAGGCCGCCAAGAACCAGGCCGCCCTCAACCCTCACCGCACCATCTTCGACATCAAGCGCCTCATGGGCAAGCAGTTCGACGACTCCGACGTCCAGTCCGACCTCAAGTACCTGCCGTACAAGGTCGTCAGCCGCGACGGCAAGCCCTACGTCGAGCTCGACGTCAAGGGAAGAGACAAATCCTTCAGCCCGGAAGAGATCAGCGCCATGGTCCTCGGGAAGATGAAGGAAACCGCCGAGCTCTACCTCGGGAAACCCGTCACCAACGCCGTCGTCACCGTCCCGGCTTACTTCAACGATGCCCAGAGGAAAGCCACCAAGGACGCCGGGACGATCGCCGGTCTCAACGTCATAAGAATCATCAACGAGCCTACCGCCGGCGCGTTGGCGTACGGCCTCCGGCTGGACGTGAAGACGAGGAGGAAGATACTGGTGTACGATCTGGGGGGCGGGACGTTCGACGTCAGCGTGCTGGAGGTCGAGGGCGACGTTTTCGAAGTTCTGGCGACCGGCGGGGACACGCACCTCGGCGGCGGGGATTTCGACCAGAGGGTGATGGAGTACTTCATCGGGCTAATCAGGAAGAAGTATAGCGGGGCTGATTTGACTTCTGACAGGAAGGCCATGGGGAAGCTGAGGAGGGAGTGCGAGCGTGCGAAGCGCGTGCTGAGCAGTCAGAGCCAGACGCGCGTGGAGATCGACTCGCTCGTCCGGGGGCTCGACTTCTCGGAGCCCCTGACGAGGGCCAAGTTCGAGGAGCTGAACCTGGATCTGTTCAGGAGGACGCTCCAGGTGGTGGAAGGGACGCTTCGAGATGCCAGACTCGAGAAGAGCGAGATCGAGGAGATCGTGTTGGTGGGAGGGAGCACGAGGATCCTCAGGCTCAGGGAGATGCTGAAGGAGATGTTCGGCGGGAAGGAGCCGAGCAACAGGGTGAACCCCGACGAGGCCGTGGCGTACGGCGCCGCGGTTCTCGGTGCGAGCCTCAGCGACGTACCGGACCATCATGAACATGGTAAGATGATCGACCAGTATTTTAGAAACCCTACCATATCGGTCAGTCTGACCAAAAGGTGACTACCATTATGTGTGGTTTATCTTAAAAAAAAAAAATTCAATTAGGGTTGATTGATGTCATCGTTGATTTATTGACTTGCAGATGTTACTTTGCTTGATGTAACGCCCTTGAGTTTGGGTGTTGCGATACTTGGCGGTGTGATGTCTATAGTGATCCCAAGAAACACACATATTCCTACAATGATGACCGACGAAGACTATGAAACTGTCTACGACCAGCAAACTAGTGCGACTTTTCAGGTTGGATGTGATGAACCAAAACTTTAATGTTTGTTCTATTCATTTTGGGTCAATGGAAATCTAGATCATATGATTAATCACTGTCGATATATTACTAATGATCTTATTAGGTATACCAAGGAGAAAGGCCCTTGGTTGAGGACTGTATCAAGTTGGGGAGCTTTGATCTATCGGGTATCACACCGGCTCCCAAGTACGTTACGAGTTATTAGTGGTTTGACGATCGCTCGATTTCAAAATGAAAAATTGTATTTATAATGTACCAAAATGTTGGCTTAAAATGTTTTTTTTTTTCAGGGGAGTTGCCAAACTGGAGACCACATTCGAGATCGATGCAGACGGGATACTAAAGGTGACTGCCAGGGAAACGACTTCGTCGAGATCGAAATCGCTCGTGATAAAGGACTACAAAGGGAACCTGACGCAACGAGAGATCGAGAGGATGGTGAAGGACTCGAAGAAGATGGTCGAGGAAGACAAGCTGGTGAGGGCTCGTGTGGATGCCCGAAACCGGTTCGAGCGATTCGTGTATGACTTGAAGAACACGGTAAGTGACGGGGACGGCTTGGTGAGCGGGAGGATGGGTTCGGAGGACAGGAGGAAGGTGGAGCGTGCACTGGAGGAAGCTTCTGAGTGGCTGGATGATAACCATTGTGGCAGCAAGAAAGATTATGAGAAGAAGTTGAAGAAGCTGACGGATGTTTGGAACCCTATCATTACCAAAGTTTATAAGCTTATCAGGTAGGATCAGGGTTTCTGGCTCTGAGATTTCAAGGAATTGGTTTACATGAACCGTGTGTGTGTGTTTGCTACATGTGGTGGATGGAGGTATTATCTAATGTTGAAAAAATAAATTTTCGTGGTGTATAAACTTTATATAAATAAAATTAAGGAAACCCTCTCAGCTCTTATATATCTGATAGGGATTTTCCTATGTGGTGGTTCCTATTTATCAATCCATGTACACTTGTCATTTGGCCCGTCTCATTTTCTTGCTAATTAAGAAAATTAACTTGATTCAACTTCAGTTGGTCTCGTTCAATTTCTCCATATCGGAAATTGATGAGAAGCCCTGCATCTTCTTATTAGGTAATTTCTCCATGTTCTCTATTTCAGTCTTGATGAAATAACTATAGCCTTTGATCGCCTGATGGGGATGATCTCGTCAGTCGTCACTACTGCTATCGGTTGAAATAGTTCTGATAACTCAACATAAGGAACTCTTTTCTAGTGTGGACGATCAGCCGAAGTAGCAATCACATAGTATATGAGGAATAACTTTGGCATTGATTACAAAGCACAAGGAATCCTTTTCATATGCGAAAGATCAACCTAAACAGCAACCATGAAGCATAAGAGAAATAAACTTGGATTGATATCACTTGTATGAAAAATTTGGATCGAAATGCTCACAAACTCTCTTATTTCTTTACCTTTTCACAACTCACTATTGCTCAAGCTTCTTTCTTCTTCTTTGTTTTGATTTGCTTGGGATGAGAAATGAATAAATAATTCAAAACTATTTATAGTCAAATTCCAACACCAAATTGTGACATAAACTTTGCAACCATAAGCTACCACTTCACAACTACTTAGTGCCACAAATATCCAACCATTTGTGGTTCTTAATTTTTTGTTTTTCATAATCCACAACTGCCTTAATTAATCCAACCTCTTCATAATTATACGCACTTCACAACTCTAAGTCTCTAACTAGTTGTGCCATATTATAAACTTTATTCTATTTCAATGGTAAGTTCAATCCAAATTGAGTTTACACCTCTCTTCCCATCCCCCAAATCCCTGCTCAGGTCTTGTGTTCTCTTATGCCGACATGCCAGTTGAAATGATGTAAACATAATTAGACATCTTGAGCATGTATCGTTATTTTTCAACAATGACCGTGAAACATACCCGAAATTATATCGAAAAATTTAACAATAGGATATTATATACGAAAATTGCAGTTGAACAATTTTCTAACCCCAAAACCGCCTATCATTCAGAATCCGATATCCAGTATTTTCGATCGAACCAACCGATACCATAGGATTTCCTAAACCATGCTTTTTAATTAAATGGACGGAAGGATGATCATCAACAAACATAAAATACATCCACCGCAATATTTTTTTTTTGTTATCTCAAAACCAAATCCAAACATTACCTTGGAGCCAAAAAAGAAAAGAAGAAAGCAAACTGTACGTAGAACATAATTAATTACACGATCTTGCCAACTTAATTAATTACAGACACTGCTATACCTAGCAGCTTATGCATTATTACCGTTAAGTTAGTTTGTTGAGAATAGGGTTCCAAACATCCCTCAACTTCTTCAGCTTCTTCTCGTACTCTTCCTTGGTAGCATTAGGGTTCTCCTCCAACCAACGCGAAGCATCCCCGACGGCACTCTCCACCGTTCTCTTCTCGTACCAACCCATCTTGTCGCGCAACAACACATGCTGCTGCTGCTTGCCGTCGTCTCCATCACTGCTGCCGCTAGAGCTGCCCGTTCTGCTTATGGCGTTCTTGACGTCGTAGATGTAACGCTCCAGCTGGTTCCTGGCGTCGACGCGGGCCTTGGCTGCCCTGTCTTCCTCCGCCATCTTGGCCGCTTCCTTGATCATTCTCTCGATCTCCCGCTGCGTCAGGTCGCCTTTGTAGTTGGTGATGGTGAGGGATTCGGATCGCGACGACGAGACCTTCTCCCTCGCCGTGATCCTCAGGATCCCGTCCTCGTCGATCTCGAATGTCTCCTCTAGCTTTGCAACTCCCCTGAAGTTTCGTTACATTTGTTATCAGTTAATCTCCCTTGTACGTCAAAGGGCTAATTAATAATGGTGAAGTGATTAAACATTGTTAATGGTAGTTATTGATTAACTTAATTAGGGTTATAGGTATAATATGCCCTATGACGTTTTATCAAATATGCTCTTCTACTATTTTTTATATCAAACATGCCCCTGTACTTTATAAAAATGATCAAACATGCCCTTTTGTTTAAATTTTCATCCAAAAACCGTTAACCAAGGTCGAACTTTGGTTTGGGCGGCACAAATGTCTAAAATATTCCTAATAATTCCACTTTAGAATTTTTTTTAGTTCTTTTGTATAGCCAAATAATTCGAATAATTTTGAATAGACCCAGAGAAATAAAACGGGAGACAAAACTGACATTTTTGCTCCCGTTTGACGATTTTTTCAATGGAAATTTTAACAGAAGGGCATGTTTGATAATTTTTTCAAAGTACATGGGCATGTTTGATGTAAAAAATAATAGAGAGCCATGTTTGATAAAACGTCATAGTAAAGGGGCATATTATACCTATAACCCAACTTAATTACTAAGAAGACCATATATAATTTATGTAGGTACGTACCTTGGAGCTGGGGTAATGCCAGATAGAACAAATCTTCCAAGCTCGATACAGTCCTTGGTCAGAGGTCTTTCACCTTGATACACCTGAGAATTCACAACATATCCGGGTTTTTTTTAACTGTTCGACTTTTATGTTTGGTAAGAAAATTGAAGTATATACGTAAAAGACCAGTGAATGGACCAGTTAGACCAGTGAATGGATAATCCACCAATCCATTTGATCCAATCCATAGATCCATCAATCCATGGATCATTCCATTTGCCACCTCTACGCACCATTAACCCACAATCATATGTACACCTTAAAATTGACCCTAAAATAATAGTCGGCTCCACGTAATACATCTTTGAAGTTCAAGTGTAAAATTGTAGGAAGAATTCTTCATGATGGTTCCTTCAATCTATTGGGGGGAAAACACTATTGAAATTCATATTGAAACCAAAATGTAAACCATCCAAGAGGAAAACTGAATCCTTATTAAACTCAGCTTTTGCATTGACTAAAGGCGAATAATACAAAGTCGATCTAATCTAATTTAATCTGTCCTTGTGCTACCAACCTTGTTCTCCTAAAATCAATGGTTTTTCCATAAATAAGATCAAACAAACGCGTCTATTAAACAAAGTCAACAACCTATTATATATTGGTGGCGAGAATGAGAAATTTTACAATGCTATATAGTATTGGTGCTATAGGTTTTTGCTTTTATGGTACAATTTAAAATTGTACATTTACGTTATGGTACAACTTCAGATTGTACCTATACTTTTTGTACAAATTCTTTTATTGTACAACTTGAACTTGTACCTTTATGTGATGGTACATACTTCTAGTTGTAAAGTTGTACCATGACATAATTGTACAAATTGCTTTATGGTACAACCTAAACTTATACATTTAATGTTATGGTACAATTTTGAGTTGTACATTAAAGCACCAATGCTATATAGCATAGTAGAAGTGCTCGGCGAGAATCGCCCTTTAGTTCAAAAGAATCTCAGATTTTAACTTTTTTTTTTTTTTTTACAGGCAGATTTTAACTACTTAAAGGGTGCCAAATTCAATCCTTCCATGTAACGGAGAAGTGGTCAACCAACCTTTATAGTAACAGCGGTTTGCTGGTCCTCTATAGTGTAATATTCCCCTGACATCTTTGCTGGAATGGGAGTATTCCTCGGAACAACCACAGACATCAAGCCTCCAGTCACCTCAACTCCCAAACTCAACGGAGTCACATCAAACAATGTAACACCTGCATGCACCCCAGTTAAGTAGTTGGTATCAACAGGAGAAAAAAAAAACGACAAGACACATTTAAAATCGTAAGAGCACGGACGATAATGATACCATATCGAGAATCAGCTTGGCCGCTAATGTTGGCTCCCAGCACGGCAGCACCATAAGCCACGGCCTCGTCGGGGTTCACCCCTTTGCTCGGCTCCTTCCCGTCGAACATCTCCTTGAGCATCTCCCTGAGCCTCGGGATCCGGGTGCTCCCTCCCACCAGCACGATCTCCTCGATCTCGCTCTTCTCCAGCTTCGCGTCCTCCAGCGTCGCCTTCACCACGGACAGGGTCTTCCTGAAGAGGTCCAGATTCAGCTCCTCGAACCGCGCCTTGGTCAGCGGCTCCGAGAAATCCGCGCCCTGGACGAAGGAGTCGATCTCGAGCGTCACCTGGCTCTGATTGCTCAGCGCCCTCTTCGCCCTCTCGCACTCCTTCCTCAGCTTCCCCAGCGCCTTGCCGTCCCCGCTCACGTCTTTCCCGTGTTTCCTCTTGATCAGCTTGATGAAATACTCTATGATTCTCTGGTCGAAATCTCCCCCGCCCAGGTGGGTGTCCCCGCCGGTCGCCAGCACCTCGAACACGCCGTCCTCGATCTCCAGCACGCTCACGTCGAACGTCCCGCCGCCCAGGTCGTACACCAGGATTTTCCGCTTCTTGTTACCTGTCAGAAACCGAACAAGAAAAAAAAAATTAGTGTTACGATTCAGCTGACTAGCTCGCGGATCAGATCGCTCCCCTTTAAAAACGTTTCATGTCACTGCCTCGCGTCGTACACCGTCTCGAACAACTCCAAAACATTACACCTATTGTAAACATCTTTCACGAGGCTGTATCTACTTGTTAGCAAAAATATTGTAAAAACCGTCCACACTATCGATCAGATATTTTATGTCGAAACCGTGATTTAATCGTATTTCACATCGATAATGTAATACTTTCTATCCTTTACCCATTCTGTGGCTCAAACCGTAGGCGAGAGCCCCGGCGGTGGGCTCGTTGATGATGCGGAGGACGTTGAGCCCGGCGATCGTGCCGGCGTCCTTGGTCGCCTTCCTCTGCGCGTCGTTGAAGTACGCCGGCACCGTAACCACGGCGCCGCTCACCGGCTTCCCTAAATAAGCCTCCGCGGTCTCCTTCATCTTCCCCAGTATCATTGCGCTGATCTCCTCCGGGCTGAACGCCCTCACCTCCCCACCGCCGCCGCCGCCGCCGCCGGCTTTGACTTCTATCTCGACGTACGGCTTCCCGTCCCGGTTGACCACCGGGTACGGCAGGTACTTCAAGTCGTGCTGGACCTCCGGGTCGTCGAACTTCTTCCCGATGAGGCGCTTGGCGTCGAAGATTGTGCGGCGCGGGTTGAGCGCCGCCTGGTTCCTCGCGCCCTCGCCGATGAGCCGCTCGGAATTCGCGGCGGAGAAGGCGACGAAGGAAGGGGTGATTCGGTTGCCTTGGTCGTTGGCGATGATCTCGATCTTGTCGTCGCGGGCGACGGCGACGCAGGAGAAGGTGGTCCCCAGGTCGATTCCGATCACGTCCCCGCTCATTTTTGCTTTCGCCATTTTTTTTTTTTTTTTGGTTGTGGAAGAAGGAAAAGGAGTGATTTGGTTTTTTGGTTGTTTCTTTGTCTTGTGTATTTAATCGGAGTCGCGGTAGGGCGGTTTGGTTGCTGGTGGATTGGTAGTAGAAGACTTTTGGAAAATTTCGGCGTCGTTTCGTCTCCCTGGGCGAGAAACTGTCGGGGCAGTCTCGAAGAAAAGCTAGTGGAAAAAGGACTCTTTTAAGAAAAATTTAGGGCGATACCTAGAACTACCAACGGTGTTGTCCATAGAGTTATAATCTTTCGATTTTTGGGTGGTTTCATTAGAATTTATTGTAAGGGGTTCTGGGTAAATTTGTATGAATAACTCTTGTCATCTATTGATATCACTCAGAAAAATATCCACTAATCCATTCCATTTAAATCCAATCCATTTTATCCAAAATCCAATTGGATAGGTGAATTCATGGATTGATCCATGGATCCAAATGACAAATTACGGTTTGGTACCTATACTTTTTATATTTTACATTTCGGTACCCAAAAATTAATTTTTATACGAAAAATATCTTTGGAAAATTACGTTTTGGTACATAACATTTTTCATTATGACATTTTAGTACCTAAACTTTTCACATAGAACATATTTGTCCTTAGTTGAGGATGTCATTTGGATTCATGGATAATCCACCAATCCACTTGATACCAATCCATGAATCCACCAATCCATTTGATCCATGGATCCAGCAATCCAATCCATCAATCCATTTGCCACCTATAGTATCGCTTGATGACACGCTGCCAGTGCCCACTTCTATCTCGCAGACAAGGTTTCCAAAAATGCCACAAATTTGCTATCGAATCTTGAAAGGAAAGATATCGCCTCTCTATTACCAACCATTTGGGGGTGTTTTTGTTTATGATAAATCAGTTGAACAGGATGTAATTTTCCAGGTAGTTTACTTTGCTTGTCAATTTTTGATAACGTCGGTACCTTGTTAGAGAAGGCGTCCCCCCGCCTTCCGAAACCATCACTGTCGAAGACTACACAAACATCTATCTACCACGAAAACCCAATAAAGAAAGACTTCCCGCGGTCGTCATTTCATTTGGTTCAGTTTTCGGGACAATTAGACTAACTCCAACCCTTGCTTGCAAATTTGGAGAAATTGAACATTTTGCATTTTTTCATCTCCAACCCACCTTCAATTTTGCTTCCAAATTTGGAGAATGGAGTGTTGGGGTGGATAGATAGAAGCCTCCATGGAGCAAAGGGGCAAAAATAGCAGCTGGAAGGGGGACCCCGCGTGCAGGCGAGGGCCACCCGCGGAGGCGCACCTGGGCCGCACGCGGGCGGGAGGAAGTCCCCTGCTGCTGCTTTATTTTTTTTTTTCATTTTTTGTTTGCGTTTTAGTTTGTGTGGGTGTGTTTGCGTTTTAGTTTGTGTGGGTGTGTTTGCGTTTTAGTTTGTGTGGGTATGTTTGCGTTTTAGTTTGTGTGGGTGTGTTTGCGTTTTAGTTTGAAAGAAGTAATATAGTGACAATAAAACGGTCACATTGCAACGGACACATTTTAACGGCCATAAAAAATGACTAATTTTGCAAAAAAAAATTATCTCGGAATTAAAAAAAAATTACATCGAAAATTTTGTTTTCACAAGTAATAACAAACTATAAAAAAATTAAAGTGAATTACAAGAATGATATTGTAAATAAGTATGGATTATGGAAATTAAATCAAAAAAAGATGTGGGAAGCTAAATTTGGAAGCTTTTAGGGTTGGAGCAAAAAGGTGTTTTGGGGAGGCAAATATGCACATTTGAGAGCTTGGGAGGCTAAATATAGCTTTTGGGGTTGGAGTTAATCTTAGTCTTTGGAATTTCAAAATCGCTACTGAAAATTGTGGAGGGTAATGTTGAATCATGCTAGTCTTTGATTTGAGATTCTACACCCTTCATTATCTCTATTATATTTTATTTTTAATTTGACGATGAAGATTAGATTAAGGGTAATTTTGAGAATAAAAAATACCACACTTGATTTTTACCTTTTAAAAATTAATTTCTATATATTATATATCTAAACCCTACTTCAACTCCATTCTCTATCGCCGTCAACACCTCTCCTGTTGGTGGTTCCCTTCCTTTGCTGGCGGCCATCCTCCCAAAGTCGGTCACCCTCGGCCAACCTCCCACTACCGGCGGCCACCCTCCACTCCGGCTACCCTCGCCCACCGTTGCGGGCACCCTCTCTCTCTCTCTCTCTCTCTGGGAGACAGTTGTGGCTGGAAAAAGTGGAATGAATAAATATCCTAGACCTGATTTTTTCGTAGTGGTAGTGTTTTTTCCGCATTGGTAGTGATTTTTTCGTAGCGGTAGTGTTTTTTCCACATTGATAGTGATTTTTTCGTAGCGATAGTGTTTTTTCCGCATTGGTAGTGATTTTTTCGTAATAATAGTGTTTTTTCGCATTGGTATTGTTTTTGCCGCATTGGTATTGATTATCATGTAAGTGTATTGCTTTTTAGTTAAATGGTAGTTTTCTTTTTCTGTAGTGGTAGTGTTTTTCACATTGGTATTATTTTCTCCTTTTTTTTGCATTGGTATTGTTATCATGTAATGGTATTGATTTGCATGTATTGATATTGATAAATATGCAATGGTATTAGTGTTTTGTGAAATGATATTATTTTTATTTCTCGAATGATATTGGTGTTTTATGCATTGGTAGTGTTCTTTTAATAGATTGGCATTGTTTTATTGTTGCAGCGGTATTAGTTCGGTTGAATGAAAACAAGGAAAAGATTGGAAAAAAAAAGAAAGAAAAATATGGCTGGAGAATGATGACAAGGTGAAGTATGACCAAATTTTGCTAAGTGTTTGATCACCCTCTCCTAGTGCGATTAGCGTGGGTAATCAGCATACATTGGGGTAAAATTTGGCCAACTTTGTGGCAGAGTATACCATCCTAGCATATGAAATATGTCCAAATTTGGCTAAGTGTTTGAGCACACCTCCTAGTGTGGTTGGGGAACAATCAGCATACCCCTAGTGTGGCGAGGTAGTGTAAAATTTGACTAACTTTGGAGAATGATGGCAAAGTAAACTATGTTCAAATTTGTCTAAGTGTTGTGTGTGATTGGAGGTATCAGCATATCCCCCATGTGATGACGTGGGGTAAAATTTGGCCAAGTTTGGAGAACTATGATATGATGAATTATGGCCAAGGGTTTGAACACCCCTCCTTATACTATTAGAGTGGGGTAATCAGTAATTAAGTATACCTCCTTAGTGTGATAAAGTGGGGTAAAATTTGGCCAAGTTTAAAAGAATGTGGCGATGAGGCCCCTTATGCAATTAGGGGGAGGGTAGTTAGCATACGCCCTAGTGTGATTAGGTGGGGTGGAAATTGGCTAAGTATATGGAGAGGAAGGTGATAGCGTGGGGATTGGCATACCCCCTAGGTTGACTAGGGGGATGACATCAAGTGGCAAGAGGGTAACATATGTCGCTCTTATGGTCATAAGTAGTGAATTATTTTCTATTTTCGACTCATGTGATTTGAATACCCACCCACGTGTAACAAGAAGGGTTCTCATGCCTTGATCGTTTTCTCATTCAAAAACCAAAGCTAAGGAGGAGCTATCAAGAAGAGGGGGTCAAGACTGAAGAGGGTAACCGTCACTCCTGCTAGTTGAGCAGTTTCTCGAGGCAGTTACTTCTGATGGCTATAAATAGGAGGTGAAAATGACAAAGCAGGGGTTCGAAAAATTCACACCAGACAACCTATTGTCAACCTTTATCTTTTTCTCTTTTCCAACACAAATGTAGACATAGTCATAGTGGTAGTTTTGGAGCTCTCACGGAACCTCCATAGAAGTAGAGTTAATTTAATTTTGTTTTGTTTCATAGATCATAAAAAAATATCGAACACCCTTGTTTCAACTTTGTTCAAAGATGTGTGAATCATGTTTATAATAATCAATTGATAAGAAGTCAAAGATCCAATCAATTCCATTTCAACACAAATTTTCTCGCAAGAAAACAAGTATCATGCATCAGTTTTCCTCCCATCTTTCTCTGCGATCAGCGTGCAATCAAACACCTACTACAAACCAAACTTGAGAAAAAAAGTAACACATTCATAAGCTGCTACTTAGTACTTTCTAGTTTGTGTAGTTTGATACAATTTTCCTTCTTTCCCAATTGAAACTCAGGAACAATTCATACATAACTCACAAGAGATGAGCAGAGCAGCCAAAAAGATAACCATAACCCCCCACCACCATAGCATATCACAACAAACTTCCCAAATGGACTTGACATCTCTAACAAAAACAAAATATGCCAATCCCCCCCAAAGCCCAAAAAGGGCTTTTATTTCCCACCTAAAAAGTTACAAGCTTTTGTGGGTTAACACACTGATCATCTATATAGCATGAATCTCAATTGCATCATCACCCAAGTCCATTTCATCCCTGCCACTGCTCCACCTCGGATCAACCGGTGGCATCAGATCAGACTCGGCAGCCATTTTAACCTTCCTCTTGTATTCATCAAGCTCAGCTTGAACCTCACACAGTGTAGACATCAGCTCTTCTTTCTGCATCTCCCACTTCTCTCTGTCGTTCTCGTGGTCCTGTTGGGCTTTCATGAACATTCGTTGCAGTCTCGTGCACTCGTGGCGGATTAAGTTCAGCTCGTCGGCGTGTCTATCGCCAGTTAGAGATGGCTCGTCGCACCACCGGAAGAAGTCGCATTGCTACCACCAATCATGTCACAGAACCAACAAAAAAAAACACCAACCCAACAATCAAAATCAATATTCGAGACTAAAACGAACAGAGTGGTCGAATGATTGCGTTACATCGTATCTCCTGGGACAGTTGTAGAACAATCGGAATGGATTCCTGGCGCTCTGCGACATACGCAGCTTGGCGGGCAACCCACAAGCGCATTGTAAACCGGAATCATCGTAACCAGAATCCGAACCATGAGACGAGCTTGCGTCGGATCCATCATAGTCTGTCATGTTCTCAAAAATTGTCCTGCAGATTATGCAACCACACGAATAGGTTAGTTCTGCAATGTGGTTTCATCTCAGTGCTGTTATTCAGACAATGTTGTAGACTAATGCACACAGACAATGTTGTTAAGTAGGAAGACTAGTGAGCAGAAAACAGAGCCAGAGATCAGAAAGAATAAAGTACACAACCACTGTAAAATAACGCAGCACATTAGACCCTATGTTATGATACAAATTCGAGTTGTACCATACCATAAAAGAGATTTTACAAAAGAGTATAGGTACAACGTTAAGTTGTACTATAACGGACAAAACTGAAGCACCAGTACTTTAAAGCATTGTAAAAATTCCTCCTCCTCTCACTAATCTGAAACTCTATAAGAGCCTCAATATGTTGTGGTTTCGGTAACTCTGCAACAATGGGGATTGATTGATGATGGAGGAAATTTAAGGGAAAAGCTGGAATGGTACCACTAAGTTGCATTTCGACAAAATGTCGAAAATCAACTCAAACAAAAGGAATCTGACACTGTTTTTTTTTTTTTTTTGTGTGGAATCGGAATGTACAAAAACATACCTCATGATTTTTCCATAAAACATCCTTCGTCTAACTCGACTCCAGAAACTCCAAATCCAATAGACACCCATGTTTATATCCCGCCTTAATAAACGCCTACAGAGCGCTACTGATGATGACTGTTCCACATAAACACACACACAAAAAAAAAATGTTTTGAAAGATTATCAGTGGAACAGTTTGTTAAATGACCAAGCGAATGGGTAGGAGACAACTGGAAAGGATACCATCCAACGTGAGTACTTGGGTATAGTTTTTTTTTTTAGCCTAATTAAACTATTTCTCAACTAAGGTGTTGCTAAAAAAAAAAATATACCTAAAAAAATATACGCACATTGCATAACTAAATCCTCAAGGTTCCTCATCTGCTAGCTTTATCATTATCTATCACCGCAAATTGGAAAAGTAAGAAACTTAATCGCACGCTTATTTATCAAACACAAGTCTCGATGGAGAAACAAATTTCATACAAATATAGATAATTTTAACTCTGTTAATGTCAGACATGAAACCTCCGTAGACAATCAAACATCACAAAATTTCAAGATAATGAAATTAGAAATGGTTTCTAGCAAATATTTTACATGCATTCCTAATATATTGCGTAAATTCTCCAAAAAATTAATAAAATAAAATAAAAGGAGGTAAAGAAGGAAAAGCTTACCAGGGATCAAACTTAAGGCGGAAGAAGAGGAAGAAAGAGAGACCCAAAATAAGGGAGAAGGAAAAAGGGTGGGAGTGAGCTTGTTCGATGATTTTACAGGGGAAATTGATATTGAGGGGTTTTTGAAGTAATGCGGCATACAAGGTCTCCATCAAAATCAAAAGGAAGAATGAAGAATATAAATAGGGGGAAGATTTTATCCTCTTGTTTCTTTATGGGAGGAAAATTATCATTTTTCGTGATTGGTTTCCTTCCTGGGTATGGTTGCTCTCCCGCGGCGTTTCTTCGCCTGCTGGGACCCCAACCAGACTAGGGAAAAAGGATAAATCACCAATGAACGAACACAGACAACAACAACGAAAAATTTTGATTGAAAAACAACCAAGGAGGAGGAGGAGGAGAGAGAGGAGAAGGAATGAAGGAGGAAAGGTCGGGGTTGGAGGTTGGAGGAGGTGAGCGGAATGGAGGACGAACACACCACCCCCTCTGACTCCCCCAGACCACGACCCTTTTCTCGTTGTGGAAAGGAACAAAATGATTCCAGTTTGTTTTTATGACAGCCAATCCATCATCTTCGGGTTCGGTTGTGTTTTCCTTTTCTCCCTTTTTATTTTTGTTTTATGAATAAGTGGATTTCTGGATTTCATTTTAGTCTTGCTATTTGACGCTCTAAAATGACACCCTAACTTAGACAAAAAAAAAATTTGTATTACGTATATCTTTCTTTTTTTAATTAGTCAAAACATTTCCTTTGCTGAAGTGGCACCTTGATCGATTACTTCACCAGTTTGGTATGGAGCAGGATATACCTCATGCTAGGACTGCAAATGAGTCGAGTCAAGTTGGATTTTGCTAAGTTTGAGTTCGACTTGTTTCTTAATGAGCCGAGCTTGGCTCATTGAGGAGCTCATGAGCTCTACTCAAGCTCAGCTCATCAATCAGCTCACGAACTCGGCTCATTTATATGTCTAAATGGTTGAAGCTTTAAATTAAACTCTAAAATAATTTATAACTTGACTGCCTAATATTTGTATGTCATACTCATATATGATACATTCGGTCAATGAAAAGAGAATAATAGTAAGATTTTATCGCTAATTGATCTCGTGTTTATATACTATGTTGTTATAATATTATTTAGTTCATAGTTTTTAACAAATTCATATTATGCTATTTATTAATATTTAGTAAGTAACATTCTGTAATACATAATTGCTCTGTCATATTTATATGACACACCCAAAGTCTCAAACCATAATATATTATAGATTATATAATCTAACAAACGTATGAATTATTAAGAAGCCATATCATAAGTTATATATATATTGATTCGCTCATAAGTCACTAGTAGATTAGGTCGCTAACTTTATTATCAAGCCAGCTCATTAGTTGAACTCAACGAGCCACTGAGTCGAGCTAGATCGCGAGCCTCATGAGCCAAGCGAGGTGCAGTGATTGTTTCGTCAATCATCATGTGGGGCGTAGTGTACTGGTACCAAGCTACGCCTTGTAAGCTAAGAGTCGACCCATTTTTTTTATAAGGGTGATATAGGATTACTTTTTGTAGCTTAGATAATATTTAAGGATTCAGACCCGGGACCTCCAGGTTCAAGATTAGTGGTATTATCACTAGACCAAGCCCTTATTTGTGAGTCTACCACTTTATAGAATAATCCAAATTCACTATGTTGTGACTTTGCCACTATATGATAAGTTTTTAGCGTATTGAGTACATGGAGTGGTACCACGATCTCACACGATGTTTCATTACGTGATAAGTTGCTTCCTCCAACCTTTGGGTTCTCCAAGTGGTGTGAACCTTGTTCCGAGACACGCCATTATCGTTTCTAGCTTGTAGACGTCATTCACAAACCTGTATGGGTTGGGCCCCACTACGTTGTAAGCAAAGATTATAATATTATTCAACATAATTCATTATAAAGTCTGACATTCAAAGAATAATTTACTCAAAATTCCAAATGAACAAAATTCACAACCAATCCATCATTTTACAAATCCCGATATTTGACACAAATCTTCTATCTTTTCAAATCTTTGATCCAAACGAACCATAGGAACACCAAGTAATGGAAGCATCTAAGACAGTCACCAAAAGAATCATCGAATAATGAATCTCTTGCACCCGTAACATGGCAATGATCAAAGGCTGGCAACTAGCCTGGTTCCTTTTTGTTGAACGAATCCAAAGCAAGAATAATGAAGCACCATAATACTTGCACTTATGGTTACCACGTCCCATCTCACCTTCAATATTCATTTGAGATCTCCCCTGTAGCAATATTTTGATGTGGTTGCCGATGAATCTGAGTTCTAATAATCAAAATCTCCTCTTTGTTCTTCTCTTGTGATTGTCCAGAAGTTTGAGCAACGACGGAAGTGGCCGAGGCACAGGCACGTTCATGGACCTGTAGTACCTCTTCAAGTTTTCACCCAAGTTGTTCGAGGATCCACTAGCAGCACCAGAAGAAGAAACCTTAGACCCATCTTTCTCTGATAGTTCTTCTCCACAGACACTACTATGCTCCACTTGTTGTTTCACTTTTACCTTATCACTTTCCTCTTCACGGGCTATTTCAACCTTGAGCTCCCTGCCTTTCTTGTCTGAAACCAATTGTCCACATTTCTCAAATGAATCTTCAATCCTAAGTCTAGCTCTGCCAAATAAAGTAACCGTTTGCCCTTCGTATAGGGGCAAAGTACAGGGCAGCTTGGAGAAAGATCCGTTCTTCGATTTCGTAGGAGATTCTCCTCCCACCATTTCAGCAGGCACCCGCTCAACCACAGGAGAATTCTTACCTGTACATTGTATCGATACATCATCATCATCCACACGAATGTCGAGAAGCTTCCATAGAGGGTCGCCTGGAGTTAATCTGCTGGCGAGGCAATGCTTTCTCACATAATCCAACTCCATAGCTGAACAACTGGGAGTGGTGGTTGATGCAACCCATCTTGGTGCAAGAAGTTGAAGAGCCCACTCCAGTTCTTCCCTGGACGAATGCATGGAGTAACATACATGCCAAACACCAGATAGGTCTTTTACAGCTGTATCAAATCTCAATTTTCCTTCACTGCCAGTACATGAATACTCTTCATCACATGCGTACCACTGTGCTGAAGCACGGACAATAAGGGGCTCCGGCTGGGAGTTTGCTCTGGCCTCAGCAAGCTTCACTGCTGCACGTTTGTACAGGTTGGGGAACCCATCAAACACGTGGAAACGAGAAGATTCATCTTGGGTAAGGATCTCAGGTACTGTAAGATTCAAAGCTCCAAACAGCTCAGGGTTGGCAACTTTATCCACAAATATCTTGGAACCAAATGCCTGGGACACACTGACCATTATATCCTCCTGACCAAGAAGGTCACAAGTCAGGTACACGACAGTTGCAGCAGGGTGCTTCCATATACAGTTAATCACCTGTTTTTCCATAACGAAAAAGTCCAACTTTATCCAAGATAAATGCAACCCAGAACTTCTATACATGTACAGAAACTACAAGTAGCCCTGCTGCTGAATGATGAACACGAGAAAGGTAGGAAGCAATGTTGGTGTACCTGCTGAATTGACGAACGCTTGCATGGAAGTGGCTGGCGGAACTTGCCAAATGTGCAATCCAAGAAAACATAATCAAGGCGTTGAGTAGGTTGTATCCCTTTCTTGCTGATGTACTTTTCAGGTAAACAATATAAACACTCAGGGGTAAGCCTACAGTCTCCTGTGTGTAAGATGCTTCCGAAGTTGCCTTCAAATAAGAACATCACAGCACCTGAAAGTCATACCGATCAAGGTCACCTATGTCAATGAAGCTAGAAATGTATGCCATGATTACACGTTCAAAACTAGAATAAGATGCTGCTTAAAATGTATGCCAAACCCCAAAAATTCCCCAAAGTGGCAGGTTCAACATGAACAAATTTACTAATACACAATATCAGATCATCGAGAAAAGTTAACTCTAAACCCTATTGCCAAATCAAGTCACCAAAAATTAGACCGAGTTACCTGGACAGTGATTGGCATCGAAAGCTGTAACCGTGAATTCACAATCTGGGTCATCGATAAAAATTGATTGCCCCACTTCAATTCTCAGAAACAACGACTCATCAAGCTGAACACATAAACAAAAAAAAAGTGGATGAAACAGCACAGCATAGAAACCAGAATCACACAAAGCATAGAGCAACTGAGCAAGCTGTTAAATACAAAACAAAAATTCTCAGAAAAAAGGAGAGGAAACCCTACCTGAGGGTATTGGTTGAGGAGAAGCGATTTCGTGAGACCGGTGCAGTAAATCGGGAAAGATGAGTGGGTCAAGATTCCCGAGGAATGATCCTTGTGGGCGTGAGTCAAGAAATGGTGCCGTTTCATCTGGGATCTCACACTCCACGTGTCCACCGAGAACGGCAACCCTCTCGGCATTTCTATCGGCATCTCTAACCCTAATTTTCTCAGCCTCCGCCAAGCTCAGCCGGACTCCGGCAGAGAATCGCCGAGCAAAATCGAAGGGGAAACGGGAGACAAGAAGCATGGAATTGGAAGGGGAATTTCGAATTTTGAATTCCCAATTTTAAGGAAAAGAAAATCTCCATGCCTCAAAGCTTCCCGCGGAAGAAAGCGAGGGAAAATGTCAAATATAATTTTACTGGAAACATTTTAAACTTCGCACCTCTATGAGATATTGGGCCGGCCCACAAATGAAAAAGATATGGTCCAGTACGTCCTGTTTGGACTCAGACCTAGAAGCCCATCGCTCGTTCGATTCACTCCGTTGCAAATGAAATCAACGACGGGAATTGGAAATCAGCACAGGAAGGCGGCTACCGGAAAGTGAGATGCGGAAGGCGCTGAGAATCTACGGCGAGGTGCTCAGGCTGGTGAGGCGGCTGCCTAAGGATACAAGGCCTTACTACGCCAAATACGCCCGTGAAAACTTCGTCAACTACCGAGAACTGGACGCAAATGACGACACGTCGCCCGATGAGCTCTTCCATCGAGCCTACAACCACTCCCTCTGGGTTCTCAACAAGGTGATCCATTCTTCCATCTTTTTCCCGTAGCTTTGGTTTGCTCTTAAGTTTGTTGATTATGGATCGTTGTGCAAAATCGCAGTACTCGGTGGAGGAGTCGGCAGCTAGCAAGTTGAAGGAGATTTGTTCCGGGTGAAAGCAGAATTGAATTGGCCCCGTGCGCGCCAGGTGTTTGTTGTTATGCCAGAACGAGTATGCTACTATGTTTCCTTTCTTTCTTTCATTTTTTTCTTCTGTATTTTGCTCCTTCAACCCATTTGGGTATTTGGATTCGGAGTTGATTTTGGGAGCTGGATCATAAAAGGCCGTAGATGTGGGGAGTAATGGTGTTCTCTGTTGGTTCATAAGCTAGAGCAGAGCCTTAATTCTTCTACCTTCATTTGAGAATGGTATCTATCTGCTCCTGGGAGGTGAATTAAAACATGAAGGAGCTTGTACGCCTTCATTTGAGATAATGAGATTTCCAAGCCAAACATTTTTTTATCAGTCAGTCTTCTTTTGAAAGACTGGAAATAGGATACTACTCTTTGTTGTGGTTTGACAATTGTTTCTCGAATTCGTCAATACAGCAATAGTGATTGGTGAGGGGGAGAATTGTAGGGCTGGCTATTTGGGTTTATCCGAAACCAGACCGTATAATTTGGATTGGAATCGGATCGGATCCAGATAGCAAATAATCCAATTTTTGGATTTAGATTTGAGGTAAAAAAAAACTCATTTGGAACCGAATCGAAATCCGAATAAAAGAGCCCAACGCCCAAAATTAAACAAACTCTCTCACCCGTTGAATCCTCACGCCACTCAAACTTACAAAAATGATTCTTGCAGCAGTGGAACGAGCTTCCGGCTAATGAAATTCACCTGCCATGGCTACAGTCTTCGTTTCCACTCTCGATGCATGAGCTGGACGGAGGAGGGCGGGAACAGGCGGCGGAAGGCAGTGGCAGTGTGGGAAGTTGAAACCCAACGCACGCAGGCGGTGCAAATGTCGGGAACAGCGTTTTTTTTTTTTTACTTTGACCGACAATCTTCACTACTTCCCGTCTTCCAATTCGAGGAGCAGCTCTTCTCCCCGCGCTTCTCTTCGATTTTCTCTAAACCTCGCCTAACTAGCTTAATTAGTAATTAGTGTGTCCTGTTCCAGAATCCAGTTTGGTTTTATTGTTGTGGTCTAAAGATAATATTGTGATAGAATATAAGGTATAGGCTATGTATGTTGTAATTTCAAACTTTAAATAAAATGGACTTGCATGAAGTTTTTATAAATCATTTGGATAATGCCAGGCTGGCAGTTAAGGTAACAGGAGTTTTTGACATTCCCTTTTTTTCCTAAACAACGTTAATGTGGTACTTGTTAGTGCATAATATATACAAAATTATAGTATCCAATTTAATCCACATAGTTGGACGGTCAAAATAGACCCCGATTCGAGTAACCTTGCTCATATTCTCTCTCATTTTTCCTCAATTGTCATTGTCGTCGTCCTCCTCCTCTCAGTTCTTTCCCCTTCTCCTCTGTTTGTAGCTTCTGGGTTCATCCCAACCGTCGATCAAATTTTGTCCTCGAGTGAAGTGTTGGATGAAGTTTCCTTCCCCGTCGAGCCATGGAGGCGAAGTTGAGGAGACAAACAGCTTCAAGAGGGTTTTGTAGTCAGACAAGCAGACTTGTGGTTGTTGCTTCGATCTTCGTATCTGTGAAACAATGTTGCTGTCGAGGAAGAGCTTCTTGATCACTAGCATTGTGAGATTAGCAAAAATGATCTCTAGATCTGCAACCGTCGTTCAAAGAAACGCTTCAACCTAATCTGTCGTCGTCGTTTCTTTGTCTCCCTTATCCCGACCCTCATTGTCGCTTCCAATCTCTTCATCTCTGTTTGCTCGGTGGCGGGTGGTGGGACGAGGAGAGCAAGGAAGGAGAGGATACCCTCCCGAATTCGATTTGATCGAGTAGGGTAGAGTAAAACCCAAACTAAATAAAACAACTGGTGTTATGGGTAAAATCCAATCCAAACCCACAAGATTATACATGCATATACTATGTTGTGTATAAATCATCATTTTTTCTTTCAATATACTTGTCATTCCTAGTATATTTGTAGCATATAATGAACTAGTATTTCTTTTTATATTTCTCTTACTATTTGTAATTTTTGTTTATGTAATGTAAATGTACTTCATATTAGAACAAAAGAATAATTATTATCCGTGGATATCCATGTATACTCGAAATCTTATCAGATATGGGTATGGTTTTAATTTACTACTTAAATTATGCATGGGTATAAATAAAACTCGAATTGGTTAGGGTAGGAGTAATAGATCGCCACTATCCGCCCACAATCCGAGTCATTGCCATCCCGAAAGGAGAAGGAGGAGGAAAAAACTAATTCATGAAAAAAAATATTTTTCAATATAAATATAATGTGGCCGTCGCGTGGTGTGTAGGGGATAGTGTGAGAGCTGAGGTGACATTCACATCAATACCTCGTTAACATTATTGGTGCTAATCTTTTTAAAGCAAATGACTAAATTTGTCAGCTATTTACAAATTTTTAGGCTATTTTAGTGTAGTTTTTAAAAATGGACTATTATTATAAAAAAAAATGCAAAGCTATGACTATTGATAATTTGATAAGCATTTTGTCAAACAAAAAAAAAATGTCGGAGCGTAGAAGTAAATCAAGAAGCAACGCAACAATAGGATTAGCAACGGGCGAGGCGGTCAATATTCGTTACCTTACCCAAAATATAAATAGACTGGATTTTACACATACCCCATACTCATAAAAAGAATCATGTAGAATATCAAAGCAGTACCTATACCCAATCAGATTTCGGTTATCCACGATTATTTGTAGGCTATAAATTTTCTTTTTAACTTCAACCAATATGTTATCAATTAGGTTACATACGTGACAAATTACATCCCTACTACTCACTCGGCATTGAATGAGTGAAGCAGGGTTTTGTTTTCTCGGGCCAGGTGGTGGTGGTGGTGGTGGTTTGACTGGCACCTGACCTCACCAGCTGACTGCTCACCTGAACAAGAAAGCCAAAGAAAGAAAGGAGTGTAACCAGAGACCAGACGGCAACAGTGGAAAAACGCCACCCGCCTGACCCGAACCCCAACCTTCTCTCTCTCTCTCTCTGCCTCGAAAATCTCTATCTGGAAACGGAAGCGGAAGAAGAAGACCTCCCCTCGCAACTCCCAACTTCATTTCCTTTCTTCTGCACACTAGTTTAGCAGTCCTCTCCTCCATCCGCCTTTCTCTCTCTCTCTCTCTGGTCTCTGATGTGGTAAGGAGTTAACCACTACTACTATTGCTTCTTTAACCGCATGTATAAATGATGACCGATGACGAGCAGCAGACCACCGCCATGACTCCTTCCTCTGTTCACTGCCATCATCCTCACAACCATCGGATGGTCAAGGCCGGAGCAGCAGCAGCAGATCAACAAGACGATGACGAAGACGACAGTGGCGATTATCTGTTAGGGGGACCGAACCCGACCACATTCTCCCAACTCCTCTGCTCCAGCGACGACGATCCTCCTCGTCACATGATCATTGACGCCGCGCATGTCCATCCTCCCCACTCTGCTCCTCCTCCTCCTTCGATGCTCTGCTTTGGCGCCCCTGCCGCTACCACCCAATGCTGCTCCCACCTCGAGGACGGCGGTGCTCTGTTCTCGCCGCCGCGTCATCATCATTATCAAGACAACAATCATGACGACGATCTTCTTCTTCCAAACACCGCCCCCGCGGCCGCCACTGCAAATCCTCCGCCAGCGAGGAAGAGGGCAAGCAAGAAGAGTAAAACAGCACTGGTAAACAACCGTGGCACCACTGCTACCGCCGCTGTACCCGCCTCTCCTCCTCGTGTTCCTAAGGTGTGTTAGGTTAAATAATAATTAATAAATAATGAGATGATGATGACGATGACGATGGAACTGTGTTTTGAGTGTACTGTAATGTTACTGTAGGCAAGGAAGGAGAAGGTGGGAGAAAGGATTGCGACATTGCAGCAGCTGGTTTCCCCCTTTGGCAAGGTCTTTTCTTTTCCACTTGCAAGTTGCAAGAACAAGAAAGCTAGTTACTTTTCTGTTTCTTTTGCTTTGGGATTCAATCAACCACATTATTTTCCTTTCTGTTGGTTTTTTTTTTTTACAAATAATAAATTGAAATTGGAGTGGGAAAGTGCAGACGGATACGGCATCGGTACTGCACGAAGCGATGGGATACATCAGGTTCCTGCAAGATCAGATTCAGGTCCTCTGCTCGCCTTACCTCCTCCTCCTCCAAGAAACCCCAGCTGTAAGTACCAAAATAACCCCCCAATCGCCATTAACACACCCTTTTGATCTCTAATCTAATCTAGACGTTGGCCGCGTTTGTGTCCCGATTTGCAGCAGCAGCAGGGGAAGAGGGAGCTGAAGAGCAGAGGGCTGTGCCTGGTTCCGGTGGACTGGACCATGCATGTCGCCAACGGCGCCGATCTTTGGTCCCCTCTCTCCACCACCACGACGGCTCCCACTCCCGCGTTTCCGTGCTTTCCACCACTGCCAGCCTCGTCGGCCGACCAGTAATTGGATTTGGATGAATGTCTCGGTTCTTTTGTAACCTTTTTTTCCTAGCTAGTTAAAAGCCAGGAGGGTAGTTAGAGGAAAGACGGGGGACCCACTGAGAAAAGGGGAAAATTGTATGTATTTTTTTTTTTTCCCTCGCTGGTGGTCAAAGGGTGCTGTTTCTTTCTTTCTTTCTAAAATAGTGAATTTTCCCGACGGTAATTAATGGGGGGCATCAGAATTTAAGCATGTTTTACAATTGTACAATCTTCTATGGGTTTCACCGGTTACCGATGCAACTTTGAGAATGCGGAAAATGGGGGTGATGGTCGGGGGACTGGTCCGGATTTTGTATGTACACAAATAAATAATTAAATTAAATAATTCCAAATTATAATCACCTTTTAAACCAATTTCTCAAACTAGTCACCGAGAAGAGTTTTTTGGACGATCACACTAGTTTCTTAACTCATTTGAGCTATATTCAAATTTCAAAACAGTCATGAATTTTTTTTTTCTCCCCCTTTCGTACAACACCCCCTCGAACTTCGATAAAATAATACTTCAAAGTAGTTTTAGGTTATGATACCAACCGTTGTGAGTCTCATCCTAACCAGAAACTACTTAGTTATCTTTTATGAAATAAAGGAATTATTAAGCTCTCGTTGAATTTTATTCAACCTCTCAAATTCAGCTGTAATTCGAGAGCTGGCAGTAAATCTCAAAGTGGATTTACTCTGGAAGATTAGGTCTTCAAATTCACTCTTTCAAAGAGTACGTCCTTCCAAATAATTGAATTTCTTTTTTTGTCTATCCTACTAATTAAGGAGGACAAACGATCTACTACATTCTTTAAAATCATATTAAGATGATTATTACCATCTACCAATACCATGTTCTATATGAAAACAATCGGGATACTGGCTATCTTCACTCATCTGTATTGACTACAATTATTTATGCTGAGTCTTCGAGACTTTCTCCATCTTATACTACTCCTAATGGGTTGTTTGGAGTTGTCAAGAACTGTTTAGTATCAATAACTCGATATGTTGGGAAAGTTTATTAATGGATCTTATACTATTTACTAGCGCGCCCCTCCAAAATAAATTCAATTTATATGGACTTGAAGTTTGCACAAATCTGAATATCGTAGGCTTGCAGATGGGGTCGCCAAAATTCGTGCACAAGACTCTCGCTCAACCATTTTCAATTACACACGCTAATGCATTGAATTTGGTTTGAGGTTTGCCTTTTTCGTTTTTGTCAATTATATTTGGGATTATGTTTGAATTTTTGTTTGTTATTTTTGTTTTTACGTTCAGGAAAATTGCTGATTTTCTGTCTGGATTAAGAGAAGAGTTCTATAAATGCTCTTCTTTATTATCGTATCTGTAGTCAGGTCAATTTGTTTGGTTATTCTGTTCCGAATTTTGTTTTGTAACCTGTAAATTCCTCAAGGGATTGTTTGCATGATGGATTTGAATCAACCAAAAACTTTGTCTAAACTCCGGGGTTGTTTGGAAGTTGTGATTCTTCAAATTGATGTATTGAGACAATTAGTGTATTATCATTTGATGTATTGAATCAATTGATATATTATGCAAATATCTTGTCTGGAGGTTTAGAATGTATTTTTGTTGCAAAGCTACAAAAGTTAATTTTGAGTGATTGTGAATAATCTAAACAAAAAGTATAGATTGATAATTTCTCGATTTTGAGTGATTGTGGTGGAGCCTCCAAAAAGTAAATGCATGTAATATAGTTCAATATAAGCCAAAAAATGACTTAATCTCACAAATACATGAATTAGCTCAATACACCATTTAAATTCACAACTTCCAAACGACCTCTCCATTGTTTGCTTCATGGATTTAGGGGCAACAAATCCATGGACCCAACAGACATTAAGGCTTGTTTGCTTCATTGATTTGAAAAATGAAGGTTTTGGTTAAATTTTGGGCCTTATAAAACCAAGGATTTGTGATGGAATTGGTCCATTATGGATTTGGACCAAGACCTTGTTTGCTTGTTGGATTTTCATAATGGATTTTGCTGATATATATTTGTGGGTATGAGATACCATTGACCTTGTTGCCTTTGTTTAGAATTATTTGTATATTATTGTTTTTCCATATAAACAAAGCCGTTTAGAATTTTTTCGTACCTCCCCAATATCTTAAGAGCTCAATGCTATCATATATGCAAACAAACATGAAATCAATAGAAGATTTGAAATATTGAGCATAAACTAATCTTCGGATTTAAACAAAGTGCTTCAATCATTGTTAGTTTGTTAACCAATACCCACTTACTCCAAATAGGCAAATACAACTTACCACACATCATTAAACTAGTTGATGCACCCTACATTTATAGAATTTTCTTCATTCTTTTCCTCACAAATTAATTAAAAGTATAATAGCTCAATACAACAATTACTGTACATCCAGACAGCTTTTCCTATTCATTGTGACTCAAAATTCCTATTCACTTACTTCTGATTGGTTGTTGGGCTCTGGTGGACCCTTTGAGTGCTATTGCCGTCGTTTACAAGTTTTTTTCTTTATTTTGTTGGAGCGATCGGAGATGGGACGAGCAGCAGAAATAGCTTTTGCTTTTGGTTAGAGTGACCTGGAACGCTAGAGAGGAAATCGCGTTGGTCACCAGGATTCTTTGTGGGACCGATGATTTTTGGTTTTCTGATGGAAGCTTCGGGGGATGGGGATTTCAGTCGCCGAGGAATTGGAGGGCGAGTGCTTGAGTCTCCTTTTGCAGGTGGGAGTTGTGCCAGGTTCGCGGCTCGAGGTGGTGAAGGTGAATTGGGGTTGTCATGGATATTTGGGGGGTTTTTCTCTCTTGGTTTGAGGGGATTGAGCGATCATATTGGGAAGTCTGCTCCTTTCTCCACCACATATTTCACCTAACCCAATTGCAAAGAGATGGGTCAAGACCAAGGGAGAGAATTTGTGGAGATCAGAACTTTACTTTCTACCCCATTTTCCTTCTTCTCTCCTCCCGACTGTTCTCTCTCTTTCTCTCTTCTTTTCTATGTGCAATGCAATTGGTTTCTTCTCTCTTCTCAGGAGATGGCGGAGTCGAAGCAATCAACAGGTTTGAGAGGTCCGCAGAAGATCCAGACCAGCCGAGAGTGCCTTTGATTTAAGGTTATTAATCCTTTTCTATGTTAATCTTGCTTTGCTATTCATGCAGTTCCCTTCATTATCTTTTTTTCTCATCATGTTCTTTCTTCCCTCTTAACTCGCCAGATCGAACAGTCATCAGAGAACTGCCGAATACACATCGGCGACTATGACTATAGTGAGAGTCTCTATGAATCCCAGGTATTTTATCTCTTTATTTTCTTAGGTTCATATATGAGTTTTTTATGGATTTGATATAAGGTTCATTTTTACTTCCAGATCTGCTACTAGGTGCAACAAACCTCTCTCATTTGCAGATTCGCTGCAATAATAGTCGAGGTGATTGTGTGATTAAACGGTGAGCTCTCGATCTCTTATTCATGTCATCGGCTTCACGACTTTATCCTCTCTCTGTTCTATGGATTTTGGTTTTCAGTTCTCCAGACCTCGGTCAGCAATGGTCCTATTTTGTACGTTTCCTTCTCCTAATAAGTAGTTCTCCAGCTTCCTCTGTGTCTGTTCAGTTATACTTATAGGTGACTGTTCTGATTCGTTTGTTTTCACTGCAAATTAATGGTTTAATTCTGTCTTTCTCATTGGTTGAGCTTCTTTGATTTCTATAAGGGGAGATTCTGGCGGTGAGTTCGGTGCCCAAGATTGGGACGGTCACAGGTATATTGCTATAGGTGCGTTTTGTTTTTGCTTTTGGGAGATGGGTAGAAGGCTAGAGATCGTATTCTAATAATTGATTCTCCCTCTATTTTCTATTCCTTATTATTTCACTTCTCTTTCCTCTGATTTCTCACAGCTTGCTGTGTTGTCTGCTCTGGACTCTCTTTGGTTAAGGGGTGATCGAGAGCTAAATCTCTTCGGCACCACTGCACCACCTCCAACCTCACACCACGAGCAGGTCTGTATCATCTCAATTTTTCCTCTTCAGATTCATATTAGAGGTGCTAATTTGTCCTATTTTCATCGAGGTGCAGGTGGAATCGCATGGGGTTCTAGGTTGATCAATGGATTTGGGAGATCCAAAGGGTTTGGAAAAATGAAAATAGGTAGGTTCATTTTGGTTAGATGTAATTGTTGGATTGCTGAGTTTGTTTTCACAATATTCTCTTACTTTCATCAGGTTACTCCATTTGTCTCCCTTTCTATTCTGTCCAAACCTGATGCACTTAGATGCTGGGTCATAGCTTGATGTCAGGTCAGGAGTTCTACTTGGATTTGGAAAAGCTCCGGGGATGTTCCAACAGATTTTCATTTAGGCTTGCAATGAGCCACCCAAAAGAATTGCTAATTAGTGGCTACTGGGGATGTTCAGCAAATTTAGTTTTCGCGTGTATAGAGCACTACTTTGATTTGATATATTGGCAAAGTTGAGAGTGATCTCAATTAGTTCGTAGCTAGACTCATGTGTTACTTTATGATAAAACCCAGGAACCGCAATTGAAACTGTGCTCATTCAGTGGTATCTTATATACAGATGTTTGAACATAGTTTTTGCTTTTAAAAGGTGGTCTCCTTGATTTGTTTTTGTATCAGAAGCTCTTCAATGAGAAGGCTTGGAATCATTTGTTGTGAACAATTGTACATGGATTCATCCCTCTACTAATTTTGTGCTTATATACTATCCCACGGGTGGTCAGGTTGTACATTTTCTACGTAGCTGTGCATCTAATTTTGCAGCACAACCGAACTTCACTTTTTGCTGATGGAATTCACTTATCCTGGGGCTTTATAAATAAAAACAATGGAATTACATCTTCGTGGCTTCTTCAGAAGGGAAAAAAAACCAGTCGATGAAGTAAACCATGCACTACATATATTTATCATGTGTAAGCTAAGCACACATTCGCCATATTAAATTTCGAAATTATCCATTTCTGTTTCAATAGTTTGTTCAAATCCCGGCGCAAAGCGCGGGTAAAGAAAGCTAGTACTTGTTAAGTTCAAGCACATTCCACCATCTTCCCCATTTTTGGATTGGAGCTGCTGGTTACAAATCCGATTGCGAGAGGGTAAAATTGCGAACAAAGAGAGCTACGCCTCCTAACTGTGGTGCCTGATAATTTTACACACAGGCCCACGCAGGAAGCAAGCAAGCTGAATGATTTACATTGTCATAGGAATTGGGCCCTCGGCTCGGTAAGCTTTGGAATTATTATTTGTTTTGAGACAAAAGCTGCGGCAAAGCTTTCGGTTTCTGTGGGCCGATTGGGCTTGGGCGTTTGGCCTTTGCTATTCAAACTGGGAAACCTCGGTGCGGGCGGAATCATTTTGTCACTGTTGTAAAGAAGAGAAACGTGTGCAACATTGCCTTATCTTCCGGTGGGAGTTAGGTAACCAGTTCGTGGAGCGGGAGCGAGAGCGAGAGCGGGAACGAGAGCGTGAGAGCGTCTATTTTAGAAGAATTCGATATTGAGAGCGTGAAGAAAGCGTCATTATTATATTATTATTTATATAAGAGACTTGATAATCATCCAAAATTATATAAAACTAGTGGCTAATTAGGTTATATAAATTTAATCGAAACTAATTAATCCAACATAGAACAGAGTTCAAGTGATGGGACGTGCACCAATTACTCTAAACTTAATAAACATTTATTTAATTATAAATTTTCCTACCTCTTTTCCTATATTCTTTATTTATTTTGCCGGTGCTGTCTCAGAGTGTCTCTTCCTCTTTTAATATAAAGATAAATGGCTAACAGAGCACCTCCGATCCTTTTCCCTTCTCGTTCAAAAGTCGGAAATCAGGGGGTTTCCGACTTTCAAATCTTAAATCAATGGCAGCGTCAAGAGAGGTCTCGTTGGTGACAAGGCAAGGCTTCATCTGAGAACCGCCGCTAGGTCCCCGACTCTCTTCGCCTCCGCCGCTAGGTCCCCGGCTTTCTCCGCCTCCGCCGCCCAGCTTCACCACCACCCCCTCCGCCGAATCCCCACCACAATCGAAAACGATAAACATTGGGCGGGATAAACATTGAGCTGAAGGGAATTCACGCTCCATTGATAGTGGATTCGCGCTCTAGCATAAATAAATTCGCGGATTTTAGGCGATTCGATTGCAGTCCGCGTTTCCGCGCTCCAAAGCGGGAGCGGCCACCCAAAAGAGACGAATTAGGTTATCTAAGGTGGGAGCACTTTGGTTGGTGGAGGTAGTGCTTATGCAAAGACCATATATAGATTAGCTCCATCAACCGCCAACTCTCCTCCAACTAATCTAATTGATTTAAATCCAATCCATTTAATCATTTTTACCAAATTATAGTTTGGTACCTGTATGTTTTTATATATCTAAAATTTATTTTTAAACAAAAAAAAAATTATTATTGGAAATTTATGTTTTGGCATATAAGGAACCATTTAAAGACTGTGGTCCCCAATACACCAAGACCATACATAGCTCCATCTTCTCCCCATCAGAAAGATGAGGGATAATCCCGCAAGAGGAACCGAAGAGACCTTGATTGAACAATACTAAACAAACCCTCGCCCGGTCGTATACTAAGAGGCATTATCCGGATATTGATCGTACAACCATTTCCACATCAAAGTTTCAGACAATCAACCTAATTAATCGAATCTAAGTATTCCGATTAACCCTTGATATCTAACAAGATGTAATTCTATCATGAATTCTTACTCAGCACGTGGAAAAATGGCTCGACATTGGTGGATATTTTGCGTGCTCACTCTAACTAGCTTGTAATTGTATCCTCCTCCCCAACCACCCAAACCAAGACAAAGTAGTACTGTAGCAGTGCTATGCAAAAATAGAATAATAATAATAAAAAAAAGAATAAGAAACTTTTGGAAATAAAAAATAAAGTTTGAAAATGACTAGTGACCTCTTGTGTGCCGTCCGATCCGTCGGACCACATAGCTTTGGCATTTGCAAATAATAATAATAATAATATAATTCGGTTACACCGTTACAGCCACTCAGTTTTTGTACAAACCAAGCAGAAAACGCAGCAAACTAACAGGGCCACATTCACCAGCCAAATTTTTTTTTTTTTTTTATAAACCCGCACTCCGAATCCCTCCCCTGCCAAAGCTTTCTAAAATCTCTTCTGCTCTCCCTCCCATTCAAACACTCTGCTCAATCAATCCTTCATTTCGTCGATTTCCTCTGTAACTCGTAAATTTAGAAGAAATTAGGAAAGCAGATCGAGGAAGGGGGGAGTATATATAGATAATATAAAATGGAAGAAGCAGGAAAGCCTCTGCTCGAGGGCGCCGACGAGAAGGGGCGGTCAGGCGAGTGCAGCAGCAGCAGCAGCTGTATTCCCGGTACCGGAGGCAGAAAATCGTCGTCGTCGGCGGCGGCGGCGGTCAACCCCGCGGTCATCTTCAGCACTTTCATCGCCATTTGTGGCTCCTTCTGCTACGGCTGTGCTGTAAGTTTCAGTAGTTAAATTAATTAGGTCGTCTCTGTTGTTATTATTATTATTGTTATTAATTTAATCAACCCTGCTTTCTCTTCCCTATTTCACCTCTTATTTTACTAGTTTGGAAACTGTTTAAAGCTAGTTCTCTCTATAAAATATTCTTCTCTTTCTGAAAAAAAAAAAAAACAATTTTACACCTATTATGGTCTGGAATGACAAGTCTGATCCATTATTAATTAAGAGGATTTTATGGGAAGAACGAACACCAATAATAGAAGTTAGCAAGAGCCGTGAAGGAACATGATTCGTACTTCATTGAGCTATGTTCCGGTTAGCGTGCGTATTTTTTTAGTGGGTACTAAAAAAAATCAATTTTTTACGCTAATACGAAAAAATGTGAGCTTGTCCATTTCAAATTTATAAGTTGACTTTTTTTAATCAGTCATTTGCTCGTCTCCAAGAAAATTTTCATATTGAATTTGTTGGCGGTACTTATCTGTAGTTTGAGCCATGTGTGTGGTCTATCTCTCTAATAATGAAAGACGGGTTTGTGATTGGGTGCAGCTGTCCTACTCATCACCGGCGCAATCGGGAATAATGCAAGATTTGGGGCTATCCATTGCTGCTGTAAGTTCTTTCCCTATCCTCTCCTTCGTCTTCTTCTTCTACTTTATATTCTTTCCCACCAATTGATTCTGTTGCTTCTCTTTTTTAGCATGCCATTGTAATAGTGTGGTGCAGAATATTTTCACTGAAGGGTATTGGTTGAGTTGTTTTCACTCTTTATACCTCTTGGCTCTAACACTATAATATAAGAAGAAAAAAAAAAATCTTTTGGCCCCAATTGATTGGAGAGTGCTTGTTGTGTTGTGAAGGGCATTGTTGAGTTGTTACTACTTTTTATACCTCACCTTTATGCACTAGGGTTGAAATGCATCACCTAATATTCCTTGCTTGGCTTGTTTGATATTTTGAGGGGTTTGGGTGGACATGTCAATGGGTGGATTTATTGGGTAATTTGATCCATTTTTTTTTTTTTTTATGATCTCTATGCACATTGGGTCGGATTCAAATGGACTGTTTTGATGGGGTTTGGATTTGGGCTGGTTCTATTTGGATAAAATACATTTGGGTTAGATCCAAATAGTCTAATTAGGTCTAGATGATTGTACACACCAAAAAAATCATATATTAAACTACATTCAAGCAAGCGAATTATACCCTTTTTAATGTAGGTGTTTTCACATTTTCTATTCAGTGGCGGACCCAGAAATTTAACCAACGGTGTTCAACGTCAGAACATAATCTTTAAGGATTGTCAAATAGTCTCGAATTCAAATACTATCGTCACTAAAACAAAGTCTTACAAAAGCTTTCTGCCCAAAGTTTGGATATAAGATTTGTCAATTGACAAGGCATTCATCCACTTGGGTTCGCCTCTGTTTCTATTATCTTCATAAGAAGAAAAAAATAAGACTAAAATTGTATTATAATTGAGTATCTTCTGGATTTCCAAATATTACCGGTTCAATTTAGGCCCCAAACTAAAATTTGAAATATAAATATACCCACCAACAATAGTAAAATTATCCAAACTTAATTCAAACCACAATAAATAAATTGAGTCTTGACAATATCGCAATATTGAATCTTTTTATCGTTGGGGATACAAAATTGTGAGATCCACAAGAGGTGAAGCGATGATATGTCCTTTTCTCTCTTGTTGATGACACCGTTGATATTTTGAGGAGAGGGCAACCACAAGAGAGAGGGAATTGATGATATGTCCTTTTCTCGTTTGTTAAGGACGGCCGACACACCAATAAAACGACCCTTTAGCCAATGCGAGGTGCACATTCTTTAGCAAATAAATGAGTAGTTATACTAGGTTGAGCGGTAGTTATACTAGGTTGAGTACAAAAACTAATGTAAGAACATTAAATTTTGATGAATTTTTTATTTTATTATGATGGGTTGACCAAAATTAATGCAAGATTAGTAAAAGAGAAACACGTTTGTTATTAATAAAAATTAATATGAACACAAGCGTGCGATGTTGGTCATTAATTTCGCTTCTCGCGCCTCATCACAAGTATCATGAAGCATCACAGATAAAAAAAAACACAACAAACCACACCACAAATATAATAAATCTTACCCGAAATGTTATAAAGCATATCAGAACCTCACCCACACCACAAAATTCATAATACATATCGGAAAACTCAAAGCAGACCACAAGTTTGTTAAACCAGTCTGAAAACCTCATAAAACAGACCACAAGTTTGTTAAAACATACTAGAGTTTTAACTAGAAAACTAATAAAGCAGACCACAAGTTATTTGAACCACACACTAGAAAACCCAAACTAATTCAACCAATCTAGATCCAAATTTAAAATTCATGTAATGTTGGAAAATTACTATTTGACACGTACATGGTTTATATTTTACAATTTAGTATCTACAACTCAATATCTTATTGAAAATATTCTTTAAAAATTAAATTTTGGTACCTGAAGTTTCGATTACGACATTTTAGTATTTTAGTATCTAAACTGATTGATCAGTTTAGATACTAAAATGTCATAATCGATACTAAAATGGATTCAATTGATTTACTACATCTTACATATGAGTGACGTGAGGACGAGACAACTGAAAAATGCGGTTTTGTGGGTGCAGTACTCAGCTTTCGGGTCAATGTTGGAGATCGGAGGGATGATCGGTGCCCTGTTCTGTGGCAGAATTACTGCTTTGCTTGGCAGGAAATACGTACGTAATTAAGCTCTCGAATTGCTTCTTCATTTTCACCAGGTTAATCCAATGCATGATTGGCTATATATATATATATATCTGAGGATTGTTAGCTTGTTGGATGCAGACAATGTGGCTGGCACAGATATTTTGCATTATTGGCTGGCTCGCCCTTGCAGTTGCCCAAGTACGCAACACTTCCCAACATTTTGCACATAAACTATTTTGATATTAATATTTTGAATTTTACTACAGTGATTTATAAGTTATCGTGATTTGGAGAAAACGGTCTACTATTTTCATCAATCGGTTGACCTCTTTCATTAATCAGTCGTCCGAATGAACAATTGTTAGTGAAATCAGCATGTTTTATTGGAGACGTTCAATATTGATAGATATGCTTGCTGGTAAAAGAGTTGAAGTTAGTACAAAGGTTGGGGCATGGATGAAAAGTTTCTCGGGTCATTATTCTCCCGTAGATTTGGAAAATGTTTTGCATGTTTATTTCTTACAGTTGATTTACTCTACAGTCACTTTCATATTTCCTTCAGATTGTCAGTTTGCTTGTTTTTAATCTTATAGTTGTCTTTGTAATAGAGCAACTTTGTTGCTATGAAAATACATAAAATTAACTATAATTGTTATACAATTGTGTCATCTTCAACGTCTATAACTATAAGTCTCATATTATCTTGCTTTTCTGGGTTTTTATGTGGTAGAAGAGATTGTTATTTGTTTTTTCTCTGGACCTAAAATCTTCGTAGATATTTGATTGCTCACGAGTGATAGGATGCTGCATAGCTATAAAACAGTTTCGTATTCGCGGCCTCCTAGTGTCCATTATTTTTCTAATGAAAGTAAAATATAACTTTGTTATTTGGTCAATCGTTCGCTGAAAGTGGTAGACAATTTGCGGAAGCGGTAGATAATTTATTAGAAACAATCTACTGTTTCCAAAAAAGTAGATTGTAAGTTGAAGGTAAGTGTGTCATCCAGTCAACCATTTTTGTCTCGGTAGTGGTCGACCTCTTGTTGAAAGCAGTCAATCAATTTTGAGAAACGACAGCCCGACTGGTCAAAGCAATCGATCAGTTGGTTGAAGCTGTTGACCGATTGTCTGAAGCGGTTGACCTTTTCTTCAAATCACACGATGACTCCAAATCACTAGAGGCATATATACCTTTTTTTAGAAACGTTTCCTAAAAAACGTAATTTGATCCCACAGAGTGAGTGGTGGCTGATTATGGGAAGGATGTCCATGGGTCTTGGAGTTGGGTTCATCACTTATGTGGTAATAAATTCATTCATTACCTCTCTTATAGTAATAAAATAAAACCAAATTCATTACCTCCATTTTGTTCCACTTTCTTAACTTGTACAAAATCAAACCATTTGCGCGCAGGTCCCAGTTTACGTTGCAGAGATTACACCCAAGGAGTCCAGAGGCTCATTCTCATTCGCTAACCAGGTAAAGTAGTATTCCTTCATTCATATTTTCCAGCACCTTCTTTCCCAACTTTTCACTGAGAATATTTGTACACATCAACTGATATGATATTCATCAGTTGCTAGTAACCAGCGGGTTTGCAATAACCTATGCCGTTGGGACTGTGGCTTCCTGGCGCACCCTGGCGTTGCTTGGTAACCAAGATTATCAATTTGTTTCACCATATGTACTCCATTTTTTTGGGTTCTTTCATTAACTAAGGCTATTTGTAATCTCCTATTCTGCTTCTGGACTCAGCTATTATTCCTGGAATCGTGCAACTGATCGGGCTGTTCTTCATCCCCGAGTCCCCAAGATGGCTAGTGAGTTTCTGAACAACCTCAATACTACGTATTACAAGCTAATACTTAGCTCGATCTTGCACTCATCTCCTTTCTCGTCGATCTCCTTGGGCAGGCGAACGCTGGAAGGGTGAAGGAGTTTCGAGCAGCATTGCAGTACTTGCGGGGCAAGGATGCAGATATTTCAGCAGAAGAAGAAGAAATCCAGGTAAAAAACATTACCCATTTCCCAATTAACTTCAGGGCTTCAACTTTCCTGATAAGCTATCAAAATATATACATTCACATTCAGTCGTTCCAACTGCTAGCTAGACCATAATTTCTTGCTTGATCTAGCTAGGCCTCTGTGGATGACATGAACAATGGTCCAAAAGCAAGAATGGTGGACATTTTCCAGAGAAAATATGCTTATGCCCTCACTGTACGTGATCCAAGAGCAAATCTCATTGTTAATCCATCCATCTTGTTACCCACGAAAAAAATTGTGTATTGATGATCATCATTAATCTCATTATATGAATGTTAATGAATCAGGTTGGACTAGGCCTAATGTTCCTCCAACAACTGGGAGGAAACTCTGGAGTTGCATACTATGGTAGCAGCATCATTGAGAAATCAGGTAATCCTTTTTTTTTTTCCGAGCTTTTGATTATCGAATATGTATTTCGTACTAAGCTATAGTGTGTGAGTCGATCCAACATCATCAGGTGATGCAGAAACATTTTTGCATCAATTCTTCTGCCAGCAAACCTTGTAGACAGTGACATCAATTGTTTCACTTTTAATCTGCTCAACCCATTTTTGAATGTCTATATGGCTGCAGGGTTCCCAATCAACATTGGAACTATAGTAATGTCTCTGATTCAGGTACACCTACTGAACTAGCTGTGCTTAGTGATTGATAATAATTATCATGCAACAACTACTACGTCCGTACTGGTGGTATCACTAATTTCATTTCTGGCTTGGTGTTAATTTTGCTCCAGATTCCAATCTCAGCTGTTGGCGTAGCGTTAATGGATATCAGCGGAAGAAGAGCTCTCCTCATGGTGATTAATTAGGAGCCAGAACTAGTTTTCCATTTCATGGATCTCAATTTGATCATGTTAAAGTACGTACTTAATCACTAACCAGTGTTTATGAAAATGCATGTATATATATATGTGGCAGGTTTCTGCAGGTGGGATGGGGATATCTGCCTTCCTTGTGGGATTATCTTTCGTATTACAGGGACTCAACCTTTTCAAAAAGGTCACTCCAATTCTGACTGTAATTAGCATCACTGTAAGTGCAGTTTTCATTGCTATGCTACCCAAGTTTTTGTTTTGTTTTGTTTGGTTTGGTTTCTTGCTCTAAAATGGAAGTTCATTTTTTTTTTGCAGGGACATATAGGATCATTTGCGATTGGGATGGGAGGAATCCCATGGATCATCATGTCTGAGGTGAGATCTTAACGAATCATCTTAATCGTAGACAATGACTACTCGATGAAATGAAACCGATCGATGAATCATATGTTCTTCGAAACAGATATTCCCCATGAGTGTGAAGGCTCTGGCTGGCACTCTGGTCACATTAGTCAATTGGTCGTCGTCCTGGATGGTAACCTACTCTTTCAATTTCATGATGCAATGGAGCCCTGCAGGTATTGTATATATACAACAAATCCCATTTTATTTGAGTTACCCAATTGTAATTAGCTTTCTAATTTGACATGTTTCACATTTTGAATTTTTTTTAACAGCCACTTTCTTCATTTTTGCGACTGGGAGTGCTGCAACAGTTGCGTTCACCTGGAAGCTAGTTCCAGAGACCAAGGGAAGAACATTGGAAGAGATTCAAGCGTCGATGACAACTCTTCGCTAAGAACTACTTCACCGCAAAAAAAAAAAAAAAAAAATTCCTCCTCCCTACAAGTTCTCGGATAAGGAGTAGAAACGTATTTATATATTTAATTGGATTAGTTAATGGTCATACCAGTCTTTGTACTATGCAAAGATAACAAATGACCCTGTACTAATTTTCATATGGAAAAGCCCTTGTAATAATATATAAGTTAAATAACAAATGAGTTATTTCGTTAATTTGAACTCGAAATGCTTAATATGCCCTTAGAATCTGATCTCTCCAATGCCCATACTTCTCCTAAGTGATAATGAATGTCAAACAAAGTATAATATGTTTATCTTTTAGCTTGGGATGTGTAAGATGGTTGATGAGACATGAGCATAAGCCTTTGTTCATGAGGATGGGAAGCGCGCTCTTTGACCCTGCAAAAGAGGTATGTGGTCGATTGCATATGACACTCTCTGATGTTTAAGTTAGAGAAAAAAAAAAATAGAAATGAGGGATAGGATTAGTGATAGAAAAGTAGCTGAGTTACAATCAATGCTTACATAGGGGTATTTATATTTGGTTGGGTGGAGCTTAGGGAATTAAATGTTGTCATTGCTGTGTCGATCGCTCTAAGCACGTCCCATATGTTAGGACTTAGGAGGCCATCTACGGCGAGTAATTAATGCTCAGTCATACTTATTTCTAGGTGAGTGTCTTTCCAGATCTTTTATCTCTTGTCACCCATTAATACTTTATGTCAGTCGGCCTAACATGTGTCCATATGGGGGATGATCGCCTTCAACAATAATTAATACTGTGTCAATCCCATAGGTTGTCCCCAGCAATGCTGTTCCCGGAGCCTAATTGTGCTTAGCATTCCCAGAGCCTAATTGGGCTTAGCAGGCTTTGTTTTGTTCTTGGGCCTCCAGAATCCTAGTTTTTCTTTTTTCTATAAACGTGCGATCTTCTGCTTATGTCTTGACTGCGCTCTCTGCACTATCTTTGTTCATTCTCAATCAGCTGGAGAACTCTTTGTCTACAATTTTTGTCATAGCCATAATTTCGAAATGTATGTGGATTTGTGAAAAGTGATGGTAAAGTTATTTCCAAACCCCTTATATCAAAAAATAATTTGGAATATCTAAAGAGATTGGAATCGAGGGGCTCTGCAGATTCAAAATATACTAATATCCCAGAAAGCAAGAACAAAGATATCATGAGCACTGACCCACTTCCTGTCGTATATCGGGTCAGTGGACATACATACTCGCAAACCGACCCACCCCTTCCGTATATATCGGTAGAATGAAGGTTTTGAGTTGGATGAGGGTTTTCTTTTGTACAACCCGCTTCTTTTGGGTTGAGTTTGTATTTTGGATTACACGACCCATAGAATCCAACCCAACCCAACCCGTGTTCCAACTATTAGTATGAGTTCGTATCTAAAAAAGATTTTATGTCGTATATAGCCGTACTTTTGAAAAAATCAAGATATTTCGCTGTGTTTTTCTATCATGGTCTCCCTAATCTAATGCATTCTTCAACTTAAAGTTTAGACATAAATTGAATATAAGTTATGATTCACGTAATCTTTTTTCTTGTGTACAATTTTAATAGAATAACATAGTATGGATGCATTTGTTTATAACCTTTTCAGCCTATTTCAACAAATAACGTGAAAAAAAAATTAGACATATGTGAAGTAAATCACATTTTATTAAAACTCAAACAACATTTGTGAATTCTGATATCTTTCACCTCGGTTTATTTGTTCGAAATTTTAATTAATTATAAAACATTTTAATGATGTATAATAATTATATATTTTTATGTTGGTTTGGGTTTTTACTTAAAAATATCGCCAACCCTACCCAACCCAACCCAATTAGAAACAAACCGTTAAGGTTCAAATTTTTTTAGGTGGGTTTGATAATTCCCAAACCGTAGTGAACCAACCGACCCACGTACATCCCCTAATTGCCATGTCATCGTGTTCCAAGCGACCACAAATTTGGGTGACAGTCACGACATGCGGGACATGGTGACTTGAAGATGATGAATTAACATCGCGCGCGACCGAGAATCAACGATCAAATCCGACACAATATATAATTCTTAAAACGAATCAAAGATGTGAAGATTTGTCCAACTCAAACACAAATCTCAAATCAAAAGAGCCACACACAAATTTAAGAAAGCAAAACCCCCCCACCACCCATCAAACACGATTCTAGTGTTTTTGCTTCTTCGCGTACTTGCTCTTATAATCCCTCCACGCCACCTCCACTTCCTTCCCCAACACCTCCCCAAAATACCCATCGCCATAACCAACCTTCATCCTCCGGTTCATCTCCGCCACGAAACCTTTCCTCACACCCTCACAATACTCCACGAACCTCGCCGTCACGTCAAACCCTTGGTCCCACCTCTCCCCGCCGCCGGGCCCCACCCAGTACTCCGGCGCCAGGCCAGCCTTCAACCTCACGTACCCCGCGATCCCTTCCACCAGCCCAGACGGCGCCTTCCCGCCGCCGTTCCACTGCCACACGTGCGCCATCTCCCTGTACAGCAGCCCGGAGAATTCCCTCTTGAGGTCCGGGCCCGAGTAGGTCCCGATGAAGTCGGCGCTGAAGTAGATCTCGTTCGCGCCCGCGTACGCCACGTGGGACGCCGGGTCGAACCTGTTGACGAAGAGCTTGACCTGCTGGTACCCTCGCCGGTCGGTGGCGTTGTGCTGGAGGAAGACGCGGTTGAGGACGAAGTCCGCGGCGGAGGACAGTTGGGAACGGGCGTAGTCGACGCCGATGTCGTCCGTGAACCGGCCGCCGCCGGGGGTGTCGGGGGAGTTGTTGATGACTACGTAGTCGAGCTCGGTTAGGGCGACGTGGAAGAAGGCGGCGGCGGCGGCGGCGGAGAGGAGGACGAGGAGATGATGAGCGCGGGAAGACATGGTTGATGAATGATGATGCTGTGGTGTGGTTATAGGGTTTGGTTTTTATATGTGGTGCAATGGATTCGGTTTTGCGTTGGTTCGTCCATTGTTATTCTCATTTTGGAGGAGACGTGGGTGGAAAGTGGCGACACGAGGGAGAATAGTGGAATAGGTTAAGTGATTGATTTTTGTTTTTGTCTCGTTTATTAGCCGTATGATAAAATGCGGGTTTTGGGTTTTACTTGGAACAACCAAACACATTGTTTGTGTTCTCTTCTCTATATATATTCATGTAAAACAAAAGGTGTAATCATTCCATTTGATGTCCTCATTTTGAACTTTGCTAAAGGTGTATTCATGAGACACCTTGATCCATTGGCTTTCACACTTTGTCATAAACCAGTTGGTCTCAATAACTCGAATTGTTGGGAGAAGAGTTATGCTGGATCTTATACAGGCCCGTGTATGGTTCTTAACCACTTACTTACACGCCCCCTCAAACGAAAGCCGACTCATGGGCTTGAAGTTTGCACAGGCCCAACCCTACCATGTGCTTGAAAGACAACGATTAATATTGGGGGTTGCGAGGACTTGAACACGTGACCTCAAGGACAAACCAGCTCTGATACCATGTCATAAACCAGTTGGTCCCAATAACTCGAGTTGTTGGGAGAAGGGTTATGCTGGATCTTATACAGGCCCGTGTATGGTGCTTAATCGCTTCCTTACACACCTTCTCATAAGAAACAAAGTGGATACGCCGATGACCCTCCTCTAAAAAAATCAGGCAAACCTGCATGACGTAGGAAGGAATAGCATTAAGAACAAAGAGAGTTAAAATGACCAATCCTGCTATAAATATTGATTTAGCTTTTCATCCTGCCAATTTTTTTTTATCTATCATGTCCACCACATATTTATATCTCTGTTTGGTTACTTATCGTTTGAAAGCTAACGACCGATAACTAACTGTGAAACGATTCGTAAAATTAGTGACGAATAAAAAAGAAATGGGCTAAATTACACGTTTGGTCACTCAAATTATATAAATCTTTCATGTTTGCCACCCGAATTACTTTTCTTTCTTATACGCCACTAACTTTACGAATCGTTGCATCGTTAGTCACCGGCCGTTACACTCCGTTAAATTTGTCCTACGTGGCAGTCAACTATAAAGTTTGACTGTTAACTAGATGACGTGGAAATTAAAAAAAATAAAAAATAATAATTTAATTTTCCACCTCATCATTCCACTTACTTTATTTATATGATTGATCCTATTAATTATTTCATAAAAATTAATTATATTAAAAAATAATTATGAACGACATTGAGGAGGAGGAATCTCTCCAGCGTGCCTCTCCCACGACCAAGCCCGCAAGGTCGCGGCTGGGGCTCAACAACCTGTTATGGAATGGGACTGGGATTTGCCCCGCACCCGCGAAGGGTTCTACCGATTCAAAGGTTCGTTGATGGCTGAAGTGGTCCGAGGCAGAGCATTCGCTTCCCTTACGGATGTGATCCGGATGGAGACATCGAGCCCCGATTTGGTGGAGTGCACGGATGAACACAGACGCCAAAAGCACCGACCAGAGCACCACAATCGTCGGCGTCCTGTTCTGCCGCCCCATCAAACCTTCAAGAACGGGTACAAATGGAGTATAACCCAGAACGCGAAGAACACTTTCCCGAACAATGGCCCCCAAGCCTCGTAGCCTTTGTTCAACGCGTCGGAGAACCCTGCCACCACCCCGACAATGTTCACGATCAAGAGGGTCGTCGGAGGGATGAGAACCGTCGTCCATTTCACCATGTAGAGCTCTCCAAACTCGGCGTCCTCTGCCGCCTTGGTCGTGACCGTGAAGTTTGTGTTGATTCCGGCTAGCATTTTTAGGAAGCCTTGGAATACGGCGAAGAGATGTGCGGATACGCCACCGATCACCCAGAATTGCTCGTTGCGCCATAGATCCTCGATGCTCACCCCGCTCCATCGCAGCTCCAGAACCGCGGTCAGGATGATGGACATGAAGAGGCCCAGGAAGAGCACGCTCGCCAGGTTCGACAGCTGCAATCAGTTCATCAGTCACTCTCTTACCATTGAATTGAGAACTAGCCATGGTAATCACTGTAAATTCAAATCATTGACTCCCCTGTTTATAAATCCTTTCATAACCCATGTAGTAACGCGTTTATAAGTAGATTTGACTTAATAAAAAGACACGTTCTTTTATTATTTATTTTCCTTGGTAATAAAGTTATTTTTAATATAATTAATTTTTATTAAATAATTAATAGGATCAATCATATAAATAAAGTAAGTGGAATGATGAGGTGGAAAATTAAATTAATTTTTTTAATTTTTTTTAATTTCCACGTCATCTAGTTAACAGTCAAACTTTATAGTTGACTGCCACGTAGGACAAATTTAACGGAGTATAACGGCCGGTGACTAACGGTGCAACAATTCGTAAAGTTAGTGGCGTATAAGAAAGAAAAATAATTCGGGTGGCAAACATGAAAGATTTATATAATTTGAGTGACCAAACGTATAATTTAGCCAAAAGAAATGCATCCAAACACCAAAAGTTCCGTTCATCATCACGGGTTGGTGCGGACGGGTCCCCTTCCTCCCCCGCCAGTTCTTGTTATTTGTTTTCCGAGAAGCCTGTGGATTCTTTAATTTCACTCAACCGCTCGTCAGTCATCACAGCTTGTGCGCTCTCCAAGAAGAAAGTAGATTTTGTTTCCTCTCGGCTCCGCGTATGAAGAGCAGCCAGCTTCCGGCAGGAAGGATCTTCGTTTCCTCACTTCTTCAGCAATGGTGATTCCCACTTGCCGTCTGGTCGACACCTTGAGGACCTGCGGTGTAGCCTCCAGTGGATTAACTCGGCAGCCGCGGCGGACTGCGAACCAGGCTCCTTTGAGAGTGGCTTCCGTTCGTGGCTCCCCACTGAGCTCGCTGTCACAATCGAACTGCTCGTTTGGTTTGAATCTCAATGGCGATCGTTCCCCGTTTGCTGCTGGACCCCGGAAGTCTACCGTCGTGATTGGCTGCGGGAGGACAATCGAAGATGATCCATCGGTTAGCGAGACTGGGGACGACGCTGATGACCAGAAGGTATCGGCGCCATCTACCTACGGAAGATAATTTGTCTTTTTTGAACAACTTTGAATAGGAATTCTATTAGGGTTTGGATCGGAAGGTCGAATCTAATGTCTGATCTGCTAGAAGAATGTGGGGATGGAGTGATGAAATAAACCATGGATTTTGAAGGAATGTTCTGCTTTGGCCTTCTTGGTAGGTTTCGAGGGTTCGTCCGAAAGTGCCCGAGCGTGACTTTACAGGCACGGCCTATGTGCCTGTGTACGTGATGTTACCAGTGAGTATGCTTTCTTTCCTTATGATCGTTGTTTGAAACTGCTTTATTCTATTTACTTTCTGTGCTTGAGATAATTTACTAGTCGATGCCTTGTTGTCATATATGATTTCATCGGGTAACATTCTGTGTCTTATGATTTCTGGGTCGGGTGTGCGGCATTGGCAGCTCAATGTCATAGACATGAATTGCCAGTTGGTGGATCCTCAAGGTCTTACCAAGGACATGAAAATCTTGAAATCAGCTGGCGTTGATGGAGTTATGGTGGACTGCTGGTGGGGAATAGTGGAAGCTGAAGCTCCACAGGCGTATAACTGGAGTGGCTATAAGGAACTGTTCAAGATTGTGCGTGATCTCAATCTTAAACTTCAGGTGAGCGCCAGATAGTTCACCTGGCACGGATACTAATTTTGCACTTGGATTGGTTTATAGTATCTTCTCTATATTTAACATTTAAGATTCATTTACATAGACGAGGAAAGGGAAAATGGATTTAGTGCAAATACTCACTGTAATGTCAATTTACTGATCGTTTCTTGAGATGAATATGCATTGCTGTAAATGATCCTTCAAAGGTCAACAAAGGGTTTACCTACTTATCTGTTTCTTATGCTACTGTATCAGGTTGTTATGTCGTTTCATGAATGCGGGGGTAATGTCGGGGATGATGTTTTTATTCCTCTTCCTCGTTGGATCATACAAATCGGCGAAACCAATCCTCATATATATTTCACTGATAGAGAAGGCAGGCGGAATAGTGAGTGCCTCACATGGGGTATTGATAAGGAGCGGGTTTTAAAAAGCAGAACTGCTCTTGAGGTATTGCATCAAGCCATAATAAACTTGCATAATCTCATGTATGCTATACCCAAGTACCTCAAGGGTTTGTCTTTGCTATTGTTTCAATATTCTGCATAGTTGACTTCACATATGAATTTACTAAAACCCAGTTTATATACAAATTATGAAACCAAGGTTCTTTTGGACCAAATCCTAGTTCAGCCAGATACCTCAACTTATGTTCTGTATATATATAGAGTAAAGAACTCCTGATTCCAGAGTTGTTATTAGCAGTGTTTATGAGCCTCCATCACTAAGTTACTTACCCAATAAGTGCAGGTTTATTTCGACTACATGAGGAGCTTCAGAGTAGAGTGTGATGAATTTTTCCAGGATGGAGTCATCTCTGAAATTGAAGTGGGACTGGGTCCATGTGGAGAGTTACGGTATCCTTCATATCCAGCAAAGCATGGTTGGACATATCCTGGCATTGGTGAATTCCAGGTACATTATTTTCTTCTTTGTATCTGGATTACTGTTCTGTAAGGGAGGATACTGTGCTTGTTCAAATGTAATAATAAGAGGTAAAAAAATCAATTCCAATAGGACAGATAATTCTTCACATACAGCAATATTCTGGTTAATAAATAAGATTTTCTGAACTCTCTGTATTGTAAATATGAAGGAACTGTTGGCGCCGTATATCCTTATTTGATGTCCTCTCTCTATTATATGGTTGTGATTTCAATTAGTATCACTGCTTATTGGAGAAGTACCATTTTAAGTGGTATCTTCCATATTGACACAACATGTTTCAGTTCAGTGTTATGATAAGTACTTGATGAAGAGTCTGGCCAAAGCAGCAGAAATCCGGGGACATTCGTTTTGGGCAAGAGCTCCAGACAATGCAGGCTCTTATACATCTGGACCCCATGAGGCTGGGTTTTTCCGTGACGGGGGTGACTTCGATAGTCACTATGGTAGATTCTTCTTGAATTGGTATTCTCGATTATTGATTGATCATGGTGACCGTGTACTTTCTCTCGCTAATTTGGCTTTTGAAGGCACTAACATTGCAGCAAAGGTAGTCAGTTTCTTCTTGATGCTACTCTTTGGTCCTTGTAGCAGGAGCTTTCATTTCATCAGCCAAGATATTGGTCTCTTTCTGTGTGTTTTCCAATAATGACATCTTGTTATGTGGTTTGATGAGTAGTTGTCAGGGATCCATTGGTGGTACAAAACTGCTAGTCACGCAGCTGAATTAACTGCTGGATTCTACAATCCTTCAAACCGTGATGGGTATGCTCCCATTGCAGCAATGTTGAAGAAGCATGGAGTGACTCTTAACTTCACTTGTTTTGAGATGCGCACACTGGATCAATATGAGGGATTTCCCGAGGCATTGGCAGATCCTGAGGGGTTAGTGTGGCAGGTACGTGAGCCTGCTCCTTTTAGTCTGCCCTTCAATCTGGGTACATGGCGTCATGGTATACACGTCGCTGTTTTGCTTCTAAATTCAATTGGTTCCTCTTTTGGTGCCTCCAGTTAATCTAATACCAACTTCTTAATCGAACTTCAAACTTTTCCCTTGAAACTTAAAAAATCTTTTTCTATTTCAATTCTACCCCTTTTTCTTCTATAAAATCCCATAGTTTGTGAGACCATATTTAAATTATTTCATCTAGCCTATAAGAGTTAATTAATTGTGTCACTCTTGAACATCTTGCAATCACTCGCATAGCTTAATAATTTTTTTAACAAACACTTCGAATTGTACGATTTGCTTGCTGCTGCTGACAACTTCTCTAGTAGACCTCTCAAACTTGAACAGGACATAAAATGGGCTCCTTCTAAACTTGCATCATGACATATATCTGCTGAATCTCTGTTCCCAAAAAAGCTTAGATTGCAATCATCCATCTAACCCAAGCCCGATACAACTCGGGTTTGCTTTGCATCTATGTTCTACTTCATCATCTGCATAATTTTCCAGGTACTGAATGCTGCATGGGATGTTTCTTTGCCAGTAGCCAGCGAGAACGCTCTTCCTTGCTACGACAGAGAAGGCTACAACAAGATTTTAGAAAATGCAAAACCACTGCACGATCCAGACGGTAGGCACTTATCCGCCTTCACATATCTCAGGCACAGTGCAGTCCTTATGCAGAGGCATAACTTCGAAGAGTTTGGCAGATTCGTCAAGAGAATGCATGGTATTGTTCCTTCTCTTTTCCTTATTGCCTGCACCAGATAGATTTTCCTTCTGGCTTGCCAACAATGACTGTTCATGCAGTAGGAAGATATTATTATTAAGAAATTACCATGCAAGTAAGTTCACTGTTTCTTTGGGGATATTAGATCAAGATTGAGGTAATAATGATAATATAAGAGGATCAATCCCTTTCGTTTAACATCGCTCCTTTCTGATTTCAGGACATCCGCTTTGATCTTCCAAGCTTACTTGAAATTGAGCTATTCAAAATATTGGCGGAGGAATGAATGGTCTCATCTAGAGAAAATTTGGACCCTAATTTGTAATATAATAAGTGAATAGGAAAAATTTGCCTAGTTTAGTTGTCTTCGAGTTAGGCATTCTGGAAGGGTGTTTGTTAGTAATCTTATGGTCAATAATCATGTATAACCGCACCATTATTTATGAATGGTTTCTAACTTTTTCTTCTATATAATTTAAGGTGTTATATCTATTTCATTTTAAGTTATAATTTTTTTTTTACAAATAAATTAGATTAATTATGCTTTTCAAAATGATATTCACTTTAATTTATTTTTTGAACAAAAAAATTGAGACATTTAGTATCAGTCTTGGTGGTAATACTTAATATTATATAAGATCATACAACGTGAAAATATATCATGGTGCTATAAATAAATCATAGTGTAGGATGGTTGAATACATGATAATAGATAAATAAAAACTGTCATTTACCACATTCATTATTGTTTACCATAAGTTACCACCAATATACTAAGATGATATGAGGTGTTACATTTTGGTCCTGAATTTTTTCAGCAAAAATTTGTAAATCCAATATATCATGAAGAACTCGTTCATTTTGAGAAAAAAATTCAAAATTCGAGTACAACCGAAGTCCGAAGGTGGTACAAGATGGTACTAAGGTGAGAATATATTGAAAATGGATCTCATTTTATAGGTCACACCAAACAAGTTCATTTATGCAACAAAATTTGAATCCAAGTACGAAAAAAAAAAAAAAAAGAATCAATCAAAATACTAGAGAAAATAAAAAGTCAGTAATTTTCACCCCTTAGATCTAAGCCATCTAGCCTCACTCAAAACTAATGGTCTTGATTTGGTTAAGGTATATGCACAATTGGAAAAGGATAACCGGGTTTATTGGTATTTTCCCTATTAATAAATGGTTTTATTTTATTCTAGCAGCATATTCACGCATGGCATGTGTATGCACGACAACTTGTTAAGATTTGAGAATATTTACAAAATGTATTCAATTTGAATATTCGAACAACTATTAAGAAAAAACGTATTGTATGAATATGTAAAATGTATTGTAAGAAAATGTCACGTGGTGTGTGTTACTACTTTTGTCCACTTGGTGACGACAGTAGCCTACTTATGAAAAAAAAAATACTAAAATGGTTATTTTAGTGTATTTTTCAAAATTTGGTTATTATGGTCACAAGTGGATAGTTATCGCTATTAAAGTGTATTTTATCTAATTTTTTTTCGTTTATGAAATTTTGGGAGCAAATGCATCATTAAAATTTAAAATTATAGAAGCATTTATAAAAATAGAGAAATTTCTAGAAGCAAACCTATAACCTCACGAACATTATCCCGACCAAAATATAGTTTGTTTTAGATACCGACCCTCACGATTTTCGTTTTGAAATGAATATCAAGCTGACTTCTCGAGAAGTCACCAATCCTTGTATTGCTCCATAATAAGCATGTTTAACTTCACAAATTCTTATATATAAACTCTTTTATTTCACCCAAAAAAGCATTTTGTCAATTAAATTCAGTTATTACTTCTTTATCCTACTTTGTCGATGAGAATTGCCTATGTTATACAAAAACCTCCTATTACATTTTCATTTTTCACTCTATTCGCCGATACCTTGAAATTACAGACGCACGCGCCGCCTGTGCCAACTCCTCGCAGCTCTCACACACACACCAAACACGTTCGAGCCTCTCACACACGAGCGAAACCCTAACCCTCGCACGCAGACCGCTATCTCACACGCGTCTGCTTCCGGCTGGTCGTCGGAACCCAGCTCTGGCCTCCCTCTCCTCACCGGAGCAGCTCCGGTTTATCCTGGCCTCTCCATCGCTGACACCACCGGGAATCCGTCCAGTTGAGAGGTTGAATTTTGGTTCCTGAGAGGAGATAATGCTCCGGAGAGTTGCTTGTCCGAGCTGACGAGGCCTAGTTTCGTGGAGGATAATGTAGAAGGCGATGAAACTGAAGGTTTAGTCTCTGTGACAAAAAATTCTCCCAAGAGTTCAGTTGTTTCGAGCAATTGAAGCGCTAGCAGGCCTGATTTGACGAGGTAACCGATGCTTATGACTTGGTTTTCCTTTCTTGTTCTTTCATCAGCTCAGCCGGTTATCTGTGCAAAAAGAAGCGAGTCTCCGGCTCAATTGAGCTACTAATCTATTGTTTCTCAGTTGGCTCTTTTCATGAAATGTTCTTTGTTCTCACTTTTTGCGTACGCACGATGATAATTTTCAAGTATCAAGAAGAGAAATGGTTAGAGAAAATGGAGGTTAGTTGGATAAATGTTGAACGGAAGTTTGGGTTAGCTGCTTTTGAGAAAGGGTTGTTGCTCAAAGTATCGGTGGGAAATATTTTTCCTTTCTTTTCCTTGGTCTTCTTTTGCGTTTCTACCATGGTCATCTTCCTTGACGTTTTAAATTATTGCCAGGAAATCCAGCATTGGCCCGGGTGCAGTTGTAGCATTGTTATGCCAAATGCATTTGTCTTGGGACGATACGGTATGACTCAGTTTGACCGAGTTAAGGGAATTTGATTGATGGCAACAGATATGCAAAAGCTGATTGTAACTAGCGAGGAAGATGATGAAGAAGGAGACGGAACAGATATGGACGTCAAAGAGGAAGACGGTGATAGTGAAAACAGGGCAAAACACATTGCTGATCAAGCAATGGTAGGGGTTGAAGCGGGAATGCTATCTGATAGTTTTGACGATCAGTTTCAGTATCATCATGAAGTTCAAGACCAGGTGAGTACCCCAGGAGGAGGAAGTGGTGGTCGGAAGTGTAGGCCACTTGAAGAGAAAGAGAGGACCAAGCTGAGAGAGAGGCACCGAAGGGCGATCACTGCAAGGATCCTAGCCGGGTTAAGAAGACACGGAAACTATAATCTTAGAGTTAGAGCAGATATCAACGATGTAATTGCTGCCTTGGCCAGGGAAGCTGGATGGGTTGTTCTCCCAGATGGAACTACCTTTCCCTCAAGATCTCAGGTACTAGGTTACATTTTTTCAGTTTCTATATTTGACACAATCCTGAAATTTTGAGGGTTTATGAGCCAGAGTTTTGATGTACTGTTATCTTACCCAATCTACAAATTTCAGGGCTCAAGGTCTGTGGGAGGTCCTTCTGCAGCAGCTACACAGACGTCTTCCCATCAAAGCCCACAACAGGAACCTCCTCCTTCCCTCAAAGGAATTTCCCCTGGTTATCCGACTTCGGTGGAATATAATTCAGGTCAAATGAAAGGTCTACTTGTGCCCTCTCCATCACCTTATGATTTATCTGCAGGCGCTCATCCACAAACTTCAGTGATGATGGGCGATGGTGTAGACACACCACGGATCCAGCCTCTCACTGCTGGTACTGTAGATACCATCAATGTTAAGCAGGTATTTTGAACATATTGTTTTTGTTGAGATTTCAGACAATAGAATTGTTTTCTAAGAATCTATTGTAGCCTTCTGTCAACCTATATAATTTTTAATGAGCCGAATAACCTGTTACAATAGCAGAAATTGTTGGTTGCTTCACGTGCAGAATCACTTTCTGCACTGTTCAAAGAATGTTTGGTTTAACATATAACCTTTTCTTTTCCGTGTTTTGTAGATTGTTGATGTATATCCAAAGCTCTCAGAGCGAGAGTTTGCGGGCTCTGCTTATGTACCAGTTTATGTGATGCTACCAGTGAGTTGATCCTAGACCTGGTTATCAAGGTTTTGAAGTATAAAACTCATAACATTAGCATCTGTGATTTCAGTGGTGAGGTGGAAAGTACCGTTCCATCCACACTCTATGGCCTACCATTAAGTTGGAAGGACAAGGATGTTATATTTGTTATATAGAAAAGCCATTTCAGGTTCAGGTGAAGAACACACTTGCAATATATTTGAAACACTCTAACATGTTTTATTGTCTTTTATATTCTGTTCTTGACAGCTGGGTGTCATGAATATGAAATGTGAGCTAGCTGATCCAGATGGTCTATTACAGCAGCTGAGGGCACTAAAATCAGCTGATGTTGATGGTGTCAAGGTTGACTGCTGGTGGGGAATAGTGGAGGCTCACGCCCCGCAGGAGTATAACTGGCATGGTTACAAGAAGCTTTGTCAGATAGTGCGTCAACTTAAGCTCAAGTTACAGGTGATTAGCTTTCTTTTTATTTTTCTCTCTTCAACTGGGTCTTGTGTCTTAACTATTAAGTACTTTTCTTGGATTTATTGGGATGAATTCTCGTCTCATGTTATTGTAACTACTGATGGTCTACAGCAGTTAGTGGGTTCGGGCAATTATCTTCCTGATTTTTTTCTCAGGTCATCATGTCATTTCATGAATGTGGAGGCAATGTTGGTGATGATGTTTGTATTCCATTGCCACATTGGGTGGCAGAAATAGGTCGGAGTAACCCTGACATATTTTTCACTGACAAAGAAGGAAGACGCAACCCTGAATGTCTCTCCTGGGGAATCGACAAGGAAAGGGTACTAAGAGGCCGAACTGCTGTTGAGGTATATCTTCTGCAGTTGTCAGCACCAGTGAATTCACTTATTTCGCATCTATATAGAGTTGATAATCGTTTTTTCTAACGGTTGCCGTAATTTCTGCTTGTGTGTCCACTTACGAAGATCTGAAAACTATGAAAAATATATATAGTGTATGTAGTGGCTAGACTTCTCTCTAAAGAATTAGCACAGCTTTGTCTATTTTATCATTTCTTAGCTGAAACTAGTAACTTCTGGTGTGCCTGTTACCTAATTTATTGTCCTCGTGTAGGTATACTTTGACTACATGAGAAGTTTCCGGGTACACTTTGATGAATTCTTTGACGAAGGTGTCATCTCCATGGTTGAAATTGGGCTTGGGCCCTGTGGTGAACTCCGATACCCTTCTAATCCTGTAAAGAATGGTTGGAGATATCCTGGGATTGGTGAATTTCAGGTAACTTTCGTCTTGATTCAGGGAAAACAATATGTTCTGCTTGATCTTACCTAATGTAGTTTCCAGTTCTGTTAATTCTATGCAGGAGTAAGTATGTTCAAGTTTCATACTGCAATCTTCCTTTCTTTTTATCGATAAGAATACATGTTTTCTGCATCTGTGGCTTCAGGTCTTCTTTTCTGTTGGGTCATGCTCTAAGAACTCGTTTTCAGCTAGCATACATTCTTTGAAGTTTGTATTAAAGCTAGCATCTTCACTGGAAACGTATTGTTATCTGAGTGATAGTCAACCTTGAGGAAGCTTCTCGAAGTACCATACATATATGAAGTATGGTGTTTACGATTATTACAGATCCAGGTTGGGAGTGTTCCTTGGTCTTATGCAAGCATAGTGAGATGTTGGATCAATGGTAGTTCTTCTCTTATCATGCCCATGTTGAAAGTGTGGTAATGGTTAATGAGTTCGTTAGTTTTGCCAGGAACTCAACATAGGCCAGACAGTTTTTCATATTCATTCTTTATTGCAATTCACCACTTGAATAACTCGCTCCATCTTCTAACAAACTGAATGATTATAAGTCTGAGGCCTTATATATGTTCGTCCAAAAGCTTCCATTTATCGGAAGTATGTTATTGTTATGTCGAGGCTTGTTTTGTAAACCTCTTACGATGGTTGTAACAAAATACTTTTTACCTGCAGTGTTATGATCAGTATTTGATGCGAAGTCTGAGGAAGGCAGCTGAAGCAAGGGGACACCCATTTTGGTCTAGAGTGCCAGATAATTGTGGTTCTTATAACTCGCAGCCGCATGAAACAGGCTTTTTCTGTGATGGTGGAGACTATGATGGCTATCATGGGAGGTTCTTCCTTAATTGGTACTCCCAGATTTTAGTTGATCATGGTGATCTAGTGCTTTCGCTGTCCAAATTGGCTTTTGAAGGCACCTGCACTGCGGCAAAGGTGCGTTTGTCCTTCAGAACCTTGATCCTTTTTCTTAGAGGGGGAGATATCAACCCAGCCAATTTGTTACATGTAATGCGCATCTAATCAAAATTTCAAGAGAACACCAACAGCCAACCAACCCATAAACGCATGGTCCCGGTCACCCCACTCCTTTGCCAACCTATATCTTTCTACCCTCATTTCAGCTTCTGAATACTATTAATGCCCGGCAGTATTTTGCACTAATCCTAGCAGTTAATAGTAACTAGTTTTAGCTTTTCCTATATCGTTTATGATAAAATAATTTGCTATATGTTGATCCGATCTCATTGGTTGTTGGCAGCTACCAAGTATTCATTGGTGGTACAAGACAGCTAGCCATGCTGCAGAGTTAACTGCCGGATTCTACAACTCTTGCAATCGTGATGGCTATGCTGCAATTGTCGCAATGCTGAAGAAGCACGGGGCTACTCTAAATTTCTGTTTCTCTGATCTGGGGGTGTTAAATCAACAACCTATGGATTTCGCTGATGGATATGTCGATTCTGATGGATTATTTTGGCAAGTAAGGCATCTTCCTTCCATCCAAACATAGTCTCTTGCTCTCAAATTACAGTTGTCGCGGCCTAATGGTAACTTGATATCGAATGCCCCTTTTCCCAGGTTTTGAATGCTGCCTGGGACGTTTCCATACAGATAGTCAGCGAAAGTGTGTTCCCTTGTCATGATCGACTAGCCTACAACAAGATACTGGATAATGTGAAACCATTGAACGATCCAGATGGAAGACATCCTCTGTCATTTACGTACCACAGACTCAATTCAGTTCTGATGGATAGATACAATTTTCTGGAATTCCAACGTTTCGTCAAAAGAATACATGGTAAGCTGCTGTAGAGATGGCAAATGGATTGCGTTCGTTGGTTCGCAAGTTGGGTTAAAGTTGCAGGAAGTAAGAATGTTGGGAAGAGGAGAAAGACCAGTTCTTGGTGTCATTGACTCCGACGTTTCTTTTTGGTCGCAGGAGAAGCAGTTGTGGAAATGCAGGTATAAGTGTAAATTAGCCGTGACAGTGGCACTGAAATGTGTGGCCAGACTCCATCAGGAGTAGAATTAAATTGGTTTGGCTAGAAGGCCCATCTATGTAATGTAGCACAAGAATATAGTAGCTGTGTAAAATGTAAATGACGTAGCAAATTGCAAGGAAGCACCAAAAACACTTGCACTTTTGACCTTAAATTTACTCTTATTGATTGATGGCTAGATAATATTATTTGGTTGAATACAGTTTGTTTATATATAACTCCACGTGCTCAACTTGTATTGTGATAATTGGGAAGGATCACAATCGAAACCGAAGAATCACGGTCGTGAACATCAAATTTTTTGGTTATGAAGGTCGACTTTGTAGTTGTGGAAATAGTCATTTATAACAGCCATTCCCCGTGATCCTCATCGCAATCTTGGACTTATAGGTACGAAAAATTCAATTCGCAAACCTTTCTATCATACGGTCCTACGAGATAATTAAGGGTTTCTTTTTTAGGATGAATGATTTCGAATTTCCGACCCACTTTCGTGGTCATTGACATAGAAGATAAAAAGAGGGCCCTCGTATCCTTGGCACTCGATTCCTGGCCATGGTTAGTGCTGTAATAGATGGGGCTGAGTGGACCATCATTTTGAGGTTTGGTGAGGAATCAATCAAGAATTCAAGATCAATGTGGTTGAACTTTTTGCTAGAAACTTTGAAGCGACCAAAGAAATGCATGATAGTGATTTTGATACCTTTATCAACGGGACCCATGTCTCCATTTCACTCGTCTAGCTCCTCTAGTGCATCCTAGATATAAGTAAAAATATCCTATGAATCATCTTCAAAATTGGTTAATTTTAGGTGACAAAGGGACATTATTTCAAAGTACGACTATAAGTTTAGCGGGAGAAAACTTTTATTCTACTCCCTGTGGGCTGTGTAAGCAATATATCATTCACACAATTATCACGAGTATGAATCCAATTCGATTATTTATTAATTTAATTTAATTTTATTAAAAATCTCAATACTAATATCATTCTTATCCTAATTCTTTGCAGGATGTCATAACAAATCCACACAAGGTTGATTCAATCATAACAAAATTGTTAACTCAAACAATGTTGTACCAAAATTGACAATTTTTGCAAACTTCGGCTTGCTTGTGCGGCAATACAGCAACACCGATCATTTCACAATTGTTGATTTGTTGTCCACTTCGGTCGAAATTGTGCAAATTTCTTGGGCAGGATAAGACACATTACGAGAAAGAGGCCTTTTTTTATACCTAAAGCTATAGTGTTAAGAAAAACGAAAGATTGATATTGGGCAATGTAAGACTAGGGTTGTGCCAAGCTGCTCACGGGCAGTTCGGTGTTCGACACTCAGCTCATTTATTAATGAGTCGAGGTCGAATTACACCTTGCTCAAATTATAAGGTTCGTGAGCTAGTTTGACTCAATGGCATGTTGAACACACCAAAATAAAGATTGGGTAGAATAAAACGAAGCCAGGCAAAGTAGTTTTACTTTACTAGTTTATTTACGGGACAGACTTCTTAAACACCATGTGACCAAATTCATCTACATCGAACATACGATCGACAAAGCTATCAAGCCTCTCCCTCATTTTCCCGAAAGACCAGGACGACGAAGTTGCAGCAGCAGCTGCAGCAGTCCCTGATGAGCTGCCCCCAGAGGTTTCTCCTTCTTCTGCGTCGAGAAATGTCCCGTACGATGCCTGTGCATGAGGGATGTCCAAAGCAACGGCTCTCTGAAGAGCTGCTTCATACTCCTGGGAATGTTCTCGTGCCAGAGACTCCTTTCTCTCCATCCGCTGCTCCCCTGGAATCTCCATCATCCTGTCATTCGCCAGCATTAGCTGCAAGACGAAACAGAGATAACATATTTCAGCAGCTCTCTCTCGATGGTTATGGCTGCGTTGCTTAAAAGATAAGAACTTTCTTCTTCTCCAAGTTTGTTATTATTTTTTATCCACAGCAGAACACGCAAAGCTAGGACTAGGGAACTTACATCAAAAGCTCTCTGAGATTCCCTCTCTATCCAGATAATGGCATGGTCGGCAGTTGCATTACAGGACAGAACCATGTGCTCAAACCTCCCATCCACCGGGACTGCTGTCCGGACAATTGGAGGAAATCTTCCTATCCTACAACAGATATAAAATAAGTAGGATTTATGTCAGTAGGTTGCTCCATTTGAAATCTGAAATACCAAATGATATAAAATAGTTTGAGAAATTTTCAGAGTTGATTCACCTGAGGGGTCTTCTCTCAACAATGTGATACAGGCGACCGGGTGCATATAGCCTCCTTGGATCTTTAAGCACCTTCTCTTCAAGAGTGCAAGTGTCCTTCAGGCACATTATGCAAAGCAGACAAGGGAAACTGTTCAAATAAACAAACCAAAAAAAAGAAAAACCAGCTTAGACAATAGATAGTAATTGACATGAGCACAGAGGATATCCCAACCAAAACCAGTTGCCACATTGACAGCAATAAACTAAGTTCTAGTTAAGGAAGCCAGTACGCATTTCTCCTACAGCAAGCTACATGTACTATATCCATCAAGGCCTGCTCAGATAAATCCGAAGCTACTGGACTCTAAGAAGTTCTCATGCATGCATATTGCAAAGTTAGAAAGGAAATACAGTAGAATGTATTTTCTTAATTATTACACAAATATTGAGGATTTCAGATTTCTGAAACAGCATCCACCAAGATTCAGCTGAATGAAAACATGAACAACTAAGGGCTAGAACCCAGAAGGTGAGACATACTATTGTTTTACCAGATAAGTGACTTGAAGACGTCTTCCAGAGCCATGGTTGTACGAGGTAAGAAATCATCCTGCCACAACATTAACTAGCATAAGAATGTATGAACAAAATGAATTATAGGTCGTAGCATACAATCATGCTCATATCATTATCAGCAAGTTGTCTGATTGTTCCCCGAATTTGAGCATTCAGTAAGTTTTGCCAACCTAAAAAGTATGTCACAGGCTCACATCCCAAACAAACAGTTCTAATACGGAAAACAATTAACCAGAGTGGCACTAGATCCAACTGTGTATGCTCGTTATTCTCCTGGAGGTAAAACTTCATCCACTTAACAAATGCTGTTCGCCACAAATTGTTTTGGTTTGTGTCATCCCATCAATCATCCACCAAATCTAAGGTAATTCCTTCCAAAATTAATAACCAACTGAAAATAGTCAGCAAATGTATGAAGGTAAAAGGCAGCACATAATCCTTACCTGAAGCACAACTGAGTTAATAACATCTGCATATCTGACAGCCAAGTTCAAGGACATGCACCTTGGAGGAGCCACAGCAAAGCATCTGATTCTCTTCCTCTCTATGTTCCCTAATCTACCTCGATTTTGAAGGGCATAAATCGTCATCAATGCAACTATCCCGGCACCTAAGGAATGTCCAGCAAATGTCAACCGGTAATTTGGATTCTTCTCGATCAACTCCCTGAGAACTCCACATTCTGTATCAAAAACCCACTGTGCTGCCTTCAGTAGGCCATTGTGCACATACCCACCACAGAACTTAGTCTGTCCAAGCTTGTTATCGAGCAAAACGGCATAGTCACTCTCAATAGCCAAATTCAGCCCTCTAATGGCCAACACCACATCAGCATTCTTATGATCGATGTAGATCAAGTAAGGACTGGACCTGCCACCCGTGTGTTCATGATTCTTCTTCACCATCATCCAATCAGGATCAAGACCATAACCTCCGGGTGGTTCCCAAATGGGATTATGAAGATCGTCTTCATAATTTGCAAGGATTATGCGACATAGGCGGGGGACAGGGTCAAACTCTTCAGAAGTAGCTAAGCCCCAATTCTCGCTCTCATAGCCAGCAGTGTATATGCACCTTCGCCATGCCCAGCGAACACATGCCAGACAGTAGACACATTCCACTACCGGAATGCAACAGGCGATTGACATAGGAAGCCTATAATTCAATCATGTTAACCAAGTGTCTAGAAACAAAGTTATGGAAAATTGCTGCAACTAATCCGAAGGACGAAATCAAGGGGTATAGAAGTCGAAAGCGGACAACTTCGAGGTAAACCCAGTGAAGTATCGATAACAGATGATCAGAAGCAAGCTCGAGATATGAAGTTACACTGATCAAACGCCATGATAAGAAGAGCTGTCCCCAGGACAACCTATTTCAAGAAGACGACGGAAAAGCTTGCAGCAATCACTGCAATAATCAGGACGCATAGTTCAGGGGATTTGAAAGCTGAAAGGCTGAGAACCCAACTCTGTAGCTTTGCCCTTGAAGAGAAAATACGAAAACCTAAGTGGAAACTGTACAAAGCAGGAAGATATCTGTATATGAGAGGAAGGAGTATGTTCGCAGTGCTGCTCAAGAATTAGGATCGCCGCTGCACTCAAAATTTGAACCTTTTCCTGGGTTTAGGTGTCCGATGGTATAGAAAATTACAGAGGTTAAACTGCAGACGGAAAGCAAAGCACAGAACTATGATTGAGACAGAGGAAACTAGAAGGAAGGAAGGAAGGAAGGAGAAAAGAAAGAAAACGAGGGCTTCTTTTCTTTCTTCTTGAGTTTATTATTGTACCAAACAAATAATATAGCTACGAGTCAAACTGTCAAAACCCATTTCCCGGTCCTCCAAAAGAATCTTTTTCTCTGTATGCTATTATTCCTCTTCCCTTCTCCTATGGCCAACCGCCTCCCTTCTGTCGCCGCCGTCTCCGGCCGTCCCGGTTTCCCAATTCCCACTTCCAGGAGGCGGAGGTGGTGGGTGCACGTCAACTAAAATGGTTGCAAAACTCTTTTTCCCCCAACTTCCTTTCTAGGCTAGAAACCCGGCTTAACCGGTATCGGTTACAAAAATAGGTTGGAATGTCTCTGATATTGACCGATATGACTTCAAACAACATGACGCTAATTTGATGAATTAAATTGATAAAAAATAATTTTTGATTTGTTTCTTCAATTGAAAGTTAAATTTTGTTATTTGTCAGATTCAAATATGTCTTTTTTATAATGGTGAAATTCATTGGGAACAAAAAAATAAAAAATCTAGTAAAGAGGACCACAAGACGTAACCGCTCAGCAACAAGAAACAATAATGAATCCGGTCTAATCGAGTAAGGTAAAACTCAAACTCGGAGGATTTACAGTGGGTACGGGTAAAACCCGAACTCGAATATTGCGAGTAATGGTTAGGCATGGTTTTCGTACTATCCAACCCGAACCCGACCGATTATACACATTCAGTTGTATTTTTTCGAGAAATTATTATTATTATTCTCAACATATTTGATATTTAGCATACATTTATAATATTTTCATGAAATCATGTTGTTTAATTAATTTTCTTCGTTCTAGTGATTTATTATCATACTTTTTCATTTATGTAATACAAGTATACGTGTAAATGGTAACATTTTCGTTGAAGTTATAAAGATAAATTATTATCCATGGATAACCATGGATACCCGAAACCCGAACGGATACGGGCATGGTTTTGATTTTCTACCTGATTCTTATATGGATATGGGTAAAATCCGAACTATTTTGGGTAAGGTAACAAATATGCACTATCCCCCGACTCGACTCTTTGCCATCCCTAAAAAGCAAAAACAACCCTGTTCATCACAGCAGTAGTCAGCTACTAAGGGCACCCCAAACAAAGAGAAAGGAAAAACTAACACATCCAGCACAAAGATGATACAGAAAGGCTAAGCTATCAGCCTTTCTGTATAAACTTTTGATGTATTCAAGTATAAATTTTTTAAGGGTTAATACACTAGTTTGGTCCGAAGTTTTGCGTAAATGTCAGTTTTAGCCCGAATTTTCCAATAAGACAGTTATGGCCAACTTTCCAAATTTATGGACAAAATTGGCCCGGAATTTTCTTTTACCGTTAATATTGACGTCAAAGACTTATCACTTGTTTGAGTCGTGGTTTGTGCTTTTATGCTTTTCGAATCAATAACCAAACTCTTGTGAGTTTTTTGTTTTTTTTGGTGGCATGAGCAACTCTCCTCTTCATGAACCGCTCTCCCATCCATCGTTCTTCAATCATTCGGTAACTTCATTCCCCTTTCCTATTTTGTCTCAATTGAGGACAATGGTATGCTTAAGTGTGGTGGTGTTTCATCGTAAATGGGTGTGAATAAATGATTGGATTAATACTAAATGCTTGGAGTCTAATCCACACTCCAAATTTTTAAATTTGAGAGTTCCAAACACGTTTGCCTTATTGTGCATGAACATAGTGGTCACTTTTGAACATAACTTTTGGGGGTCGTTTGGATGCATTGTTTCCATGCATGGTTGTCACGCCGACCGGCGTGCCACCGGTTGTACCTGGTTCAACCGGTATCGGTCATAAAACTGGCGTGGCACCACCGGTACGACCGGCATGCTTGATATACGAATCTCTAAGTAAAATTGTCTTATTTTAGTTAATTTAATTGTTAAAAATTATTTTATTATTTATTTTATGAGTATAAAAGTTAAATATTGATGTTATTTCTTGGATTCAAGTATAAATGTTTAGGTATTGACGTTAAATGTCATGTTTAAATATGAGTATTTATAATTTTATTTGTAATATTGACCAGCATTTCATTTCATGACCAAAATCATCATTCAATGTTAATGATTTTCCAATCTGATATAGGTTGACACAAACGAGTTTTACCACTCATTGAACCATATCCTTTGCCATTTGCCAAACCAGTTTTACAACCTTGGCGCCAAATATGGTCAGACTGCCCGAAATTGTTCCCACCAACTTCCCCCGCAACCATCAACCCGAACCAAACCGAACCGAACCATTTTCTCTGCCACTCAATTCTCCACTCAACTCTCACAGTTCCTCGTTTTCCTCCCCCTGCTCTGCTGCTGCCCCCCTTATCACAATTCTCAATCCGCACTGTTCTCTACTTCTCTCGATCGAGTAAGAACCCTAAACACTAATTCATCCCATCCTGTTCGTCGTCATCGCCTTCCTCAGCCTAGTAGCTGCCGGATCGCCTTCCTCGCTTCGTGTCTTTTTGGGAGCCCCACTGTAATCGATTCTTTCTTCGCCGCATCGTCTTCCTTGTCGACGTCGCCACACAACTCGCGTTGGTCCTCGCCGGCCTGCCTCGTCCTCGCCGTCGCCGGCTTATCCTCATCCTTGCCCGTGCTTGTCATTGCTGATCCCGCAGTTAACTCGCACTCTTGCCATTTCTACCAGTCATCCATATACATCTTTCTTAATACGAATTCCCTGCTTCTCCGGGGAAGAGCCGGCTGCCACACGATTTGACGATACCCGATCGCTAGGCCTACTTGAGGCGATCTCTTCCCTTCCTTGCGCAATTCCATGGATATGGAATCAGGTGAAGATGATCTCCTTCTCTTCTCTACTCGTCTCCACGAGCTTCTTCTGTTTGGCGTCCCGTTGGCCTTCTCGTAGGCACTCGCCCAGATATTCTCCTTTTCTGTTTCTGACAACAAGCCAATCGATTGGCGTTTGAAAATTCTAGGTTCGAATTCCGCCGATTTGTCATTGCTTCTTTCTGACTGTACTTTGCGTGGTTGAACCTATATTATGCAGTGATGGAGTTTCTAGGCGGCGTGCCTTTGCTGCAGCGGTTGCCCAGTTCTTCGCTCAAGAGAATTGCTCAGCTTGTCACGCCTCGGCACTATGGTGATTAGATTTTGTTATTTTCCTGTCTTTTTTTTTTTTTAGTTTTTACTCTGGGTTTGATCAGTTTGAGTGCAGTGTTGTTGTGGGTTATGGTCTTGAGAATGAAGCTGTTAATGTCATTCTGGGTGCTCTGCAGATAAAGGGCAGTATGTTATTCGTGAGGGCGAAGTCGGAGAAGGTGTCTATTTTATATGGGAAGGGGAGGTTAGCTTCTGCATATGTTTATTTAATTTGGTCGTTATGAAATTTCTTGCAGTCTCAACAGCTTCTTTACTTGTTTTTATGTTTCTGCTACGCTTTGGGTTTTAGGCTGAAGTTGATGGATCAGTGCATACTGAGGAAGAAAACCGTCCTGAATTTCAATTGAAACGATTTGATTACTTTGGCAATGGTACTAATGATTCTTTTTTGTTCTCTTTCCTGGAGTGAACTTACTACACCAGTTATTAGCTTAATACAGTTTTTTTGCTTCATTTCTTCCTTTCCATCCATACCGGTTTACTCTCTCTACAGAAACCTACAATATTGCCATTTTTCTTTGTTACAGTCAGAGAAATAATTCTACAAAACCTGAATTGTTCACGAACTCACTCTGCAGGTTTGTCCGTCTCAGTCCAGCAAGTAGATGTGATCGCTTTGACCAAGGTACGTGCATACTTTTCATTGTATGCCACATTCAACACTCCAGCTCCTGAAACATTGGACAAACAGGAGTAGGGCATCAACGGGAAGGACACTGAGTTTTTGGTTTCGTGTCTTTTAACAGCTCACCTGCTTAGTGCTGCCCTACGAACATTGCAGTTTGCTGCAAACAAAATCGATATGGAGAGCAGATGAGACTCATGATTCGTGCTCCCTTGTAGAGCGTATACTGCACTTGGATTCAATAGAAGTATGATCTTCACTTCCCTGGTCTTTCTTTTGCTAAGCAATAGGTATCAGATTGTTTACACATTTGTATTACAAGATAATATATGGCCATTGTTTTTGCCGACTGCATAAAGTTAGTCAATGTCTCTAGGGGATTCTTTAAGTTTTAATTTTTTCAAACACACCCAGACGACCCAAACCCACACATGCACATGTTGATATCTAGTTATCTACTATTGCTTCTTTCTTCCAATCTTCATTATTCTCCCTTTTTCTTTATTTTTTTTATTTATAATAGGTGAATCTGTTCCAAGGAATAACCTTGCCAGAGGCCCCCAAGTTCGGAAAGGTATTTGGAGGTCAGTTTGTTGGACAGGTACGTACGGATCATATTCTTGCCAACTCCTATAACCTGTGATTTTGTAGGGATGAATGTTCTGTGCGATGAGCTTGATGAACATATGGTGCTACACGCATGCTTTATCTAAATGAAAATAAATATCATGTGTTCCTAACTTACTAAAACACAGTGTGTCATGACGATTGAAATGAAAGTATGGATATGGTCTAGCTTCTTCAAGACATGTGTTTGAAAGCATTATATCTGATGAGCTTTATTGTGAATATCTTGGTTTCCTAAAAGCACTTTTAAACAACATCTTCCAAACTTGAGATGGTTGTAAGATACTACGGAAACTATTTTGTTGTGAACACCAGAATATACCCTATACCTGTAGGCTTTTACCTGTGGCACATGATCACCTAACTACTTCTTCCTTCTTGAATAAAAAGTTTTTGAATTGGTAATTTACCATTGAAAATAGATCTTGATTTTTCTACCATGTTAATGTCACTTGCAGGCACTAGCAGCAGCGTCGAAAACTGTGGATTGCCTGAAGATTGTACACAGCTTACATTCTTATTTCCTTCTTGTTGGGGATTTTGACAGTAAGTATTTTAACCTCTTTTGTGATATAAGAGTTAGCCACCATATGTCTATATCTAAACTTGAACTGTCTCACATAATAAAAGTTCCTAATGAACATTATAAAATTCACTGTGTTAGAATTTTTGAATATGGAGATTTACTCTTTCTTTTGAGGAGTTCACGTGTTTGCTTTTCTGAAAGAACAAGATTGCATGGTGCCCTGTGGCAATGTTTCGCTGTCCTTACATAACAATCTCAAACTAGTGAATTATTCCTTGTCAAAGTAACACTATATGAAGTCCGTATATAGCAGTTCATCCAAAGCATCTTATACGCCAAGGATTGGGCTTTGGTTGGTGTGAAATTGACAATTTCCTACTTGCTGGAGAATCTATGGATTTTCAGGGTGTCCACTGTACTCCTGACTCCATTACTAGTGGTCAAGTTATAGGCACATAATCATGTGTACTACTACTAATGAGAAAGGTTTAAGCTACCATCCTGTTCTTCAATGGTGTCAGTCCATTAGATTTTCCCAGCCTTTGAGGCTACCACATATGATGATCCTTCAAGGTTCAAGGAATTTCGCTTCTGAAATTGTTTGGATCTTAGGTATATAATGCAATGACTGAACAGACATATCATATGTACTAATGGGAATGGTTTAAGGTACCATCCTGTTCTTCAATAGTGTCGGTCCATTGGTTGAAGGGATTTCACTTCTGAAATTGTTGGATCTTAGGTGTATAATGAAACAACTGAACAGACATGTCATGAGTTTGGATTAATGATGTCCAGATATCTGTGGCAGATGATTTTTTAATTGTTGAATTTATACCAATTGTTATATGGATACTTTTGTAGTGCCAATTCTGTACCAAGTTCACCGCGTTCGTGATGGGAAAAGCTTTGCTACTCGCAGAGTTGATGCAATACAAAAGGGAAATGTTGTGTTCACGTTACTCGCGTCATTTCAGGTTTTTCAATTCTCTTTTCATGGAAAGTGCCACTTACAGTTATGGTTTTAACTACGAATGGGTTTCAGTTGTCGTTTTCAATGTAAACTCAAATATGTAGTCTATTAGGACATTTTAGTGGGAGCTTTAGGAGTTGTGACATTTCAACAATTATTTAATGTGGAGTTGTGGTGAATTATAGAAAGAAGAAACCGGATTCAAGCACCAGGAAGTTGCAATGCCATCTGTGCCAGATCCAGAGATGGTAAGTGGAATGTGGTTGTGTGCAATCTTTTCTAGCTGGTCTATTTGTGGCAGCTAACTTTGATTTATTGCAGCTCTTGTCATTGGAACAGTTGCGTGATAAGCGTTTAACTGATCCTCGCCTCCCTAGGTATGAGTGAAAGGTTCAATTTGTGGGTTTCTTGTGTTGAAATCATTACCATTATTTCTTAACTGCATTCACTTGATCATTGTTTTCTTCTTTATTTGACTTACTATGTATTTGCATTCTTCTATGATAAGCGTTTAACTGATCCTCGTCTCCCTAGGTGTGGGTGGAAGGTTCAATTTGTGGGTTTCTTATGTTGAAATCATTACCATTATTTCTTAACTGCCTTCACTCAATCATTTTTTTCTTCTTTATTTGGCTTACTACGTATTTGCGTTCTTCTATGATAAGCCTTAAATTTTCATTAGCCAAAATTCATGTACTTGAGTGTCCTGAATTCAATATAATTTCTGTAGAATTTATGAATGTAGGGAAAACCAGCTGCAAGGTTTTATACTTTTACCTAGTAATTGCAACCACATAAAATGAATTTGACTGACAATTCTTACCCAACAATAGTTATTGCTTTGCAAAAGGTTCTTTAACCGTCAATGTGATGCTATCAATTCTTCAAATATACAATCGTATAATAGTTTGAAGGTCTATTGGCTGTTGCAGAAGCTATAGAAACAAGGTAGCTGCTAAAGAATTTGTCCCTTGGCCAATAGAGATTAGGTTCTGCGAGCCTAGCACCCGTACCAATCAGACCAAGTCTCCTCCAAGGTACCATCACAGCTTCCTTACCTTTGATAAGTCTATATTCTGTTCTATGGAGATTATAATCGCCTGAAATTTATTGGTAATCATGAAATGCTTGCCCAGCTTGAAGTACTGGTTCAGAGCAAAAGGAAAGCTTTCAGATGATCAAGCTTTGCAAAGGCAAGTTACTCCTTTCAACCTCAACCCGAGCTCAATGAAACCTAGAAACCTTGCTATGTGATGTATAAAGATGATTCATAAACTTAACTAAAGGCTGGGGGGATTGCAGACCTTACGTTCCACTCAAAACTTAGAGTGGTGTAATATTTGCTTAATCTCCAGGTGTGTAGCAGCATTTGCTTCAGATCTCATCTTTCTTCAAGTTAGTTTGAACCCTCATCGCTATAGGGGTTTGAAGGCATCCGCTGTTAGTCTGGATCACTCGTAAGCATCCTTTGCCTGGCCAACAGTATATAACCTATTTTTTTGTTGCAATAGCGTTTCCATTGTGAAACTAAGGTTATTAGTGGAAATTCGTTAATACCTTTTGTCGGTCTTCTTCTTTTCTTAGGATGTGGTTCCATAGACCTTTCAGAGCCGACGATTGGATATTGTTTGTGGTAAGTGGTCACAGGGTCATCTCAGTTCAGATGGTCCCATGCAACAACCAGAAGTTAACATTTCAAGTGTTTGTCTTGCAGATCAAGAGCCCCGCTGCCTCCAATGCACGCGGCTTTGTGTCAGGAGATATGTTCACTAAAGGGGGAGAGGTATATGATCAATCCAATAATCTATCCTTTCTGTTATCCCCTTATCCAGTCCTTTGCTCTTATTATTTGCAGAGGACTGAACCATTTTGTTTGTTGAATTCGTGAACGCAGCACATTGTGTCGCTAACGCAAGAGGGCCTGCTTCGGAAGTATATGCCACCAAATCCAGCCACGGGCTCAAAGCTTTGAGTTAGAAGTTGTAGCGTGATGATTCAGACGAACTCATATAGAAAGACGAGGCGCCCTATACTGGTGGTTTGGTCATTGTGGGTTTAGCCACAGTTCTCCAGTTTGTCTCAGGGTTGGGAGTGTTGCTATGTAATTTGCCGGTTGAGTTGCCTATACATGTATTATTCTGGGGAATGTTGCATTGCACTCCTTGTGCTTTCTTGTGCCCCAGCCACTGACAGTTTTGAATGACGGTGTCATAAAATATAATAATCTCTCTAGTGTTTGTAATTTAAATTAATGTTTTAGAAAGCTTACCTTACTGTCCGGTTGAAACTGTTTTAGCAGGTGAAACTGTTTAACCATGGTTTTAGTACGAAATATCTTACAACTGAATTTTTTTATGACTTTCAGCACAGTTTCACATCATTGATTTAAACTCACGAAAGAGCTTCTAGCCTCATGGTTCGCCATGCAGCAATTGTACGGCTAGGCCAATTTACCAACAATCACAATTGCAACAATCACAATTGCTGAGGGGCTACTCCAATGTTGGACTACACATCGAAGCAAATCCACAGCTACCGAACTATTTAGAAGTGGTGATTAGTCAACAAGCTCGTTGTTATGATTTTGATGTGATAGGCAGTCTTGTTCTTTGAGATTGACCTCAAATGGTGTCAATTGTCATCACTACGGTATCATTTGCTTGTGGGATTTGACACCCAAATTTCAAACATAAAGGATTTGGAACTAGGGGTGAACAAACACATCCGCAAACCGGCCCACCCGTCCAACCCGACCCGTATATATCGCTAAAACGAAGGTTTTGGGTAGGGTGAGGGTTTTCTTTTGTACAACCCGCCTCTTTTGGGTTGGGTTTGGATTTTGGATTACACAACCCGTAGAACCCGACCCAACCCGTGTTCCAACTATTAGTATGAGTTCGGATCTAAAAAATATTTATGTAGTATATAGTCATATACTTATGAGAAAATTAAGATATTTCTCCATGTTTTTCTCTCATGGTCTCCCTAATCTAATGCATTCTTCGACTTAAAGTTTAGACATAAATTGAATATAGTTATGATTCACGTAATGATTTTTCTTGTGTACAATTTTAATAGAATAACATATGATGGATGCGTTTATTTATAACATTTTTGGTCCATTTCAACAAATATCGTGAAAAAAACAAGACATATGTTGAAGTAAATCACATTTTATTAAAATTTAAACAACATTTGTGAATTTTCATACCTTTCACCTTGGTTCATTCGTTTGAAATTTTAATTAGTTATAAAATATTTTTATGATGTAGAATAATTATATATTTTATGTTGGGTTGGGTTTTTACTTAAAAATATCGCCAACCCGACCCAACCCAATTAGAAACAAACCGTAGGGTTTAAATTTTTTTGGGTGGGTTTGGGTTTGATATTTCCCAAACCGTAGTGCATGGGTCGGGTGATTAAAATGACTAAACCCGAACCACCCCTATTTGGAACAACACCATTGTTTGCTAAGGGACACAAATTCGTGGGGCCACGGATTTGCAAATCCCACATTTCATTTGGGATTTGATCATGGAAGGCAAAGTTGTGAGACAAATCAATATAAATCCATGATAAAAATTAACCAAACAAACAATGTACTCTTCCAAATCCATAATGCAATAAATCCATCATAAATCCAAAGGTTTTTAAAACTCAAAACCCTCATTTTCAAATCCAGCAAGCAAACGAGCCCGACATTCAAGATTAGTTTTCATTTGAGTTTTAATGTATGGCTGATTTCTTGATTTTAGAATAGTTTTCATTTGATTTTGTGAATTGAGAAAATTGGGGTAAATGCCTCATTTGGTCACTAGGATTACTAAATCATGTCATGTCTAGTCGCTAGAAAAAATTAATATCAATTTTGGTCATTCGAATTACTGAAACATGTCACATTTAGTCACTCTCCGTTAGCCTCCGTCCAACTCCATTTAGCCTCCGTCCAACTCCATTAAATGGAGTTGGACGGAGGCTAACGGAGAGTGACTAAATGTGACATGTTTCAGTAATTTGAGTGACATTCATAAAAAAAAAAGGTAATTCGAGTGGCCGGAGTTGGACGGAGGCTAATGAGAGAGTGACTAAATGTGATATGTTTTAGTAATTCGAGTGATCAAAATTGATATTAATTTTTTCTGGTGACTAAACATGACATGATTTAGTAATCTCAGTGACCAAATGTTACATTTACCGAGAAAATTGATTGGTGGGTCAATTCACTTCTTTCATTTTGATTCCCGATTTCGGGAGTCTTCTACTTTCTATAGAACGGTTCCATCAGGAGCAAACGTGCTGGCGGATGTACGCCGACGCCGTCGTACTTCTCTCTTTATCTCTTCGACGCACTACGCGGTGAGGGCCTTTGATCTTTTGCGGTTTGATTTGCTACTTCCTTCCAAGTCTTCTTTCCCTCTCAACATTTTCCGGCCATTCCCCAATTATCTGTGATTCAACCTGAAACTCTAAACTAGGGTTTTGAGCTATTTATGTTTCTTGACCAGATGCAACGTTTGGTTAGGGTTTGTTGTTACAGTATTCAAAAGTAGGCATTAGAAAACGTTGTTCAGTTCTTGTCGATCTGTTCACTTGACATGTCCTGACACGCATTTCCCTGAGAATCGAAGAAAATGGTTCTTTTGAGATCTCCATTGGCTGGGCTAATCTGCGTATTCATTGAAGTTTTGCCCTTGACCCTACGTACGGCTGTAGAGCATCGAACAGGAACTGAAATCGGTTTCTTCGATGTGTAGTAATCAACTCTTGAAACAATTAGTGCACAGACATTTAGGATTTGAACTTTGAGTGGCTGATTCTATAGTTTGGAGCTTGGCAATGATGGTTAGGATTGGGTTTATGCTGTACCCTGTAATGTGCAGTTACAATAATGATCGAAGCTGTGCGCTGCTAACACTACACTTTTGTCGTTTTTCCTCACTTATAAGTTATATCCTCTAACATCCCAATTTGGGTTTCTCTATCCAGTGAAAAATATGGGAGATGGATGTAGGAGTACCGATCCTCTTGGAGCAGAGGACACAGAACTGCTACGTGGACTTCCTAATGACATCACTCTTTACTGTTTAGCAAGAGTGCCTCGGAAGTACCATACAGTACTGAAGTGTGTTTCCAAGAGATGGAGGGAGTTAGTGTGCAGTGAAGAGTGGCTTGATTATCGTAGGAAAAATAATCTTGCCGAGACTTGGATATATGCTCTTTGTCGTGGCACCTTTGACCAGTTGAGGCTTTACGTCCTGGATCCTAATTCTCAGAGGAGGTGTTGGAAACTCATTCCAGTGGTTCCAGACCGCTGTTTGAAGAGAAAAGGTATGGGGTTTGAAGCATTTGGAAAGAAGATTTACTTAATGGGTGGATGCGGTTGGTCAGAAGATACTACTGATGAAGTCTACTGCTACGACGTTCCAAGGAATTCATGGGCAGAAGTTACTTCCTTGTCAACTGCAAGGTACACTTTTACATTCCTTGCATTCTGCCTATTTGTTGGGGGCACCCCCTCATAGTCTAAACAGAAAGAGACTCTTTGATGTACCTAGGCTGCTGTGAATTTAGTTATCAGAACTAGGGTTGCTGACATTTAGGTAGAAGAACTAGTGCGTTTAGGGTTTGTAGCATGGTTCCATAAGCATAATAGATCACATATTGCAAACCCTTATATTGCAATCTGATGAATCTAACTGATTTACAAGCTCTCTTTATATAGAGAGAGGCTTAGTGCAAAAGAAAGGAACTAGGAAACTGAAAAAAGTAAGCCTTCTTCTAGTACTACTACTAATACTAGGAATTTAGTTACAACTCCTACCTGGAAAAGAAATTAAAGAATAATTTCTCCTAATTCATCAAAGAAGTCCTAAACCAACATGTGCAACATCAATCCTCCGAGTACTTGTTGGATAATTGTTGTATGAATTCTGAAATTCTCTAGCTTCCTTTGTGCTTGGCAGCTCTTCAAGGTTGTTCATAATAACTAACAAAAACAAGTTGTTCTTGTCATAGTGAGTGGGCCATAGATTGCATTTCTAGGGTCAATGTAGAGTGTAGCGTCATCTGGATTCCTCATCTGGATTCCCACCACCTTTGTCTTCTAGATTGTTTTATTCATGCTTTGGTGCTGTTCAGGTGTTATTTTGCTTGTGAAATTCTGGACGGCAAAATCTACGCAATTGGAGGGCTGGGTTCAAATCCGAGTGATCTCCATTCTTGGGACTGCTTTGATCCCCACACAAGTACTTGCGAATCGCACCCTTACACCAACATTTTATCTGAGATTGATGATTCCATGGTGCTGGATGAGAAGATTTACTCTCTCTGTGGTCTTTATGGCTACGCATCCCGTGTGTATGGGGTTGTTTATGACCCTTTACATGACACGTGGCAATACGCAGATGCTGATTTAGTTTCTGGTTGGCGGGGTCCAGCGGTCATCGTTGATGGTGACTTTTATGTGTTGGACCAGAGCTCAGGGACGAAGCTGATGATGTGGGATAAGCAGAAAAGGGAATGGGTTGCAGTTGGAAGGCTGTCAGCATTGCTCACAAGACCACCTTGCAGACTAGCAGCCATTGGGAAGAAGATATTTATTGTGGGCAAGGGACTATGCACTGTTGTCGTTGACATTGGCCAAACTGGGAATAATGTGGAAGGGGTGTTGGTTAGTTCTTCCATTCCTGGTTTAGATTGCCAGGATGAGATTATCAGTTGCACTTGTGTGTCGATTTGAATCCATCTTTGTTCATTGATTGTACACTGAAATATTGTATGAATGTACCAAAAAGATGAGAGATTATAAAAGTGGAGGGCAGCAAGACTTTGAGATTGAGACTTCTACATGTTACTGTAAAACAGATACTTCTGTAATCCTTGCCTGTCGGAATTCTTAGATGGGCGAAAGCATTCAGTTTGTATATTACTGTCACCGGTTGTGAAATAATGGTTTAACTGTGATTTAATCGTTTTATACAGTTAAAACTTGTCTATCAATGCAAGCTCAAGTAGGAGATTTTTCTGATCGGATTGCCGATACAAACACTATTAAAAATATGAGTTGAGTTGTGCAAGTCTTTGCCCCTAACAAATGTGACCTACAAGGGTTTTCTACTACTCAACTATCAAAGCATACAACATAATGCGCATCATCCCTAAGCTTCTGGTAATTACATATGCAGATATCAAGGAGACTTGGCTTTCACTCGGATGGAATTGGACCTGAAATGCTCTTCAATTCCAGAGACCATGGTCAGCTCGTCCTTTTCTCTCTGAAGGCAGGATGTATCTCTCCATTTGAAGACGACCCTAACATATCGATCTTAGACATACAATCTCTCATCCTCTTTAGAGCGACGGGCATACTTGATGCATTCCGAGCTACTTTATCTTTCAGTAATACCACTTTCTCAGCGGTGTGTTGATCTTCTTCAGTTGGTAATGCCGATGTACTTGCATCTGTACGAATAACACAACATTAGATGGTCTGCATTAAGCTCATTCACATCGGGGAGAAGTTTCGAGTAACATACAAAGGTCCTGACCCGGTGAAGCTCTTACAAATAGAGAAATCACAGAAGAGTAGCAGTTCACAGCCTCCACTGGTTATCAATAAATTGCATTCGGATCATAAAAGTGAATCCAAGGTAACATCAGTGTTGCCTAATTCTAAAAGTACACAAGCAGTTATCATCTTTTTATTACAAATTTGCAGTAATCATGTTCATCAGGAAACAAAGGCGATGCACATGAATTCTGCTCAAGATTCTTTACAGATCCTTCTGAAATCAGCACACAGTTCAAACCTTCGTATTGGTAAGACAATGGCACTTGCCTCATGTTACCTTAACCGGAATGTTTCATTCTAATTAGACAAGGGTATGCTATCAAACTTGAAAGATCAAAACTTTGTGCAACCTATTTCCACACATCGGCACAACAATGGACTCATCAAAAACCAACTCAACCGATCACCCACCTTAACCGGAATGTTTCATTCTAATTAGACAAGGGTATGCTATCAAACTGGAAAGATCAAAACTTTGCTCGACCTATTTCCACATATTAGCACAACAATGGACTCGTCAGAAACCAACTCAACCGATCACCCCGTACCTGGACGAAAACAAGTATATGCAGAAGAGACTTCAGACCATATGCTTCAGCAGCCATTCAGTACAGCATTTTTCTACCTAACAAAACTCTAGCTAGAAACTCAGAAGTAGAGATTTGCAACGGAAATTCAGATGGACCGGACTCTGTTGTTCCTCACAATTTCCCCCCTAAATCAAGTTAAACCTCAAAGTCAAACCTGGTGCATTAATCACACATCGAGAGATTCAAGCAGAAAGCATATCCACTGCCAATCAAAGCAGAAATGCAACCTAAATTGGGCATTCAGCTCCCCTCCAAGCGAAAATTCCAGAAACCCTAACCTGGGGCGGGCTTGCCGGAAGGACCAGGATGGGAAGACGAGGACGAATCAAATCCAGGCACAAGAGGTCTCTGGGAGGACAGAAGGGAAGCTAGAGCCGTCTTGAGCTGATCGGGAAGAGTAGCTCTGTACTGTCGAATCTTGTTAGCCATCTGCTGAACTTCTTCCGCCAACGCATCCAGCTCTTGTTCCTCAATCGGTAACTCTTCGCCTCCGGGTTCGGATCCTTCCGATGCCCGACGAGCACCCACGCCGGACCCTAAGGCTCGCTCCGGCGGTTGGTTCCGTACCATTTTGCTAGGATGACACTCTTCCGCACTGGAAGTAGCTACCAATTGCCGCTGGGAGCGAGCGAGGTAGTCTTCGTGGTACTGAAGATACATGAAGGACATGGAGATTTAGAGGAAAGAACAAATAATAAAGTTGCACGAATAGCTCATATAAAATGTAAATAGACTTAAAAGTAATGAACAGATAGATCAGTTTTTTTTTTTTTGCTGTAAAAAAAACAATTATCTAGGTAAATTTTGACCAACAAAAAAAAATACCAATAAGAATACGGTTTTTATCATTTTAGAAACATGAAATATTTAGAATTTATAATTTTAAAATATGTCCAAATGGATTGTTGTTTCAAAATCGATACTCTCGATAAAGATATTTTCGCATAAAAATGTTTGTGACGTTCTTTAATTCTCAAATATGATCAAGATAATTATCACCTATAAAAATTAATTAATTCTCTTGTGATAAAAGATCACACAAAATATAACTTATTGAGTTCTCATTTAAAAAATTATAAATTTCCGGCCAACAGGCCGGGTCGTAATATAGTAATATTTAGTGAAGTATGGATGGCGATTTCGCCTAACCTGATATGTTTGACTTGTTTTAGACGTATCACGAGTAATATCCTTTTCATAGGTGAGACGGATGATCACGACAATCATTTATTTGGCATATTCTTATTCATCCTATACGCAAGTCATTTTGTCTGAATTATATATGAAATTAAAATTTTATGTTTATTACACTACACTTTGTTGTGATAAAGTTACATATGTTTTGCTCTAATAAAATTATAAGGAGATGATAGTCTCAACTCGTATAATTTAACTTTATTTATCATATGATAGTTTTTTTTCTCGATTTTTAATGAAAATTAATGTGTCAAATGTTGTTTCTTTAAAGTAAATACTCCTATTGATCGACTTGTCGGATTCGTGCCCCAAGGTAAAGTGTTGAACTTGTCACGCAGCCGGTATGGGTAAGAAGATACCCGTCTCAATCTGTCTAATTGATTTGTCTAAATAGGAATAGCAATTTGAACCTGCCTCATCGAGTATTACCCGACGTGGCTCGCACTGGAACGGGTATTACCCGACCTACAGCAGCATTGGGACTTGGCCACTTGGGCGGGACATCGTCACATTGGCTACTACTTCATCTAAAACCCTAGTTATCTATTGAGTAATTTGTACCCAAGTCACTCATTATTAAAATTCTGCATCCATACAACCGCTAGCTTCATTTTGGAAATCTGGCACAATAAAAGCCAAGTGTGTCGACCAAACAAATACCAAGGAACATCGAATTCTCATGAGCAATTGACCATATGGGTTTGGACCATAACTTTTGGTAACCCAAGACCTGTAACCTGAGTACCTGACAGACGAAACCAAAGGTAACCTTCTCTGGAAGAAATATAGATATGAGCCTAATTTGGACCAACACTTCAGCATAAACGTGAATCCAATTGAAGCAATGTCAGTGGTGAAATGTTACCAGAGCAAAACACACATACAGTACCAGTTCAACCAATGGACCTGATTGGAGAAATGACTTCATAAAAACTTTACGTGATACCAGAATATACAATACATCCATCCAACTCTGAGCTAAGAAAGAAATGAACAAACTCAGCTGAACTATATAGCCAACCCTATAGTTCCATTTTTCTCTCCCTTTATTCATTTCTATCTTTTCTGCTGATACTTTCTAATAAATTACACACAGAGAAAGTTAATCCGTCACTCGTGGCCATTTCGAGGAAGGGATCCAAGTTGTTTGCCATCGACTACTACCCCGACGAGTCTTTCTTCGATCCAACAAAGAACTCTTTCACTGAATTCTCTGCAGATCGTATTGCCTTCTTAACCTGCATATTGCAAGGAGATAACAAGTTTAGTCAAGACAGCCAAGCAAATGAAACTGGAACAAGGGAAACGACAAGAATGGTCAGGAACAGCAAGCGAAAGTTGAGCGGATAGATAGGACCGGGACTAATTGCTCCATGAACTGCAGCATGTACAATGGGAAAAACTGTGTGAGAGGGTGGGTAAACCATGGGGAAAAAAACATTCTCAATGGAAACGTCACACTGGCAAAACTCTGCTCATTCGATAATCAGTGAAAGATGCAAGTAAAGGAAGAAACTAGGATTCTTGCAACAAGAATATGGAAATTCGGACACTCAAAGAGTACACCATTATTTACTGTGAAGTAGAATGGACGACTGAGGTTTACAACTCAATAGTAACACCGAGGATGGCGCCACCAGTACCACCAGTACCAAAGTATAATGAAGACAAACTGGAGGCTTTCCGACTACCCAGCAAAGAGAGACAACCCTAGTCCCATTTGGGGATCTTAAAGCTGGGGGAAAGATTAACCATTACGTGCTACGGACGGGGCATCAAGTAAGTCAGGCTTGCTGTTTTCCTAGTTCAGTATTCCACACAGACATATCGTCGAACACATGGAAGCCAGAAGCAATCATGGTAAATTTCGGCAATCACTTGGATGGAGAACACTTATTCTGATAAATCGATGAAAGACGCAACTAAAGGATGAAACTTGGATAGAGGGTGCTCCTCATAATTCACTTACCGGATCAAGAACATTGGGCTCGGGGCCGTAGTCAGCAGTTAAGAGGAAATAAGAAGCGACGACGGTGGCCACCATTGTTGTCCTCCTCACTATCTTATCCACTCCAGGATTCATTTCTAACCCCTAATTACTTTACCGCTCACGAAAGAAAGAACACCACTTCCCGCGATTTATCCTTCAACGGCCGATCCGATTTAGGGTTCGGAACTGATTTGAGGAACTGATACTGTTGCAACCGCAAGACGAGTTAGACTTAGAACACATGAGAAGCTTACATTTTCGAATTTTTAAAATTTTCCGTTTTTCAGTTGGAGAACCCAGACTGGACTGGGCTCGTGCTCGTGCTCGATAATCTAGTATGGGCTTTTATCTCTTTCTGGTTTTCTTACTTGGACAATCCATTCATTAGCCCGATCCGATTCAAGGCAAGGGTTCTCGTTCTCGTTTACCTTACAACACCTTTGTGGTTAGAATCGAATCGGAGTATAAACCGATATAGCAAACAGTTTATATTTTAGTTTTCTAACCGATGTTAAACCGTTAAAAGTACGTTAATGAACTGATAATCCATAAACAAAATTATTATAAATAGACACATATAATAACTCATTTGATACGAACACGGATCCGACACTTGTAGTTATCAAAGTAACGCAGCTTCAAGATCAAGAATTTTTAGGATTTTTATTTGGGATAAAATAGAATTGAAAGTATAATCACAAAGATGAGAGAAGGCTCTATAAAGGATAAGAATCTCTACCACAATCAAGGGGAAAATTTGATTGATACAGAAAACAATTCACAAGTCTAAAGCTCAATAAACTAAGATAAAAATCAATATTCTTCAAAACTAACTAAAATGTGTGTCTTTAGCCCTTATATAGTCTAGTCCAAGGCAAATAAAATAACCAAAACAAACAAGGAAAATGTATCTTTCATCCGCCCAGGACCGATCCCAGGTCGGACGTCATATTCGCCGGTCGGCACTCTCCCTCCCTCTAAGCGGGGATTCCCCTTCTCGCTATCCCGTTGTCTCTCTCTTGCTCGGTCAGCCGCAATTGCATCAGTCCCTTCCTGTTGAATAAGATGAGTTCTACTCTCGTCCTCCGACTTTGAGCCACTTGTATTTTCTTTCTCCTTCACCAAGTCGTTGATCTTCGCAAACTTTAGCGGGCGACAACTGTTTCAGCAAGAGCTTTTGTTTGCATTGTTGGAACCGATAGTTATTTTTCCTTCCGTCGTGAGTAACTCCAATATCATATTGCCACAGACGGCCCAATAATAGATGAGTTGTATTGGAGCAACATCACACCAGACTTCATTTGCATACTCACCAATATGAAATCGAGCCTTGGCCATCTTGTTAACCTTGATGGCTCCATAATCTTTCAACCAATGAAGGTTGTAAGGCTGTGGATGCTTAACAGTACTCAATCTCAGCTTCTTAACTACATCAAAACTCACTATATTGGTGGAGCTACCACCATCGAGCATCATAGACAACAACTTTCCGTCCATCATGCAACCTATAAATAAAATGACGTTGTTTTAGTAAATTTAATTAATAAAAAATTATTAATTTCATTAATTTAAAAGTTGAATATTGATATTATTTTACTAGATTTCATATTAAATTTTCGGTGTTAACACTAAATATTTTACTTAAATATTAATATATATGGTAAGTAAATACTTTTCAAATATATTTTGTATATGCTTACAATTATTTATTGTTAATAATTTTTTATATATTATACGTTTTATGAAATCGAGACTAGCCGGTACAAATAAATTATACCACTAATTGAATCATAACACTTGCTAAACCTTCAACTCAAAAAAAAAAAAACACTTGCTAAACCTTTACTGTAATATAAATCGGTTTGACAATCTTCAAAATTAGAGAAGATAACGTAAAAGGACAAAAGAGTAACTTTGATGTTCTTAGACGATATATAACAATTTTCAGAGCAGTTAAATCAACACCCTCTCCTTTTCCACCTCGACTAGTCCACCGGAACTCGCTCCGATCTCGCTCGCGTGGCCGAAAAGCAAAGAGAGAGAGAGAGAGAGAGAGGACAATCAATCACCGTTTGAAAATCTAAATCCATGGAAGGAACATCAGCAGATCAGGAAACCGCACCCCGAATCCCGAATTTCGGTGTCACCGCCCCAACTCCAATCCCATTTCACGCCGCCGTTCCTCCTCCTCCTCCGCCGCAGTCAATGACCGCTCCACCGCCGCCTATTCTTCCTCACCGTCATCAACAAACTCCACCTCAAACAGCAGGCCCGCCGCCGCCGCCGACTTTCAGCAGGAAAAGGGGACCTGAGAGTGATGGCGGAAGCTACTTCAAGATTCGGGCCGTGATCAAAGATATTCGTCCCCATTTACTCGAGGTACAGTTCTTGGTGGTCCACTAACTGTGCGGGACAAAAATTCCGTCTTTCTTGATGATTAGTTTCTGGGTTTGTTGAAATGGTGGGAAACTAGAACCCCCACCATTGCATTAGGTTTGTTGAAATTGGGTTGACTTGGGTTAGTTGAAAGCAGTAGGAATTCGTGTTGAGAGAAGAGAGAAATCAGTACTGAATTTTCTGCTATGTTGTCTTGAAGGTTATTCGGACGGCTGATTTTAGGAGCTGCAAAGGAGCTCATCAGATACAAGAAAGTAAGGATGGCAGCAGTTCCCCATTTCTTGAATTCGTGAACTCAATTGATAGTTAGTCTGGTAGTAAGCGTTTCTCCTTGGTTGGGCTGATTTGTGGGTTGCTGCAGAGCTGAAGCTGCTGATGGAATTATGCAAGCAGATGACAGCAGAGACGGGTGGGAATTATGGCAAGTCTAGATTTGCAGCTCAAAATGGGGGCGCCCAAGACATCTATGCAAAACCATCTGACGACAGAATCTTCAACAAGGTTGTAGTCACCGAAAGGCCCGAAAACTACCAGAATCAACTTGTTGGATCATCGGCTTTCGGCTGGAACTTCATTACTCACCCTGGTTGCAGCGAACCGGTCTACTACGGAAGAACGAAAGAATCATTTCGAGCTGCTCGGTTAGCAGCAGCTGCTGCTGCACCATGATCCGATCCAACTCATGTGCAGTGTATACTCGCGCGATGGACAGATGGAGTGTTTGCTAACGGATCCGAATGACCCATTGTTGTTCCTTTGTATGGTTGAAAATGGCTCCTTAGAGATCTCTTGGCACATTGTAAAATTTTGTGATTCGTCTGTAGTGTATTGTTGTAGTTAGTTTTACATGACTAACTTGGAACCTCAAGAGGGTTTGAAATCTTTCAATAGTCAAATCCCTTTTACTATTTTTGTGTGGGGGCTACGGAATTACAACCTTCTCATACAAACCTGCAGCTCTTTAATTTCGTGTTTGTTGCTGTTTCCATCTCCCACTTTCTTACCAAAAAATAAGATAAACAAATAACATATTTCTCTCTGAAATTCAATACAAAGAACACACAATGGACCAGACAAAACAGCAGGAAAGAACAAGGCAGCTCGAGCAAATAACTTCAGTGGAACCTGCAGTACGGGCCTTCCATATTTTCAGACTTGCCTTGAGAAGGAAGCAAGAGTTGAGAAGATACATTAGATCACACAAACCACACCATGAGCTTTCATCACTTCTGTTCAGAATTTTGAACTCTTAAAGCTTCAAGACTTGTGCCCTCTTTCAGTGCCATCTGAGCTTCATTTTCTCTTCCAAGCGCATCAAGTGCGATGCCTTGAAGATAGGAGGCAACATGCCATACAGGAGAAATGATTTGGGCTTGTATGGCATCGCCTAGAGCTTCTTGAGGCCTGTCGGTCATGAGATAACACAGGCTACGCCTTGCATACAAAGTTGGAGAAACCATGGTTCCAGCATCAACAAACTGCAAGTCCTCAAGCAGAAGAAGTATTGTTCAAAAGCTAAGTTTCAGTTACATTTCAGAGTCAAAGAAACAAATATCATGGTGGAGGAGACAAAAACCTGTGTATAACAGTCGATTGCTTCCTTGAAAACCTTCTGCTTAAAAGCTGCATCGCCCTTCTTCTTTGTGTTTAAAGTTTCTTGCATTTCATCAGTCCAAAGATGGAAAGAGAGCTGCACCACAACCAAAAGGAAGGAAAAGAGACGGGGGGCTTCTATTTAAGCTGGCTGCTTTCATGTTGAGTGTAATGATGCGGCAGAATGTAAGCCAAGCTAAGTTTAAAGAAAATAGAGAACCTCGTTAGTCACTCCTTCGTCATCTTTGTAGCCAAGCTTATCGAAGATCTCATGAACAGCTGTCAGGTCTTTTCTAGAGCAAGCATCACCAAATGAGGATAAAGGAGACACTGATTCACTGCTTGGCATACCCATCAAGACATGAGAAGGAACCTGCAACCAAGAACAAAAACAGACGTTTGAGAACTGCAGCAACCAAAAAATTGCAAGCTTTTCTCAGCCACGTTCCAGGCAAAACCTTAGTCTTGACTTTGTTTCTCTGTAGATTGTTTCCATATTGCAGCTGGATTTCGATCCAGGAACCTATCAAAAGTTCTGCTTTGAAATCCACCAAAATACTTTGAGACAATCATGACTCACATCTGTTTCCTTCTGGAGACGAATCAAAGCAGGGACTAATACTTTGAGGCTGGGTCGTTCTCGGAGTTCAGATTGTAGACATCGAGAAGCCAAACGCACCAACTCTGTGCCATCGTCGTTGGAGAATTGCCCTTCCAAGCAAGAATCAGTTAACATTTGAAGATTCCTGTCGCGTATTAAGTCGAGAGCCTGAAGCATATTAATTGACCATTAGTTCATAGACAAGCTTGCAATGCAAGTTGTTTTTCGTACTCCTAGTATTTTTCTTATTACTCGAAAAGAAATATCAAGCACGAGATACATAACTGTGCAATTTGGATAGTGAAAATCCAAATGTCGGTCCACAAAGAACAATAAGAACTTCAGCCTAACATTTTAGTTTCCAAAGGCTTACATGGCTTGGGGGAATATGCTTTCCGCTGAGAAGGTCAAGCAAAAGAGTGCCAAAGCTATATATGACACTCTCTGGCATAATCCTCCCTGCGTATGACAACGAGAAACATCAAACAGTGTTTTGCCAGATTTGTTCTTACAGAACTGTAGTGGTTTGCATAATATCTATTTGACGACCAGAAAGTGATGCAGTACCCATTTAATGGCGATTTTTGAACCATGCAGAAATATGACTTAAGGGACATTTCCTCTCTATAAGTAGATTAGAAACAATGCCGACAGCCACATTTAGCACAATTGCTATCCTATCATGTGCTGTACACCCATCAATGCAAGTCAGCCAAAACCAGCCTCCTCATTTGAAATGAGGGAAATTAACTCCTTATGTAACGCCTTAAATGAAGACAAAGACAAAACTATTCCATTTCAACAAAGAGGGGAGAATAGTTCCAACGATTCACACACACCAATCTAAACATTCGGTTTTGGGCAAACATCCAAAGTACCCAATGGAGACCAGACGAGAAAGCCGTCAACTTTGACATTAAACAAAGTGGGGTCTGCATTTGAATAAGAAATGTAAACCCTAGCAGATCTACAAAGAATGGGAGAATGAAATTGGAACATTTATTGTTCAAGAACCACCTACCTGTTCTCAGATATTCAGGGGGTGTAAATGCCAGGTTAGTACTGTAACTTTTGCCATCCCGGCTGTTCTTCATCAAACCAAAGGTTGATAGTCTTGGATTAGCATCCTGTATAACCCCAAAAGTGGTTAAATTCTGGATACACCATGATGAAATGGCTTCACGTCACACACACATGCAGCAAAAGAAAACGTAAACAGGAAATACCCCATCAAACAAAATTCTGTAGGCGTTAAGATCGTGATAAAGCGTACGCCCTTTGCTTGTGCAGTACTCTAGAGCTTCTGCAAGGTGGAGAACAACCCTCAACCGCATTGCCCACTTCATAGGCTGTGCTTCCCCTGGTTCAGAACATCCATCAACCTTGTCAACATACTCAAATGCATCACACAAGGAAGTAAGTTAGGTTGTAGCAAAGAAGAATCCCTCACAATGGAAAAGATGCTTTGCTAGTGTATCGTTTGGCATGAATTCTGCAACGAGTATCCTTTCATCACCTTCACAACAGTAACCAACCAAATTCGCCAGTCTATGGCTGCGGAGCTGCCCAACAGATCTTGCCTCTTCCTGTTATCATTACAAAACATGGAAAAGCGAAATTTTGATGGAAGGAAGAAGGGTATATCCGGATTCCGGTCAAGCTAGCAACCCATGAAAGTTTTGGGAAAAAGAGCAAATCTATCCCACCCCCGATATGCCAAGAAGTTTGTGATCCGAGAATAAAGAAAGTGGGAGCGAAAAAGCAAGTCAATTGTTACCACAAATTGGCGAGCATCAGCCCAGGCCATCCTGTTGAAGCGCTTGATAGCAATTTTGGTCTGGTTTTCAAGCTTCCCTTTGTAGACAACGTTTGGAGCCTTCTCTCCATGTTCAGAAACGATGTTTTCTCCAGCGAAGCCGGAGGAGGCGTTCTTGAGTTGCTCGAATGTGAACTCCCTGAAAGCAGGCCAGTAATCAGCTCCATTCTCCTCTACATTCCCTGCCTCCCCCAGAAATCCCAAACAAGCACATACACACAGACATCCAAACACACAAGTTGGAAACGGGAAACAAATCAAACAACAAGAGGCAGCCAAAACACAGAATACGATGGAAAATTGAATTGGGTTATGAGTAAAACAGCGCACCAGCATCAGCAACTTCAAGAACCGCTGCTTTGGACTGTGACTCACTGCAACACGGCGGGAGAAGCGTGGAACACTGGCTGCCCATCTCAGTAGCAAAAGTAAAAGGAGGATCGAGAAATTGGGCAACTCTCTTTTTCTCAATCTCCTGCTTTCTTCTCTCTGTCAATCGTTACAGTACACTGACTGAAAGCTTATTGTGAAGCTAAAAAGAGCAGCAAAAGTTGCTGGAGGGATCCCAGATCAAAAGGGTATATGTGTATACAAAGAGGGAGGAGCCTTTTTTTCCCCTTTTCCAGTGGATCAAATCATCAGTAGTGTGGCCATGGAAGGGAGATGCACGTTCTGTTCTGTTCTGTCGCTCTACCTCCCCCTTCCCTTTCGCCGCGCAATAAACTAATGGAACCCAGACAAACTGGGGGAAAAAGAAGATGGACGAAAACAAAATAGAGCGGAACGTGGAGCAGGGCATCAATTGGATATTTGATTATAGATAGATATAATAAAAAGATGGAAGGAAGACGATCGGAGCTAGCCGTTAAGATCTCTATGTCTGTGAGAAATGAGAAGTCAAGCAAAGAACAACAAAAAAAAAAAATTTGAAATTGCAGAATAAGACTCGAGAATGTCAATTTTCCTCTTTGGCAGGAAGACTTTGTGTAGAAGAAGTTGCAACAGAGGAACATGTAGTTATGGAAATGCACTGTGACTTGTTGTAAGCTTTGAAGGGTGGTGCGCCGCTGGAAGGTTTGGCGCGACGCGGGTTGGGATGGAATAGGAACTTGGCTTCGTTCATGGAACCATTAGGAGAGAAAAGAAAGGGAGGGAGTTTGAGTTGACAGCAAGAAAGCGGGGCCAACATTCCAAAAGCCACAAATTTCGTAAAGATTATTGATATGTCATTGGTATATATAATATCTTGCTATATTGTTTTATCAAGTATGTTTTTTTCTATTATGTTTTCATCAAATATGGTATTGTATCATAAAATATTATATATTAACAATTGTGTCATTCTGTTAAAATCTTCGTCTAAAACTGTTAACTATGGTCAGACTACGGTTTAAGAAACTTGATGAGCGATGGAAAGGTCCAAATCACCCCTCATTGTAATTGTATTCTTCGCTCTGTTATTCTCCGCATTAGTGCTTTTACAGGGAAACTCTTCTGTCCCCGCTTACCCCATCTCACCCTCCATCGAATTCCATTGTCGCCATCCCTCATTGTCGTCGTCGGATCGCTGACAGTAGATCCAACAACTCCCATTTTCAGCATCTACTTTCCCTTCCCCTTTCTCGTTCCCCCATATTCACGAGAAATTACAATTTCTCGCGAATCCGAGGGAACGCAAACCCTATGACAATGGTTTTGATGCGAAAACCTAGAAGTCTTAGATTTGTCTCATTACATCAAACTGCTTATAAAGCTAGAATTTTGTGGTTACATAGGACCAATTAAGCTTTACCGTTCAAGGGAAGAAGATAGACTTGGACTAGAAGAAAGTACAGGCTGAAAATAGAATAAGGAACGAATTAACAACTTAAGATATGTTATGATAGTTTTCCAGAAACAACGTCACTCCAACTTCCACGACTTGTTGTAGGCGCAACAGTCACTTTCTCTTATAGTCAGGGTTCGAATTGTGCTAGCAGAGATTCCATACACTGAGCTTGGAGAGAAGATGGGAGAAGGTCGTCAGAGGCAATGGCTTGGTAAATGTAGCTGCTAGCTGGTGGAAGTTGGAGACATGAAGTATCTAGATTGTCTGGGATTGAAGCTTCTCTCAAACGAAGTAATAGTCGAGCTCAATGTGCTAGGTGCCCTTGTGGAAAGTTGGTTCTCGACAATGTAGATGGTTGATTGGTTGTCGTAATAAAAGACTGTTGGTTGTGGATGACTGATTTGGAGACCTTGAGTAGGTAAAAGAGCCATAGCATTTCACAACTTGCGTAGGCTAATGCCCAATATTATGATTCACAACGGGAGATTGTTGTTCGCTTTTTGCTCTTCTAGAAAAATAGGGGAATCACCATTCACCAAAGTAAACACAGTAGTCAGTGATTGAGCGACGAGTGTCAACACAAGCAACCCAGTCTGAGTCATTGAAGGCTTTCAAATGTAAGGAGGAGATTGCAGAGAAGAATATGCCATTTGAAGGTGTTGTCTTCAGGTATCTCAAATCCGAAGTACAAGCTTGTAGTGAGATATACTAGGATTATTCATGTACTGACTTACCTGTTGAGTAGCATAATTGATGTCATGCCTCATTGTAGTGCGGTAGACTAGGATATAAATTCAGCTTGCATCTTGATTTTTTTAAAATAAGAATACCGATACTACCAAGTAAATTAAAAATTATTATTGCAGTAACAACGCCCTACAACCCACAATTCTACTTAATTTTCCTTTAATTTTGGGTACCCAAATCGTTCCTTCTTTGTAGGGGTGTACATGGATCGGATGGTCTGGAATTAGCCATTTTAATCACACGAGCCTTGCACTACGGTTTTGAAAAACACTAAATCCAAACCCATCCAAAAAATTAGAACTCTACGTTTTGGTTATAATTGGGTTGGGCCGGTGGCCGATACTTTTAAGTTAAAACCCAACCCAACACAAAAAAGTAATTATTCTACACCATAAAAACATTATATAACTACTTAAAATTTCAAACGAATAAACCGAGTTGAAAAGTCATATGCCTAGATTTTCTCACAAACATGGGTCGAAATAAGCTAAAGAGGTTATAAATGAATGCATCCATAATATGTTATCCTTTTAAAATTTTACACAAGACAAAAATTATGTGAATCATATCGTATTTAAAATCTATATCTAAATTTTAAGTCAAAGATTCATTAGGTTAGGGAGACCACGAAAATATATGGCAAAATATCTTAATTTTCTCATAAATTTGCTTATATATGACACAAGTATGTTTTGGATACGAACACTCATGCATAGTTTGCCTTATTTGGTTTTGATGATAGTTTTTTTTTGCATTCAAAAAGTTGTATTCCTTTTTATACGAAAATATCACTTTTACATTTATTTTTATGGGTTATCACTAAAAACAAAATTGAATTCACTAGTTTGTAGTAATTCAGTGTATAACAATAACACACACAAAATTGATGAACACCGCTTTTCATTGAAGTCAATTTCTACCCCTCTTTAAGCAATGGAGATAGCCACATGTATTCTACTCGAGGATACATACACTAATTGCATATGCTAGACCAGTGACGAGACTAAGGAGGCTATATCAATGATGAAATATTGAAGGGAGAAAGCGTGTCAAATTGAGCGGGTAGTAGATACATCCACGAAAAAAGTGGATGGAACTAAGCATAGATGTTCTTAGGAAAAAAAAATGAGAGAGGAATAAGATAAATAACTAGAGATATAATTGAAACAAAAAAGAATAAAAAAATCCTCACTAAACCATCTCAACAATCTCAAATTTTACTTGAGATATTAATATCAGTCATTTTCAGTAATTCTTTCCATCACATCAACAAAAGAATTAATGCATTGTTGAAGAAAAAAATCCAAAAAATAATGCTTTGTTAACAATGCACACATCATAATACTCTCACTTATACTATCACCAAAACCAAACGACTCCTTAGCGATAAATTAGGGTGGATTGAGTCGGCTTGATCGAGTGAGTCGGTTTTCTGGTGTTTTTGGGGCTAGGTTCAGGTCCTTAAGCCACCAAATTTAAGAAGTTGCTTAAATTATTCTCATTGGCTAATAGAAAATTGGACAGGTAATAATTGGTTAGTAGTTATTGAGCGGGTAAGGGTAATTAAGGTATTAGCGTGGTTTTTAATGAATTAATAGTGGCCACAATTGTGAGGGTTTTCTATTAATTAATAATTAGTTTTGCATATGTAGCTTTGAATTCTTTCCTCCCACGTATCTCTATGAATTGTCTATGTTGCCGCCGATTGTTCATATCGCCACAGTCGCCGTCGATTTTTCCTGTCCTGCCAAGTCTGCCTGTTGCTGTCGGGTTTGCTTGCGCCGCTGAGTCCTGTCCGCCAAGCAAGAATCTTCGTCCAGAAAGCCGTCAGCGCCTCGTCGCTTCTTTTCGCAGTCGGCGCAACAACAGGTCGCCGAGAAGTGGCGCTTACATTCAATCACGAGCTCTCCTGCTGTCTTTGCCTTTTAGCCGGAGAAGTTTTGGTTTTGACCCACTATATTCCTTTGTAGTTATTAAATCTCATCATTGTAAACATCTTGTTTTTACTTTGTCATAGTAGTTTCCACAATGCAAGTTTGTTCACGATTGTCAGTCGTTTGTAACATTGAGATGATGATTATTAACCTTTCATAGCATATTATTAACATTTTTATCAATCGCATGATATGAATAACTTAACTACATGGATTAGTAATGCTTTTGGCGATGATTTTTAATGAAAATCATCACAAGAATTAACGTTTTTAATGGTTTTGTGTAACTAGACTTGAGGTCATTCATAGTTTGATGGATGAGTTTTTTTTTCAATGAAATACACTCGACTTTAACGTTTTTGAATTGTCTTTGTCAAATAACCTTGTGTTAGTTGACAAATAATGGTGAATCAAGCAATTAGTAACAATTATTCGTAGATCGTCAACGAAATACACAGAAAACTTTTGCTACGTATTATCCTTAAATAATTTTTTGGTGTTTGTTAACAGTTTTAGGCTCATTGTTAACAATCTAGCGTGATGTTATCAATGTTGATGTAATGTAATGTAATTGTTATTAACGTTAACAATTATGAGAAATTTAATTGTTAACATTTTTCGGCCCATTTTTGACAATCTAATGCAATATTATCAACAGTTATGCTATGTATCACTAACGATAACAAAATCATTATTGACGTTACGTTGATAATTTTGTTACTTACGGAAATATTGTTAACAATACCTCATCGTTTGTTATCTTAAATCATGGAACTTTAACGGTTACAACTTACAAGCAATTCAGATATTAACGGTTCTTGGGCCATTGTTAACAATATTTTGTTCTATTAACAATGCTTATGGAATGTATCATTAACGTTATAAATTAGTATTATTAACATTCACAAATCGTTATAGGGCTATTTATAAAAATCATTATTAATGATAACTCATCATTTTTCAACCAAAAGCATAAAATATTAACAACATATATAAAGGGCAAGAGTACGCCAGCTGCAAATCATGTGGCCTCCCTCGTCGAAATTGCTACGTTGCGGTTGTGTGTGGGATTAGTTTTTTTTTTTCGAACGAAGAAAGAGGCGGTTGTTGCAATGGTAAGTGGCGTGTTTGTAGCCAATTAAGCATTTTTCCAGCAATAAATATAATTATTAATAACTTTAAATAATTAAGCAAACTTCCTCATTTATCCTTTTTGTTAGTTACGCTCTCTCTCCTCTTCCTATTGGCCAGCCAAAGTTTAAGGAACTCCTTAAGTTTGGGGCTTAAGGATGGGATCCAACCCGGTGTTTTTGTTCACCCCCAAGGCCCCAACTTCTTTATCTGCGATTGGGCCATGGTCCTCCCCGTCCCCGACTCCTCTGGATCCATCCCATGTGGGCTGCTTGAAGTTCAAATATTGGGAGTGGGCCCTTGTCAACAAATAAAATAGAAAAAAAAAACAAAACTGCGGTGGCCCGTTTGGTGAAATTTCATCGATTCGGCCGAGCGGAGAAGAATCAAATCAATAAACTCTCTCGTATCTATTCTAGGGTTAGGGGTTTTCTGCGCCAAGAGCATAGATTAGAACCACAGCAGGGTATCGAGAAATGTCGAAGAAGAACAATTTGTCCAAGAGAAAGAAACAGTATGAGTTCGAGCTGCAGAGTGAGTTTCTCTCTTCTTCCTCTTTCTTTGTTGCCCAATCCTAATTCAATTTCCGCCGTTCCCTTTCGGTTATTAGTTGCTGTATGTAGTTTGCGGTTATTGATCTGGGTTAGAATCGTTATTTGTTTAGGAGAAAAGGAGGAGAGGGAGAAGCAGAAGAAGAAGCTCCAAGCAAAGAAGAACAAGATGAAAGTAAGCTCCGTTATTTTTTGCCCTTGTCGAAGGTTTTTGTTTTGTTTCGTTTTGTATTTCGCTTGTTGGTTAACTTTATGGGATATTCTGAATTACAGTGTGGTAAAGCTAGTAATTGGGTGGTTTTTTTTTTCTGTTGCAGGTTGATGGTAGTGGGAAGACGAAGAAGAAGAAAGGTAGTAGCGGGTTTCAGGTTGGGAAGAAGAAGAAGAAGTTGAAGACCAAATTGACTGCAACTGCAAAAGCTAAAGCTGCTCAGGCCATGGAGCTTGACAAGTAGGAAGAGAAAAAAGAAATGAACTTTATGTACTGTGAGGTTTGTTCTCTGTTCTGATTCTAACTAGTTATTTAGGAGAATGCTTTCCTTGCCTGTTCTGTGTGTGTGCCTTGTGGAAATGGACGTTTTGAGAGGTAGTTCGAAGTTCAATGAGGATGGTGCATTCTTCTTTCGTTCTTTCTCTGCAAGTCGCGTCGTAGTTTGTTGTACATTGTCTTGTGTTGTTTGGTTGAAACAAACTCCTTCCAAATCGAACAACGAGCATACTGGGTAATAGTATACAGCGTCTGGAAAATTTATCTCTGCTTTCTTTTCTTGTTGGTTCATCTTGCCCTTTTTTTCAGGCTGAAGGCCAACAAGCTAAGGTTCATCGTCATCTATGTTTGTTGCGGCTTGGTTTATATTCCGAATATCAGGTTGCAATTCCCAAACGAGGTAGCTACTACGTAACATTGTTAGTCAAAGTTCAGGATTTCCGTGTTTTGAAAACTAGCAATTCTTAGCTAGGTTCTGGTATCCCAGTTGAGCTTGGTAGTGCTTCCCTTCTCCTTCATGACAGAACCCTAGAAACATTGCATTTCCCCCCGCAACAGGGTGATTGCGAGATTTAGCAAATCTCATTGCAGTTTTTCATCCAGATATGCAGCGATTGTAATCCAGGGTCTGAGATTATTAGTCGTTCTTTTAGAATTTTGTTGATTTACTACTCCCAATTCCGAGGGGTTGGAAGTTGAGTTGTGCACGAGGTCGTTCTACTCTTTCTCCTTGCTGACAGTCGAGTCGCGACAGATAATAAGTCCTCCCCTGGATACAAGTTACCTGCATACATACTTGATACTCCTAGAACCATGGTGAGAGTGTGTCCGTGTGTTTAGGTTAAGAAACAAGTCCAACAAGGGAACTTGTTTGCCCTCATGGCTGGCTTGGCAAGACGAAGGTGCTTAAAAACTCGACTGCCATGCTTAAGAGCAAAAGAGCACTTGTAATTTCCCACGTCACAAACGTGTGAAACATTGGCTGGGAATGGATGAGTAAAATAACAACCTCGTACGCTCTCACCGCAGGTGTTCAAGCAAGTTGCCAAGTAATGCTCGAGAATTATTAGACAATTTTTCCTCCTCTTTTTTATTAGCCACATTGTGTTAGTTAACCATGTAAATCCGTGTGTTGTGTTTCGTTATTGCTTTCGTATTCTTACTTTATCGTTACTCCTATTTCCTTATCCGGAGAGAAACAGTCGTGACACCAAGGAAGTCAGATTGTTCTTTCCCGTCGTCGAAGGGGAGGAAGAGATTGAAGTCTTTGCATATGCGGATTATAATGGTTGTCTAGATACGAGGAGATCCACGTCAGGATGGTTGTCTGGATATGCGGATTATAATGATCGAATTTCCTCGAACTAAAATAACTTAATCAACACTTAAAATCGTTTCGAATAAAATTGATTTTGACCCTATCCTGATTTTTAGATCCAAATTATCCGTTTTTCTGGATTTCGATTTCATACTGTTCCCACGTAGGAATGTGGATATGATGGAGGAGATGAAGCTGGTGGGGCAACGTGATGGCTACTTCAAGTCAATTGTTGTGCTATAACGGATAACAATTAAAGATATTTCGATAATCGATTTGTTGTACATGTCATTAAATTCTAAAATATTACGAAGTATATAATGTAAAATTACCTAAACTGCAGAGCAGCAGGCGCGTCAACATATATTGTCATATTTGTTATTTTTTTTTCCGGGATTATTATTACTATTCCCTTCCGATTGGATTTCGAAAAAAATATATAAAGAAGAAATAAAAAGATTTGAAAAGAAATCCACGAAATGATCAGCGAATATAAACAATAAAAAAAGTAAGTAGGAACGGACAAAAAAGAGAAAATAATCGTCATAGTCTGAAACTGAAACTGGAAAACAGAGGGAAAAAGGGAATAAAATAAAAAGAAAAATAGAAACGGAAGAGGCAGATAAAGAGAAAAAGAGGAAAACAGTGAAAATTTTGGATTTTAATTTAATTTTGTTTTGGTATTATATAGAAATACATGCGTTGCGATAAGGACCAGTGTCAATGAGCAATTTACTTCACACCTAAGACCTTCTCTCTCTCTCTCTCTGTCTATCTATCTCTTGGTCTTTGGATGACACCCGCTCGTCTTCTTCTTCCTTCTCTCTTGCCTTTTCTTTTCCATCTTCTTCTTCCTGTACGTTCACTTCTTCTCCTCCTGCTGCTTCCCACTGTCTCTTCGCCTTAATTGCGAGCGCCATAGAGGGAGTGAGAGAGACAAATAAAAAAAAAAGAAGAAAAAGAGCAGAGCTGTTTTACTGCAGGAAAGTGTTTGGCTTTTGAACTTCTCTCTCTCTCTCTCCTCACTCTGGTCTTCTCTTTGGCCATTGTTCATCACAACCACTCTACCAGCCCCCTTTTTCTTTTTTCTCTTTGTTTTTTGAGATCTGGGTTTCTGGGTTTCGAGAAGGAAGACAGAGAGGTAAACCACATTGGCCGTAAAGTTTGAAACCTTTTGGGGGGGAAGAAGAGAGAGAAGCTTGATGTTGAAGATTATATGATGATGGTGGTGGTGGTAGAGTGATTCATGAGTGAAAATGGGTTGGTTGGTTTGTCACTGAGAGAGAGACTGTGGAGTCACACTTCCCTTCCTTCTCTTTACCTTCGAACTGAAGCCTTTTTCTCCCCATCTTTCCCTTTCTCAGTAGCTTTCTTCTTCCTACTCTCTTTTTTTTGCATTTTTGTTTCTTCTTCCTCGCCCTATCGCCTTTGGGTTTTGGTAACCTGTAGAAATTAACTTGCATTTTTGTCTCTTTATTGTCCCCTTTTTTTCCTCTGTAACTTTCCCTCCTTCCTCTGCTTTCTCCGCCTTCCTAGATCCACACCCCACTCCAATTTCAACTGCATTTTGGGGTCAGTAAATGAATGGATTGCTCCGGGCCAGCTTCATTCTATATGCAGCAGAGAGGGATTGGCGGTTCGGGTCCAACCGGGCCACAGTCGGGTCTCAATGTCTCCCCTTCCGGCGCCATGAACCCTCTTTCCAACGCGGCCGTGCAGTTCCAGTCCAACATGGGTGGTGGTGGTGGTGGCAGCTCAATTGGGTCAGCAATGCCAATGGAGCAGCAGCAGCAGCAGCAAGCTTCAATGTCGCCGCTTAACGTCGGCCCAACTTCGGCGGTGGCCCCAATTGGGGAGCCGGTGGTGAAGAGGAAAAGAGGGAGGCCGAGGAAATATGGTCCCGATGGGACTGCTTCACTGGCATTGTCGCCTTCACTCTCCACTCATCCTGGCACCATAACCCCAGCCACCACTACCCAGAGGCGAGGCAGAGGCCGCCCTCCTGGCAGCGGCAAGAAGCAGCAACAGTTGGCTTCTGCTGCTGCTCCTCCTCTTGGTATATGATTCATTTTCCCCCCCATTGTCTCCAAATCTGTTCTTCACTGTGGGTATTTGACTTGGAATAATGATGCTAATGGTTTGTTTGTTTGTTTTGTGGAATAGGCGACTGGATATCAGGCTCGGCTGGGATTGGTTTCACTCCACACATAATCACCGTGGCAATGGGAGAAGTAAGCCTGTAACTCTGTTGTGCAGCTTGTTGTCTTCTTGATGCTATCTATAGTGGTTATCTGAATGGAGTGAAAGATTCACATTGGCGAATCATGTCGAAATGAGATCATTTGTTCTTGACCATTTGGTTAACTTGCATTGCTTGTATCAGATTGGCTTCAATGTAAGTTTAACGATTGAATGCGCCCCATATGAACCATCTGTTTGCAGGACATTGCGACGAAGATCATGTCCTTCTCGCAGCAAGGGCCGCGAGCAATATGCATCTTGTCAGCAAACGGGGCAGTCTCCACTGTCACTCTTACTCAGCCTTCAACTTCTGGAGGCACTGTCACATACGAGGTTTAATATATATATAGCTAGCAAACCAACAACCCAATAATCAGTGCTGTGATCATATATTTGTATAAATTATTCATGGATGTCAGATGCTTAGCTTTGGGAATGTTCTTCTATGTTGCTTGTGTCCATGTTTTTATTTCTTTATTCAAATAAAAACGTGCAGGGAGCAGGCTTTAAAATAATCAGTAAGATTAGGATGTGTGCGTGTGACATCAGCCTGGTATTATTTAATTGCATGTGTATAGTGGTCTTTGTCTTTATGGTTGTTGACTTGATTAGTAGGCTAAAGGGCTCAATTCATTTCATGTTTGTTCCCCCCCAAATGATTAAGTGGTCCTGAATCCTAATGAAACTTCGAGCTTGCTCTAACATGGCTTGGTTGCCAATAAGCTTTCCAGTTTGCCTGCTCTTCTATTACTGCAATGATGAAATCATAAACCAAGACTCCTCCCTCAGTTTCTTAAACCAAGTTTTGTGCTATTGGTTAGGGGCGGTTCGAGATCTTATGCCTCTCGGGCTCTTACTTGCTAACGGATATCACTGGCTCGCGCAATAGAACCGGTGGCCTGAGTGTCTCTCTCGCCAGTCCTGATGGTCGCGTCTTTGGAGGTGGGGTTGGAGGGATGCTCATTGCAGCAAGCCCTGTTCAGGTAACCAATCCATTTGTTTAAATACGATGATATTGACATGGCTAAGTAGAGATTGTGATCAACCAACTGCTTAGGGCCATGAAATGCATAAGAGTTTGCTTGCTTGCCAATCTTTTGTTTCACATTATTATCACACCTCTATTTGTTCTTTAGTTATAATACTAGAACTTGTTATGCTTAAAAGATTTGATCTCCATCGATTGCTTGTTCCATACTTTAACTAGGCCGCTTCTTCTGCAGGTCATCGTGGGAAGCTTCATATGGGGTGGTCCAAAGACGAAGAACAAGAAAAGGGAAGAAGGGTCTGAACTAGGCGGAAGAGAATCCGAGCAGCTGGCGATTGAGAATCCGGTGAGTCCAACTAGTGTCCCACCTAGCCATCATCAGAACCTTGGCGGACCAGCTTCTCCACAATCGATGTGGCCAGGTTCGAGGTCACTCGACATGCACGGCCACCATGACATCGATTTGATGCGCGGATGAAGGGGATGGAGTTGTTCGATCTTTACTCTGATTCTGAACGCGCAAGGCTTGGCTCTCCTGTTGATTTTTCGCCCATGAGGGGGCGTGGTTTGTATCTCATTATTTTGTAGCTGATGAATTTAACACAGCAGCCAGTGTAGTGTAAAATTGGTAGGGGGTGGGATCTATCCAGATCTGGAACGAATTGAACTCATTTGGTTGTTTGGAGGTTCTTGCAAAGTTTCTAACCGCTAGTTAATGGCTAATGCACAGCTTATTGTTGATCATTGATCTCTGTTGTTGCTTGTCCTTTCCCTATGCTGCATTCCTTTGTCCTGCTTTAAATTCCTTTGTTTATGTTTTAGGGAAGCAAAATGTATGCTGGATAATGTTCGAACTCTGGATAATTAGTTCCATACAAAATTAAAACATTCTGCGTGATCCAGGATTTACTCTCAAGAAGAATGATAGGGGTAGGCATGCAACAAGATAGACTAATATTACTTGGGGTTGTTTGATGAGATTCAAATAGCAACAACTAATATAGAGGATAAGAGAATGTTTCTTAGAGTTGGTTCTAACTACATTCCCAATCAAAGGCCTAATGGAATCTTCAAGGTAGTATAGAGCAAGTATTTTTCAAAGGGTAATGTCTATTTTTTATCCAAATCTTTTTCAAAATTTTTTTATATTATCCAAACATATTAAAATGTTATTAATTAACCAAATCTTTCGTAATGCATCAAAATATTAGCCATTTTTTTATCATTAATAATTTTGTAATATTTTCTTAGTTAAAATACTATTTTTTGGAATTTTGACCTTCATGTGTCTCTTTCAAGTCAGTATCATGTTGTCAAGTCAATATTACTAACAAAATTGTTAACTGAAAGTTAATATTTGGCTAATCCTTTGTTAACTGAAGTTAATATTTGGCTAATCCTTAGTATTTCAATAGCTTTGGATAATATAAAAGAATCTGAAAAAAAGTTTGGATACAAAATAGATATTACCCTTTTTCAAATTATCAAGCTCGGGTGGTTTATGTATCCTTACTTCATATCTAGCGATAAAAACGTTGTTTAAGCTAATAAACTAACAAACATACAAGTAAAAGAAGGTTGAATTCAGTGGAGAAAAGCTTCACTGGGATGATTACCCCCCTAGTTCCGCGTTGAGTCAAAGACGTGATACTCTAGTATCATTCACATCTAGTATATACTGTTAGGATATCAAAACTAGTTAGGAATCCCTATTTGAGTTGTTCTAACCTGCCTAGTTGCTCTAACTGGAGAGGCGTACCAAACTACCAGATTAGTCAATTAGGGCAACCAAATCTACTCCCATGGACGATGACCTAGAACAGTGTAAAGAAATGAATCACCCTCGTTCATGTCCCCCTTACGATGATTGAATAATGCCCTAAATTACCCTAAGGAGATATTCTCTCACCTAGGTTAATTGAACCCAAAATAGAGAGAATTGATCAAGTAACTTCAATTTCATTAAGGAGATATTCTCTCACCTAGGGGTACACGATGATAGATTATATTAATTAAAATAAAATTATAAAATTGAAATATAAACAAAATTATATGGTTCAAAATATACCCATTCGAGGCAAATGTTTGTCTTTATATGATATTTTATAAGCAAATACTAGATTTGGGCCCGCTAGTTGGCCTGGTAAATTGTAATTTGCCCGAATCTATTCTATTTTGTATAAGAAAGAAATCCAAATTATTCATTTACTAAAATATTAAAAAGCAATGTATACATTACCTTATCAAAAGTAAACATTACAACTCATATAGGGAATCGATTCCTAAAAAACTTAATAGTCACACTTCAATTTACTAGGTATTCCAATAAAACCTAGCTCTCTTACGATATAGAACAATAAAGTTAGATTAACAATGTTGTATGCAACTCGGAGCTGAATTCTGAATCTATAGAATAACAACAATTGAGATCATTATTTGGTCGAAATTTCCACTAATTTTTCTCTCGAATGAGCTTGAAGTGAAAAACAATAGAAGATTAGAGGTAGATTGTTACCTAACTACTATTGTCTTTAATGTTATTACTCGTCATAATCTTCTTCAACTTTTCTTCGGCAAGTTTAAACTATTATGGCTTTTCTAATACAAATTTTTAAAAAATTAGAGTAGAAATGAAAAGATATATTCCGCTGAATTTGCAAAAAAATTTGAAAAGATCCTTAACTATAACTCCTTAGATCCATGCAAACTGTAACTAAAGGAGGTTATGCGCCAAAATCCCATCCCTTTTTCTTGGTTGTTTGAAGATCAAACTAGTTCATTGTTTTGACAATTAGATGATTTTACATGGTAAATATTTTTCTTTCAGGTATATATATAGAATTAATAAATAGAGTATTCAATGATAGTATACTTAAACATGTATATAGCATAACAAGATTACATGTTGATGCCAAAGGAAGTTTTTATTATAATTATCATTGCACTAATATAATTCTCCCACTAATATTTTATCCAAACCAAACAAGATGAAAGTTATGAAAAAAAGAAAGCAAACAGAGGAGCAGCTTCGGTAGTAAAAGATCACTTAATTTTCTCTGTCCCTTTCTTTCTTTTGGCCGCTCATTTTTTCCTCCGCCTAAGATTTAGACAGGATCGATTGAGCTAATTGGCCCAATATTATACTTCAAAAATATAATGCTGTCATTACCACTCCATATAAAAACCGACAAAATTATAAGATAGAAAACAAACACAAAAAAAGTCACATAGATAGATCACTTATTCCGGTCCGGTCAAAACACTCTCGCTTTGCTGCTTTTTCGTATTATCACTAGATCAAATTCTTTTATTCGTCGTGTCGTTGTTGTTACGTACTTAGCACATCTTCCAAGTAACGGACGTCTCGCCGTACTCGCCCTTGCCGTGGTGGAACCCGAGGGCCTCCCACACGGCCCTCGACCCGTCCACGATGTCGTGCTTGCACCCGCCGGACGTGTCGCACTCGTCGACGACGATGGCCGTCGTTGTCTCGCCGGTTTCTTTGGCCGTAATCTCGATGCACTCGTGGCACAGCTTCCCGTTCTGGTACCAGTTGGAGGACAGCGCCACCACCTTCTTGTCGTCGCTGTGGTAGCGGCCGTCGCACTCGGACGCGCCGCCGCCGTCCTCGCCTTTCTGGAAGCCGTTGAGTGTTAGGGTGGCGTGTTTGCCCTGGATCTCCGCCGTGACGTTGGACGACGAGTAGTGTCGTCTTGCCGCTGCTGCTGGCTGTGGGGATAAGGAGAGGAGGAAGACATTAGTAACGATTAGGATGATGAGTATGTCGACCTTCATGGTTGTGAGGATGATGTCTTTGTGTTTGTTTGGTAATTGGTTTTTCTTGATGGTTCAGTGTTTGAGGATGTTTGTATGTATTTATAGTTTGGATGACAATTGGGTTTGGGGGAAATAATGCGGACAGAATTTCAACGAAATTAAGAAAGAAAGAAAGAAGGAGGGACAAAACTGTGGGATTCGTGTTTTTATACTTTGGTATTCCTTAAGAAAGACACAAAACGTGTTTCTTTTGTTGTCTGATACTCACTCGAGAAGGTAGCACAGAGGGAACCTTCATCAAGCTAAAGTCGGCAATCAGTTCTAGGCGCTTGTAGCCAAAGATGACTTGGATTTCGATCCTTGCACCTCGAAGTAGTGCAAGCTTGTCTTAAACTCTCATTCGAATCGATAAATAATAGAGGAAATCAAACATCACTCATATGAAAATAAAACAATCGTGTTAAACCAAATTATCGAGTTTACATGGTTAGAACCACTAGAGTTCACATACCTACGCAAATAAGGAACTTTTTAGCTAGCCATGATGAGAGGTTTGTGGGTGTTCATCGATGGAAACAAAGATATAAGGAGACTCATTGGTATTGGTGCTTGGAACGAGAGATAACAGGCCCTAGAGCCATTTTGGGTGCCGATTTTCCCTCGTTTGGGTGGTCTAGTTCTAAGTTAGGAGGGTTGCTCAAAAAGTGGATATTATTGTCACAAAGTTGATAGTTGTGGATCTGCTGGTGAATTTTGCCATTTTTTGTAAATTTATCTTCTTGGCAATTAGGGGTGGGTAATGGGCATGCATGTTAGGTGGATTTTGGTCTCAAATTGACTCACCCGCTTACTAGCAAGTTGATATAGTTGTGACCAACTATCCACCCACATTCTTCTTTCGATTGGGTTGGGATGGATTAACCAGCGTCAACAATTCTCTAACTAGCCATTAAGAACGTTGACTAACATTTATAACAAGTTCCTCACAAATTAGTAAGACTGTATTGCTTTAAACACTTCCCACTTTGTCTCCTATAGATCCATGTAGTATTTGCATAAAATTTTAATTACACTATCAACCAATTGTGTCGAGTAGAAGACGACACATTTTACGACTTTGATACAAGTAATAGTTTATATTTTCCGTTTCAATATCTAATGGACATTACACAACATAGTAATCAATAATAGTAGTCCAAAAACATTCTTTCCTCTCTCCCTTTAGAAGTCGATGGTCAGTGTGTAGCGTGGTTAGGAAATAAGATGACTGTTCAATAGTATAAACACCAAACAATGTTTTGTCATGCGAAATATGGCGTGAGTCATCTGGGTGACCGGCAATCCACCTACCACCCACCTGAATAAGTACGGGTAGTAGTACATTTATCAATTCGCAATCCACCCGTATCAATCACCCACTCACTACGGTTCAGATTATTTACGAGGGGATTAATGTTTTTATGCAGATTAACCACCCACGAGCCACGTGCCCACCCTTATTGACAACGGTGGAACACCAAGATTAAAAAGGATAATAATTGTTTATTGTTGTGGCAGACATTAGCAGTTTTTTCTTGTCATTAACAATATATTGAATGAACAAATTGTTAGGATTAACGAATCAGGCCAAAGGTATCCACTATTTAAAAATTTGATTATTTCTATTGTTTTTCTGAATTTTGGGTGCGTAAGTTTGTTCTTTTATACAAAGTTAGGACAAAAATAGACTGTTAACCCCCATTAAGCTATATATAAAATACAGTTTCAAAGAACTTGGTCTATTTCATTTTGGACATAGTCATAGATGCGGATAGCCTTCCTGTCTTGCTGAACTACATTATACATATAATGAAATGAAAAAATTACAAATAGAGGGATCCTTCGTTATTAAAGTCGGCAATTTTTTAGTTCTAGGCTTCTAGCCAAAGATGGAAAGGAGGGCAGAGATCGAAAAGATAAGAATTTGGGGTGCGTACGCTAGATAATATAATATGGCCATCCATGATAAAAAGGAAAACAAAAGATTTCCTCTACATTTCCATACCGACAAACATACGTTTAATTTAATTTATAGCAAGGTGGTAAATTTGAGAGTCTGAAATTTGAATTGAAGGATACAAATGTGTAAGACACCGGTAAAACAAAAACAGTTAGTAATAGAATTGTAGTTCAGGACCGAGTAATCGAATATCTCCTCCCTGCTCGCTGTGGATAGGGTCAATAATATTCCTATTGTGTATAATTTTGCATAATTAAATTTGGGCTCTTTATTTTGTGAGTTGCGAGGAACTCTTATATGTAACCAGGCTCTACTATTGCCGATGGAAATTATACACGATCATCGCAACATGATAGGGTAGAAGAGAATTGACAGTTTTAGAAACTTTAATAGACAAAATTAGGGTTTTGAAGAAGAAATTGAGGAGGAGAAGAAGAATGGTCGACAGTTTTTAAGGACGAGAGAAATGAAATATAGAGAAGATTAGGGTGAGAATAGAATAATTCTTCTATAATCTATTCGTTACTGATGATTTCGCCTACGTAGTTACAGAATATATAGAAACTTGTAATTCTCTTAAACTACTCCTATTTTACATAGCTAACGAAACTACCATGTAACTCCCAAAATCCCATCAAAGTACCAAAAAATCTACATTGTTAAATTGTAACGATATGCATTCTCAAGTTTTGTGATATAGATCCAATGGTTTTTTATATTGATATTGTGATTCCCAATGTGTACTAATCACTGGTATGCATTCCTAAATTTTGTGTACTTATTAGGCAATTTCTTGTATAGATTCATCTTCCACTCATTGCTATTATACTATCTTCCCCAAATGATAAAAAACTGAAAAATGGTGTATATAAAAAATTATGTTTATAAAGTATATAGTTAGCAAAAATTCAATTTATCTTCTAGTATGTTTCTTTTTTCATTAGGTCCTCTTTTCTATCGAGTTAGCATGATAATAATATATATTGAGTGTTATTATGCTATCTTTCCAAAGGATGAGTACTATTCATATTGATGAACATATATTTTTAGCTAAAAAACAATAACCCTTGTTTCTAAATTCTACCCACAAAAATCTCTTCTTCATTCCCTGCCTTTCTTTCAGTTTGCCATTCCTTTCAAAATCTCCCCATCAAAACTACATGTTCTCCTCCTTTCTTCTTTTCCATTTTTCATTTTAGAAAAAAAAAAAAAATTATCCTTCATCTTTCTCTCTATCTCCTATCCTATTTTTCATCCTTCTTCATTTTCCCTATTGTTCTTGGAAATAATTTCATCGTCGTCTCTGCTCCGTTTGGTGCCAACATGGTATGTTGATCGATATGATTTAAGATGATTATGTTAATTCATACTTTTCAAATCTCTTCAATTTGAGATGGTAATCATGAACTCGTTGCATGACTAGATTCTCTGTCAATTGATTTCATCTTCTAAAGTGCTTGAAAGTTGAAACACATTTAAATGTGAGGGATATATGTCTTTGTGATGCTTCGAAAAGGCGCGATTAATCTTTAAGTTTAGACACACCTAAGCGCTTGGCAATACCAAAAACACCTCATCTAGGGTTTCCTGATGATATCTGGAACACATTGATGGACTATATAAACTGGACACCTGGTCATAACTAGAAGGATCTATAGAAAATCAACATCAAATTGAAAAAATCAACATCATCTACAAACTCAATCTTATATTATTTCAATCTTTTTTGAGTCACTCAAGAACTCGTGTAAAGCTGCCGAGCTGTAATCCTAAAAACTTGCGACCTATTTTCCTGTTGTTAAGTGTTGCGTAAGTCATTCATCATATGAGCTGAAGTGAGAAAGTACTAGTGTAAATGTTTTTTTTTGTTTTTGTTTCATTGCATCATATCGTACAAATTGCTGTCTTTTTTTCTTCTTCTACCGCCTAGGCGGTGCCTAGACGAGTTAGGCGCTAGACAACGCCCCAATGCCCGCGTACGACGCTCCTAGCACCTTCTTGAACCTCGGGGGTTTTTTTTTTTGTGTGTGTGTGGATACGTATTGCAGGCGAATTCAGCGTCTGGGATGGCGGTGCACGACGACTGCAAGCTCAAGTTCTTGGAGCTGAAAGCCAAGAGGAACCACCGGTTCATCGTGTTCAAGATCGACGAGAAGATCCAGCAGGTGGCGGTGGAGAAGATCGGATCCCCGACCTCGACGTACCAGGAGTTCACCAACTCCCTCCCGGCCAACGAGTGCCGCTACGCCGTGTTCGACTTCGACTTCACCACCGACGAGAATTGCCAGAAGTCCAAGATCTTCTTCATCGCCTGGGCGCCGGACACGTCCAGGGTGAGGAGCAAGATGTTGTACGCCAGCTCCAAGGACAGGTTCAAGCGGGAGCTGGATGGGATCCAAGTGGAGTTGCAGGCCACCGATCCCAGCGAGATGAGCCTTGATATCGTCAAAGGTCGAGCCCTCTAATAATGGAATTTAAGGGCTTTTCAACAACAAAGAAGAACATGTCAAATTAATATTATATATATATATATGTATACTTGCTCAAATTAAAATGTGGGTTTAACAGTGTTTGTGACTAGGTGATCTCATCACCTCCTTCTCATCATGGGTCCCTTATTATGTAGGGGGAAAATATATATATTTGTTGTGTTTTGTTGTTCTTTTTAAGTTTGTTCGTGAGTGTTCATGATGTATATCAGTTATCAAACCAAATGGTTACGTTGTTCTTTTGTTAATTTCCGCAAGGTTGTTTATAAGCTGATGTTCGCTTTAAATGCCATATTTTGCAACCAATATGTGCTACCTAGTCGGAACTTCCATGTATCTATACTCACCATGAACATAGAATACATGACATTAGGATTTAGGAAGAGTTGTTGTGATGTATAGTAGGCTTCCGATCATCTGCTTGTATTCGCCTATTCGGTGGCATTGATCAGATTTCCATCTCGTGGCTTCGTTATCTGTGTATTTTGGTTTGTAGTGCTTCAACTCCCGAGATATACCTCATTCTTCCCCCCGGACCTATCGTCAAATTAATCAGCGTCCATTGAACACTTGAACTCTTTAATCATCTCAAGATCATTGCTTGCATATACCACATCATCAACATATATACATGTTCATCAACAGTATATGTGTTCCTATTTTCTTGACAAATAAGGTGTGATAAGAAGGAAACCTCTCAAAACCCATGTGTCGCAAAATAACCTTCAATCAAGTTGTACCGGGCTCATGGTGTCTGCTTTAGTTCATAGAGAGCCTTTTTCTAATTTGTAGACTTTACTTTCCTCCCCATCGACCACAAAGCCTTGTGGTTGCTTTACATAAACTTCTTAAGCCAACTCGACATCCAAAAATGTAATTTTTTTACATCGATTTCAAATCCACTCAGACCGTCAGAAGCATTAAGATTACGAAAGGTTATGATAGTATCCCATCTGACTACTAGAGCAAATACATCAGTGTAGTTTATCCCTTGAGAGTATTCCTTAGCAACCAATCTTATTTTAAACGTATTAACTAAGTCATCTTCCTTGAGTTTAGTTCTGACCGCCCACTTGACTCCAATAGCTTTTGTTCCAGTAGGTAAGGTAGTTAGGAACCGGGTATTATTTGATTTTTGCAGTTATCTTGTCTTCAATGCCCTTGAAACATGTTCTTGAAGTTGCAGAGTCTACAAGTTTGCTTTCAACTTTACAATGCCCTTCCCTTATACCTCCAGCTTTGTATCATTTCCAAGCTTGACAACTCCAGTTCCTGAACTCTCCAAAGTTGTAAACCAGTCCTTGTTTCCTATCATGTGGTTGCTACAACCTGAATCAAGAAACCATCATCCCTCACTAGCTACTAGCATCCTATTGTACTTCATCAGTTACAGAAATCAACTAAACATCATCATTAATATCAATGGAATATGAGAAATGAGCATGTTATTACACCATTTAGGGTACACATTTCTTAAATGCTCTAATTTATGGCACTTGAAGCACTCTAATGTACCTCCTTAATTCCATCTTCATCCACTTCAACCTTTTCCTCAACCAGAATAATATCATCTTCCTCCTTTTCCACCTCTATATCTAGTGTCATAAGAAACCTTTCGTGCTTAATTCTATTCAGGAGGCGAGTTTCTTGCGAAATTTATGCTCATGAACCAACAGTGAACTCTAAAGAGCATATATAAAGGTACAAATTCATTTAGTACCATAACAAAATTTGTATCTTTATGTTATGGTACATCACTAAAACATAAAGGTACAAATTCAGTTTGAAGCATGAAGAAACTTGTACTAAATAGTATTAGGTACAAATTGAATTTGTACTATAATGTTAAATGTAAAATTTCAATTTGTACCATATATAATAGATTTTTTTAAGCCAAAAATTATCATCCAACTCTTTATAACAAGCTTGTCAATCCGACCCTTTGGAATAGGCCCGAACAAAGTCGGTGCCGAAAATGGCCCCATAAAGCTAGTTTGCCTCCAAATCGGTCAAAATCACGAAAACCAGTGGTTTGGCTGGATTGATATAATATATAGGGTTGATATAATATGTATTAGTTGTTAAATTACTATACATTTCAAATTACATTCTTGTTATTCAAATCTTTAATTATTACCGTATATTTCTATAACACGAATAAAATGATTTGAATGGATTGGATCTCGATTTCGATCATTAAACCCCAAACCATTTGCTTGATCGGCTCAACCACAATTAATATTGATAAGGAAGTCTTTTCATCCAATGGCAGTCGACAGTGTGACCAATTTGTCCTCACCCAGACACGTTTACGAGTTGGGCCGTCGTCTGGCCCTCCTCTCCACTCATGGAATCTGGGCCCGCCCGGCCAAATTTACAGCCAATCCGCGCTTGTCGCACAAAACGCCGCCGTATCACGCATGTCGACAACATTTGCTCTCCGGTGATTCCTAAGCGCGGCAAGCGCTTTACCGCCACCACGCGCTGCTCACCCGTTTTACCTGTCCTCTGTCGGCAACGAAGGCAATTATTCCCCCAACAACGCCTATAAACTTAAAAAAAAAAAAAGGTTCAAAATCCCTACTTCATCATCTCACCGTTCAATCTTACACCACACTTCCACGTCATCACCATCAACGGTTTTGGGTACCGCCAAAACGCCTCGGATCCTTCACTGTGAGCGGCCGCGCATTATATATCTCCATAAATGAACCCAATTTTTGGTTCAATTTGAAGAGGAGATTATTACAACGAGAAACGAAAGGGACTACTGAAAGATAGACAAAAAAAAAAAAAAGGGTTTTGGGTTGTTTCCGTTGTGTCTGTAGGCGAAGGCAAAGCTGAGGTTTTTGGACGATTCTATGGCGGAGCAGGAGGTGAAGAAACCAGAAGCCGAACCCCCAGTTGTAGCTGAAGCTCCGGCGCCGCCGGCTGCCGTGGAGGAGAAGTCCATGGTTCCCACGCCGGAAGAGGCCAAACCGGAGAAGACCCATGAAGAATCCCATGCTCTGGCTGTGGTAGAAGCAAGTAAGCTTTCCTTGGGTTTTCTAAAGCTAATGGCTTTCCCCCCCTCTTCTGTGTGATGAGTCCCAATTGGGCAATAATTGAATTCTCCATGTTTTGCTTTGCTGCTACAATCTGGAAACCTGCAGAAGCTGCTTCATTTATGGTGCTGTCATGCTTTTTCTTTTCTTTCTTTTTCAATTACCATATGGTGGGTATTTTTAGGCTTTGCTGTCCTTTTTCACTTCCCTGGAATATTGCCAGTGTGGCAAGCAGCAGCATAGCTTTGATTCTTGCTTTTTTTCTTCTTGGGGAAGTTGGTTAATTTTCCAGGCAAGGCGATTACTTTTAGTTACAGATATTTGTGGAGATGATTGTAGAGTGAGTTTCAGCAGTAGCAAACTGGCACAATTGCCTTTTTGATTTCCCTTTTGCTCGAATGATTTGTTTAGTTGTAAATTAGGGGGTGGGGTGGGGGGGATTTGTCCTCCCTGTCTCCCCACATCCACATGCACCTTTAGATTTTCCAGAAAGGAAAAAGCTTCATGTGCAGCACTGGCAATGATCATAAATGTGTATGGTCGTTAATGGAATCGTCAATTATGCCAGCTCTCCCCCAAGCTTGACTTTAATGGCATCTCAAAAAGGACTGTTGTTGGGTCCTACTTCTTTGGATGCCATGGCATGGGATATAATGGAGCTTGATCAAAAGGGGAAAAGATATCATAATTGCAGGAAAGTGGGCTTTAATAATTTCAGGGTCTCCTGCAATTTCAACAATTTTATGTGTTCTAATGTGTTGATTATTGTTAGTAGTGCTGGAAAGCTTTGATGTGTGGATTATCCATCCTGTTACTCACCGCTTTTTGTAAAATACCAACTAAGCAAGTTTTTGTCACTAGTTAGTTGCAACCTGGATTTTATGTGTAAAGAATGCTACCACTTGATGCTGGCTCCGAATCTGTTTTTACAAAGAGAAAGTGAACCTCTCTGCTTTCCCATGTTTTTCTTTTATGAGGATAAATCCCTTATAAGGAAGGGACTTGATTTGTCTGTGACTCAATTGTGGTTCCAAGTTGCTTAGGAAGACTGCAAGTGTCTTAATTCACCTCTACATAGCTATGGGAATTAAAAGTATGCTCTTTCGCACTTCTTCTTTGCTTGGATCAGTCAGCGTTCGTATTAGATAGATGGCGGGCATGCAAACAATATTACTATTCTCTGTTGTATGTATTAACCCAACTGTTCCCTTTATTTGATGTGAATCACTACAGAGGCTCCAGAGCCGGTTCCGAAGAAGATATCGGGTGGATCGCACGATAGAGGCAAGTTGTGTGTTGTTGATAGCCACCAATATTTCCCACCTTCTATTAAAAGTGTTCTTGAATTCGGTTTTGTGTGGGATTGAGTTGTTTCTCTCATGGTTTGGTCATTCCTGGGTTGGCATTGAGAGCCTCTATCAACATCTCTTTACTGGGTTTTTTTATATTTCATCACTCCAATGCTCTCACCTGGGACCATCATGTTATGTATGCTGTGAGGCGACTTTCTAACCAAGTGGTCTTCTTTTCTATATTGTTGTTACTTTCCTCAGATGTTGCTCTTGCTGATATTGTGAAAGAGAAGCAGACGTGCTTCATTAAGGCATGGGAAGACACTGAGAAATCCAAAGTGAACAACAAGTAAGGGCCAGTCCACATCTTACATCTTTTTCTTTATATTTGTGTACTATAGCCCTCTCAAATTCAGTTGCACTGATGTTAGTCACCTCCAAACAAAGGGAAAAGTCCGTGTTAGGAGCGACCTGACCAGATTTATGTTATCGAACGTGAATTGGAGCTACTCACCATGTCTGCTCGCTTTCTTTCATGTCACGCATTTTAAGCAGAAACTGCACTTGTATCCTATCTGCAATTTATTTAAACAACGGGGGGTAAAACTATTGTACAGGGCTCAGAAAGAAATCTCTGCTATTTCTGCATGGGAGAACACCAAGAAGTCAGCTGTGGAAGCTAAACTGAAAAAGCTCGAGGTAATAATCAACTGGTGCTCAGTTTAGCAGACTGTGGAACGATGAAGAAACGAAATGGTTTCTTGGTAACGAAAGCAGGAGTTAGTAGTAAGGTTAACAATGAATGGATACCTTTGCAGGAGCAATTGGAGAAGAAGAAGGCTGAATATGGGGAGAAGATGAAGAACAAAGTGGCTCAAATCCACAAAGAAGCTGAAGAGAAAAGGGCTATGGTGGAAGCCAAGCGCGGGGAGGAGTTTCTGAAAGCAGAGGAAATGGCTGCCAAATACCGTGCCACTGGCCAAGTTCCAAAGAAGCTGTTCGGTTGCTTCTGAAAAACAAAAAGGCCATGGATACAATGCAACTATAAGACTGAGAGCTCCTCCTTCTGTGTGTTTTTTACCTTCAAAACTTTTTTCACTTTTCCACCTCTATATACCCTCCATTTTGTGTTCCTTTCTGCCACTGAACTTTGGCTATATATGTTTTGTGCACGAAGAAGGTCAACCATGTGAGCAACTGTACTTTTCTGTAAGATCTCATGTGTCCATATGTACAAAAAAACGAATGAATCCAAGTCTGTATTTTACTATTTTTCACTCATTTACTCTTTGCAGCCTATTTCCCCTTCAATGCTGAATTCATATGTACAAGGAGTCTTGCGAGCTCATATGTCAAACAGGAAAATGTCTTCCAAGTTTAATCCATTAAACGAATCATTAAAGGTGTACCAATAGCACTCAATTGTGACAAGAGAAATCTCCCTTGGGAATTGCACAGATGAACATAGCCAGCAAGCAATTATGCATACATTTTAACATTTGTTTTTTTTTATGACTTTCACATTAGTACTTTCAACTCTTGAATCTCATCTCATCCTCTTTTTAATCCGAATACCTTTTTGAAGTTTTCAAAGATTTTCCTTGTAGTGAATTTCATGTTTTAGCAGCTTCTCTAAAAACCTATTTATTTTATACTTCAGTTTAGGATGACAATAGGACGAACAAAATCAGGTTTCTCTAAACTCAAATCTATTTTAACGAGTGCATCTATTGAAAAAATTAGGTAAAATACTTCATTGGATTTTAGAAGTAAAAACTCAACCTAATCCAATGGATACCACGGGTGTATGGGTACTCACGTGCATGCACATAACCATCTATCATTTTATTTTAATACCCACATCGTAATATCATCAGGATAATAATGGATATAATAGTTTCCTTGTATTGACTAGAGACAAAACCTAATGGAACCAACATGTGTTCCTTTTTCTAATAATTTGTATTGTTCATAATTTAATGAATTAAACTTCGGTTTTCTAATGTCTCTAAAAGTGAGTTGCATTGATTGTAGTTTACACAATGATATCCATTATGATATATTTCAAATTCAAAAAATTGATTATTTTTTATGCCACAATGACGTGAATAGACACTATTATTGAGTGAATAATACAGATGAAACGAATTCATTGTGATCTATGAAATAATATACATTTCTATATATTTCAAGAAAATGTTTTTTTACCACCGATTACCTCTTTGTTTTCAACTCAAGTTTTGAAAAAATTTGCACATAATCTAACGCGATTTCAGCGTGATCTATTGCGCGGAAAGAGTTTTATGGGATGGCTCTTAACGAAACAAAAAAATGTAAAGAAAGTTTTGAGACATTAGTCGACCAAGCCAAGCAAAGGTCACTCCTAGAGACAAGCTTCTTACTTGGTTAATAATTATCAACCACATCCATCCTCCTATTTGCTGAATAACTTTTACCATTGCATGAATATGCCACAAATGAAGTGAATAAACATAAATTGTGTGAATGAAGAGCAAAACACATAAATTAGGCGTTAACAACATGAATTAAGCACCTTTTAACTTCAGTTGCTGTACCCAGCCAGCCGCACCCATAAAAGGAGCACTGTCTGTGATAAAGCCAACCACAAGGAAATAAGCAAACACAAGATTTTGGTCCTCTCTTTCTACCACCCTACTAGCTTTACAAATGGTTTGCGCCTACAGAGAACAATAACTAGAATGACAGCCAAAAACACAGAGCTTTAAATCTCTTCAGAGATGGCAAATGAGGGAGCTTCCGTAAGAGTTAGCATAGTTATCATTCAAGTCCCCTTCCAAGAAACTCATGTCGTTGTTGATAGGAAAATCCAGCAGCAGTTGCAGCGCAGTGTCCGACGAATCCTCCATATCACTAGAGCTCGAAGATTCAGCCGAAGATTTCCTACTCTTACATTCCATCTCATCATTTTGACAGCTTGTGGTCGCTGAAGACATCCCCGCCAAGCTGTTGTTAGCCCCATATTTGGTGGATGAAGATGCCTGAGAAGCCGGGCTCGGGCAAACAGCAGTGCTCGTAGTCGTCGTAGCAGTAGTACAGGGTTTGTCAGTTTCTCCGCCATTGTTGTTGAAGCTGCGGAAGGACTCGCCCACTTCAGAGTTCCATATGCGAAGGAAGTAATCAGCTTCTGCTTTCCCTGAAGATGGTGTTGGGTTATTGAAGAGCGAGGATTCCCGACCGAGGCGGGCCTCGGCTTCGAGCCTGGCGCTCTCCCACTGAGTCATGTGGCGAGTTGCAGGGGAGGCTGGTGCCTTCTTCAGGGAGCCGCCGCAGGGGCTGCTGAGTGGCTTGTGAGTTTGTGGGTCGAGCCCCATACAGAGCAGCCGTTTCTTCAAGTGGGTGTTCCATAGATTCTTGATCTCGTTGTCTGTTCTTCCCGGAAGCTGAGATGCAATTGCAGCCCACCTGAGATAGAGAGAAAGAAAAAAAAAACAGTTGTAAATTTCACAGAGGCAAATCAACAAACAACTTGAATGCATTGCAAGAGAAAAACCCCCCACGAATTTGCTGACTATACCTGTTCCCGAGAATGCCATGGAGCTGAATGACGAGCTTCTCTTCCTCAGGGGAGAAGGGACCTCTTTTGATATCCGGGCGAAGATAGTTGGTCCATCGAAGCCGGCAACTCTTTCCGCACCGAAGGAGGCCTGCGGAGACATTAATCAATCCCCTCAACCGTAAGCTCCAAGGAAGAAGAAGAAGAAGAAGAAGAAAGATAAAGAGAACCCATTTCCGATTTCGAGAAACCCAGTAAAACCCATGAATCAATTAGCATCAACGTCTCCATCCCAGAAAGTGATTGATGTAATAATACAGTACTAACCAGAAAGCTTAGGGACAGAACGCCAGCTGCCATGGCCGTTCTTCTGGATGTACGAAACGAGAATCTCGTCCTCTTCAGCCGTCCATGGACCTCGCTTCAACCCTTTCTTATCGCAGCAAGGCGTCCTCCCCATTCTTCTGCGATCTTCGCACTTTCCAGAGAGCGAGCGAGTGAGAAACTCAAAAAAAAAAAAAACAGAGGAAAGAAAGACACAGCCGCTTGCTGCCAAGTGAAAAATCAAACATGTAACAGCAAAAGACAAGAGAGAGAAGAAGAAGAAGAAGAAGAGCTCAGGAGGAGCAGAGCAGAGCAATAAATGAAGGGAAAGGGAGTTCGAGCTCGAGCAGTGTTTATCTAGGGTGAGCCGAAAGCGAGCGAGATATTCAATTTTCGTGGGGATGCATTGCAGCAGCAGCAGCAGCAGCCAGCAGTAGCAGGAAGGAACCAAAAGGACGATCTCTCTCAGCGAGTTTCAAGCTGTCACTGCAATAAATTTTGAAATCTGGTATTTAATATGGGCACAAGAATTCCAGAACCAATAATACGACGTCGTCTCTTGTGTCTAGTGTCTACATTGATTGATTTTAATATAATAGTTTATTTTTACTCATGAATAGATTTCACCACATGTACTTTCTCGGCCGAGACCAAACAATTTCACATGCACTTCCATGTGGAATTTAATATTTGCTGAAATCTAAATTGTTTGCCTCGATTCTTTGTGATTTTATAGCATACTATTCAACCTATATACTACTTAGCAATATCTTTAAGCACAAGCCAAAATCTTCGAACTTGGGAAATTTTTCCCAAAGTGTCAAAGTTCATTAAAAAAATTCACACAATACTTATAACAAAAATTCTCAATCTATACAAGTTTGGGTTAGATAGATCGACGTAGTGTTCAGCGATTTAGTATGTTAATCTCAGACGACAACATCGATCAAGGTAATATGCAGCGTACAACAGCGATGCACAAATTGTTCGCTTAAAGATGCAGTGTTTCCCATAAATTGTGTTTGTAAGTCGTGATTAAAAATTATCAAGCTGTTGGCAGGCAATTCATCCAGACTGGAGGACTCATATCGCATCTAGCCCAAGCGATGAACATTGCGTGGATCTTGATTGCACGACCCGGAAGTGATGTTAGATGGAGCTCGAGATGGCAATGGGGCAGGTTTGTCTAAACCAATCCCAACACCATCCTCATTTCCAAATACCCAAACTCATACCCGCCTCATATCAATGCGGTGGAAGGTTTTACAAACCCAACCCATACCCGCGGTTTTCAGATTCACATGGTTAATACCCTCCCCATCAACTACTCACCATTAATAAAAGAATATGCTGACAAATATGGATACGACCCGCCCAAAATTCTGGAACTAATACATAAGAGGATAAAATTATGGTTTGGTTGCCATCAATTACATTTTAACACTTTATTTTTTCTTTTAATTACCCTTCATTCCCTTGATAAGTTACAATAGACTCATTATATTTTATGTATATAACATAATATCCTTAGTGGCCGCGGGTTTGGGTATGGTTATGAGTATAGGGCGGGGGGTCCAAAACTATACCCGCCCCATAACCATCAACCTTTTTGCGGGTTTTACTCATACCCAGTCAAAGCGGGGATTTCCGCGTTGACTGGGTCGGAGGCGGTCGGGTACCCGCGGTCATGGGTTTAGTTGCCATCCCTAAATGGAGCAATCTAATTGGTTTGTTCCTAAGGACACATATTACGATGGCTAGGCCCTTAGATGCGATTTAAGCTCATCCACCCAAACCCTAATAATAACCCTTCCCCAATTCTTTCTTCACTCACACCACCATCAATCCTTTCACCACTCAAAGAATTCTTAGTATGCTCTGTGATTACGACTAAACTCGATCTCCCATATCAAAATATTTACTTCCTTCCCTCAAAATTTTCGAAGAACCTTTACTTCCACCACTCAAGGTATTCTCAATAAATCATAATGAACTAAGCAATATCTTCATCTCAAGTGCACCAATGCTGACTAGGTTTCCTGTCTTATCATGGTAATTTATGCTAGCACGAATAAGTTTGAAAGAGGTGAACTATGGGGTGTGGTTAGAAGAATTAACAGGAGCTGCAATTTGTCGTGCCTGCTGATTGGCGACTTCAACTCCATCTCAGAACCCATAGAGAAACAAGGAGGGGGCCCTCTCAATATAGCAAAAGTGAGAGCTTTTAATAGCTATATTGAGAATAGTGGTATGATGTCTTTGAAATTGAAACTGGTTGAAAAATTTTGCACAGTCAACCAACCAGCATCTCACCAAGCTGAAATTGGACCATGGGCCTACCATGTTGGGCTATGATATTCAACAAGAGAAGAACAAGTTGGAAAGGAGGTTTAAGTTCTTGGCTCCCTGGTTGGCTCACGAGGATTTCACGCCGTTTGTGTCTTCTTCCTGAGACAAAGATTCAGAACTTGTTAGTGAAGGTAATGGGGCGGGGCGGGTACCTCAATATCCATATCCCACCCCATGCTACTACGGACCGGGCGGGTAATAATTGCGTGAGTATGAGGTGGGGTGAGTCGACCCACTCTTACATATTATTTGAAAATGATGCACACAAACTTTTACTTTTTACGATTAGATGAAGGAGAAAACACTTTATGAATGAAAAATTGTGATAATAGAATGAGTAATTGAGTCTAACTAATTGAAAGATCAAGTCTAACTAGTTGAAAAAAAACCAAAATAGGAGAAATATGAATAGATATTATAAGAAATTGCGATACAGTGGGACAACAACGGGGCGGAACGGAGCAGGGCGGGTCGAAAGTAGATACCCATATCCCGCCCCATGTTACTACAGATCAGGTAATACCCGCCCCATTGCGGGTCAGGTTGGATAATACCCGACGGGGTGGGTTCAAATTGTCATCCCTGGAGCTTGTTGACGCTCTGAAAAATATATCTTGCAAGCTTCAACTATGGAACAAGAAGGTTTTTGGCAATATCTTCCATAGGAAGAAGATGCTTTGGAAAAAATTGCAATCTCTAGAATTCAATAATGAAAGATCTTCAACATGGAAATCTCTCATTCAGGAAAAGGAGGTCAAGGAATAATTGGAAGATATCCTTTGGCAAGAGGAGATCATGTGGTTTTAGAGATCGAGAGCCAACTGGTTCATTCAATCTGGTAGAAACATGAAGTTTTTTCACAACAACACCATCAGTATAAGGAGAAGAAATGGACAATGCTCTTTAAAATTTACCTTGCTAAAGCATACGACAGACTGGACTGGGATTCCTCGGAAGACACCCTAAAGTTGGTTGGCATACCTGAGAACAACATCAGAATCATCATGAAGTGTGACACTATCACTTAAATGCAGATCCTCTAGAAAGGTGTAGAAATAGAATATTTCAAGCCGAGCACAGGCTTACGGCAGGGATGTCCCCATTTCCCTTCCTTTTTACTTTAGGTATTGCATGTTTGAGTCGTTGCATTTTTAAAAAGATGAGGGAGAAGCGTTGGAAACCTGTGAGACTCTCACTTGATCAGGTCCACCATTTTCCCACTTATTTTTCGCAGATGACTTAATTTTGTTTGTTGAAGCTTGTCCTAGACAAGCTGACCTCAACATGAAATGCATGAATAGTTTTTGTAATGCCTCAATGGAGCATATCAGTAAAGATAAGTCTAGAGTCTTCTTCTTTAAGAACATCAAAACCATTAATAGAGTGGATATTTGCTCTAGACTTGGTATTCAAGCAACACTTAATTTAGGTTGGTACCTAGGTAACCATGTCCTTCTTAGTAGGGTAAATAAAAACACTTATAGGTATATCTTGGAAAAATGAATAAAAACTAACTAGTTGGAAGGTGAATACCTGCCGTTAATAGGTAGCCACCTCTCTGCTAAATGTAATTTTGGTGTATGCCATGCAAACTTCCTTGCTTCCTATGTCTATCTGCGATGAAATCTTAGAATTTTTGTTTAACTCTATATAACACATCGATAAAGCACGGGAGAGATCCATGGTTCATAAGTAAGAAACTGACTTTAACTGACAAGACGCGTTTTGGGGTGAAATGGAAGAGTTCTTGTGAGAACTCCGAAGTTAAACGTGCTTAGTGTGGAGTACAATAAGGATAAGTGACCTTATGAAAAGTCACATTGAATTGTACTCCAAGTCAAAAACTGTGAGAGTCGAGGCCCAAAGCGGACAATATCTTCGTCGGGAAAAAGTTCCATTACATACTTACATGTATTTCTACCATTAAAAAAAACCTATGTATTTCTACCATAAAAAAAAACCTAAATTTACATTGGTTGTGATATAGAGCTAGCAAAAGAAAAAGGTTCGATTTTGAAACTAACTGCAACGCGTAAAGTAAATGCTGGGGAACTCTTTTTAATGATTTATTACGCGATGAAAGAATGAAACGAATGAACGAATGAATGAGAACAATTATTTATCCTGAATCATCACATCATTGAGGAGAAGGAAGTGGGAAAGAAAGAGTAAAAAAGAAAACAAGAAAGAAAGAAAGAGCTGAGGTTCTCTGTTGCGCAAACAGTGAAAAGAGTTAATGCTGGCTGGGCGAGTTTCTTGTTTCGACATCTTTCTTCTTGTCACAGGACTGGCAAAGGAAAGGAGGGGGGAAATGGCACAGCAGCTGCAGGATGAAGAAAAGAGGGTGAAAGCGAAACCGCATTAAAAGCAGATTCGTTCGCGATCAGAGACTTTCACTAGTTATGGCGCCACAGACAGAGATGGAAACAGAAACAGGGGTAAACAAAAACAGAGTGTCATAAGTGGAGAGAGACAGAGAGAGAGGCAGCCCACACAGCAAGCAAAACCCTCCTCTCTCTCAATTCTAACCTCTAATATCCAGTCAATGATGTGGACCTCGGAAGTCCAAAGATCGTATGGAGGAAACAGCTTCCTTGCAAATGGCGACTTACGGCTCCTCGTCCGACTTTAATGGTGAAGATTGAAGACGACGCGTTCTTGAGAGACCGCTAAACACCATGCAGAATACACTTTCATACCCACAACTTTCACGTTTGTGATAATAATAATCTGTTTCGAAAAAATACCAGATGTAGCCGCATTCTTTTAAACTTGTTTGACTAATTTAACAATTTCCGTCCAATACTTTAATACGTTTCAACAATTCCGTCAGTTCAATGGACGTTAAACTGATGTGGATGCCACTAGGACAACACGTCATGTCCACCCAGACTTATCACATGCCGCGTGGATGCCACGTCACATTTTCAATTAAACGAAAAAGAAAAATCTTATGTACCACCGTCTCTCTCATCAGATCTAGCTTAACCTTTGTCCCTGCCTTCTTCCTCCGCTATCCACACAACAACCACCGCCACCTGCTGCAATACCACCTCTGGTAGCACTTCCAAGTCACCGTCGTCGTCAACATCGCCTTCCTCTCGTGCGGTGGTGACGAAAGGGTTCCTCGCTGTTTCGATTGAAAGAGAGAAGGGTATGCATTTTGGATTCATAGCTATTCCGAGCTCTCACAAAAGCATCCCGACGGCAAGAGATAGTCTGCCGGGCTTCGTCACCCTTTCCAGAATCCCAAACCAGGAGCTATCTTCCTCAATGTTCATCACCTATTCACCACTGTAAAAGGGAATCCCACAATACCAATCACCGTCAAGGAGAAGTGGATTCTGAGATTGAGGATTTGGCAAAGGGGCTCGACTTCGAGATTTGGGATCGTAGGAGCTTCTCTCCTTTGATTGAGAATACACGAAGGAGTTCCAGGTTAATGTGACCCGCCACTACCGTCGTCGAAGCATCTCATTCTGCGGCTGGACTATCGTATTTGGCGAGGCCAGTGGTTCTTCATCACCACCGCCGTCATCCTCCTAAGCACACACACATCTAACCTGCAATTATACATCCAACCTAAGCACACACATCTACCAAGTAAGCGGAGCAAAACAGAGGAAACTCGCAACTTCAAAGTCCAGAGAACACTTTATTACTGGCACTGAAACCAGAGGATAGTTGAAACGAGGAAACGAAGCGATCGTCTTCTTTTGTCTTGGCCTACTACCAAAGCCAAGAGTTCACCACAAGAAGCAGCAAATACTGTACCAAACCAGACTCGGAGGAAAAGGAAGAGGTCAAATAACAAAACGCACACATAGAACATGGACTCACTAGACCATCCATGCATCATCATTATCTAAGTTCGGCTCTCAGAGAGAAACCACTAAACTCCTGGACCTACTACCATCCTGTTTACCCGTTCAGGGCATCAAGTACTTGGAAAAACTCTCAATAGCAAGCAATGCCAGGTTAAGACAAACAACGCCCACATGGAATTCAAATGCCTTCTACCACCAATTCTTCCATCTTTTCAGAATTCAAATGTCCCAGCTTCAATCCTGCATAAATAACATCACCAAAAATTATGCACAATTGGCGCATAAGCTGCTACCAGTAGAAGTCACAAAAAGAAAGGGACTTATCAGGTCAGTTTACCAAGTAATAGAACCCTAAAGAAAAATGCTTTAAGAGTATGGGTCATCGACATAGGTACAATAACTCACCATTGCCCGTCCTGTTGCTGCCCACGATCGTTGACTACAGGGAATAACATCTAACACATGCTACCGGCAATAGATTGCCTGATCAATATGTGGGGGAATCTGCTTTATTTCAGTGCCAAGTTCTTGCTCAATCCTATACCTGTAATGGCATTTTAGTATTCAGCATGCATATTTATCCCCTCCAGAATCCACAATAATAGCATCCATCAAACAGAAGAAATGGTAAAATAATACATACAAATTGAAACGGTCCTCATAGGTGATCAAATTCACAGCCAAACCGAGGTGTCCAAACCTCCCAGATCGACCAACCTGCAAACAACAAAATCTAGCTAAGTACATAAAACAGATGGTTTAGATATTAATAAACATAAAAAGCGACATACATACCCTGTGTAGATATGTTTCCGCGTTCTTGGGGAAATCAAAGTTAATAACAACGTTCACTGCCTGAATATCTATACCTCTGGTAAATAAATCTGCAGAAAATTTCATCTGAAACATTAGTAGGATGATATGATTAAAGGATATCTCATTTAAAATATCAGCATTTTCTAGTAATGACACAAAACAAAAATCCCTCCCATTTTAACCAAAATTTAGTACTCTGGGCATACTTAAAAGGTATAAGTTTTTTCTTTAATAATTGGGATGTATATTCAATCAAGGAGAATCCAGAAGAGGGAACATGTCATATGCATGGGAATCTACAGAAAGAACACAAAACAGGGAAGGCTGGAAGAATGAAGAAACCAAAATATCCTCATTAGTGGCACCATCAACTTGACCAGGCATGGCCATATTCTCCTATCCGATGATAGCCACTATAGCATATACCTTATGATTCTTTTAATCTTACAATGCCATCAAGAAATATTATTTTTTATTATTAGAGCTATCACTACGACTACTATTATTGTTGTTGTTGCTCAGTTGGCAGTTTAGAGGTTGAATGTTACTTGAACTCCTTGCTTCCTCACCAATCCTCCGACAAAGAGTAGCAGCTTGAACACAAATTCTCGTAACTGAGTTTTAAAACCAACACTAAATAACAAATTATCATTTTACAGTGAAATTAATTGGGTCACTACTCATTCATTCCTCTTGCCAGTTAGTGTTCAGTTTTACAAACACTCTTCACGTGAAGGAAGAAAATGAGTAAATCCCAGAACATAATTTTTCTACCACAGAGATGTTTGGCAAGAGCAAATAACATAAACATGCAACAACCAAGTAGAAATGAATCACATACCAGTGCAAACAAGATTCCTGCATGCACCATTGCGGAAGTCATGGAACACTCTGTTACGGTGATCTTGCAGCATTTTTGCGTGAATATAGAAACACGAATAGCCAAGTTCTGTAATCTTCTTGGCCAGCAGTTCTACACGATTTACTGAGTTGCAGAAGATGATAGACTGGTTTATTTGCAGCTGCAGGTAGAACCACTATTCATGAGACCAAAAGTTTGAGATACAAGGAAGACCAAACCAACTAATTTTTTGTATCATACCTTAGAAAAGAGAGTATTCAGACAGTGGACTTTCTGCCGTTCCTCAACAAAAGCATAGAACTGGGTAATACCCTTAAGCGTTAACTCGTCCATAAGGTTGATGACATAAGGCTTGTGAAGATAACGACCTTTGAAGTCCTTTACAGTAACAGGAAATGTAGCAGAGAACATTAAAATCTGCCGGCTTCCAGGAAGAAAACGAATCAACTGCTCAATGGAAGGTTGAAACTCCGGAGACAATAGTTTATCAGCCTGAGACAGGAAATGAGGTAAGATCATACACACAGTAGTTATATGTCAAGATGAGGAGAATGATTCACTCCCTGAGCAATAACAAACAAAGTGCACAAGCAATGCCCTATTTCAGGCTTTCAGCCAGGCACCGACAACTGTTTCAGTTTCTCATGGAATCCTAGCGAGCCGGTTATTCCATGTTTGATTTAGCAGACAGTAAACCCTGTGTTACCAACACAAGTTTTCAAAACCACAGGCCACATACAATCAATACCGCACTGCCAAATGCCAATTAAAAGTGTCCATAAGAAGTCTACAACTAAGACCAGCTTTACACACGGCGGTTGACAACACAAGGTTGCCCAAGATTTAAACATAGCAGTGATGCAAAAAGATTACACAATTAGGACTTGCATTGCTTTTGAATGCACGCATTAACAGAACTACCGAATAAATGAAGAAGCAAATTGACACCAACCTCATCCATAACAAGCATTGAGCAGTCTTTCAAAATGCAGACACCCTTTTTTGCAAGATCTAGAATTCTTCCAGGAGTCCCAACAAGCAGATGGACAGGTTGATACAGACGCATGATGTCATCCTTCAAACTTGTACCACCAGTAGTAACCATTACTTGAATTTTCAAATGTTTTCCAAGCTCTTTACAAACTTGAGAAGTCTGAAGAGCTAACTCACGAGTTGGCACCAAGATAACAACTGCAAGAAATGCACAGGAAAGAACTGAGAGAAGAACTTGTAGTAATAAAAGCAGTCTCGGACTACCTAGTCAACCTGGTAGAGTAAGTATATAGTATCTATACTAACTACCAAGTGCTAATTTCCATTTTAATCATCACGTCTCTCACACTAAGTCCCAAGTTTCCACATACTCACGAAACCAACCAATAATGATTCAAGAAACAACAATGCAAAACAAAACCTTTTTATACAATCAAGAATCAGCATCACATGGTTAGCTCACACAACGGGAGCTACAAGACAAACCTTGAATAACATTGTTATCCTGGTCAATTTTTTCCAGAGCTGGGATGCAAAATGCAGCTGTTTTCCCGGTTCCATTTTTAGCTCTAGCCAGGATATCACTGCCAGTAAGTGCAATAGGTATACTCTCTTCTTGAATTGGAGATGGTCTTTCAAACCCTTTCTCATATATTCCCATCAAAAGTTCACGCTTCAGAAAATAGTCCTCGAACTCGTTCCCTTTAGTAGCAGTGACATCCTGCAAACCGTAAGAAGATGAGGAAGTTTGAGAAACAAAAGGATACTGGCAAAATCTAGTTCACCTCCCCAAACTGTATGACCGTGGTCCTTCACAGAAGTTTACACAAAGGACAATTAACATTTGCAAATAAAAACAAACTAGGGCATACACATCTAAGCACAACAATCTGCACCTTTTCAGAAACTGGGAATCTAGGGAAAAGGCAGTTTATGTATCCAATAAAGAGAGCAGCTGTAGGAATACATTACATTTACTTAATGGATCACAATTGATCTCATTACTCATACATGGAAGACATAACGTAGCAGCTTAAGTTACAAATTATTTTCTTAAAATAGCTCCAAGAACTAGAGCGCAACTCCATATGAACGAAAACAAATGGATCCAAAAATGGTACAAAATGGCATGTCATTCAAAAGCAGAATGGAATGGCCTGATAACTACAAACCATAGCTATCTCGCTGAGGACCTTACCTCTGTCCTGTAACGTGTATCTGCTGCAGGTATCTTTAGCCTTGCCTTCCAATCTTGCGAACTAAAACTCCAAAAGACAATTAAGTATATAAGCAAGATAACCAACAGCGACAGCTGAGATAAATGCTGTACACACAAGCAAGAACATGCCAACAGAAACAGCAAATATATATCAACAAACTTAAAAAGAAAAAAGGTATTGCATTAAGGAGCTATCTGTGATTCATCAAAGGTAAAGCAAAATAAATGACCATGTGATTTGAAAATAAGCTCATGACATCCCAGCTTCAGTAAAAAAATAAAACAAAACTCTTTGTTACACTCCCTTTATATGTGACCCTTATATAAAATGAGAACTTTTGATGAGCCAAAAAAAAGTTACATAGACTCCCTTTTCCCCGAGAATCTTCATAATCAGCAGTTAACTGGCCTACTCCTTTCCTAACGGAGTAGCAGTTCAGGATTAGTATGGAATATCTTTAGCTCTAATGTTACCTAGGCCCCTATATATGCAGGTTTCCTCCCAAATCAGTCCACTCAACTTTGCTGACATAATTCTCATCCTAAATGTAGAAAAAGGGGGGAAATGCCTTCTTTGTCCGCATACATGATATCAAGGAGCAGCACAGAAAGCAGTAATCAATTCGAGAAATCCACCCATATCCAGACCTCCGGTATGCAGCACGTGTACTAGCTGGATGTCGTAAATTTACATGAGACAATCAGCAAGCGTAGCGACAGACCTTATATTTTGAGAGAAGATATGCACCACGTGCAGTAGCCAGAGCTTTAGATGTTAACAGAAAGAAACTCACATGCGACAGCCAAATGTTACATACTAAAGCCAAAAAAAAAACCCTGATTCCAGTTATCTAATGACCATGGGAAGACTTATGTTGCAAATTGTCCACTTGTGAGAGATGCTAAGGCTACTCAGAGAATGTATCAAAACGTCCCAGAAAATTTTAGTCCAATGGCAGCTATTGCTCCGTGCCTTTCTGCACAAACAACAATAAGTCCTACTCCGACAATCTGGGTTCAACTTAAGATAGATATTCCTAAAACAGAAACTATAGGCATTCCACGCTAGCATTCCATCCCAGCTTCTCCTCACCATCTTACCCCCTCCCTCTTTTACCCTTCTCAACACAAAAACTTAACAAAGATTTATGAGTTCCATTACTTTCTCTTTCTTTCATACATCAGGCAATAAACATTGATAGATGCATTATATGCACACACATAACAGTAATGAAACCAAGAACCTGGATTGGACACACCAAAAACAAAGGGAAAACAGAGCAACATATACCCAATAAACAACTCAACGAAGCACATCTAAAGTAGTATAAGAGTACCCGGAGTCAACGGCCTCAGATTGAACTGTCTTCTCCACCTCATCGACACTGGAATCCCCAGCAGGTAGCTGATTCCTCCTCAGCCACTGCTGCTGTTGGTGATGCTGTTGCTGCTGTTGCTGTTGCTGCTGTTGATGTTGCTGCTGGGGATTTTGAAACTGCTGATGGTTCTGCATCAAACCCCTCTGCACGTACTGCTGATGCGGAACCCTTGACTGAAAATTAGGGTTCGCATTCATTCCTCCGCCTCTCCCAACCCCAAGACCAGGAGGATACCTTGCTCGATTGTTGTTCATCGCTAACTAAACCAACTCCCTAAAGTTAAAGCTAACCGAGATGATTCAAAACCCCCAGATTTTGTACAAGCAAGCTAAACAAAAGGGGGAAAGAAACTAAGAAGAAAGATGCAGAAACTAGCCTAGGGTTTTCTCGAGAAAAGGACTACAACCAGACAGAGGCTACAAAACCGACTTGAGGAATTAAACCCAGCTCTGCAGAAGGGAGCAGCACAGAAAGGACCGGAAGGGAGCAGGAAAAAAAAAAATACAAAGGAGAAAGAGGGGAATAAACTGCAAGCCTTAGGTTCAGTCGAAGCAGAGAAAGCGAGAGCGTTGATGGAGCTCCAAGAGAGATAAAGGGTTTTCTTCTTGTGGGAGGGGAGAGAGAGGATCGTGAAATCCAAGGCCGAAAATGCAGCGGATCTGAAGGAAGGAAGGAAGGAAGGAAGGAAGGAAGAGAGAAAGACTGGTTTAAACCTTTGTGGTGAGTTGCTGCTGCGGGCGGAATCGGGGGGACGATTTTGATTTTGATTTCGATTTCGAGGGTTTACAAGGGGAAGGAGAAGAAGGCAAGAGAAGTGGTTGCGAGATGGTTCATGGCGTTTTCTTCTGTGCTTTTGATGATTGATGGGTGAGTGGTTTCTGCGAGCGAGCGAGCGAAAGGGAGAGAAAGAACGCCTTTTCTGCGGGACTTGTGATAATTCGGAAGGTGCCAAAAAAAACTACAACGACGACGAAACGGAAACTACTTGCTTCTAGGGCTTCAACATTCTATCCGATTACCATGCCGATTGCGCTTTCCCACCATGTCCTCACTCACCGTTGAGATTAGATCCAATGGTCATATTGATGTCGAGATGGTAATTTTGTCAAAAAATCATGAGTATTTAATTCTGTTTTTCTATTTTGACCCACTAAATATTTATATTTATTACCATAAATTTTTACCGTTACGAGTGTTTCTACGGATCGGGAAATCAAGAAAAAACGAACTCTCCAGTCTACCTCCCCCCCCCCTCCTCCCCGCAGCTCCTTACCACCGATCTTGCCTGCCACCACTTGGATTCCTCCTCCAGAAGGTTTTTTGAAGATCAACGTCGACGCAGCCGTCAGTGCCTCCGGGTGTTCGTCTGGGCTTGTTATCCGCGGGTCAGACGGGCATGTATTGTTGGCGTTCGGGTTGCAGCATCAAGGTATAGTCAACCCTTATCTGGCTGAGCTGCTAGCGCTCAGGGATGCTATATCTTTTGTGGCCTCATGATCCTTGACCCATGTGATAGTCGAAGGTGATTCCGAAGTGGTCGTCAAGCAAGTCCGTCAAGGTGTCTCAGAAGACTCGATTGGTGGTCCGGTGCTTCGAGAGTGTCTTCAGATCCTTAGCTCCTTGTCTGCTTGTATAGAGTTTAGGGCGGTACCTAGATCCGCCAACAGTGCTGCCCATAGAGTGGCGCGTAAAGCACTGATTTTGTCTCTTGTAGAGCTAGAATCTTTTGATTTTTTGGGGTGGCTTCTTTAGAGTCTATTAGGGGTCCTGGGTAGAATTGTAAGTTTAACTATTATTTCTCCTTGATATCACTCAGAAAAAAAAAACAAGAAAAAACGAAAGCGATAAACAAGCACGACACACGAATTTACGTGGTTCACTAAGACAATGTATGTTAGCTAGTCCACGAGCAGGAGAGAGCCAGTTTCATTATACTCACAGGAGATACCGATTACAGAAGAGTATGAGAAGTATTTATTGTACCTCTCCATGTGGTCTAACCCTAATCCAATATGTTAAAAGACGAGACCTCCGTGACTTCCAGTTAGCAGGGCTGACCAATGAATTCTAGAGGCCCTGTGGGTGGTCATTTTGGGGTATAAGCTACTTATTTGAGGTTGAAGAGGTATTTCCTTGTAGCCTAGTCTTAAATTGCACGTCAAGGAGTTTGTGAAGTTGTGTCATGTATGGAAGAGGTCTAAATCTGAGAATGTCCCCTACAGTGGCATGTTACCGTCTTTACATGTTCCAAAAAGAGCATGTCAACATATCTTGATGAATTTCATTGATGGACTACCTAAATTCGTAGGGAAGGAAGTGGTGTTTGTTGTAACAGACAAATTCTCAAAATATATATAGTTCTTCAGCTTAACAAGACCCTATACTGTTGTAAGAGTCGCCCAGGTGTCCTTCGAAGGGATATTTAAGTTACATGGGATGCCTCAGACCATAGTATCATACAGAGTTTTTGTTTTTACTAGTGGTTTATGTTTTACGGGTCGTTTGGATGCAGTATTTTGATGAGGTAATTTGGTCGAAATAACTCAGAATGAGGCATTTCAACCAAAATAACTCGTTTGGCAAAAATAAAGTAGAATGTGGTATTTTGTCCATGAGTCATTTGAAATAACTCATTGTGAGTTATTTCAAATACCTACCCACCCCCTAGTTATTTCAAATACCTCATCTCCCAACTTCTTTTTTCACTTCATCCCTTCTTTAAGTGGTGAAATACCACAATATTTGAATGTTTTATCCAAACAAGACAATTACACCAATTACCACATTTCAAAATGAAATACCACATGAAATGCCACATAGCAAAATAATGCATCATTTTGATTCGAAATACCATAGAACCAAAATGATGCATCCAAACGACCCTTAAGTTATTTGGGTTACAAGGGGTAGAGCTCCATTACTCCACAACAATCATCCTCAAGCTGATGGTCAAACTGTGAGACAAACATATATCTGGAGGATTATCTGGGAGCTATGCTTCATCATTTACCACAAAATTGGAGATCACCTATAGTAGAGTAGTGGTACAACCCCAATTATCACAGCAACTTGCAAACTCCCCTTTGAAGCACTTTATGGATATCCACCATCCCATTTCGAAGTGAGAAATCCCTTGTCCAATTCCATAGAAGCAATTGCAGACAAACTGTAGTATGAGCATAAACTAATCAAAATCATCAAGGAGAATTTGGCAATGGCTTAGAACAAGCAGAAGCAAATGGCTGACCAAACACAGGACAAAAGAGAGAATTTGTAGTTGGAGAATTGATGTATTTAAGACTAAGATCATATAGACAAGTGCCAGTGGCAACTAGAATAATCAAAGCTTGCTCCAAAATATTAGGGACTATTTCTCATCACAAAGAAGATTGGAGCAGTTGCATATGAGTTGCATATCCGTTGGCAGCGGCCAAATTTTCCTCGGAGGAAGAAGGACTGAAGTATATGGATCAGGATTCAGGATCGAAGGAGAAGTTGACGTAGGGCCAAAAAGAAGACGATTCTTGGAAGGGAAAGAGAGTTGTAGAATTTAGGAGACTCGCTTGGGAGAGGGAGAAAGAGTCTCTTCTAAATTCGTGCCCAACAAGGTCGTCGTCGAGCGAATAAAAAATGACATGTTGCGGTGGTCGTAAGTCCTCACGACCATCGCTCTGGATTTTTAATTCCTTTCCCTGTGTAGTTACTCTGTCTTCAACTCGAGGAAAGTTGTCGTAGAGGGCTAGCTGAGTTTCGAGGGTGTTTTCGGATATAGAGCAAAATATGCCTCCTCTTCGATTAGTAATCTAGTCCCAACATTCACCTACGAAGAACAATAACTGGCGAGCGTAATCAAAAGTATGGATCCCTTCCGAATCGCGGTTGTAGTTAGCAATATTGCATTTTTGCGGTTTAACCGGAACTGCAACCATTTAACAGGTAACCGCAATTTAACCGATTATTAACGCGGTTAACCATGATGAGGTGGCCCTTGATTAGTGATGGCAATTTGAATCCGCCCCCGTGGGTATTACCCGACCTGACCCGCGATGGGACGAAGCGTGGATATTTTCTTTTGACCCGCCCCATTCTATTTCAATTTCTTACAACATCTACACATATTTTTCCTATTTTCACTTTTTTCATTTAGTAAATCAATTTTTCAACCTATTAGACTCAATTGCACATTCAATTATCACTATTTTTCATTTTTAAAGTGGTTTCTCCTTCGTTTTATATTTAAAAATAAAATATGCGTATATTTTTTTCAAATAACATATTAGAGTTCGACCTACCTCGGCCTGTATCCGCGCGGTTTAACCCGCCCGCCTCATTACACTGCAAAGCAGCTCAGAAGAACGAGCGAATACATTTCATTTCACAGCAATGGAGGTTGAAGATGGCGGTGGCGTTTCGAATTGTGTGATTCAACTGGTGAGTTTCAATCATTCCTCAAGGGCCTCCTCCTTAAAATCTTCTTCTCCGGTTTCGGCTGGCGAAGCCGGTGAAGTAATTCAACTAATCTGTAACCTCCTTCTGCGCAGAGGGACGGTCCCCAGAGGCTGAGGGAGAAGGTCTACGTTGGCTGCGGGGCAGGGTTCGGATGCGATAGGCCATCTGCGGCACTGAAGTTGCTGCAGAGAGTTCCCGAGTTGAACTATCTCGTCCTTGAATGCTTAGCGGAACGCACTCTTGCTGATCGCTTCCAAGCTATGGTCTCTGGCGGCGATGGCTATGATCCTCGTAGTGAGTGTTTTTTTATCTTCTCTCTTGTTTTTCCTTTTGCTGAGAGGGAGGCTTCCATCTATGATAGGCCTTACGCTTTTCCAATTTTATCGCGCTGCAGTTTCTGTTTGGATGTCTATGCTACTCCCTTTAGCAGTGGAGAGAGGGACTTGCATTATAACAAACATGGGTGCAAGTATGATCATTCTGACTCAGAAATTTGATTAATTTTGTTCTAGGAATCTAGATGATTGAATTCGCTTCGTTCTCATACACTTTGTTTGGCGGGGGGACTTGGAATTTTGTTCTTAGTGGATCCTATTGGGGCACAGGAGAAAGTTCTGGCTATTGCTAGAGAATTGGGGTTTGGTGTTTCCGTTGCTGTTGCCCATGAGGTTTCCTACACTGGATCAGGTATAATATGTTGCTTCTGGTTGTGCCGATTCAGTCCTTTTCGTTGAATGAAAGGGCATTAGGAAATGAACTTTATCAATACATTTGCTTTGTCTCAACTTAACCTTCTGGAACTTGGACTGGAAGTTATTGTTTCTTGTTCTTCTGTAGGGGACTCACTAGGGAAGACATCGTTGGAAGGTGTAAGAATCTGGTACTCAAATACTTTTCATATGTGCTGAATGTTGGTATCTGAAATGTTAACATTATGCTAGACTAAGATTGACTGTTAAATTGACCCTATGCAACCATTCACTCCTGTAGGTGAATGTGTTTACATGTTCTGTTAATTGTTTGGATGAATACTCATCTTTCTCTGCAAATCTATGCTGTCATCTAGACTCCCTGATTCATGCCAGTGAGTACCATCTAACCATAATTTTTGGATCCAAATTCTGAAGGGTATTAGCACCTATCTTGGAGCCTCTCCCATCGTCCAATGTCTTGAGAAGTACCATCCAGATGTTGTAATTACTTCACGGGTTGCGGATGCTTCCTTGTTCTTAGCACCAATGGTGAGTAAGCTTCTTGTTCTTGGCAGTTTGCCTGTCAGTTATGGAGTTATGGTTTTAGCGGAATTCATTTCTATGGTAAAATCTGATAGGCATAAAGTTTCTCTAGGCTGTTTGATGGAGTAGCCAAAGCGTTAGTGGGGAATATGAAAAGGAAACTTTAGTTTAAATTAAATAGGTGGTTAGTAGAAACATGAATGTGGTATCGCTGCAGATGCAGATGCAGATGCAGGAGTTTGGGAACCTTTTCCTGTTTGCTATTTGTATTGGTAACTTCATCTCATGACATATGCTATACTGCCTGGAAAAACATCTATTGTATTGTTGGATACCATGTTTGATTTTTGGTTCATCTCGCAATTGCCAACATTAGGTTTATGAACTTGGCTGGGACTGGGATGACTTAGATAAGCTAGCTCAAGGATCTCTGGCAGGCCATCTCTTAGAATGTGGTTGCCAACTCACTGGGGGATACTTCATGCATCCAGGTGAAAGTTTCATAGATTTACTTGATGGTCACTGAAAAACTTTGTAATAACATCCAGCTGGTAAAAGATTGATGACATTTCAGTCCAATTATGAAGGCACCTTTGCTTCTAGTTTGGTCAAAATTTATATTGCTTCTCCTAATACTGAAATCGTTTCTTTGCAGGTGATAAGTATCGCGACATCTCCGTCACTTCTCTATTAGATGTTTCTCTTCCTTATGCTGAGATATGCCACAATGGTGAACTCTGTGTGGCAAAGGCTATTGATAGTGGTGGGGAATTAAGTTTAAATACTTGTGCCCAACAACTCCTTTATGAGGTTGGAGATCCATCTGCTTATGTCACCCCCGATGTGGTAAGTTCCATGGAAGTTTGTCATTTCAAGAACTTGCAAGAGCTGGTGGGTGAAAATTGCTGAACCAATTGCCCTGAGAATGCAGGTAATTGATCTTCAGGACGTTTCATTTCACTCATTATCAAGTAGTAGAGTTCTTTGTACTGGAGCTAAACCCTCGACCACATTGGGACCTGAAATGCTCCTGCGTTTGATTCCCAGGGTACTGGCCAATTTACAATACATAAAATTTCTGCCATAGAATTGAATATCTGGGTTCGTTTAACATGTGATTTTTTTTTGCTCTGGTCTGTTTTCTCGTAGGATTGTGGATGGAAAGCATGGGGGGAGATATCCTATGGGGGATACAAGTGCGTGGAACGTGCTAAAGCTGCTGAGTATCTGGTGAGGACGCTCTATAAGAACCAATGACGTCATCCAATATAACGAGCCTGCTAGTTGATCTTCCTCTTGAATAGTTGTTCAGCCTTGTGAAGGGTTATTCATCTATTATATTATTTTCCTGAAGTTTTATGTCAAGCTTTTATTGATGTTAGGTCCGTTCTTGGATGCAAGAGGCATGCCCTGATGTTGATTGCAAAATAGCATCGTATATTATTGGGCTTGACAGTCTCAAGGCAACCGCCATCCATGCTGATGCTTCAGCACTGAACAGTGAAGACATCCGGTTGCGCATGGATGGACTATTTGAGTCGAAAGATCACGCAATCCAATTCACACATGAGTTCACTGCTTTGTATACAAATGGACCTGCTGGAGGCGGTGGCATTAGGTTAGTTCTTGTCCTTCTTCTGCTTTACATCAATTGACCAGATCAGCATGACCTCATTTGAAGTGTTCTGTGAGTCTGAATCCGGGATAGTAAATTACAGTTCGACAACATTGTGGCTGGGGACTTCCTTGTAATGTCCTTAAAATTTTCAAGGAGGCTGGATGACTGTCATGATGTCCTCTTTCAGATTTTCTCTCATTCCCATTCTCGGCCTTTTGTGCTTAATTTTCCATTTCTCTGATGCAGCACTGGACACAAGAAAGATATAATTCTCGGGAAGGAACTGGTACAACTCTACTCCGTCTCTCTCGAACACACTCTCTGCATTTGTTGTAATGAAAATTTGGCCCAAGACAGATATTTCTCAGATGCAAATCATATTGTATTCTTTCAGGTGGCCCGTGAAAATGTCTTCTGGCGCACTGGAATTAAGCACACCAAACGAACGGCCTCAAGTGATGAAGAAGAAGTTGCACCAAGAAATGTGGCAAGAACTGGAGATCACGACGAGGCCTTATCCCAACAACGAAGTAGCACCCCTGGAAACAGTCGAGCATTTGCTTCACCAACCCCGAGACCTGCTCCTGCGGGCCAGAAGATCCCATTGTACGAGGTGGCACATAGCAGAGCTGGGGATAAAGGAAACGACTCGAACCTCTCTCTCATACCGCACTTTCCTGGAGACGTTGAGAGGTTGAAGCTGATCATAACGCCAGAGTGGGTGGCCAAAGTTCTGTCCCCTCTCCTGAACGACTCATCGTTTCTGGACGCTGAAGGTGTCCTGGAGAGAGATACAAGAGTCGGCGAACAAGTAGGCGTGGAGATATATGAAGCGAGGGGGATCCGTGCTCTGAACATCGTGGTGCGGAACATTCTAGATGGTGGAGTCAACTGCTCTAGGAGGATCGACAGGCATGGTAAGACCATGTCGGATGTCTTGCTTTGTCAGCAGGTTGTGTTGCCTCCAGAGAAAAGTGGGCTTTTAAGTTTTCTGCCGCAAAAATGGGCGTAAAACGTCGATGGATGTGAGGTTTCAGATATCAGTTTGTGTCCAGAACTTTATCAGGAAAATTTGGGATGTCTTCGTGACGTCTCCTTCTGTTATAGGTCGATATCTTCCTTGGATCATGCTATAAGGAAGTTGAGATGGAGCAACGCGTCTGAATTTGAACTTCACTTGGCTGTGAAATACAAGATTTGTAGTTACTACTGAGTGAGCAGTGAGCACTATATTATTATTATTATTATTATTATTATTATTATTATTATTATTATTATTAGTTCAAATTTGTAGTGAATTTGAACTTCACGCGTCTAATAATAATAATTATTATTATTATAATAAAGCAATGCCAAATCACTAGTCACTGGAATAAATGGTGTGCGATATTTTTGTCAAATATGAATTCTAGCATGATTTTTTTCTGTGAAGAAGATGGCAACATCAATACACAAATGTTAGCATATGTTTCCTCTTTCTTGCCAGACTTGGTCTCGTTTTGGTTTTTGTTTGGCTTTGTTTGTAGTGGTTTCTGGACAATTGTTCTGCTGCTGCATTCCTTGGTTACTTTTGCTTGCTGTCTCTTTTTACCTCTTTGCTTTTTTATGTAAACTTTCTCCTTCTTTTATTAAAACTATTTCATCCTTATAAAAAAAAAATGTCAGCATATTTTTATAAAAAGTTTGACACTATGTCCCAGAGTAGAGAAAGATCTACTTTTGTGAAATATTGGAAGGAACAGTGTATGACATTCTTATGAATCAATAAGCTATACTCTGTTGGGTGAAGAAGGATTACTTTTAAAAAAAAACTCTCTATATCGTATTATACAAATGGAGCATATAATTAGTTTGTGGTGTAATTCTGTTGGTTGTGTGAGGAAAAAGTCAGAGAAATAATGAAGGAGCTCATTTTACTCTAAACCAAGGGAAGGAGAGCATCCAAAACAATCGGATCTCCATTAAATATGTCTGTCACACGACAACCAAAGAACAAACGAGGGGTGAAATGTCAAAATTCTAAATAATTATTGGTATTATTTCGTCTTTCATGACACAAAGACTAATCTATTTTTATTTTATTAATTTTAAAAAGTGGTATCCGAAGCATTAAACATACCCTAGCCAGACAACCGATTAGCCCCAAATCTTTAACAGCCTCAAACATACATAACCCTAACCCCCCTTATAATATACTTTACCTTTGGATTGTACAAATAGTTTACAAGAGAAAGGAAAAAGGAAAAACACAAAAAGAAAAACACAAAAAGAAAACAGAAAGGAAGATAGAAGAAGATGTCATTCACTGGAACTCTTGATAAGTGCAAGGCATGTGACAAGACTGTTTATGTTGTTGATCTCTTGTCTTTGGAAGGGGTGCCATACCACAAGTCATGCTTCAAATGTAGCCATTGCAAAGGCACTTTGCAGGTGATATCCAACTTCACCACCTTTTTTTGTATTTGTTTCTTGCTCTCTCTTAAATTACCAACAATAATGTGAATATGTTTTGCATATGTATCTTTTGGCTAGATGAGCAATTACTCTTCTATGGATGGAGTGCTCTTCTGCAAAACTCATTTTGAGCAACTCTTCAAGGAATCTGGAAATTTTAGCAAGAATTTTCAAAGTGGTGAGCCTCTTGTTTCCTTTCATCTAAGACATGAGAGCTAATATTGTGTTTTTTTTTTTAAATATATTTTTTGACTCTTTTGTTTTATTTCATTTTCCCTTGTATATAGCTGGCAAAACTGAAAAGCAGAATGACCTGGTACATCTAACGAACCCTGTTCATTTTATTATTCCCCTTTTCAATTAGTTTCTCTATTCACAAAAATCAATCTTGAGCTTGACTGGCTTTATGGTTCATTAGAATATTTCCATTTGTCTTTTAATTGGATGCCAATATTTTAGTTTTTGATAAGAAAATTGAAACTTTTTATTGGATATGCTTGAACTAACAGTCGAGGACACCTAGCAAACTGTCTTCCATGTTCACTGGAACTTTGGACAAATGCTCGGCCTGTACCAAAACTGTTTACCCACTTGAGAAGGTCTGTCTTTCTATTTTTTTCCACTATATAAACTCGGTTCTTCAATCCTTAACATAGATAATTGAATTAAACCATCTTTGTTCCTCAAGGTGACAATGGAAGGAGAGTGTTACCACAATACATGCTTTAGGTGTGCTATAGGAGGGTGTCACTTGACACACTCAAACTATGCTGCCCTTGATGGTGTCCTCTATTGCAAGCACCATTTTGCTCAGTTGTTCATGGAGAAGGGTAATTACAACCATGTCCTTCAAGCTGCTTCCCACAAGAGGTCTGCCTCCACTCCTCCACCGGAAGCCGTTGAGGGCGAAGCTGAGGCCGCCACCGGCGAGGGAGATGGAACAGCTCATCAAGAAGAAGACAAATGAGAAACAAACCATTAGTTTTTTATACTACACACATATAATACACACATATTCTTATACTACAAAAGATTAAAACTCATATACACACATGCAAGGTTCCTATATTCTATACTAAGATCTTATGAAGAGTTCTTCAAGGTTCTACCCTTTATATTACCCCTGGATTCACTCATCATCACCTTCTTCAACCTTCAGTTTCATTATGCTTAAACCTCATTGTTTTCTTATTCTTTTTTTCTTGTTATGCATTCCCCCCCCCCCCCCCCCCCCCCCTCCCCATTCTTTTCATCATTCAAAATTATTTTTTGGTCTGGGTTGCTTTCCCAATTTACACAATTCAGTTGTCCTTCACAATTTTGTGCAATGTAACAAAATCTTATGAGAAATGAATATTGTTTTTCTCTATTAGAAAAAGTTTGCCAAGCTTGTATGTGATGTGAATACTATTTTGTTTTATGTTGTGTTTTCAATGACTAGAAGTATGTTGGTAAACATAAAGAACATGGTTGATTGCTTCTTTTTTCTACTTTCACATAACCAAGATTCAGAGTCATCTAGAACTTAATTGACCACTAAACTTTAGTGCAATGGATGTTCATCGTCATCGGTAGAATTCTCCTGCTACTGACATTAATCGTCGCAACATCTTCTTGTTTCCCACCTTTCTCTCTCATATCATCTCCCCCTTTTTTCAATTCAATCTTGGGTTTCCATCCCCTTCCATGGCACTGTGTGATGAAATTTGAAACTCTTAGGAACTAATACTTCTCCATTGGCTTAATTAGTTAGCAACATCTGGAAAATGTTTTTACGATTGGATCGTCAATGGAGCTAGCTAGCAAATTCTCGATCGAGTTGCTAGAACTTAATTTACAGGGGAATGTAGAAAATAAGCTTGGGGTGATCAGGTGTTAGTAACTGATTTGGTGTTTGGCATAACCAGAGACTCGACTTCAGAGTGTAAATAGGTTAATCGAATCCCTTTTGTTATTGTTTGTAACTGCTTCAAGTGATGTTTGCTTCTTTACTAGGATGGCAAACAACAATGAGATTGAACTCATGGGAGTTTCAAAGCTCCCACTAAGCAGCATGACTGCATTGGACGAGCATACTCATGACTCTAACTCAGATGACGAGATCACAGAAGTGGCAGATTGGCTTATGATTTTAGCTTGGATGCGAAGTCACTAATTAAAAGTGGTTCCCTAGAAGGCACAAGTGACGCTTCACTACAACAAATGCACACTCCTCGATCACATAGATGCATGCATAAATCTCTCTTTGATAAACAAGTTTTCATCAATTTCTCTTCAATTATAGGTCTGAACAAAATTGTTATATATGCACGATACCTTCACGATTATCTAGAATATTATGACCAACCTCATTTTCACTTCATGTTAGGTGGAATTCTCTTGACATGGATAACTTTTTGAAAATATTATATCCCTTATGTTACGAGGACAAAATGTATAAGAAAACAAACAACTATTGTTCGTACGTAAACACAAGGATTCAAATATATATGGAAACTTCACCAACAGTAGTTGTTTTTAGTATACCATGAATCTTTTCTTTAGAGCGAAATGGGGGAAGAAAATCATTTTCTTCAGCACAACTATTTTAAGCATGTTGGAAGTTATGATTCTTCAGTACACCTCATACGTCAAGTTTGAATTTGAATTAGCAAACCACAGTTTTCATTTGATGTCTGCCTCTCGATTTTTTACCATGCCACGATGCACAATTAATTCTCCTCACAAACTAATGATGATCAGTTCTCTCTCATATAAGTTTGGTGAATATCTAACATTTTGCTTACATTGACAAAGTATTAGGGGGTAATACTTTGGCTTTGTATTAGATTTCTTTTGCATTTAGAGTATTCTATGATTTAGAGTTGCATTTTGTGGTAGAAATAGGATCACTATGAGTGCTCTTTTGAAAAATAGGATCACTATGATGGAGTCCATTTCTCTTGACACGTTTTCTTGAGAGTGATCCATTGCACACGTGAAGTGTCTAAATCTCTTTAGTTGGCAAGGTCCTTATTCGAGAGTATGTTGTCTCGTAGAGATGGAAGTAATGTTTTCTCGTCTCTTATTGTCTTTGAAAGTGATACCAACAACGTATATGCATACCGTTTTGAGTTTCTTGCATGTTGCACTAGTGTGAGTTAGGTTTGCATAGGGACAATCAAACGAATAAGTGTGGGAGTTTGATTTGAGCCGTTGTATTCATGTTTCTACCCCTTGGACTTTGTCATTTGACTTGTATAACACCATCCTTGGATTCATTTTACACTAGGTTTTGGAAATTTTTATCATGTTTTAGGTTATATCAGGTGAAATGGGCGAAAGGGAGCAAAAATGGGACAAAGAGCTGGAAATTGCATGGATCATGGTTCAGGGCAGATTGTCACAAGCAGAAGACCGTGAAGATTACAACAAGACCATGAAGAATGCAAAGTCCCAGGGGCTTTTGGACTTCTCACAGGAAGTGCATGGATCACGAGTGCAAGGCGTGAAGAATACAACTAAACCGGGAGTGTGTAAGTGAAAGGGTGCATTTTGCGTTGAGATCGCGATTTCACTGCACACATCACGAGCGTGACGAAAATTCATGATTTCAAGAGAAGAGTTTGAGAATGAGACTGGGTTCTTCTTCTACATTTTAGAGAGAGAAAGCGACAAACTAAAGAAGATTGGAGAGGAATTTGACCTACCAGAGACCAAAGGAGGCCAAATTTCATCTTCAACACCACGCCAAGCAACTAGGAAGAATGAGATTCATCTTTTCATGGGTTTTCCCTTCTCTTTAGTTGTAGTTATTTCTACATGCATGAAGTAGATTTTCCTTTCACTTGGATTATGTGAACCCTATACTAGGATGTTGTAGTTTGATGATTGTGAACTCTATGTTGTTAATTGAGAGACATTGAATGAGGATTATTGGTTTCTCTATGTCATTTCAGGTCATCGCCCGAGGAAGTGGATTTGGTTTCCCTAATTGCCTTTCCGGTAGTTCGGTACGCCACTCTTATTAGACCAATTAGGCGTGTTAGGACAGTTCGAATAGGGACTCCTAACTAGCTTTGATCTCCTGACGATATATATATATTATGCAAATCACACTAGAGTATCATGTTATAGACTCAATAATCATCCGAGTGAAGCTTTCTCACTTGAATTCAACCTCGTATTATTTGCTTGTTTGTTTAGTTCAATAGCTTAAATAACCGTTTCTACTGCTAGCTAATTTATCAGTGTTGAAGTAAGGATACACAAACCGCTCGAATTTGATAATTCGAAATATACTTGATCTATACTACACCCGATCGTAGGCTAACTTGACTTTCGATTGGGAGTGTATAGTTAGGTGTAGATCACACACTTCCACAATAATGGATCCATGGCTGAAACATAAGACCGGACAACTGAGACGCTAGCAATGAAGAAGACAATATGATAAGTTGATTTAACATAAAAAAACACATCATATAACTCATAATGTCACACATGTATATAGGAACAGGGCTAGCGAGCAAAGAAATATAAGAAATTAACCTGAATGAAGCTAGGATAAAGAAAGCCACACATTTTTTTCTTCTTTCACTCCAATTCTTTCATGGGCTAAAAAAGTTGACTAAAAATTGAAAGTGAGCTAATTAATGGGTCGGACATTTCATCAAATTTCACTAATGAACTTGTATTAAATGGGATTCTAGGGCAAGAATTTCAAACCAGTTTAAGCCCTTGGATTGGTGAAACAAATGGTTTGAGTTTCATTTGTTGGATCGGGGTTTAAGCCATTTTATATATAATATATAAATATATGCGTATCTATGATAATAATTTGAGATTTTAATAACTTGAATGTTAATTTGAGATTTTAATAACTTGAATGTATTTGATAGGTAACATACAATAATTTAATTTAACATTTAATATATTATATGACACTAAAAACTGTGTATATGTGGTTTGTTTTCCAGAATGTGTTTGAAAGAGGACCAAAACGCAACATTCTGTTAAAGAGCCAAGAATTGCTCAATCCGATCAGATAGTCAATTTTTTGCGGTTTGGACCGACTAACGCTTTGGAGGCAAAATGACTTTCTTGAGACCGTTTTTCATCACTGGCTCTGATCTGGCCCGGTCCAACCGGTCGGCTTGCCTAGGGCTTGACAGCTGTGGACTAGAGACTGGAGGGAGATTAGTTTAGTCTGTTATGGATGGACATTTTTTTTTTGTCGAAATCGATACTTGCATTACCAAGACATAGAAGTTACATCAAACCAATTTCCGAGCACAACCACCCCCGAAAATCAAAACCAACACTTCCCGTAGGAAACAAATCGAGGGCTTTTTTGGTCACCAAATGGACCACCCTATTGTTCTGTCTACCTACAAACACCACACTAAACCCAACATTAGCTCCCAGCAGCCGACAGATTTCCCGAAAGATGGACATTCATTTCATACATTGTCAAATATATATTGACATCCTGCTATGAAGATTTCTCTTTGCATTAGTACAACAAGTCCATTTCTTTAGTTAAAGAGAGTTACTTTAATCATCCCACCAAAAAAAAGGGGGGAAAAGAGAGTTACTCTTTAATTAAACCTGAAACTCACGTAGCTGCAGTTTTTTTTTCCAGGTAATGCACATACATATAACTCATGAAAACTGTTGAAGGATTTTGGTACGTTTTCAGAAATCTCAAACACAAGCAGGGCTCTTTCTTCCTTATGAAAACACAGAAACAAGCCTCTCTCATCTTATTATCCCCCTCCCACTCTTATTCATATGAAAACATGGAAGGAAATATGAGCAAAGCAACCCTTGAAATTTTACTTGTGAATGCCAGTGGCATCAGACGCACAAATCTCATCGGTATTCATTCTTTCCCCCCTTTGATCTACCTAACCTTCCTCTCATTGTGATTCATGGCATTTTATGAATATGGATGTGACAACAGGGAAAGCATACTACTATGTCATCATCGAATGTGGGGATCAACAACGCATCACCAAACTGTCATCTTCAGGCAAAGATCACAAGACATGTTGGAACCAGAAGTTCAGGTTCGAAGCTCCGGTAATCGACTGGAAGCGGAGGACCCATCTCAAGCTCACCATCTTGGACACGGAGCTGTTCAAAGATGGAGAATTTGTTGGTGAAACCATGTAAATTTCAACTGCAAAAAAAAAAAAAAAAATCCCACATCTTCTTTTTCTGTTCTGTTCTGTTCTGTGTTTTGGTTTTAATATGTTTGGTGGTTCTGTTATGGTGGTGAGAGCAGAATCTACCTTGGAGGGATAGTGGCAGAGGGGAAAGACAGAGAGGTTGTGGAGATGAAACCAGCTCCATACAATGTTGTCCTCCATGATGGTACTTTCAAGGGACAGATCAAGCTTGGGATCAAATTCAAGACTGTCACTCATGTAAAGTCAACAACAAACAACAAAACTTTGATGCTAGTTTGTTAAGCAAAATTGGGTACCTCTCTATCTTTGAATAGATGTTGAAAAATGCGCAGGAAGAGGAAGAGGAGGAGGCGGCTAGGGAGATCGTTGCCGCGCAGCTGCCCAGTAGCACTGCTACTGCTGCACAGAAGGCAGCAAGGCGATCTTCGTCTTCATCAGCAGTATGGGAAGCCATAAGCAGTGTGTGGAAATCTTCGTGGTGGAAGTTTTGGAGTTATTGCAGTCCTAAAAGTGGCAAGAGCAAGCCAAAGTCAAATTAACTAACTTAGCTAGATAGGGAGACTCCAATCATATGTTACAATAAATACATAGATGAGATAGCAGTGTTATGGAAATGTCCATCTCTACTTGTCACTTCTTTGTTATATCAGAAATTTTCAGAACCACCATTTTCTTTTTTTTCCCCCCATGGCATATATAAGCTAAATTTTGGCGTTTCGAGCCTCTCCGCTGTTCTTTCTTTCGCTCCTGCTTTCTTTTGGATTGCCCAACAGGCAACAGCAGCGGCAGGAAGCTAGCTTTTAGAAGAAGGAGGGATGGTGACAAGTACAAACAGAGGAACTCTGTACTTCTCCCTGTAAATTTATTTCCCTCTACAATTTGCACCTCCTTGTTGGCAAACATAACGTTTGTAACCCAAATTGTGGTTGGTTGAGAACTTTTCATTGGGCTAACCATGGGTAGGGGTGGGTGGGCCAACATCTTATTATTGGCCAGATCGAAAGCTTTCCTTTGCTTGAATATGAAGACTCAGATCGTTAAAACGGATTAAGTCATTAAGACAGTTTGACAAGACATTAATCTGGTTAAGTGGCTGATTAGGTCATTATTTTTTTATGTTTGTTATTAGTCAGTCGTAGTGGCGGATTTAGGGGTGGTCATCCCAGGCCACAGCCCAACCCTCTTCTAGGTTCAAAACTAGTATAGCACTTATAAATTTTCTCGATTTTAGGTATCCGATTTAGTGTTATTGAAATATGGTCCGATGTTATTTTATATTCAAATGCACTCCAGTTCTCTACTATGTCCTAGACCCGCCACTGGTCGGTCGCTTTAATGATAAAACCGTCTCTCTAGACTCTCGGTTTGTGCAACAGAACTCTATAAAGAGCACTATCTCGTGTTTTCACTCTTTGAATTTGTGTTTTTAAAGGGTTTGGGAGGCATGCGATTATAGGAGCAGAACCCCCAGAGTTAATTATCCCCTTAATTAAGGGTGGGTGACATACGTTTCATTTTGTGATTAAGGTACTACTTAAAGGATTCGATCCCGAGACCTCCAGATTCTAGACTAGTGGTATTACCACTAAGCTAAGCCCTTGTTCGTGACAATTTCATTTTAATTATCCCTTTTAATTGTGTATATAGACGAAAACTAGATAACTAATTTGAAATTTATCCAAAAAATCATTGTATCAAACCGACCAACTCAACCCTTCATCCATTCACTCGAACGGACGACATATGTGTGTGTGGTTTGAAGGTCGTTTAGGTTATCTTTGGACAAAAGTGGGTAACTCCAAGGGCTACATCCTTGAACAGAGAATCATATATTTACTAATTTTTGGGTAAATACAACTTATTAGCCAAAAAATTTGAAAGACAAAATATTAGCAAAATCTTTTGTAACGCACATCAAACCATTTGTTTGTTACCATTACTAATTTTGTAACTCTTTTCTTAGTTAAAATACTAAAATTTTAAAATGTTGAACTCTACATGTCTCTTCAAACTCAGTATCATGTTACCAAGTCAATATTACTAACAAAACTGTTAACAAACAAAATTATCATGGGCTAATATTTTATATTTTAAAAAATTTAACTGATAATTTAAAATGTTTGAATAATAAATTGTATTTACCCTCATTTGTTTTGCAAGGTTTCATTTGAGAATTCAGTATAACTTTTAGTAGCTATTCATTGATGAATATTTAAAGAAATGAATTAGGGATAACTTTGAATTTGTGATACCTACCTAACACACTCCCCTGCTTAAGAAAAAAAAATATATATATATATATAACAACAACACCCTTAATAATTAATAATTAGTTTCTAGCTTCTACGTGCCCTTTGAATTATTATTTTTGTTTGGCAGGTTGAGAAAATTCAATTGTGTCTAATGTTCATGCACTGCCTTAACAACTATAAACAAGTATTTGACCACCTGATTAAGAGCTTTAATTGTTCTGAACCCTGAAAGTGGAATGCACGTTTATGGTTCTAGATAGAGAACCAATATATATAATATATGCTTCATCTCTTGTTCCTAACTAGAAAAGATTATCACCAAATTCTAAGAAGAAGGAAAAACCAACCAACCAACCAGCATCCATCAGTTTATTATTTTTGGGGTTGTCAAGTTGAGAATTGGGTTAGGCCATCCAGTAAGAATTGGAAACACATTAGACATGCATCCAATATCTCCATGTCCCCCTTCTAATTTAGTTAATTAATTAGTGCCTTCCCTGGACAACAAAAATCAACGCCTAAAGACTAAAACTAAGTAGTTTACCCAAAAAAAAAACATATATAGTTAGTTTCAAAAACAAACAACACATTAATAAATTTGTAGGAATATATTGATAATTAAATTTTTTTCGATTTTAGATATCAGATTTAGTGTTATTTAAATGTGGTCCAGTATTATTTTCTATTCAAATGTACTCCAGTGCTCTATTATGTCCTAGACCCGCCATTGATCGATCGCTTTTTAACGATAAAACCGTCAGACTCTCGATTTGTGCAACAAAACTCTATAAAGAGTTTGGCCGAGCATAGTTGCTGCAGCGCAAAAAGGTTGGAGTATGCAGAGTTTGAGCAGAGCCCCAAGGAAGAAAAAAAATCGATCAAAAGGACGGTTCACGGTCCTTTTCTAAATAACAGTGGACGAGCTCCAAATGTGTAGATCGTCGTCCTTTAATTCATAACTTCATTCGCTAGCGAGTGCAAATTATTACGAACCTCTCACACACTACAGATTTTAGTGATTTTTCTTGCCGTTCTTGAAGTTATATCGTGTGAGTTAAATTTTACTGATTCTTTCGATACGACACAATTACGGCGCTATTTTCCGCTCGTCACGAAACGCAATCGAACGGGCGTTGTAAGATGTGAAATAAGATATTACTACAAAAATGAATCGAAATCACATTCCTAACCTTGTTGTCATGTCAACTCATGTGCCTAAACCCAAAATCCCTCTTTAATAAAATGGAATGTAGATCAAATCCTCATTCCTTAATTCTGAATCTCAACTATATAATTCACCCATCCAATAACCAACCAAATATCGCCTATGTTTGGCCCGGCTTTTAGAAGTGCTTTTCGGCTTCAAAAGCTTAAGAAGGGCCAAACACCTCTAAAAGCTCGGCTTTTGAAAAGCCGAAAAGCGCTTTTGTATAACATAAAAGCAGAAGCTCCGATTTGGAGCTTCTGCGAAAAGCTGTTTTGAAAATACAAGATTATCCTTACCATATTTTAATTTTATTTCAGAAAATATAATTTTCCTTCATTTATATCATTTTAAAAATAAAATAAATTATAAAATCATATTATTTAATATAAAAGAAATCTAACAAGATCCATTTTGACTACTTTTTATTGTTTCGAATTTTTATTTTTATTTTATATTATAAGTCCTTTATAGTCATTTTACACAACCGCTCATATTAAAAAGCACTTCTAATAGTTTTACAGCCAAACACTAAACTGCTTTTTTTGAAAAGTACTTATCTAAAAGCTCCAGCCAGAAGCTGCTTCTGTAAAAGCTACAGCAGGGCCAAACTAAGCTATCATGTTTAAAATAGACAGACAAAATCAATTTTTTTTTAAAAAAAAAGGAAAAATCCAACCAACTTCCTTGCTTCAATCTACCTGTTTATATAAACTCACCCACCACTACCACCACCAGCAGCAGAGGCAGAGAAGCGAGTTCGTCACAACTCTCAACCAGAGATTTTCCTCCTCTGTTTTTCTTCGTCAATGGCGGCCAGAGATTTACTCCTCCTCTGTTTCTTGAAGCAAAAAGGAAAAGGCTTGTAATAAAAGCGAACCAGCCAGCAGCAGCAGCACAAAGAAGGCGGGAAAGAAGGGACCTGGTTTTTTCAAGTGCGATAACTGCTCAGCCTTTTGATTATATCCTAGCTTAACGGTAATCTCAATTTCTTCTCAGTTCTCACACATCAAACGGTCCAAATTTGAATTGAATGATTTGTGTTGATAGAAAAGGAAAAGAGGAGAAGGAAGGGATGATAATAGCCTGCCGTTTGCTTTTTATTTTCAAAAAAAAAAAAATTTTGATTTACCGTTGCTCTTTTGGTCGGAAGAAACTATGAAATATGTAACTGCCGCTTTCTTTATATTTCCCCGAACTCTGAATTGTGCTGTCAAATTGTTCCGAAACCTTCTTTGAAGAGAATAACAACGACGTATCAGCGACCCTTTTGCTTTTCTTGTCTTTTTTTTCTTCCTTTCCAAGTTCCGCCATTTTCAAAAGCTCCCTTCCCGGGCAAAAGCATCAGATTCCGAACTAGTTCCTGAACACCCTCTTTTTATTGCTCTCAACGTAAACTCCATGGTCACTATCTTTCAGTTGCAGAGTCGATTAGAGAAGAGGTGCAGAAAACAGAGGGTCGGGAAAATGGACAATTCGTCGTCGAGCTACGACGAGAGCTACGATCTGGGCTACCAGCCGTCGCCGTCTTCGTTCGATCAAACGACGCCGACGTTGAGCCGGGATTCCCTCATGTTCGGCCGTACTTTCTCCGAAACGTCGGCTTTCTCTGACATCAGTGCGAGTTATTGCTCCAGCGAGCCTTCCCCTGCTCACTGGATGCACGAAGCCAGACCCAGATCGCTTAATCAGAACAGAGCTCTGCTGGCCAAGCAGGACATGAAGTCGCAAGCTGAGAAGCTCAGCGTTGGTGATGATGGTGACGACGACGATGTTGAATCCATTGATTTAGGTAATTGTTTCCTTTACAGGGGCTCCTCTGTTTTTTTCTTCTTTCTCTCCCATCTCTCTGTTTCTTTTTTCCCTGAGTGGTGAACACGAAGAAATTGTAATAATTGTGCCAATTCTCCATCCCTATAATTCATTTTTGCCAGAAAACATTTAGCATTCAATTGGTTTTATTTCGTCGCGTGCTGACTTTGTTTGGTTTTTCCATATGAAACAGAGCTTGAGATTATGAGAGAGAGATTTTCAAAGCTTCTGCTGGGAGAAGACATGTCAGGTGGTGGGAAAGGTGTCTGCACCGCTGTCACCATCTCCAATTCCATTACCAATCTCTACGGTGAGTCTAAAAAACTTAGCCACACATGTGATTGAACTGTCCTTTTGATCGAATTTTTTCTTCCTTGGGACTCTGCTCAAACTCTGCATACTACTCCAACCTTTTGCGCTGCAGCAACTGTGTTCGGCCAAAATCTGAGGCTGGAGCCTCTGAAACCGGAGAAGAAGGCGATGTGGAAGAGAGAAATGGACTGCCTTTTATCTGTATGTGATTACATAGTGGAGTTCATCCCTAAATCTCAAAACTTGCGAGATGGAACTGCTCTGGAGGTGATGGAAAGCAGAGTGAGATCGGACATTTACATGAATCTTCCCGCGCTGAGAAAGCTGGACGCAATGCTCCTCGTAAGCAAAGTTTGCCCTTTCCCTTTTTTTTCTTCATCAGAAACAAATCGCATTAATAAAGTTCATTTCTTGTTGTGTTGCAGGAAATACTGGACAGTTTCGGAGAAGCAGAGTTCTGGTATGCAGAGCAAGGAAGCATGTCATCGAACTCGACCCGATCCGGTTCGTTCAGGAGAGTGGTGATCCACAGGACGGAAGAGAAATGGTGGGTTCCAGTGCCCTGCGTGCCTCCAGGAGGAATCTCTGAGAAGGCGAGGAAGCATTTGAGGCATAAGCGTGACTGCGCCAACCAGATCCACAAAGCAGCCATGGCCATCAACACCAGTGTTCTCACTGAGATGGAAATCCCTGATTCTTACTTGGCATCTCTTCCCAAGGTTCTCTTCTTTCCTTTGTTTTTTTTGAATTTGGCTAGGCCGTGGCGTTTTAGAGGGGAGAGGGTAAAATTTTTGGTTTGCTTTTTTTTTTTTCAGAGTGGGAAATCGAGCCTAGGGGACTCCATTTACAAGTACATATGCACGATGGACAAGTTCTCGCCAGAGAGGCTGCTGAACTGCCTCAACATAGCATCGGAGCACGAAGCACTGGAGCTCGCGGACAGAGTCGAGGCTTCGATGTACACGTGGCGGCGTAAAGCGTGCTTGAGCAATTCGAGGTCGTCGTGGGGGGACCTGATGAAGGATTTGGTGTCCGAGATAGACAGGACGGATAAGAACCATGTGTTGGCAGAGAGAGCAGAGAGCTTGTTGTTCTCACTCAAGCAGAGGTACCCTGGCTTGTCTCAGACATCCTTGGATATATGCAAGATCCAGTGCAACAGGGTAAGTTGTGAATCGTACATTTTTTTTCGTTTTTCGCCATTCCATTGATAAATGGTGGCAAGCGAGGCTTTCGTGATTAGCGAAGTAATTTGCGACGAAATTGCAGGACGTAGGTCAGGCGATACTGGAGAGCTATTCGAGGGTGTTGGAAGGTCTAGCATTCAACATTGTTGCCTGGATCGAGGACGTTCTTTTCGTAGATAAATCGGTTAAGAACTAAGATTAGCAACCCTAATCCTAAAAACTTGTTACTTGTACTATCCTTTCCTTTCTTGGCAACTGTCGATGCTTGAACCAAACACTTTGTAAGGGAGAAAGAAAGCTCCCACCTTTCCCTGTAGGACGCTGGTTTTGCTTCTAGCAAAACACCAGAGAGCAGAAAAAGACTATTTCACCGGGCCTTTTTTACCCTTATCTGGAGATTGGAGAAGCTTTTTATTGAGCAGAAGCTTCATTAAACGTTTCCCTGTCATAACAAAACAACAAACGGAACCCTAGTCAACAGCCAGCAGGCACCTGGATTCAATTGGGTGAGACGAAGTTCTGCTCAGAACAACTGTCTAATAAATGACAACCATGGAAACAGAATCTAAAACAAAAGGACCAAGAGCTAGTTCTGTCTCTCACTGCTCCAATGCAAAGATCCTACAGCAACGTATTCTCTTCTAACTAGTGGGAAGTGGGTAAAAATAACATATCCAAATTTTCATGCACAGGCAACTAATGGGAGCGTGAGCATGGCTGCTAGCTTTTATCCAACTTGCATCACCATACAACATGAGGTGAAAACCCCCCAGGGCAGAAGCAAGCAATTCATTGATGCACATGGAAGTGATACAACACAATCAGATTTTGACTTGGCAAAAGAAGAACAATCATCTCTATATGTACAAACCAGGCCTCCTTTCCTTCGACTGCATTTCTACAAGGACAGCAGTCAAGAATCCAGGGCGAAGACAAAAAGATTCAGTCAGTCGCTGCTGAGCCACAGCCCACACTTCCTTGCTTGGCACGTTCTGAACAACCACGGACGACATTGGGGTTTTTCTTCCCACCCACTCCCAAAAACAATTGTACCAATTGCAGATTGCAATGAATGAAAACCATGAATTCTCTCAACTGCTGCTTGGGGGCTGTTCCTCATTCAAATAACAATCAAGAATCTCCTCTCATCACATAAATTAATAATTTAGGTATCGTCATCAACAGCACCAATGTACGTGAGATCAGTCCGTCTAACCCGTACAGCACCCTTGAGCCAGTTTGAGGCCCACAGATTAGATTGGCCACTACTGCTGCCAATTACTGGAGTATTAACTGAGGACGATGAGGATGGACCAGCTCCTGTGCCATCTTCCAACAATAACCATGGGTCGATTTCAATATTATCGATACTGTCTTGTTGAGCCGCTGATTGCTGCTTGGACTTCCCTGTTGGATTCCTTGTCAACATTGAAGGGGAATTTCTCTGTGGAGGGTAACCAGACATTCCAATGCTGGTGGGCTGCAAGGAAGCAATGGCAGCAGAAGGAACAGATGGTGGCTGACAAGAGATGCAGCATCCAACAGATGGAAGAAGAATTGGCATTGCTGCTTGGATACGCCAACGGATTCCACTAGGTAGGTTCATGCGGTCTAATTCGCTCTGCATTGATACCACATACATTCATTAGACATTGGACAACAATAATAAGTATCTCTGGGTCTAAGTGATGCAGGAAACTGGAGAAGAGACATACTAGTTCAGACATTTAAACCCTAGATTTTAATAGCAGTCCATAATGCAGAGAAAGAACAACAGCATTTCACAAGCATGTTCATATATTTCAGTACAGCATCCTGAAGTTGCATAGGCTGCCAACGGCTAGCCCTATCATATGGCACAGCAAAATGCATCTTGAGATCTAAATTTAGAACAATCCCTGTAGCCTTAATAAGCTCCAAGTTTTAAGAGAATGCAAGAACACAATCCAGTCAGACTGCCTTCCACTTATCTAAATTGAAGAGGTACAACCATAAAACAGTAAATAGAGGATAAACCCCAGTCAGACTTCCTTCCACTGCTTATTTCTCAAGACAACGCAGGATAAATCCCATTTAGGAACCTCACTACTCAAGAAACAGATTTTACTGATACCAAGAGGTTCAAGCATAAAACACTTCATATGTTGGATAATCACTCTTAACTTTTTCCCCCAAGGCAATAACATATTATATGAAAAAAGACTGTCTGATAAGTTTGCTTTATATTCATTCACCCAGACCTTTTTGCCTTGGGGGAGGATGACTGATAAAAACAACCCTTAACTATGCGAAAAAAGAATTCTATAAATCCATCCCAAGATTAAAAGACAAAGGCAGTACATGGGAGCGAAAAGTGAATCTTTAGCATGCCAAAGCAACAAAAATTAAACAGAATTTATTGAAGAACGGACCTGTAAGCTCTCCACCAGTTCACGGTCAAAACCAGCAGAATCCTTGAAAGATTCATTGTTCGCTTTTGAAGGTGACCTTGATTTCAACCATCTTGGTTGACAACTGCTCAGTAAACCGTGAAGGACCAACAATAGCCGGTCAAAGAGACTTTCACCCGATAGATCTGCAGAAGCAGCTTCCAAAGCTATGCATTCAGAATCCCTCTTAGGTTGAGCATTTTGAAAGCGTATTGACAATTCCGAATCCTCATACACAACCCGGCTCCCAAGGAGACGAAGTATTACTGAGGCAAGCATGTGCCTCATGTTGCGCCCCGAAGGCTCACTGTCATGCCAAGCATCCAGAAGCAAAATCAGCAATTACAGTAACCCAGAATCACTTAACACCAGGAGAGAATAAACATCTCAAAACTGACATGCATTTTTTTTTTTTTTTTTGGAAGAATAGAGGCCAAGAAGACTGATAGCATATTAAAGTCCATATTGCTCTAAAATCTTGGGTTAGAACACACCAAGTCAGTTTTAAGGCTGGCCACACTAGCATGCCCCATTTCATTACATGCTACAGTAAAGCACTAGATGTGATTCTACAACCGCAAGGCTTAAGTGTGGAATGACCACAATAATATCCTGATAATATAGTGCAGAATCAACTGAACATGCAAAAAAGATGTTCTAACTGAATTGGAAAACTGTATCAGTATATAAGATCACAAGAAGTCATCAGAACAAATGCAGAGCTGCAGAATGTTAGAACCTTGAACCAATGAAACAAGCAAAAAGAATATGAAACAACAAGAAATGTGTTAATTGCTGGCCACATTAAAAAAAAAAACTAAACTATTGAGCAGTCAAAGAAAATATGTTCTATCCAATTACCCATATGCGCAGATTACAGGAAGTAACCTCAGAAGTAACTGCAACCGCAGCGACATAGAAGTCCGCAAAGCAGCAGGCGAAGGAAGAGCAGAATCCCCAGCCCCTGTTGTTCTTCTAGCCAATCCAGGACTACCACCTCTTATACCCTTGCGAGTAGTAACCTTGTTTCCACTACCCTCCAGTCCAGAAGAGGTTGTTCCTGCCTGCTTACTTGCACCACGAGTCACCGGGTTTATCTGCTGCTCAATATTGTTCAATTGCTTAATTAAATCACTAGCAAAGGTATTGCGTGATTCTTCAGAACCTTGATCTATGCAAGGAAGAACTAGCTTAATAAGTGCCTTCTCAGTCACATTGTGTTGGCTTACAGTGAAACAGTCTGAATCAGATACATTAATAGATCCTTTTCCAGACTTTTTAGCATCAGCCCCATCATCAATTACCTCTCCTTCCTCAAGAGAAGTAGCCTCAAACTTCTTAGCTCCTTTGCTTGACACAGGATCAGACCCTGGACTTGACCAGCCCCAGGGCTTCCAGAACTGGGCCTTAGTAGAGAGGCCCTTGCTCTCGGCAATATTAACAAGCCTCTGTCTAATAGTTTTGCGTCCAAAAAGAACATCCTGACCACCCAAAAACCATTTTACATGTAATAACATTGAATCCTCCAGTGACCGCCCAAAGAGATGAACCAGCTCTGAGAAGAGGGGTGCAGCATCTGGCCTAACCAACAACCTCGTGAGGATTAACTCAATGAAATTGTTCTCATTTTCTGAAGCGGCCCCCTTTTCGGGACCAGGTGATGAAGAGCGGATAGCATCAGCAACGGAGATATCATGTGCTTCAAGTTTTTCAATAAGGGCTTGCTCATTCAGAAGAAGCCTGAGCTCAAGCCACTGCCAATGGAACTTTGCAGGCTGAAGAGCATCCAACACATTGACTAGCTTATCAATAAGCATCATCACATTCTCCGAGTGAGGGACTTTGGATCCCCCAAGTGAAGACATGTGGTTGCTATCTCCGTGTGCAAACAAAGAGTTCGGCAGTTTACAATCAATGATCGAGTTCAAGAACAGCCTTCCTCGGAGAGGAACAAAAGCCATGGACTTAACATGTGTGTCCAAACCATTTAGCTCCAAAAGAGCAGCAAAGTCAGCATCACTGGTATCTGAAGTCACAAGATCATAAAAACCTTGACTGTCCCTCAGACATACATCCCGGAATGGCAAATGTCTTATTGCATCACTGATAGCCATGGTCAATGATTGGTATAACTGATGGATGTCTTCCCGGCTTGCAAAGTTACTAAGAATAAATGGTCTCCACAAAACAAGAGCAAAAATAGAATAAGCAGGTGGGAAGACCAAGCTAAGAGGTAGCATCCTTTGCATCCTTGAAAGAGCGACAATAGATGGTTCACCCAAAAGCTCCACAATAAAACCATCCGATACAGTTCTACAGTTTCCGACAAGCACCCTAAACCAATGGACATAAACTTCAAGCAAGTTGTCTACCTTGAGGGCCCCTGTTGAACGTGCATTACCATTCGAGTTTGTTTTGGTACTTCTCACAAACTGAACAACGTCAAGACCTTCCTTTAATCTAAACACCGTAACAAGTCTCTCCAGGTTAGTAACACCATAAACTACTGCACCAATTATAAGAGCTGAAACTGCAGCAGCACCTTTTGTCCCCCTCCCCAACAATCCCTTCGCTGTTTCACTGGAAATATTATTAGAATCATGAGCATCAGGAGACATCTGAAACTGCCCACGAGATGCCTTTCCAGGAGAGAAGGCTGCCGCAAGAGCTGAACAAGCTTCTGTAGCAAGAGCAATCTCAAAAACCCTACTCTGACGCTCACCAAGAGCTTCCTTAAGCAACCGCAAACAGCTTATATGGATATGCAAAACACGCCTAGCAAAACTTAAAGAGCTTGCACACAAAGCAATAGAATAGTTATTGCCTGGTTTGGCATCAGGAATCTTCACTATAGCTGGCCCTATATTGTTAACAATGGCAGAAACTGCAGAAGACACCAAAGACGGATCACCTTCCTGAGCAGCACCCCCAGTCTGTCGCATGCACTCCATCAGTCCCATAATTATTTGATGTGCCACATGGTAACAATCATCCAACTTTTCCAGACCAGGGACTTTGGGTGCACCAGCACTAAAGGTCTTCCTTTCTTTGCCAAGAAAGTATTGCAAAGTTTCATCAATATGCCTTTGGACTACATCCCTCATACTTAAACCCACCCTGGATATTCGGTTTACACTTATCTTTTGTCGAAGGAAATCATCAGGATCATCAACTCCAGCTGGAACCCCAAGAGGAAATCCTAACTCACCATCTGGTGAACGCCCAGAGTCGAGCTCAGAAAGAAGCCTCTTATCATAAGTTGTCTTACGACTCTTCTCCCACTCTGCAATACTTGGAATATTGACATACCTCTTCAACAGATATCGGGAGTAACTCAAGGTTGCCGAGCCTGAAATTCTCACATTAGAGGCGAGTAGTGCTGCAAGACGTTGCAATATGGCGGTCAGAACTTCAGGCAGAAGATCTACGGCAATCATCATGTTCTCGTACCTGAATAAAATTCATGGCAAAGGAAAAATGAGCGTTTCAAATTATTTAATGGAAGTCCATAGTATCCGCTAGTAAATAACACCAAGTAATTTGATAGAGAAAAGCATATACAGATTACTACCCACATGAACGACCACATTGCTGAAGAGGTTGCTCAAAACATAACTTGAGTTTGTTAAACACAATACTGGACGTACAATATGGAGAAACGGTCATGGATCTCCTTAGCTTAGGCAATTATACGGGGGAAACAACTGCTAGCCAATTCCAGATGGTTCTTCCAAGAAGAAACTAATTGAAAAATAGAAACGCACACAGCTATCTACACATTAAATGTTTGTTGGGCGGGTGGGGGAAGGGAGACAGTCTGTCCACAAAGAACAATCAGTGCTTACAACGAACGCAAAATATCATGTGAGGATAAAACTAACATGCAATCTCAAGAAAGAATGAAAATGGATAAAGGCTAGACAAAGGGAACTATACGATAAATTAAATGGAAAAAATATGAAAGCAATTTGGGATCTGACCTTCTCAGCGATGATAACCAAAAAGCTTCACCCACTTCACATGCATGAATTTCCATATTCCTCGGTAACATCATAACATTTCTCCCGCTGTGAATAGTAGAACTTTGGTTACTTTGAACCTTGGGCAACAACCAAAGAAGAAACTTGGCAGCAGACACAAGATCATTACAGATATCCATAAGGTATAATATGACATTTAATTCATCCTCACCAAGCTTCCACCTTACAGAGTTCCTATCATCATCATTAGGAACAAAAGGCCTATTATACGGGTTGGCCTTGGAAGTATTCTTTTCCGTATCCTCCACAAGTTGCCTCACCATCGTTGTTAACCAAACTGTAATCATCCGCTTCTCCACAAATCGCAGATGCTTTAAAGCTTTTCCAACCAAAATAATGTCTACACCTTGCGCTAATCTGGTTCCATCCACTGTCTTCAGATTCTCCCCATCATTCGCAGTTCTGTGATGAGGACAACTGACCTTACTTTCACAGACATGACTCGAAGAGGCCCCTTGGCTAGCCTCAATCCTAGCAGCTGCTAGTTGAGCAAGGCTTTGAGTCTTACGGACAAGTTTCTGTCTGCTCTTGGGGGCTTGTTTGGATGGCTTGATAGGTGGATCAACTTTTGATGGATCTGATGTTTTACTACCCTTCCGCACCCACCAATTATCTTCATTGTCAAAGCTAGGAAAATGTCCTTGAATTGCTGAGCTTGTTTCCTCACTTAACTTTTGCCTCTTTGCTTTCTTACACTCTTCACACCCAGGTGTAACTTCCACCATATCCAGCTTGCTGCTGACCGAGTCCATAGACCTTTTACCAGTTACAATAGATTCATCGACTCCTGAATCTGAAGACGTTGAGCGGTTAGGGAACTGCAATAATAATGATATGGAAACCTTGAGTTCCTCCACCTTAGCCTCAGCCTTGACTTTTTGTGAAGTCAAATTACCAGAGGGGGGCTTGTTGGCTTTCCAATGATCAGGAGCACAATCAATTGCTGGTAATATATAATGTTTTTGCTCTGGATCTGCTTTACTTGATTTAACTGAATTCTGAGATTTTCCACAAAGAATGCCTTGAAGGAGCAGACGTCGCTCATTCGAGTAGACATGCATGGCCTCTAAAAGTCGTGACCCTTCAGCAATCTTTGCCTCTTCTAGGACATCACGGATAAAGGAGCCAGGTAACTGCTTCAATACCCAATAATGTCGCTTCATTCTGTCATGATCCCCAGCACTTAAAGTTGAATCCATTATTCCACTTATTATCAGCTGCCTAACGTATGCATGAGGGTAAAAGATTCCAGCACGCATAAGCTCCACTATAAGCAGTTGAAGGCGCTTCAAACCTTTACCTCGACCGGCTTCATGTTGATCAATCCAGCATACTATGACATCATGCAATGGACCAGGGCTCTCAAACAAACCTGGGGAACTGCTAGATTTCGCATTCATGATTCTTGAGCTACTCTTAAATTCATATCCATAGGTGGTAGGCCCATTGCTCACACCAATTTGCTGATTAGGCCCTCTTGAGAAATTATTGCCTCCTATGTATCTTCCACTCTTGATTCTAAGTACACACTCCAAATCCCTTATCTTCAGCTTCAGTAGACGACATGCAATATACACCTGAGCAATGTCATGTTTGCCTGTGAATTTCAAGTCATTGGGCCTCGCAGTTCGAAAATCTCTATATTCAGACGTTGCCCACTCACAAAGAAAAAAGACAGAGCAAACAAAAGATGAGCTAACATTTTGTAGGCACTTCAATGAAGATCTCAAAGAAGGGCTCACTTCTTCTATCCAGCTTTTATCTATGGCTCCATCACAAAACTGTTCGAAAAGGAAACTATAAGCCCCTTTAACATCACCATGAGATAGAGCTTTGTCTAGTGCTTGCACAGCTTTAGCCACATTATGGAAAGGGTAGCCAGGGCTAGCAGCCCTTGCCAGATTATCTGAACGCTTCTGGATGGAAGAAACAACCTGATTAAAGGATAGAGTTTGATATTGAGAATCAATGCCTCTGGTTCTGAACACACAACCAACTTCTGTTGAACTATCTTTTGCCCTTCGTGCATCCTCCAATGTCTTCGAAACAAAAGTCCCATCACTTGCTGCATAAGACAATACACTTGGTGGCAGAGGAAAGCAATCCAAAGCAACAAACGTATCAGGTACAGCCAATATCAAATACCGAAGCATCTCCACCAAAGCAGAAGTAGTATAGGCTCTCCGAGAATTATCTACCAAATCTGATCCACCAGGAGAGGGTTCACGAATGAAACGAACAGCAACTGCTGCAAGAGTGCGTACATATGTCTGTGATAGAACAATTGCTTCCAAGAAGCCATATATGATGGGCAAGAATAACTGCAAAATCTCAAGCATGTCCTTTTCCTGAGAGCACAGGTAGGAAAACAAGGCAAACAGAACTGATTGTCATCGAACGCTTAATCGGAAATAAAACAACTAGACATCAAATCAAATACCTGTAGTTGACCAAGAAGCCAATCAACGATTAGTGAAGGAAGAAGCAGCCCTTCAGAATGCTGCCAATGCAATAGCCGCACAACATACCACCACTTAAAATTTAAAGAAGGCTCATCCCCATCAACAGAAACTAGAGTGGGGTCATTCTTGTTCTGCATTGAGCCCACATAAAGCATCTGAGATCGGTCTCTACTATGTGGAACAGAATGACTACTAGTTCTAGAGCAGAACTCATCCAGAAGATGTTGCAAGTACTCAACAACATCTTTGGTCCATAGCTCTGACCGGGACAGCGGATTTCTATCTTGCGTACCAGAAGCAATAATTGAAGAATTAGGCCTGACCTGAAAGAGACATCAACCCGATGCTTTGAACATAGCTAAATGGAAGCTATACCTCAGGATCAATAGTTGAGTATTGGAGTTAAGGGTTTACCTGATTAAGATAAGTAACTTTAATAAACCAAGTTGCCCTAAGCAGTGGTACATTATTCCTTACAAGAACTTCAAAAAGTGCTTTCTTCCGATATCCATGAGGGACATGATCAGCTAAATAACGCAATCTCTTATGTGGTTGTGATAGACCCTGCACATATGACGGGAAAGGAGGGAAAGAAAGCATTAAAAAGGAAAGAGATATAGAAATGCACAAGTAATTACTAAGCAAATGTTTAGCAAATGTCAGGCTCATAGGGAAGTTCTCATATCCAGATCTAGACTGAAAAACAGTGATTGTTCTGAAAGTCAAAATCCAGTTGTGGATAGCTAGCAGTGTTACATTTGCAATAACAAATCTACAAGTCCACTGCATTAATAACACAACAGCAAGCCTTTACTTCTAAAACTCTCACACAGTTTGTTCGATACATGTCCATGTTTCCGTGAACCAGAGAAAGAAAAAGAAGTGTATTAGAGATTTCTGAACACCGTGTCATACAATGCTTACTATCAAATGCTAGCAACAGATTGCCCACTCATTTAGCCAAATAAGATTCGGTACACGAATTAAACAGACATACCTCGATCCATTTTTTCTTGGAGTCTTCTCCACATGCCCTTTGTTCAGGAAAGACACCAGGCTTAGTAAGCAATGATCCAGAGAGAGGAACACCATATACTTGACCAGCCTGCCATATCAACAACAGATGCCCATGTTTTAGATTTGGAATCCAAATACACCATATTAGGTAAAGTTAGTAACCCAAGAAAAACAACCATTAAAACAAAGCACCAAATTACCTTTCGCTTCTGAGCACGAGACTCATTGATGGCTCTCAGACACTTCCGGATTGACTGCAACAACATACATCATCAGAAACTACCAATGGTATTGTTATGAAAATAGGCAAATTCACAGCACGGGAGAAAATAATAGCCAAAACCAAGTCTAGTGACTAACCTCTTTGCACTTTATCACGGCAAGCTTATTGAATGTTTGAACCTGAGTCAATGAGATTTCTCTTGTTTCCTGAGAACACAGCCAGTAGTTACTAGTTAGACTTTATTTAACACTGGCATTAATGAAGACAACAGAGGTAAAATTCCCCAAAAAACAAAACCATAACAGAAGAAAGAAGCATTGATCTGTCTCACAGCCTTAAACCTAAAGGCACGAGCATTTCCTGGAAAGATACAACTTATTTTCCAAAATTGATCAGAAACAAACCTTTTAAGTTGTGTGAAATTCTTTTCGTGTTAGAGACCCAACAATGTAAAACGTAGAATACAAGCACAAGGTTAACACTTTAAAATCACACATTATCAAGCCTTTGACACTCATCTATAACCAACCAAGAAACAGATACAGAAGTTCATGAAATGTTTTGTGCCAAAACAGAACACATGAGTGACTATCTAGACCAATAATGAACCACTTTCAAACAATAAACAAGATGGTATAGAGCACGGCAAGGAATTGAAAATTATAAGATGTTCAACATAACAGATTGAGAATACCAAGTCATCAGAAGCAAGGAGTGTATCACACATATATAAAGGATGATCAATAAACAAAGAAATGTCAGAAATTCACGTGGTCTATATAAAGCAACAAACTTGAGTGCTAAAAAAGCATACCTCAAGTCCTTCAATTGTCTCTCTGTATCCAGCTTGAACATACTCTCTGGTGAGTGTCTCCTCAGGACAATTCGGAGTTTGCGGATGAAAATCAGGTGGCCCAAGTCTAAGTTTCAGAAGACATATAAACCCAATAAGATAAAAGCCCCAGTTACTCAAAAATCATGAAATAAAAACTAAAATAACTGTAATAGAATCATCTAGCCTACAATAGAAAGATACTGCGGTTACTAGAAACAAATCAAACCACTGGAAAACTAATTCACATGAAGAACCATGGTTGTCAATGGAGCAACTACCTCGAATTTAAAGGTTCCTTCTCACACTTCAACTTGTATGCAGTTAGAGGAGGTAGTCGCCTGCATAGCATAGAACAGCTCTCTGAGTTAGATGATCAAAGAACGGTACAAAGAATATCATCAGAATTTGTGTTATTATGAGCGATCTTTAAGGTAATAAAAATGATAAGTTGAAACCAGAGATGTGTCCAACAGTGGACTACTGTCATTAGCATAGAAAGCATCATCAGGAACCAATATACCTAGAGTTTATAGAAAAGTTGGATGGTGATGAAGAATCAACCCGGGAGGCATCCCTAGCAGATGCACCACCAATAGCATTGTTGTTAACTGCATTAGTGGAACCAGCAGCATGATACCTTTGCATTGTTCCGAACTATTGCCGGCATAATGCAACCAACATCAAGCCACTAAATGGAGCTAAAACCCCAACAGGAAACCTGGCCCATAACATATTCATCGGCGACATGAAATTTATAGTCAGAATCATATCAACAGCACAAGAAAAAACAGCAAGAAAAAATAATAAAAACAGCACAATGCCACATTCAGGAATTAGATTGTCTCCATTAAAAACTATAGATTCTTAGTGGCATGAGGCTAGTAATAGAATAATGTCTCCAGCTGGAACGCTCCGAGTATTGAGTAATATATCTAAACACAGCCCCTAATCTCAAAAAATTAGTCAAAATATATAACTTGTGATTACTAAACATATGCCAGAAAAGAAAAGTAGAAACTTGATGCTGCACCACAGGCAACCATTGCCAAAAATATCCAAGATGTGAGCACATAACTCGAAGTTTAGTAAAGCCTAGTCTATGTGAAATTTCAGCAAACAAATTCTGCGGCCAAATAAAGATTACAGCCGCAACAACAAACCCCAAGAAACAGTGTGGGGAATTGGATGGATCGTTACAGATCGAACAGGTTTCAACTTGGAAAATGGAAAGATTTTGCAAGTTAGCAGAGAGATTGACAGGGTGAACAAATGAACCACTACTTAAAGTTGCCAGCCCCTTTAGTCTATAAAGTTGAGATGAGTTCATGGAGAAAGGATGAAGAGTTTCTCAGTTCTAAATGTACAACCACTGCCATAAACATAAATTCCAAAGTTAGTACAAAAGCTACAACAAGAAATAGTGTTTGATCTACGAGACTATGTCTTTGAACTAGATAAACCGGAGTTCCAAATTCAAACCTCTTCCCACCAGCACCCACAGAGCCTACAAGCACACACCTCAAAATGACATAAAAACCCAGAGCCAAAATACACCAATTTCCACAAATCTTAGCTGATCGACTAGGCATCCGATACGAACTCATACCCCCAAAGATTTGAACTTTCACCTACTAACAAAACTACCAAATCCAGAACGAGGCGAAATTTCAGCAAATAAATTTAAGAAAACCTAGGGTTTAGGCCAAGTGCATAAGAAAAAGAACACACAGAACATTCGCAAAGCAAAGTGTAGTCCCTAACATCAAGATGCGTGAAAGCTAGGGTTTTGCGAAATTCGTTACTCTCTGAACAAGCAGAAAAAGGAGATCAAACCGGGCAGGGGCGGAGGGGAACTCGCGCGATTCACAAGACATAACATTTCCGAAATTAACTGAAACGTAACGTCCCGTACCTCCGCACAAAACTAATCACGAACGCATCCACGACCAGAAGAGAAGAAGCGGAAGAAACAGTGATGGGGGCGATGAATTGAAGAAGGAAGAAGCGAGCACAGGAAGATAAGTGTTGTGATTGGGAGGGGAGGGCAAAGGAGAAAGGGAAGAGAAGGGACTTTGACTCTTTGGAGCTTTTTTATTTTTTTCTGCTATTGTTTTTTCGGGTGGGTTTAGTTCGCTGCTGACAGACGGGGACGATGGGCGATCAAGATTGCTGCCCCTCTGCTGATGATGGGCGCTCGATGGTTGGATTGGATGAATGAACGGATGGATGGATTTGGATGCTCTCTCCTTTCTTTTCCTTTCACTCTTTTTCAGCTCTATTCCAACAGAAACTACTTCCCAACGGTAAGCCCCAAGCAAAGCACACACGACTCAGAGAGAGAACGAGAGGACCATGAGGACCCAGATCGAGAGCGAGAGCGAGTCATTACTAATTAAGGGTGCACACCCAAACAATTCGAGAAAATCGACCAAAGTTTAATCGTGTGCTCGGGTGGATGAGGTTTTTGTGAATGAAATTAGTGAGTATTGGGTTGGTTGCTGGGTTGGGTGTCTAAAAGATGGGTTAGAAGGCACTTTCCGATCTACCGTCCCTCGGAACAAAGGGTTAGGCGGCATATCCAAGCAAATCTAAACCAACTCAATCATCCAATAAGTCTCTAAATGACATCACCTAAGAGAGTATATATAAAAGTATTTTTGTGGAGAGTTTAGTGTTTTTCATCTTCTCAATTTCGAGCGGCACTCGCTATCTACTTCAATCTCTCGAGCTCCACCACAACACTGCTATTCATCTTCTTCCTTCAGGCAGGCCATCGCGTTGATGAAGTGGACGTCTGTCGCCATCGTCCACCTATTGATGCCCTTCTCTCGTTGGCTTCCTCTTTCACTCTTTACCCCATGCCCTCTCATTGGTTTGATGATTCGTGTCGTCAAATTCTAAAGATATAAGAAGAATCTCATATACTTACGTTCTTAAACTATCATTAACTTGTTAAGGCTATTGAAACAATAGCACAAACAACAAAAACCACATGTGATATGAATATTAGATTGGTTCTTGCTTTGGATTTCATACTTTTTTGTTTCTTGTAGAAGTTTAGGGTTTTGTGCCAAATAACATACGAAAACTAAGGAACACAAGGATTTAACGTGGTTTTCCTAAGTATGAGGACTAGTCCACGAGAGAGATAGAACTGTCTAAGGGTAAACTCTTATTCGCGTTAGGGTTTCTCATACGTACATGTTACATATTTAGGCGGCTGGCTACTTACATACTTAGTTTGATATTTCAACACCCTCTCTCAGTTTGATGTTGGGTGCGCAACATCAATTTTGACGAGAGAAACTTATGTCTACTCGAAGTCAGCGCCTTAGTCAGGATATCTACAGTCCAATCCTCTATAGATAGATATCCAACCTGTATTGACATACCCTCTGCAATCAACTGTCGGATATAATGAACATGCACCTCAACATGCTTTGTCCGGTCATGCATCACAAGATTTATAACGATTTCTATAGCACTAGTATTATTGCCATAAATCCTCATAGAAAGACGATATGACATGCCCAACTCACCAAACAACCGATGTATCCATTCCATCTTAGAACTCACCTCGGACATAGATCGGTATTCTGCTTCTATTGTCCATAATATTTATCTGGATTCCTCTAACCTCCAACTTACTGATATAGGCTCAGTCCACCGATGATTCTTTTGTCTCCTAATTTGCGCTTATGCAGTAAGAGAAACTCTTCCCTTTTGAGAGGAGCCCGTGAAGATTTTTAGTAGACAGTGCATTTTTTATTATGAAGATGTTTGGTCCGACGTCACGACCATGAACCGTGATCGTGAAACTAACCGTCAAGGGCTGTATAAAGGGCAGAAATCTGAACAAGAAGTGAGGACTTTTAGAGAGAGAATTGGAACTTCTTCTTCCTTGAGCTAGAGTAGAAAGTGATGAACCATTCTTGAAGGAAGGAAAGAAAGACCTAGCCAAGGCTAGAGGAGGGATAAATTGTTCTTCAAAGGGTGATCACGATAAGTAGGATCTAGAGGAATCAATTTCCATGGGTTCTTCTTCCATTCTATTTGTTTCCCCTTTCCTAGCTATGGAGTACTCACCATTTTCACTTGGGCTTTGTGAACCCTATTTTAGATATGTGTTGGATGCTAAGAATTGTACTCTATATGTGTTGGGTTTGTGATTAATATAGTGTTTGAGATATTATTCATGAAATTTGAGCTTTGTTCTTCATTTATCAAGTTTAGGGCAAATTGGCTAGAAGGGGGAAATTCCATTATAAGGCAATTAGGCGAAGCCTCTTACACCGAAGTAGTACCATGAGCTTTACATGATTGGTCTCTGTTCGCCGTTAGGTTCTTGAGACGAGGGATTGTGTTTGCGATCCGTAGTTAGTCGATTAAGAGATCTAGATCTCTTGGCTTGATCGTGACAAGCCTTAATCGACTAGCTAAGTGAGTGATTATTTCTGTTTTAATCGCAATTTTCCTTACGGTGTATTATCACGAGTTGCACACGCTAGAGTTTAGTTCGAATTATCTTAGCATAGGACTAGGGGGATCAATTACCGGGGTGAAGTTACTCTAAATTGAATCACAACTTAATTTACTTTGCATGCTTTCATTCCTTAGTTGCTACTTGCTAGTTCAAGCTACAAACTGATTGCTAGATAATTTTTGATTCTCTAAAGTAAAGGTAGATTGACTGGTCCGGGTTGATATTATTAATTGCTTACCCTATACTATACCTGATTATAGATTATACTTGACCTATAGTTGGGAGTGTAGTTAGAGTCGAGCCAAGTTTTTGGCGTCATTTCCGAGGACAACGATCAGCTCTCTGGAAAAAGTGAATTGGTGTTAATCTAGTGTTTTACGTTTGTGTTGTGTTTGAGTTAATCTTGTGTGTGTTTGGCTCTAGTTTTGTTGTTTGAGTGTGTGTAGATGGTGCATGACCCAGAGTAATCAGCACCCATTGACGGCTATCGACGACAACATCCATCGCACCCGCCGACTCCTAGCTCGTGAGAGAGAGTTGAGACAAGCAAGAGAAAGACTCGGAGTTCAGATTCAACCACCAGTTGACCTCGTGGATCAAGTTGAAGTTCAAGAATAAATTGAAGGAGAAGTTTCAGAAGAAGAGGTTGTAATGGATAATGAAGACTGTAAATAAGGAGAGGTCGCGAGGGCCATGGGTTATTACATGACCCTGCGGATGTAGGACATCCAGTTGAGCATCCGGCATCCACCCGTGGCGGCCAATAATTTTGAAATAAAGACGGGCCTCATTACAATGATTCAAGGCAACATTATTCCACGGGCAAGAAGATGAGTCTCCCCGAGAGCATATTAATCGGTTCTATGAATTCAGGGATGGTCTCAAGATCAATGACGCTCCTCAAGATGCCATTCGACTTAGACTTTTCCCTTACTCTCTTGAACTAAGGCGAGAAGTTGGTTGAACAACACGCCCCCTTTGTCAATTACCTCGTGGATTGATTTTTTGACGAAGTTCATGGCGAGACATTCCACCGCCCAAGACTGTAGAATACTACAAGAAGATCACCCACTTTTCACAAGAGGATGATGAAACTTTAAAAGACGCGTGGGAAAGATACTCGGATTACTTCTTGCACTGTCCACATCATGGTTCCGATGAAGAGTTTCGAATTGCTACCTTTTACAACGGGCTCTTTCATGAGAATAGGATGCTTATTGATTCTCTATGCCAAGGAAATATGCTAAATAAGACTTCTCCCCAAACTTCTCATGGGCTTCACCGGCAAATGCGAGACCTCCTGGCTTCCAAGGACCAACCGGGGGATACCAACCTAGATCTCCGGTCATTCAACCTCGAACGTGATTCGATAAGTCCAACTTCCAACAGCAACAATACCAACCACAAGGAGTACAAGTGTACCAACAAGTTTTCAAGCTCGAGGACCTTGTTTCAACTTTTGTAAGTTCGAGCAATCAACAATTTGAGAAGATTGAGAAGTTCATGGAAGTTGTGACTACAAAGTTTACCTCGGTTGAGGTGGGTTTGAGAAGCCACCAAGCTAGTCTTAAAAGCTCAAAATCTCAAATCAACAACCTTGTCAATATTCTCACCGAGCGTCCTCACGGAGCCCTACCTTTCCAAATTGTGGCCAACCCTAAAAATCCAACGGCCGGAGTTAATGTTATTACACTTCTAAGTATGAGGGTAACTCAAGAATTTACTCCAAAGGAAGTCATTGAAGAAGAAACCGAAACTACTCCAACGGTTGAAGTAGACAAAGCAGAGTCCGGGGATAGAATGGAAGAAGAAGAGGCGAGGAAGGCATCACCGAAGTCACCACTTGTGGCTGAATACAAGCCTCCAATTTCCTTCCCCTCTCGAGTTCACAAGGACTAGTTGGACGACGAGTTTGGTAAGTTCATGTGGATGATCAAGAAGCTTAATGTGTCGGTCCCATTCTTAGAGGCAATGGCGCAAATGTCGAGGTATGCAAAGCTACTCAAGAGGCTCCTCTCCACGAAGCAAAAAGCTTGAAGACCTTGATTCGTTCACCCTAAGAGAGAAGTGCTCGGCAACCATTCAGAACAAGTTGCCCCAAAAACAACAAGATCCAGGTAGTTTCACTATCCCTCTTAGCATTGGATCATGTCATTTAGAAAAATCCTTGGCGGATCTAGGATCAAGCATTAATGTGATGCAATACAAGCTATACAAGAGACTAGACCTAGGTGAACTTAAATCTACTAGGTTGAGTGTTACATCGGCTGATCGTTCCATAATGCGACCTAAGGGCATTGTGGAAGACGTCCTCGTATGAATCGACAAGTTTTTCTACCTATCCAACTTTGGATATGCCGCTCATACTAGGATGCCCTTTCCTTGCCACCGCCAAGGCCCTAATAGATGTGAATGAGAGAAATTTGATTCTAGGAGATGGTGAGGAGAGTATTACCTTTTCGATCGATTCCCCCGTTAAGGTTGAGAATGTATATGGGATCGAGTCAAATGGTGTGCTTGTGAGTGGTGGAGAGCCCCTCCCCCCCGGAGCAAATCCCCATTCGTTCCCCTTGTGTCTCTGGTTTTATGAAATAGGATGAGAAGGCAGGAAAGAAACCCGTGACCGCCAAAAAGAAGGCTTGGCGCCAAAAGATGAAGGATTGATCGAGAACCCGGAGCAAGGGTAAGGCCAAAGTTCAAGGACAATAAGGTCATCCTCCCAAGGAAATGATAGGAGGTGGTACACCTTGCCCCGAGACCATGGCGGATCCACTCTCGGTGGCCTCATGATCCAATGCATGATGATTAATCCTATAAAGTAATGGTACACATTTCTAGTAAGAGTAAAGGGAACAAGAAGACCACAATGGTTCCATGGTCTAGTGGTCAGGACATTGGACTCTGAATCCAGTAACCCGAGTTCAAATCTCGGTGGAACCTCAGTTTTTATCCTTCTTCTGTTTTTCGCTCACTCCGTAGTCTGCTGCCTGTTTTTTTGTTGTTGTAACAGTGTCAAATTGATTCCTTTCATAGCCTATCCACGCCGTCGCGCGGGATTCAAGCCCTAATAGTAGTGCCACTCTCCTCATTCCGCCGCTGTTCAGCCGGCGACGCTCGGAATGGAGCCGGACATCCAACGGAAAATCGAGGCAACGGTGGTCGACATTCTCAGAGGTGTCGACATGAATCAGGCGACCGAGTTCAATGTCCGGTTCATGGCCTCCATGCGTCTCGGCATCGACCTCTCCAACATCGAGAGCAAGAAGTTCGTCAGAGGAATCGTGGAGTCCTTTCTGCTCTCCTCCGCGGTTCCGCTCGGTGAAGCTGAAGACCACCAGGCGCTCGACGACGACGGACGTGTCGCCGGAGAGACCAATGAGGCGAGGAAGGAGGTCGAGCTGGATGGCTATGGAAATCGCGTTATTTGCAGGGTAATAATAACATTCCCTCTTCTTCTTTGGCCCCTTAGATCTAATTTTTACTTTTATGTTTGTTCTACTCTATAAAGCTTCATGCAAACTTTGATTTCAGCTTTCGGATAGAAGGAGCGTGACGGTGCATGACTACAACGGGAAGTCTCTTGTTTCAATCAGAGAGTGGTTCTTGAAAGAGGGTTTGGAGCTTTTTTCTAATAGAGGTAAAAAGTTGTCATTTTCATGATCGATGTCAGATAAGTCTGGAGGATACTTGGTCGATGGAATTTCTGCAATGCAGCGTGATTTAGGAGCAGTTTAGACAGTAATTCCTGCCAATGGAAGCTATGAATGTGCTTTTCTCTGTGGCAATTGAATGATTGAGATAGTATGGGGCTCGAGGATTTCGTTCAAAATGACCACGCGATTGATATTTAGGGTTCTCTCTTCACTTGAGTGGTTAACTACTTAACTCTAATCTTGCTGAAACTTACTGTCCTCATTTTCTTGTTTCAGGAATTAGTTTGCCATCTGAACAGTGGTCGGTGATGAGGAAGAGTATGTCTGACGTAGACACTGCCATCGCAGAGATGCAATCCAGGTTGAGGTAAAGAGTCCTTTGCAGTTGTGTTCAGTCCTGCAGTTGTTTGTGCTATAAAGTCTTGCTGATTGGTAATGCTCGTAATAATGCAGAAGATCTGATGATCTCAATGGTTCAAGAACGGAGAAGTGTAACTCGGTCCCACAGAAAGTTGCTTCTACTTCGACTGTTCTGCGTAGTGAGAAAGTTCTAAATGGAGTGGCTACCTCTTCAACTTCAACCAGGGCTGAACTACAGAGCGAGGAAGTCTCTAATGGGGTAACTACTTCTACCCCATGTGCAGAAATCCCTTCTTTACCAGTTGCTTCTACCCATTGCAATCCTGTCTCTGATCCAGCTATTGCTTCTGCTCCTGAAGAAAATGTACCCACTGCAACTGCAAATTCTGCAGCAGAAGAAGGTATTGCTTGGGTTAGTGTGGACCGTTTTGATGGGAAGAACTATAAGAGCTGGGTGATAAACATGGAGCTTTTCTTGAAGCAGTTAAAGGTTGCACATGTGCTCTCTGATCCTTGTCCAGTGGTTGCCGTACATCCTGGATCGAAAAATCCTGAACAGATGATACCTCCGGCTAAAAAAGCTGCTGAGAGGAAGTGGCTTAACGATGACCATTTGTGTCGCCTCCACATTTTGAGTTGCCTCTCCGATTCTCTTTATCATCAATTTTCAAAGACGACTCATACTGCAAAGGAGTTATGGGATCAGCTGAAACAAGTTTATCTCTATGAGGACTTGGAGTCAAAGAGAGCCCAAGTGAAGAGGTACATTGAATTTCAGATTGTTGAGGAAAAGTCAATTTTCCAGCAAGTCCATGAATTAAACAATATCGCTGATGCCATTGGAGCTGATGGAACTATTATTCATGAGTACTTCCATGTTAGTGCTGTCCTCTCAAAGCTTCCACAATCATGGCAAAATTTCTGCATCAAGTTAAAGCACGAGGAGCATCTGCCTTTCCGGATGTTGATGGACATGATAAAGGCCGAGGAACAGTTGCGTACAGGGGGGAGCAAGCAAGTGGAATCTGCCAATAATCACCTCAACAACCACAATCACCATGCCAACAATCTAGGGCCGAGGACAAGAGACCTGAAGAGACCAGGTGTGATGCAGTGGACGAGGCATGGAACGGGAACTGAGATGGAGAACAACAGGTTGCCCGTCTGCTTTTGTTGTGGGAAGAAGGGTCACTTTGCTAACCAGTGTCGCAACAGGAAATTCGACAATGAAGATCATCATCCTCATCAACATCATAAGTCATTCACCCACTCTGTTAAAGGAGGCGACCCATGGCCGTACTGAGTATGCTACGAAATCTTCACTGTTCTCTGAGAGGGTAAGGGCCATAAATGGTGGCCACACTGTTGTTCCTTCCTTTCTGAAAACTTTGGCTATGGAATCGACATTGTAGCCATGTGTGGAAGCAGTCTTTAGATGTCATATATATACATCATGCATCTACCAGTAGTTGTAGGCTTATCTGGTGTCATTTCTTTCGGTCTAGAGCAATTTTACAACTGTACTATATCAAAAGTTTGTTATGTTGCAGGTAGGGCTGGCTTCTGGAATCGCACTTCTCAGTGCCTTGTGGTCTACTCCTGGATTTTGTTTTCATGCTGTACGTTTTTGTAAGACGAGACCAACAGTCGCTCTCGAAACCTAAAATGGTTTATCTAGTTAGAGTTATTTGCTGTGTTTGTAAAACCGTACCATGTTAGCATCAGACGGGGGAAATCTTTTATTGGAAGCTAAATTGTTAGGTAGTTTTTAGAGGTATGAAAATGATCGAACTATGATTAAATCACGCTTTTAATATTAAATACTTTATTGTCGATCTTTCGATGTGTGTTGGCGATCCTACCGAAAAAAACTTGAAGGCTAAACCGATGGGTAGTTTTTAGCAGTATGAAATGCTTGAACTATGTACTATATTTTGCTGACTTTTTCGATACAACAGCTATTAAATAACCATGGCAAGCTAGTCTATAGAAGCAAGCATGAAAATAGACATCATTTTTGCCATCTCCCATGTGTGATGAATAATCAAAAGAATCCTAACTCAAGTTGGTAACTTTATACACCTCTTGTGCCTTTGTTTTTGTTACTTCTTTTCTTCTTTCTTTTTCATTTACTCATCTCATAAAAAGGAACAAAGAACAAAAATGTGAAAGAGAACAGAAGCACCTAACTCAAGTTCAAAGGCTCGAATCAATGGATCACTGGTTACCCCGTAAGGAGGAAGATTGTAACAACACAGCACACAACCCCAAGTTACACTGATCAGCAACATATCAAACTCTAGGGAAGATCAACAATATGTACGTTTAATTGCGTTAAATCATGTCATATGTACGTATAATTTTTTTGTTACATCTTGCCAAAAATGAGCTGCCTTTTCTTACAGAAACTCCACATATATGTACATAAACACCAGCAGAAAGTCCTTTTAAAAGTTGATGATGCTGTCCTCACTGTCCTTCTCGTCCAACTTTATTTACACAGCTAAGGATGGTTCCGTCTATAAGATCCTCAAAAATGGCTTCACCAATTTCGTCTATCACGGTTTGAGTATCTCGTCGAAGTTCCATCCACGAGCTGTCTGTATCCATGCCTTTCTTGACCAGCATTTCCAAGATATGAGGCAATGGCAGGGGCATGAGGTGACAGTGAACTATCTCCCATACCTCATGAATAGTATTCTCCATGTCGGGTACTGGTCGAATGGAAGGCATTGCCAAGGAGAACCCAGGGGAGCAACTGAAGTAGCGCTCATAAACCTGCACAAGAGCTTCATCGGTACAATCGAAAAGGAGTTGCTTTTCAGAGCAAAGCTGGTTAGGGAAGAACTGGAACTCTTCACAGCTTGACGGATCAAGGATCTGGTCTAAGGAATCTGACATTAGATACAGCTCCTCCCAGTTTATACCAGATGCTAGGAGTACACTCCTTATGAACTCAAATATACAATCTGTTTCCTCTGTACCATTTTTCAGATGGATTTCTTCATCATCACCATGTAGACTGTCGACCTCTTCAAACTGAATCCTCAGGGGTTGCAGCACTGGAAGGTTCAAGTGAAGAGTTCTATGAATAACGATACTTGCATAAAAGTATGTAGATATGTGAAAGTTCAGGTACTAACTGTAAGCCATTCAATGTTCAGGTACTTAATGATATTTTTACGATGTCCAACCCAGTAAACCAACAAACCGAATGGAGGTGACTCAAATGGGTTGGGGTTAGACGGTTTTTAAGTAGATGGGTTTGGGTTGATATTTGCAACCTCTACACTTGATAAGCCATGTGTGACAAAACTCAAGCAGAAACCTCAAGTTTGTTAGCAAACATTTAGGTAGGAATAACTCACCAGATTGGGATCTAGTCGCTGCTGGACTGACTTCATCATCTGTGTAAAGTGGCTCAAGGACAGATACAGGACTCGGCCGACCTTGTATCTCCTTAGGCTCGAGAGCCTGGCAGATTTTGCCGATTGATGTGGGTGGAGAACAATCCTGGAGAAAGGAGCAGTAAGGTTATATGTACAAGTTGTGGAAGCTAAATGCAAGAAAAAGATCTAGAGATGGGAGAAAGAAAAGAAAATAGTACATGCTCAAAGATATCAGTGTCTCCTCTCTCCTCACGAGCATTGCAAGTACCAACATTCTGGTTATTAATAGCATCATAACAGCTGCTAGTTTCGGAAAGATAACCAATGAAGTTGATATCTTCTGAGGACATAATAATCTCAGTGACCTTTTCAATCTCCAAACCACCTGCATAAAATGAAGACCGTTTTTCGGCATTATCAGTAATTAAGGGACATACAACAAATTTCCACCTCCCCTGGTAACATTGAATATGAGATTGGGCAAACAATAACCTTGAGCAGTCACTTCATTCGCATTCTTTTCTTTACCATCACGAACATGTTCCTTAGGAAAACTTGAACTTGGATCACAAGGAATCTGTCCTTTATTATCAGAGATGATGTCATCAGATAGCTCTGAGCTCAGTGATATTCGACCTATCTGACTTTCCAGTCTCTGAAATTTTTCGATGTTTGGTAAGCTCATCCGTGCTGGTATGAAACCATACCACAAATCGCCCCCAGAACTGCCACAGGAAGAAGAATTGTACTCTGGGGAAGAGAGAATCCTCCCAAGTGGTTTTGGATTTGGTTCGCTCGGAAAAGCTTCGCCTGTAGGACCATCTGTCAGTATCTCTGAGAGGTGCTTCTTCTTAGCTTCAAGGTAGATGTTCGATGTCCTTGATTTGGGAAGAATATTATTAACTTCTTGCTCCTTCCCTTTGTCAAATTCAATGGAATTGGCACCATTCTCACCTTTCCTGGAACTCGTTGGGTATCTGGCAATTCTTTCCATGAAGAAGTGTTCTTTATTGGGACCTCTTCTACCAGAACTGCTTTCATTCAATCTTCTTCGGTCACCTTCTTTACCAGCCCAAGTAGGCTCATTGGGATGTCTATTTGATATGGTGGAGCCGTCTTGCCGCTCTCTACCCATGGCAGTTTTCAACCTTCTTTTTATTTCAGTCAGGGAAAAATGGGACCTGTTTTTTCCATTTCCTTCTTTATTTCTGACGCTCATTTCAAGTTGAGGCGATGAGCCGAGACCTTTTTTGGTTTCAGAATCTTGCAAACCTTTTTGCCCTGGCTTCAAAATGACAATCCTGTTTGTATCCTGATGGGAGACGTTTCCTTTTGAAATGGTCCTTTCAAGATACTTGGACTTCCTTCTAAAATGTTTGCCATGTTTGGTTGCTGAAACTTCGTTGGCTTGCTTTGAGACACATTGCCTTTGTTCTGCTACACTAGTTCCAACAGGTGACTTTGACTCTTCCCCATTAGCTACCTGAAGATTCCCTTGCCCTTGCAAGACTTTAAGAAGCAATTCCTCATCGGAACATATAATCTGCAGAGCATCCTTAAGTGCCTGAGACTGATCAATGCTGTCATCTTCTTCTTGATGCTTTCTGTGTTTGACCTTTTGACTAACAAGAAGCTGTTTGATCTCTTTGAGTTTCCCTTCAAAGTCATCATTAATCCTCTGGCTAAGCTGATGATGGAGCTCACTGCCTTGGTCCTTTCTCAAACGACGACTACTGCTTTTCTGATGGTTGAATTCCTCTATTCTTTTCTTACCTATCTCACCATCATACATGAACGCCTCTGAATTGTGGGGGCAAGTTAGTTCAGCAGCAGTACAAGCAACATGGGCTTCTCCATGCACTTCGCAACCTTTTCTGAGACTAGTTCTCTTGGTGTCGCTTCTTCGTTTCCCCTTTAAGATCAATTCCATTTCACCACTGATTGTCTCGCTCACAGACAATTGCTCGTCTAACAAATCTTCCTCTATGAGTTCCTTCACACTTGGCCTACGTGTTACCACCACATTTTCTTCACCATCCTGCCACATTAAAAGATAGATGAATATTATTTTTGTACCCAAAAGAAGAATAAGAAAATGACCTGCAAAATAAAGTTACCTGATCATGTTCATCAATATCTGTGTCATGCATAAACTTTTGCTTTTCAGCACCTACAAAGGATGATGAAAGTTAACACCATTTCATCACGAACCAAAAAGCCACCCAGAATTCATGATTCAACAAGTTTGTATCAGGCGATAGACAATCTGTGACACAAAATCTCTTACACTTGAAGCCAGATGATGTAGATAATTAAGAAAGCCTACATACCAGCAGCGCGAGGCCGGCTTGCGTATCTCCTATCTAAAAGCATCTTCTGACTGAAGCGACCATATCTGAAGTCCAACATGCTAATCAAGCTCCACATACAGCCTGATTTCTCGCATCGAGCATGTGAAAGTCTCTGCGTGCTCTTCCCCATAATTAGTGTATCTACTACCTTCCCCTTGATGCTTGAATCATACAAGTCTCCTCACCAACATCTGCAGTATAACTCTGATATGCAAAGAAAGAAGGATTAAGAACAGTGAGGGCCAGAATGTCAACCCTCGCAAATTTTATGACATACAGTTCCTTGCATGTTAAGCCAGACAATGCCTGACAAGCCCCAATATCAAATCTAACTAAAGCTGAGAACATTGAAGAGAACAATAGCAGGAAAAGAGAAATTAAGAGATTCATACGAAACACACATCCATCAGGAAAAGGAGAACTAGAAGAGAGACATGACATACAATCAGAGAGAAATCTGAGGGAAATTGGCCTAACAAGAATCTTCTAGGAGGCCATGGTTGTGTTCCAACCATGGACCCCTGAAACTGTTTTATGTTTAATGCATGAGAAGGCTCTTTTCCCCCTTTCCCCCCTTCCTCTTGGATCTTCTTTACAGGACAGCTAATTCATGAACATTGTACTAAGAATTTCTTTAAAATATGGAATCAAGAGTACCCTCTGGAAATTGGGAAAGGCCAACACGAGGAACAAAGAAAGAAACCGCGTAGAATTGGCATATTATTCCCCCAAACCGACAAGACGTGAATCAAAAAGTATGAGTCAACTCCAGAACTCTAAACCTTTCCTCCACTAACAGAAATAGAAACCCTTTTAAGCTATGGGGAGGGCAAAATTCGCCAGAATGAAAGAAAGAAAAAACGTGGGTGGGTGGAATGTAAATGAACTAAACTTAAAGAAGAGAAGACAGTATAATTTCGACTTCGAGAGTTGACGCAGAGCTCAAATTGTGCCAACAGCAGAGCTCATCATAATCAACTCAAATTCATCAACAATATGGTGTAAAAGTAAAACCCACTTTGCACATTAGCCATAAACATCGAAATACCAGTAACCACGAAGAGCTTAAAAAGTTAAAAAGACAGAGCTAGCATCAGAATTAGCATCTTCCAGCACCTACCCAGTACGTTTTCAGAAGGAAAAGGCGGGTATTTCTCATACAGGCAGGCAGAGAAGGATCAGAGTGAAGCTGGGTCTGTGAATCGATGCCGATACTGATTGGACCATTGTCAAAGACAAAGTGGGGAGGAGGAGCCCTGGTTTGAAGCTAATCTTTTACTATGCCGTCAAATCCTCCATTGCCGCCTTCTGATAAGTTCTTCCGACTTACCAATCCATAATCAAGAGTCGCACTTCTTCCCACTCTCTGATTGCTGCTGCTGCTGCTGTTTCTCAATACTCTCTTGGGGAACTTTTTTGCTGGGCAGCAGACAGAGCCCTTTTCAACGGCTTTCTTGATCGTAACGATGAAAGTTCTCGCAATACTAAATGGAGCGCACGCCAAATACAAGAAAAATAAAATAGGCAACAATATGGACAACGATGAATAGAAAGCTTGTCAGTTTATACCTTTTTGTCGGTTTGTGATCCGACTGTATAAAATGTAAAATCGGTATATGGTCGGTTTTAATAGAATACGGAAGAAAAATTAGAAAAAACATTAGTAATGCCAAATGAATCGTACTTATATATAACGTATTTGAAAGCGATCTTCCTACGAAATTTAAATAAAATACAACTTCACAAACAAAATGATAATTTCTTATATTTAAATAGAATATTTAGCCTCAACATCCAAACATTTATATTGGAATCCAACAAAGAATTTCAACATCTATATTTATATAAAACATAGTATTACATACTAAATCACAAGTCTTCATATTTAAATACACAATTTTATTGTTAATTAAATTTACCAAAAAGATGCTAATGGGTCGGAAATTCTTCATACAGGTTGGGCCACCAATTTTCTCAATATCGATCGATTTTGACTACCACTTCATATTGGGGTATTCGAACTTGTTTGTGTTAGGTACGGGTTAAACCCAGTTGAACCGGTAAACATACAACCAGTTTTAGTTTAACAACTATGAATTATACGATGATGTTGTCATCAAATCAAACTCAAACAACAAATCATTTATGTGATTTTCCCAATAATTGGGATTGGTTCCTGAAGTATTTCATACTGCCCGAGCTACTAATCTTATTATGTTTTTCTAGTTTGTACTCTCTTGAGTCTCAACTTCAAGTACAAGTACAAGCACATATGACATATGTACAACTAGGGCAAAGCTACTCGGTACAACCTAGACTCCCAATTCATAATTATGCCTCTTGAACCTTACATTAATACATACACATACAAACTAAGCCCACAAAAGATAAGTATCTACAATAGCCTCTCCAAATTGATGTTGCTCCCGAAGCATCAATTTTGCTCTATAAATACCAATGGAGACTCGTCAAGGAAGCCTTGGTGAACATATTAGCGAGCTGATGATCACAAGCAATATAATGAAATTTAATAACCCCATCGTGAACCAAGTCTTGTATATAGTTAATTGGAACCTAGATTTAGGCGTTGCATTCAGATGAACTCGAGCCCAACATCCAACTTTGCTTGATATTAAGCTTTCATAGTAGACTTTCAAACCTTACCCTGCTTCTTAGAATGCAAATTGACGAGGTGTTTGAGAAGAAAATGCATCATCAAGTGGTTGAACGTAGAGGATACCTACAATTATGGAGCATAAACCACATCCCCTAAGTGTCGATTGGGCTTCAAATTTAGCTTCATAGGGGTAGTGACTGATCGAAAGTTTACAAAGGCAGTAGAGCTCAATAAATATAATTTATTTTGATGACTAATCAAAAGCACCTGGAAAGGCTCGGAGATCTAGAAAATAAACATGTTCCTTATAACTAAACAAGGCATGAAAACCATCTTCGAGTGCCTACCTGAATCCCATAATAACCATGACATCAGCATTAAAAAAAGAAGGACGAAATACTAAGATATGTCGTTCAAGTTTTCTCGAAAACCAAACTTAATAAAATTGTTTGTTGAAATTTTAATATCGGTGAGTAGGTCCAACGGCTCTGTCACAATAATATGCTCCTTTTCATGTGATGTACATGTACTCCTATTATATATCAAGCAAAGAATATAATTGAACAACCACAAGATTCATGATGGTTAGGGCGCAAGAGGGCCCGTAATTAAATATATTGTCCATTAAGAGGAATACGACCATTAATAATGCTTCATTGTTTATACCGGACGGAGGCCAAACTCCATTAATCGCCGGCAATACCTCATCATCAACAAACTAAACCAAAAATTAATTAATTGGTTGTGAGTTTTACGGAACAGCTAGCTTGGTAATAATAAGGAGGTTAATAATAATATAATATACTAACCATGGGTTGCAGTATAGTTGTAGTTATTATTTTTTCACTTTTTGTAATTATAGACGTATTTTTCAGTTTTTTTTTATGACTACAAAATCATAATTGTAGTCATTATTTTTACAGTTATAGTAACCGGTTTTAACTTTTTGGGCTGTTGTTTGGAAATATTGGACAGAAGCTTTGGTGGTTGTCATGTAATGTCAGGAAATGATGTCAAGAAGCTGACCCAATTTTGGCGGGACGGCTTTATCATTGTATGTTTGTTAATAATCTTTCCAACCCCTTATCTCGTATTCGTTCGCTGAATTACAAACATAACTAAATTTATCAATTATTTTCGTTTGAGATAAAAAGAAATTTTCTTGTTTATTAGCTATTCTTCACTTTAGACTCCATTTCATCGTAAGTTAATGATTCTCCAATTTCGTTCATCCGTCTTACTTGGCAAGTCAATTATATCTAATATCCTCTTAATTTCTATGGTGATGTGACAATTATTTTTAATACAATTGGCCTTAACCGAAGACTTACCGAAGGAAAACAAAAAAGCTGCAGAATGAGAAGCGTTCGACTAAAAAAAAAATCTAAGTTAAAACAGATACAAACCGATTAAAAAAAAAAAGTAAGAAAAACTGAAAAACTTTTAATCTCATACCTTAAATTTGTCTCACTCAAAATAAAAATAAAAAAATTAAGAAGAGAGGAAAAAGTTCAAGGAATGGTGGTTCTTGGTCTGAACAAATTTCAAACTAGATATATAAGATTAAACTGAAATAGCCATCACCGGCTCGTTCACACATATACAACACACGGCTCCGCCTATGCAAGCTTCATAGTAGAATTCCATCCATCTACGTTACCAGAGAGCGGAAGGAGTGATGCATTGTTCTCATCAGATGCGAAAAATTAAGGATAATTCGGAAACAAGGATGGATATTCACCTTAGGAGATGCTGAGCTTGCAGATTAATCCGTTTCGATGGCTTCTTTTGTTACTTCTGTGAAGGCGAATTCTGAAACCAGAGCTAAGTGATCACTTCCTAGCTTCTGTACAAGCATGAAACTATGGTCAGCAACAGATACAAATGACCTTTTTTCCCCCAGTAGATTAAGACATGTGATCGTGGTCCGCGGATTATAGGATATCTTATCGATGGGTTGCAATCACGATCAGTGAGTGTGCAACCGGTTTGCTTGCAACATGTAGTCACATCACAATCATTGAGTTGCTTCTAGCAACAAGTCGCGTCCTGAAAAAAAGATTGCACAAACGAAAAGCGATGTAGTATTGCACGATCAGCATTGTTACCTTGCAAGGAAGACTGCCTATTCTCTTGAGGAAATCCAACGGAAGAGTATCGAGAACTCCGGTGGCCTGAATTCCACTAGAATGCCTACAAGTTTCACAGCTTTAATTAGAGAGCCCCGCTGCAAAGGGAAAGAAACCAGTGTTGTCTCAATCTCAAGGGTAAAAAAAAGTATTGTGTAATCACCACAGGTAGTCAACAGTCCCAACAAATTTTGAGTGGAATGATGTTGCTAGAGGTTCACCACTGAGGTCTCTTGTCGTTTTGGAACCCTGAAAATGAGTAGTGTTAGAGAGTCATCAATGACATTTGAAATAGAAGATCCAGAATATATGCGGCAAAAGGGTGGAACTGGAATATCATTTTTAATTCACGAGTTATGAAACAAAAAAAGTAGTCTCATATTCATATACATGAACTGTGGCATAAGAGCTGCAGAGCTTCAAAGGGTGTTTAGCAAAATCACGGTTAGAGTGGCCAGTTGCAGCCTCAACTTCCTCAGCTGTCCAGGAACTCTCGAGAAACCTGCAATTGGACAATGCTTAAATGCATTTAGAATTGCAAGTAGACCACACTAGCAACACCTTGTGTGTAATTAGAATTTCTTATCAAAATGAGAACAAGACACTGACAAAATACTTTGTGTAATTACTGTAATGGACTTCTCCGAGCACAAGTATAGTGCCTTCTATAACTAGGGCTGGGGAGCAGACAGATTACTGTTATGACTGAGAGAATCACCTGTCTATTAATACAAAGGGACTTCCAGCTTCTCTTTTGGCACCAAAAACTTCAGTGGGATGGAAGTTCCTCTGTCCAGACAAGTTTTTTCTATCGTGCAACTTTACATTGAGCTGCATCCAGAATAATTCTTGTTTCAAGAAAATAAAATAAAAATCAAGTAGCGGCCCTTCATTCGCGAGGAAAATCAGATAACGATTTGAGTTATAATTACAGAAACATGACTAATATCGAAACTGAATTAGCACACATCGTTCTTTATACATTCACCAACCACAGAGCCATTTACCTTGGATGATGATAAGAACTTGTATATTGCACTCTGTTGAAGGAGGAAATGCATTAAACTTTGCTCAGGAGTATTCGACATTGCTCAACAAAAATGAGGAACTTGACCAAACACCTGGGGAGTGCTATTGAAGTCACCGGTCAAAATAACAGGGACGTTACCCCATTTCTCTGAGAGATACTGTGCCCTCGAAGAGAGAAAACGAATCTGAAAGTGAGAAATCCATGTTAGAACTTAGAACACCTACAGTGGTGTGCTCAAGAAAAAGCTAATCAATAATACAGCACAGAAAAGTGAGCAGAGATGAAAACAGCAGTTTTGGCTGTCAACAGTTCAAAGAACACGCCAAAGAAAAACACTACATACTTGGCCTAATTTGACATCTCCTCGACTTGGACGATAGATCACATGGATGTTACCGATAACAATCCTTCTTGATTCAGCTTCAGAGGTCTGTCTGTAAACAAGGAAGTCAGACATATAAAGGATCGAGCTGATGACAGACTGAAACCAACAAAGAAGGCTGCCCAAACAAATTTCAGTTTCAGGCTTTCAGCACATCATAAAGTAGAAAATGAAGGCAACAGCAGAGGAGTGGAACTAATTCTAGTTGAAAATACCCCTGGCTGTTCTAAGGGTATGAGACAAATCCAAAAAATGTGTAAATAAAGACCAAAAGAGAAGAATGCTAGATACTGTACATTCATCCAGATTATTCTTATCAGTCTAAATACGAACTCAGAAGCATTAATCGAGTGAGACGTACCTCAAAAACAAAGATTTGAGCAACATTATCGCGAAGACCAAGTTGCTTAAATTCGATGCTCTCTCCTTCTAAAAGACGCAACCTACCACCACAAGCGAACCTCTTAGACGACAAGTCGCAGCTAAACAAAGCAAACCATATTAATTGACTTCCTTACTTATCAGCTTTCCAGAACACAGCACATCCGTCAACCTTATCCCCAGTACACCTCTGCCATTTCCAACAAATTAAAAACAATTAACAGTCTCCCACAACTCTCTGGCCGAGAAAGCGAAAAGGGAACAATCATAATGCAAACCTTCACATATTCAACGTATCAAGAAATGCTAACCTTATAGGAACCCTCATACCCAGCTTTCTGCATGACTTTGAGTAAATCAACGTACCTATCCACCTCCTGTCGTAAGAATGAAAACACTTCCATCCGTTAAACATTCAGCCAGTTACCTATACAACACTCTTTTCTTCATACCAATAACCGAGATAACGAAAATTATCAGGCGCTAACCTGTAGACAGATGACATCACAATCGTACCCAGTTAATTCCTCGCAAATGAGCCTTCTGCGATAATCCCAATTCAAGTAGGCAGAAGGAACCTCCAGGTATAGATCTCTGTGATTGAAAGCGTTTCGATCCCCCAGTATGTTATACGAGACAACGGTGATTCTCCCTGCAAAAATCTCACACAATTGTTCATCACAACCAGATTATTAGGCAGCAAAATTGAACTTACCAGAGAAAATTATTATCAATTTGCCCCCGCTGCATTCTGTTTGCTTTCGGAATACTAATTGAATACCTTGCGATGATGAGATTGGACGGTGGTCGGCCTCGATCCAGAGGCGGCCGAGAGGATTGTAGCATTGGCGCTCGGACCATCGGCGGCCATCCGAGCGGGTTTGTAAGGATGACGTCGTCTGCTCCGGCGAGTTAACGGTGGATTTGCAAGCACAGAAGAAAGCTTGAGGATTGGGGAAGCCGGGTTGAATCAGCGGCTGGCTGGGCCAAGACGGGAGGCCCCGGCCGCAGCTGTACATCGTGAGGTTTGGAGCGGCGGCGATGAGGGCTGGCGGGTGTTATCTTGAATTGAGGAGGGAGTTTAACGGACAGGGAAGAGCCAGCGAGCACACAGCATATACCCTACCCTTTCACTGGACATTTCTTTCGCGCCACTTCACCTGATCTGACGAGGATGTAGTTGTTATTTTATTTTATTTTTTGTATATTTTCCTGGATGAGGTAATTTTTAAAAAATTCAAATGTATTTGATTTCGGCTAATTATTTAACGGTCCATGAATTTCCTTTACTATCAAATTAGTCCTTCAGCAATCAAGCATTATATTATACAACAATATATGCACTGTAATTTCAGGTACTTAACTTCTAATTTGGGCAATTATGTTCTTCCCCTTGGAAAATTAGAACTAATAATAAGCATACTAATGAGGCTCACAAGAATAGCTTCGCACAATTGTATTATACAGTAAAATTTAAATATCTTATTCGAAGAAGAAAAAAAAAACTCTTTCAAAAATACAAATGCAATCTCATGCGATACCAAAAGACAAATAAAATTTTATCATCTCATATCGTATGTAAAATCTCACGTGGTAAACTTAACTCGGACTAATTTAGTTGCTACACCGATCACAGAACAAAAAAATTGTTCCCCTTCCCAAAATGGTTCTAAATCTATTGGAGTTGGACCAACTTACTCCAATATTGAACTGAAGTGAAGTAGCTAGTTAATAAACCCATAAATGTAAGAAAATAAAAATTAAGGTACTAGATAGACCCTTAAGATGAGTTTGAGTAGCATATACAAGTTACAACTCTTACTGTCCAACAGAATATGTGTATATATGGTGGCCAGCACATTTGCTCCGAATCCCCTAGTAGACAACTGAACAACTCCTCAATCTATCTTACAGTTACCGTTATCTGAAGAGTAGGCACTAGGCAGAAACAGCAAAGAGCCAGGGGTGTACCAATATCAGCATATCCATCAGTCTATAAGGATAGGAGCACATGATTTCCTCTTTCTCCTTCTTGCTCTCCTCAGTATTCGTTCTGTCTCTTCCTTTGCTTCGTCCATCATATAGTCTCCAGTGCCTTGGAAGCAAAACACCATTAGACCAATCCATCCGAACAACTAAGAACTAAAAAAAACAAAATCACATTTCGATTCGTACCTGGTTCCTTTGGGTCGATTAGGCAGGACAGCCCTCCATCAATCTCCTCATCTGAATCAATGCTGATTCTGTCATTTCTTTCCTGCTTCCTGGACTGTCATCCAATGTATAAACAGCAAATCAAAACTTGCTATTTTATTGTATGTAGAGACAGACTCCTGGTGAGAATCTTCACAAGAGAATCGAGACTTGATTGAGAAAAATGATTTCGCTGTTTCGACACACCTAAGGAGGATTCTATTGACACTTGAAGTAACCAGTAGAAAATCCAGAAGCTACAGCAGTGGCAAAAAGTAAGCACTTACTGCTGGTTCATTGTAAGAAACAAGTTGATGCTTCTGCTCCTCTTGCCGTCTTCCCCTTGATTTTGTATTTCCTCCCTTCTTAATGGATTTCCATCCTAGGGCTTCCTCCCCTGGAAAATCAGTTGCTTGAGCAGAAACCTTGGGGGCCACGCCTTGACTGCTTGAGGCAAAGAACTTGGAGTTAAAAGAGTACTACACAGTGCAGATCAATCAATATGTAGTTTCAGCACAATCGCACAATCCCTGCAAACTCCACTACATTCCTTAAAGCCTCATCCGAGACCGACAGACAACAGACATAAGCACACTCTCATTCTCTACCCAATCACAGAAATGAACCCTGAAAGGATAAAGTAACCAAGCATGATCAACTTAAGGGAACATAAAACTAGTATGCATACATCTCGACTGTCCCTGGCTTTCTTTGCAGAGGGGAAGGAGTGCCAGCATCCTACAAATGTCAACAAGCAAAATGACATCAGAGAACTCTCCTGTAAAAGAAAAGGTTTAATTACCTAGGACATAATTGTCAAATCTTAGTGATGCAAATCACCTTTGGTGGAAGCAAAGCAAGGCATGGATTTTCCAGGTTTGGTGTCCTCAGGCTGCAGATCATTGCCTATAAAAATGAGACAAATCCAAAGATGAGGTGGAGAGCAAAATCAAGCTGGAGGGCAGAAAACTATTGCAAGTTGAATACTTAGAATCGGCTGACAGCATCAAGATTGGCACTTAGAAATGATGTCAAATTCTAGGAACCTATTCACCAATACTCTAGCACTATCCAGTTCAACCTGCAGAATACGAAACGGGTATGTGACTTTCTTAGCTCATGCCATGGGTGTTTCATGAGCTAGCACACTCCCTTGTATCCAATAAAAACTGTTCACTGCGGCATTATACTTACACTCCTTTTTCATGAGAGGAAGAGGAGGGGGAGGGGGAAAGAACAGTATGTTTACCTGAAATTCCTGCCTGCAAGTTGCACGAAGCTGATCTTGTAGTTTCAGTTGAGAGTCCGCCATTTGTCCAGGTAAGGCAGATAAAAGAAAGAATATCTCATCAATTCTGTTCTGCCATGCATCCTTTTCGAGTTTCTCAGACATAGATTTCAAGCTCCCATCCAAAGTAGATTTGACATCTCCAAGTCCCTTGTTCTGTTATTGCAGTAGACCAGTGATGTTAGAAAGGCATTTTTTGCATGTTAAGAAGGAAGTGCAGAAGAGAGAAAGGGCTTACCGTAAGTTCTGTTACCATTGTCAGCAGTGAAGTGTCACGGGCAAGTAACTTCTGCCGTATCCCTTCCACTGACAGAAATTTTGATTATGAAACTTGCTTTAGTAAACCAGTAATGAAAGACTTCATCCATAAGCAGAAACCATTATGAGTTATGACTGCTATCAAACACAAGAATTAGCCAGAACTTCAATCTAATCAATTGAATAACTCACTCTCCAGCAGCACTTCTTTTGTCCCTTTGTTTAATTGCATAATATCACTTTGTACAGAATCCAACATCATGCCAACTTTGCTTAAGGAGTTCTCCATAGTTCCAAGGCGGCGCTCAAGCTCTTGGCTCATATGGCCTGCTTAAACAAAGCAATAAGAGAACACTTACAATCATCTAGTTAGCTTCGACAATCTGGAAATAACCAGCAGACTGCCAGGTTTCCAAATTATGGATTCTCGTGATGAAACTAAGCACATACATTTGGATTCTGCCTCGGAGCCATGACTCCATTTTCTCATTAGATTGCCAGAAGATCTCGTGATTGGAAACTGACTCTCTTCGTGCACATCGCTAGTTGGAAGGAGTGACGATGCCTTCTTCACACGGTTATCCTGCTCTTGTGAATTACGTCTTGTTGGAGGGAGTGACGAAGCCTTCTTCACACGGTTGTCCTCCTCTTGCGAATTAAGTCTCTGGTGGTTTTCATGAATCAATGAAGTCAAAGACCAGATCAGGGCTAACTTGCGTAATGAAGGCAGGAGAAAGGCAATCTATGCTGAAAAAATGATTTAACAGAGATCTAGCAACAAGTTCAGCCAACTGACGATTCTCTCAACTGAATCCAATGCTACATTCCTATTTCTGTCAGTTAGAGGTTCATTTTCCGTTCCTAAATTTTCAACTAGATAGGAGGATCTAAGCAGGAGAAGAGGTGGTGGAAGAAGCACCGAAGGACAGAAAAGTCAAAATTTGAACCTGATCGATGGTGAAAGCTTCATCCAGGGAATTCTGAGATAGCTGAGAGAAGACGCCATGCTGCGATGAAAATCCATGTGGAAACGATTGTTGCGAAGGCTGCGACCTAAGCTGCGATGGCTGTGATCCAGGTTGAATTCCGCTCATTCTCCTTCATATCATCAACGCGACGGCAAAAAATTGCATCAGCACGTGATAAGACGACACAAGGAAGGAGCAAAACAGAAGACGGACGGCGGCGATCGAGGAAACCTCTCAACATTCCACAGCTAATCAGAGCTCATCGGAACTTGCATAAAATATGAATCGAAATTCAATTTCGGACCAATCAGGTTTTCACTACTCGAGATTTCGTGACAGAAGAGCCAATCAATGAGGAGGAATTTGATTTTCCGACTCTTTTTTTACTTGAATTTATCGATCGTGCGACCAGAAATTACGAGCAGAGGAATCGGATTCAGAGGAACAAGAGGACAACGAAGTTTGAATCGAAGGAAGCGGAAATCGGACCTTGAATGCGGAGGAAGGACGGAAATGGAGCTGAGATCACACGCTCTGTTGAGCTTCAGCTTCATTTGAGGAGATGCCTGTGAGTCTCAGCCGCTTGGCGGAGATATGAAACCCTAGTCGATCCGACTGATCGGAACGGAAACGAATCGTAGTGGTCTGCCGATGCAGGAGAAGTTCCGGTAATCTCGAAGAGATAGGAGAGAAGGAGAGACAGAGAGAGAGAGAGAGAGAGAGAGAGAGAGAGAGAGATTGGGAGTTCTGAGTTGTGAAGCTTGGGCGGGAAAACGTGCTGGCTGCTACAGAGTGATGACTGGCAACTCAGAGATCGTACTGCTGGCAGCTGTGGCAACTGGCAAGGACTGACGCCTCAAGATGGGCCTCCTCAATCTCAATTTTCCGAGACCCGAAGGCCCAAAAGTCGTACAGCTTAGTAGCATATACATGATTCGCAATGGGCCAGGTCAGGCGGTATTTCAATGGCAAATTGGGTAATTTATCATGGAGAGCGCAGTCGAGACAGGACAATCAATATAAATATATAATTTAAAATAAAATATTATAAATATCAATTTTATTCATCAAGAAAATCAAGAAACAAACTATAGCATGATAAGTGTATCAAAAGCATGATAAGTGTAGTTAAATTATTTGAGAAATTTAGGTTCTCACTCATGCAATTAATGAAAACCATCCATCAAATAGATAAAATCATCAATCAAACATAAAATATGTTATACATAAATTTCAAACCAAAATCTAGACCTAGGGTTCATCAACATGTGTTTTTGGTCTACAGGTTTGGAATAATGGTGCGAACCAAGAAGCGTGTTCCTGGACCTATGAAACGACCGTTGGTAGATCCTCCTCCTGCCGAAGATGTTCCTCCTGCGTCTGAAGATGTTCCTCCTGCTATGAAACGACAACGACCCTTAATAGATCCCCCTTCTACCGGGAAGTCTGGTGGGGAGTCTTCTGGGAATGCTGCTGAAGATGTTCATCCTCCTACTGCTGAAGATGTTCCTCTTTGTCCAGAAGATCCGGTTGTAGCAAAAAGAGTTAAGTTTGCTGCCGGGACGTCCGGTGAGACCTCTATAGGGAAGTCTGGTGAGACTTCTGTTGGGAAGTCTAGGGGGAAGTCTTCTGGGAAGAAGTCTGAGGGAAAGTCTTTTGCGAAAGCTGGGGGGAAGTCTGTTGGCAAAGTTGCTGTGGGCAAGTCTGTTGGGAAATGTGTGGTGAAGTCTGCTGGGAAAGATGGGGGGAAGGCTGCTGGGAAAGGCAAGGCCAAGAAACCACATGAAAAGCAGCATCGATGTCACACATCTTCATTGTTGAGTGTAATTGAATTTTGGAAGAAGGATGAGGCATACTATGAGGAACGCGAGAAGGAGCTTAAGAAGGCGGGGTTTGATGGATTGCTGGAGATACGCTTGCGCGGCGTCGATAAGTTTCTGCTGTGTGCAATGACACGACACTACGATGCTATTTCTGACAGCTTCATTTTCGGAGAGGGAGAGAATCGGAAGGTGCTGTCCTTAGAGGACGAGGACGTGGCTCGTGTTTATGGCCTTCCTCACGTTGGGGAAGAAATAGTGCTGGAGAAGTGGCTGGACAAAACCAAGCTGTCGGCTTTTCAAGCCGAGATTGGGTTGGGAGGAAACGGGTGCCAGACTTTTCCTCTGAGTGATATGGTGGACAAGTTAACGGATGAGAATGCTAGATACTTTTATGTGTTATCTAGATACTTTTAGTGAGAATTTTCCCCACAACAATCTCAACTTTTAGTTGAGATTGTACAATACCTCATTTTATGTGATTGTAGGTGGGATCCACACAAAACAATACATGCATTGTTTCACACTTTGACAATTCCAAACGTTGTATTATGGACAATGCATGTATTCTATAAATACAACGCTCACAATCACAACTTCCAAACGACCCCTAAGTGAAAATTATGTTTCATACGAAATTTTGACTTTGTAATACTTAGATAATTTGAACTCTTCTCTAATACCAAATAAAATGTCATTTTCATCAAATAATACAATTAATGAAATGTATCCGGCCAACAGGCCGAACCGAAATTTAGTTTTGTAATATATATTTTTGTTTATTAGGCATGAGTTAGTTAATGTTAATGATAATAATATCCCCTATACGATTCTGATTCTCACAACCATGTTGAAAAGATTCCTTTAAATGTTCTCTTTCCGCGAAAAAGAGATAACCAGCAGTGGGCCCCAATCCCATCCCCTAAGAAGCTTCGTCTTCAAGTAATCACGGAGCTGAGCTTGCAGACAAAAAAAAAGAGGGAAATGATAGAAACGAAGAGACGAGAGGAGAGTAGACCAGAGAAGCAGCAAGGCCCGTCATTTTCTTTTGAGCTCCAATATATATTATTGAAATCACATTTCAGTTTCATCCGATTAAAAAATTAGGGTTTAAGCAGCTAAAGCAGCAAGCCAATGGCCTGAATATGGACAATCAGCTCCTTTTCACGCCTAATCGTGATTGAAATCCTGATTCTTTTGGGTTTTACTGATGGCCGTGGTGAGTCCAGTGCCTCCAATCACGGAGCTTGGGAGTCCGTTGAGGCTTTCTGAGTTTGGAGGTTCGAGGAAGATGAACGGCAGAAGTTGTAGTAGCAGCGCCAGCGAGGTTGCGCCCGTGGCTAGGATGATTGAAGAGAAGATATACGTCGCCGTTGGGAAATCCGTCAAGGAGAGCAAGTCGCTGCTTGTTTGGGCTTTGCAGAACTCGGGAGGGAAGAAGATTTGCCTTCTTCACGTTCACACTCCTGCTCTGATGATTCCTCTGAGTAAGTTCTTCCTTCTCCCCAGAACTTCAGATACTTCACTCTTCTGGGCTTGATGATCACCATGAATTTGCTTTTTTTTTTGTCACTATTTCTTCGTTCGCACTTGAATGTTTGAGGCTCAAATTAAATTTTGTTATTCATGGATGATCAGGCGATCCTAATCTGAATTAGATTATCCGGTGACTGTGGTGGCTGGTGAACGTTGACTGTTGATCTGGATTAGGCGTGTATGACTTTCAGAATCAATTGCTTGAGACGGCTAACTTTGTGGTCATGGTTATTTGCAGTGGGTGCCAAATTTCCGGCAAGTTCGCTGAAAGATACGGAAGTCAGGGCATTCCGTGACATTGAAAGACAGGAAATGTACAAGATCCTAGCTGAATATCTTCGTTTATGTCGAAAAGCAGGGGTTAGTTCTGTTCTCTTCTGTTTCTAATGGCTTACTTTGGTCAGGCAAACTTGTAAAAGCTTCTGAGCCAGATTGTAAAGCTGATCTTTAAACTAACTGGATAATTATCATGGTTTACAAGTTCCAAGGCTTGCTCACATCGCTCAGAAACAGACATGAGTTACTTCAAACTTGAAATCAGTTTTCTTGATTGGTGATGCACTCGTTGAAATAATTTCAGTATCGTGGAATTACAGTTTATTTTTGTTTCCTAATATTTTAGGTCCAGGCTGAAGAGCTGGTTGTTGAGAAGGAATCCATCGAGGATGGCATCCTTGAGCTTATCACTAGTCATGGGATTAAGAAGCTTGTGATGGGAGCTGCAGCAAACAGGCGATATTCCAAGTAATTGTCACTAGCTACACAAGTCACCAATGCAAATCTCAAATTACGTGGAAATGAACTGGTCCAGATGAACCAAAACTGGATTGCCTTAGTGGAGTAGCAGATTGCTTATGACTGCTGAATGTTGCAGGACTATGATGGCCCCTAAGTCAAAGAAGGCCACCTCAGTGAAGGAACGAGCACCAGCTTATTGTCATATATGGTTTGTTTGCAAGGGCCATCTTATCCACCCGAGGTACTTGGTGTTACGGCGGTCTTATTGTTGTCTTCTCAATTGACGTTAAAGGGAAACATTCTTTCATGTCTTGTAACTTGTAAGTGGAAACCTGGGATTGAAATTTGAGATCTCACGATATGGATATGTAAATCAATGAAGAGTGATAAAAAGTTTGCTATGATTTTTGTTTCAAACCACACCCTGTATCACTGATTCATATTTTCTTGTCAGTTTCAGTTCTTTAATTGTTCTAAGATTGTGAATGCTTTATCTGAATTCTACTGTTTTTTAACTCAAATTATTGTGGACATATTGATCTTGTCAAATCAGGCTTGCTACTTTGCATCAAGATGATGACACCAAATCCCCTCAGCAACAAGGGAGTCCAAGCATGAGAACTGGGAATTACCTGCGATCCCGTTCTGCTCAGGTGAAGCCTTCCAACCCAGTGCAAGATCTGTTCCGCAGGATGTCTTCTCTAAATCTTGATGCCGAATCCAATGGGGGGAGAGAAACACAGCCTACTATGCCAGATGATACTAGAAAGGTGGGAACACCAGGGGCCAGGTCAGATGCAAGTTCTGATGAATGTGAATCAAGGAGCACATCACAGGGTTCAAATCTATCAGCAAGTTCTTCTGGTGAAATGGTCAACCTTGCTGTTGTTCCCAGTTTGATAACTGTAGGTAGTTTCATGGCTTCAGAGATAAGCACTTTGCCAGAGAATGCAGATGGTCTTTATCATACATCTCCTCCCACTGTACTGGTACTTTTTAAACATAGATGTCATATATTCCAGTAGTGATCTGTGTTCTTACCAGTTTCCTCAGATTGACAAATGATGGTTTCTGACAGGAAAGAACTTTAGTGGATCCTCTTTACGAACAGCTTAAACGGACAATGGAAGAGTCGATAAGCACCAGGAGGGAAGCACTTGAGGAAGCACTCAGGCGTGCAAAAGCTGAAAAGAATGCCATTGAGGCCATACACAGGGTACGTTTTCCTTTCAGAGTGACGAGCCCCCTTCCCTTTCCTTTCCGGTGAATTCTTTTCAATGCCCACCTTAAATGGGGAATGTCTGATGACACATGTAGATAGAGAACATTATACAGATGGAACCTGATGGTAGTTGATGCTATGTCAATTGACTTGAGAGGTCAAAATTTTAATTGCATACATTATTTGCTGATTTTATCAGTGTGCCGTCGATGGGTCAAAATTATACTAAACACTTGTCATTGTCCATCAGTCTTCTATACAATCTTGATCTCCAGAATGCTGTGTCAAGTTAGCAACTCCTTAACCTGTAAAATAAGAGAATGGAAATGAAAGGGAAGACTATGCTGACATAGAATAATTATTGGGGACATTTTCCGCAAGCAGGTGGCAAGTTTGCAACCCATAACCTGAAAAATAAGAAAAGTGATAGAATAGGAAAGAGGATGCTGACATAGAATAAATATTGAGAACATTTTCTGCCAACAGGTGAAGGCATTAGAAAGCCTTTATGCTGAAGAGTCAAAGCAAAGAAAAGAGATCGAACAAGCAATAGCGAAAGAAAAAGAAGAAGTTGATGTCATGAGGAATAACCGGGACAAAGTTAACGATGAACTTCGCGTTGCCTTGGATCATAAAGCATCACTAGAAACCCAAATTGCTGAATCTGATCAAACAGTTAAGGAATTTGAGCAAAAAATCTTTGCTGCCGTTGAGCTGTTGCAAAAATACAAGGAAGAGCGGGAAGAATTGCAGGTGGTGCGCGATAATGCACTAAGACAAGCTGAAGAGCTGAGGAGAAGTAGAGCAGAGGCCTCAAAAGCAACAATGTATGAGTTCTTTTCGGAGTTCAGATTCACAGAGATCGAGGAAGCAACTAATAACTTTGATCCATCTCTGAAGATTGGTGAAGGTGGATATGGTAGCATTTACAGAGGGGTACTGCGACACAGCCAAGTGGCTATAAAGATGCTTCACGCTCATAGCATGCAAGGTCCCTCAGAGTTTCAACAAGAGGTATTATTCTGTTAATGAAGGTTTTGAACTATGTTTGGATTCACTGTTTCCTAACTAGTTGATGCCTAGCTTCTATTGTCAATATACAATAGAACTAGGAGCTTCTTTAGATCACTACTATATGTTTAGGAGTTCAAAATGTCTGCAGTTTTACTCTCTAAAGGGTGTAACTGAGTTTTAATATGATATCTACTCAGTGTATCTGTTGGTTATATTCATCATCAGGTGGATATATTGAGCAAGATGAGGCACCCAAATCTTGTCACCCTGATTGGAGCCTGTCCTGAAGCCTGGACTCTTGTATATGAGTTTCTTCCGAATGGAAGCCTTGAAGATAGACTGAGCTGCAGGGACAACTCTCCTCCTTTATCTTGGCAAACTCGTATCCGCATAGTCACCGAGCTATGCTCTGTTCTCATATTTCTTCACTCAAGCAAACCACATAGCATTGTTCATGGTGATCTGAAACCCGCAAATATTCTCTTAGATGCTAACTTGGTTTGCAAGCTAAGTGACTTTGGGATCGCGCGGCTACTTCATCAAGATGAAGATTCCAGTGGCAGAGAAATGATGCTTCACAGGACTGCTCCGAAGGGTACTTTTGCTTATATGGATCCCGAGTTTCTTGCCTCCGGGGAGCTCACTCCCAAGTCCGATCTTTATTCCTTTGGGATAATACTTTTATGTTTGTTGACTGGGAGGTCGCCTTTGGGTTTAACCAAAGAAGTGCAAGATGCATTAAACAAAGGCAACTTGAAATCTCTACTAGATCCTTTGGCAGGGGACTGGCCCTTTGTGCAAGCCGAACAGTTGGCTCGTTTGGCACTACGCTGCTGCGAGTTAAACCGGGAAAACCGGCCAGATCTTGCATCAGAGGTATGGAGGGTGCTCGAACCTTTGAAGGCATCATGTGGAGGGCCATCAAGTTTCCGGGCTGGATCAGAAGAACCATGCCAGCCTCCTTTGTACTTCATATGCCCCATTTTCCTGGTAAATGAAATATGAAAATGATGTTTCTCGAACTCCGAAGTAGCATTTTATGTTAAATGCTTAATCATAGGACATATTCCTGCATGTTAATCGGCGTTTAAAAAATGCAGGAAGTTATGAGGGATCCACATGTAGCAGCCGATGGATTTACATATGAAGCAGAAGCATTTAGAGGATGGCTGGACAGTGGACATGAGACGTCCCCGATGACCAATATGAAGCTTGAGCATTCCAATCTCGTCCCCAACCGGGCACTGCGTTCTGCGATTCAGGAGTGGCTTCAACAGCAACAAAGCAGCATCACTTGATTTTCCCTTTTGAGCAATGCATCTGTTAATGTCACTATGTTTGCAAGGTAAAAGCTTACCCAAAAGATAGAAGAACCATCGTGTATGTTCGCTCCTCCGACTTGTCCTTGGGAGGAGAACTATCAGTATCAGTAGGAAAGCAGAGATCCTCACTTTCCATTTTTGTATTGTAGATGGAGATCGTGGAACTACTGTTTACTTGTAGAGAAACATACATTACCGTTGTTTGTACATATGCACACAGATATACATACATTATATAAACGTAGCATCTTTGCTTTCTGTATTAGATGCAAGATCTACGCATTATGTATTAGAACTAATAACATAATTTGAGATCAATTAGCAGGATGAAGATTGAAAAGGTACTGCCTACCTACTATCACCAACGGCTTGAGTTCCAGTCTTTAAGCCTCATTTATTAAAGAGAATCTCTAATCCTTAAGTCTCATTCTTTAAAGAGATTCTTAAAACCTTCGTATTGGGTGCTGAGATTTACGGAGTTAGTGGTTAAGTAGTTATTAAAGATATTTAGTAAATTATAATTAATTTAAAAATATCCTAATTAAAACTTAACATTTTTTTCGAAGCCTTGAAATGTTGCACTCACCGTTTCTCTTATAGGTTGTAGAGTGACACTATGTGCTGATTGAGTCATCCCAACTGGTTCCTAGATATGTTGGAGGCAGTCGATGTGCCAGCTTTTCTCCCCCCTTTGGGGAAATTTGTATTGTTTTTGGATGATATTGCATCTAATGGAACCCAAGGGGTTCGAGGTTGGGTTTTGCAGGATCCTTCAAGCCTTGTGGTGGCAACTGCTGCGAATTTTTGTATGTGGGCATCACAAACTCTTTTCTTGTGGAGCTGCTCGCTCCCTGTGATACGGTTCGGTGATGCCTGACTAGGGGGGATAACGCCTGTGGTCTTTGTGGGGTGATACAAAGACGGTGTTAGATGAGGTGCGGGTGAGACGGTTGCCTGATGCTCGTGGGGCGTGGCGTTGGATTAGATTTTAGCTCCAAGGAGTGATTTTGCGCATTTTGAAGTCCACTTTACTGATAGTCATTGTAAGTTGTAACAGACCTGTCCGCTTGGTGACAAGAAATATCCTTTCTTTGTTTCTTCGCGAGAATTTGATTTTATTTATTGATTTTTTTAAAAAAAGAAATTTTCGATTTCGAAATCTAATGACGTGTAAGATATTTCTCCATATTTAGTTATTTACATCGGACTAGATAAGGAGGATGAAGACAAATGATGGAATCCTAAGAAATAGTAATGAACGAATATAAATAATAATAATAATAAAAAAAACAGGACTGGACAGTCATTATAGATTGAGGTACATTTCTGTCCTAATCCTAAACTGTACGAATTCGGTCCATCAAAATAAAAGAAAAAAAGAAACGAGGCCGTACACCATTATCCCACGCGAGCTTCCAGCGCGTGGGTATAGAAAAAATCTACTGGCTGCCTTTGGGACGAAGAAGTCGTTAAAAAGAGGGGAAAGATGAAAAAACCAGTTCACACCTCCAGTACAGTAAAAGTAACGGACACCACACGGCGGTTTTGTCATGTCATGTTCATTTTTTTTTTATTTTTTTTCATTTTCTTTTCTTATTATTATTAAGGGAAATGAAAAAGAAAAGGAAAAAGAAAATTCTCCTTCTTGTTCTCTAACTTAACAAAAGAAAATACAGAGACTTGAGGGTTCTTGGTAACTTCTGCCCTGTCCCCTTCGCCTTCTTCTGTCTCCCACTTCACATTTCTTCTTCTTCCTGTCTCCGTTGATTTGTTCAGAGAGAGAGAGAGAGAGAAAAAAGTTCCCAATTTCTTTCAGAACCCTAAACGACATCAACATGGAGGGAGCTCTGTGGAAGGAGCTTCTGGGTTTTCAATTTCCCATGGGAAAGTTCAAATCTTTGTGGTTATTTGTGGCTTTCTTGACTTTGAGCCCCGGCTTTGGTTCAGCTGGAGACATAGTACATCCGGACGCTAAGGCTCCCAGTAAGCCTGGCTGCGACAACAGCTTTGTACTGGTAAGCAAATCGAGCTCAGTTCCCCTGATTGATTTCTTTTGTACTAGTATTATCCCCTTCTGATTACTTCAATTTCTTGTTCTTCGCTTTGTTCTGTGTTTTCTACCTCTTGTTTGGAAATTGGAGGGAAAGCATAGATGAGAAGGTTTTATCTGGGGGAGACTTTTTGTAGGGAGGGTTATTTCATCTTTGCCATGTATTGATTTATTTTATTTCTCTCCTGGAAACACAATCGCATAAAAGGAAAGAGCTTTAAATGGATGTGGCTGATACTTAAATTCAATGAAACTATCTCGATCCAGCAACTGCTGTGGTGCCTTGCCTCCTGTTTTCCTGCTACGTGGGAAATGAATTGAAATCATCTAGGTCGAGTTGTGTTCCCAGCATGATGGCTTCTAGATAAAGTTTGGTTTTGGAATTTGGGTAGAAATCTAAATCCTCTTTTTGCTGTTTTAGAAGTTTAGGTTCAATTCTTGGGGGCAGTTTACATTTCTTTCGAGGTACTCAATACTCTATTGGAACTTGGAAAGAAATTATACATGGGAACCAGAAAAGTGGGCAGTAATGTTGTTGTTCCAGCTGGTTTCGAAGTTTAGGTTGAGGTTGGCTGGAATTAAGTTGGCCTACCGTTTGAAGGTGCTGAGCAACTTCAGCTGCCTCTTGCTAAGCGCGGATGAGTTCTGAGATGAACCCTCTTCCCTTTTCTTAGAATGCTGAATGTTTTCATCTTTTGTTTATTTATGTGACCTTGTTGTACTTACTTTTGTAGGTGAAAATTCCCACTTGGGTTGATGGGGTTGAAGACACAGAGTACGTTGGTGTCGGTGCTCGCTTTGGCCCAACATTAGAATCAAAAGAAAAACATGCAAATAAATCTAGGCTTGCTTTGGCTGACCCTCCTGACTGTTGCAGCACACCCAAGAATCAGGTTTAGAATTTTCGAATATACTTGATGCTTAATCCTGATGTCCTGAATTCAAATGTTATTATTTCATGATACATCTCTATTCTGCTGTTAGTTGAAGAAATTTGTTTCTGCTCGGTTGATGTCATTGTAATTTGGACTATCTGTTCTCTTGGTAGCTCACAGGGGAGATCATTATGGTGCACCGTGGAAACTGCAGCTTCACAACTAAGTCTAATATAGCTGAGGCTGCTGGTGCTTCTGCTATTCTAATTATAAACAATCGAACGGGTAAAATTTTTTTTCTATCCATGCCGATCTATCAACTTTCGCCCTCATTTACATCCTATACGCCCATGATACACAACTTTAAATGGAGACCTGGGATGATCAATTAGGCCATGGAATAATTTATTTCTGGCATGTCATTACACTGGTGTTGGGAAATCGTCAGAATGTTGCTTCATTCAGGTCAAGTTCAAAAGTCATTTCTATGTTCTGCAGTCATGTTATTCGCTTGCACTGGCCATGTTTTTCTTAGCTATGGATTCCTATAGAGATATTGGGTATTGCTTCTCATTATTCCAGGTCTTTGGAAGTGTCTAGATAGGAGAACTAATAATATTCGTGAAACACATCAAATACTGGCATTTTCCACCATGTAGGCACAAACTGCAGCTTGATGATATGGGATATTCTGTTCAAATATGAATTTGTATTTATATTATTGTACATACTCTGATACTAGCATCAGCATAGTGACTGTCAGTCATTGTCAATTGATCTCCATGGTGTCCGCTTGATTAATCTTGTGGGCTTGTTTGCAGAGCTTTTCAAGATGGTTTGTGAAGAGAATGAAACTGATTTAGATATAGGAATCCCAGCTGTCATGCTTCCACAGGATGCGGGAACAACCTTGGAAAATTATATGAGCAGCAACGCCACAGGTATTACTTATTGCACCAGATCAAAATTGAATGTGCTTCTTCGTATAAGTCCAGTCTTCACTTAACTTAATGGTGGCTTTCCTCAGTTCTTCTGCAGCTTTATTCCCCTAAACGTCCATTAGTTGATGTTGCGGAAGTGTTTTTGTGGCTTATGGCTGTCGGCACCATTTTATGTGCTTCTTACTGGTCTGCCTGGACTGCAAGGGAGGCAGCAATAGAGCAAGACAAGCTCTTAAAGGTGAGATCATTTTGAATTTGAATCTGAAAATTTTGGATTCGTTACCATTTTTGCTGAATCAATGAAATTTGTCTCAAAGTCATAGTCAGTGTCTGTCATTCTCACAGGATGGTCTAGATGTACATCAGGAAGATGTTTGCGCTAGCAAAATAGTTAACATCAATGTCACCTCTGCGGTTCTCTTTGTTGTGGCTGCTTCATGCTTCTTGATTATGCTCTACAAGCTTATGTCATTCTGGTTTATTGAAGTTTTAGTAGTTCTCTTCTGCATCGGTGGCGTTGAGGTCAGTACAAGTTTTTTTCTTTTCTTCTTTTCTGTCTTCCGTTTAATGCTCTTTTTTTTTTCCAACTTTGTAATGCAGCAGTAGAGAACATTCTTCTAACCTTTCCTTATCCGTGAGAATTAGTTTGCATTGTGATGTTGGTTTCCAATGTAAAGATGTTGACCTTGAAAACTTTTGTGCTTGCAGGGTTTGCAAACCTGCCTGGTTGCTCTGTTATCATGGTATGCCCAAACCTTTAGTTGTTATGTGAAAATGCCCTTTAACAATTATAGATGACTCTGAGCAAAGCTGTTGCGTGCATTCTATCATTGTACGAATTATTTGCTTTCAGATTCAAATCATGGTAGTTCTCTACTATAACTTGCATTGTCCTAGATGTTAAGGGTGGAAAGAGTTCAGCAATTCTAACTGTTTTTCCTCCAGTCATCCAAGTGTGGAAACAAAGTCCATGACTAACAAAATCTATCAAACCCCACTATATGCTACTCTTTGTTTGCCACAAGCTCAAATGTTATAACACTAAGACTATCTCCATACTCTTAATTGTTGATGATGTGATACTAACATTTCAAATGGGCAAAAGGGAACTATGTTGAGAGTCTACCTTACATATTTTGTCATTTTCTTGTAACATGCTGACACATGGTGACTACAGTTTCAGATGGTTTCAACATGCTGCTGACTCATCTGTTAACGTCCCCTTCTTTGGAGCTGTCTCGTATCTGACATTAATTGTCGCTCCCTTCTGCATAGCATTCACTGTTGTTTGGGCAGTTTATCGCCGAATTTCATTTGCTTGGATAGGTCAAGATATCCTTGTAAGTAACACTTCAGCCGCTATTGTTTTTATATATTATTTTGGATATTTTTTTTATGTGTAACTAGTGTTAAACATTTTCTTTTCTGCATCAATCAGGGTATTGCACTGATCATTACAGTTCATCAGATTGTCCATGTACCAAATCTGAAGGTGATTTCGAAGCTGAATCCTGATTGTTGGTTTAGTAGCATGTTTGTGCAATAGTAATGTTCTGTTGAGGTTCAAGTAATTTTTTGCTCTTTCCTGAATGGCTGTGCTCATTAAGTCCTATTGTGTTGCTGTCTACAATCAGGTTGGTACAGTTCTTCTCAGTTGTGCCTTCCTATACGACATCTTCTGGGTATTTGTTTCCAAATACTGGTTCGACGAGAGTGTCATGATAGTGGTAAGTACTCTCAAGTTACCTGTTGTATGATAGTTACGGTTCATAAATTGTTGGTTCTGGACTAGAAAATGATCTAATCCGTCGTCTCTTTCTGCCCGCTTTTCATCAGGTAGCTCGTGGTGATGGGAGTGGGGAGGACGGCATACCAATGTTACTGAAAATTCCTAGGATGTTTGATCCCTGGGGTGGATATAGCATCATTGGCTTCGGTGACATCATCTTACCCGGACTGGTGGTTGCTTTTTCCTTGAGGTGAAACAAAGAACCCATTTTGCCTTAAATATTTTCCTTATCTGAAGGCTCCATTTGTTCCATTGGAGAAATGGTCAGCTGAAGGAGATAGATAGCGCAAATGGTTGGTAAGTCTAATGGTATAATGGTCAACCCTTTTTTCAGATACGACTGGCTGGCGAAGAAGACTCTTAAAGCCGGATACTTTGTATGGGCAATGACTGCATATGGCTTAGGTACAACGCACAGAACCAAAAAGCAAGCAAGCCAGCTGATGCATTGTTTTCTGTTCATTATTATTATTATGGCATTAAAGAGGGAGAGGGCACATTCTCTTCCTACATGTGCATGGTTCCTGACGTCAATTTGAAGGCTCTGACTATTGCAGTCATCCCTTATTCTGATATGGACCCAAGTACTAAGCAACGTGTTCTTTCTTTGTTGTGAATTGCAGGTCTCTTCGTCACGTACGTAGCTCTGAACATGATGGATGGGCATGGCCAGCCAGCACTTCTTTACATTGTTCCTTTCACGCTAGGTAAAAGCACTTGTTAGCTCGGAGCCTAGCGCGACTAGGTTATCGTCAAATCCTCCATGTTTGTTTTCTCTGCGTTCATTCATTGTTAATGCTGGTGATGATCTGAAATGGCAGGAACGTTTCTGGCACTGGGGAAGAAGAGAGGAGATTTGAAGATATTATGGACAAGAGGGGAACCAGAGAGGCCTTGTCCACACCTCCAACTTCAATCCTCTCAACTGCTACACCAACAATAATTAATAATTATCATGTTATGATATATTAATAAAAAAAATACCAGTCCTTTACTTACCCTCCCATACACTTTTTTAGTAGAAGCTTAAATTCTATAAAAAAATCTGTAAGTAGAAGCAAAAAGAAAGTTTTAAGGTTTTCTTTACCCCGTTTGGTCATGGGCTCTTTTGGGAATCTTTTGTAAGCTGTAGAGAGGAGAAGAAAGCTTGTAATATTTGTAGCTTAGCAGGAACCGTGACAAAGGCTGTAGTGTAGAAAGAGAACTTTAAATTTGTAGCATAACTAGCTAGAAGAAGCAAACTTTAATCGTTTCCGGGGGTCCGTTTTCTTTGTGAGATAATTCGAACTTACTAAAGTTTATATTGCCTTGTGGCCAACTGAGCAGTTTTTTTGCATGGCATCAAAGGGATCTGCTCTGGAATCTGGATCAGGTAGCTCTTTCCGAGCACAAGAATTGTGATCCGACGAGTGGAATTTAATCGGCGTGTGGTTTAGGGCTCGTCGGTATGGTACATTATCAAGGAAACGAAACAAAGGTTGGTGAAGAGATCGGCATACAGCAGAGAGCTATTGAGGGAACGAGTGGTCTGGTCTCCCTGGATCAGTTGAATCATCAGAAAGAAAGTTCATTTCTATTGAAGGGCAACACCAAACCTACGACCGAAATCTCAGATTACAATAAAATCCCCCCTAAAAATTTTCAATGAGAGGAAGAAAAACAAAGGACAAGAAAGAGGGTCTAATCTATCTACCCTTTTACTGTACGAAGTCACCTGAAAATTGTTTTTCTTAACAAAGCCGGCTGCTTGCGCTGAACCAAAGAAACCTGATCAATCATCATCTTATCTCTCAAGCTTTTATTGCTCCCTGTGAGAAGTACAAGTTGTTTTTTTTCTTTCTTTAAATCTGCCTCAACGGTCAAAAATTAAGCACATTCTTCTTTTCTTTCCCCTTCATCCTCTGGTTCATCTTTCCTTCACCAGAGAAATTAAAAAAAAAAAGAATAAAAAAATCATCACAACCTGAAATTTTGATTCTCTCAGGAATTTGCTTGCACAGGGATCCCTATCCAGCTTCAGCCCACATTAAGATATGACAAACAACCAGCTCCTCTCGGCACTCGGCACCATTGGGTACGACATCTAGCCCGCACCGTCTTTCTTTCGTCAAAATTGGTCCAGTCATTTGCCCGACTGAGGAGGAAGCAATAGCAGCAGCAGTTACCATTGAATCTCATTTTTGCTCATCTGCTCATCCCCACCCAATAACATACTTTCAGTTACTTCACTTCTCAACCATCGATCTCCTAGACGGGATTCAAAACGGTAAAAAAGAAGGAATAAATTCATCTGACAAGTGCAAAAGAGATACAGAGCACATACTTTGGTGTTTTCTCAAGCTACCATTGCCATTAATGGAAAAGTGAACAGGGCTCTTCTCTTGACCCAAAGACAGAAGCTCCTGCATCCTTTCAGGCCAGTCTGAATTCAATCTCCTCGCAAAATCTTCCACCTCCCTGAATGGAAGGTGTGCAGACATGAGAATCCCACGAAGCACAAACAGTACATAGATGCAGGGGGACAAGCACCAAAGGGAAAACACACCATTCTGATATCACAACACATAAAATAGTACAAAGGAACATGCAACAGTATTCAATCACTCCTGCAACATCACAGAAATATTTGTGATGTAGCCATACTGGTATGGATAGATGATTGGATGACACTATACTGAGGTCCATAAACCCTACAAAGCCAAACTCATCCAACACTAAGAGCTGCGACCTGCAAAATTCAAATGATTAATGCCTGCAACAGTTGCATCATTTCAACTTTCAGGAGTTTTGGAGGGGGACCTATCCTAAACAGGGTTTATAGATGCAAAATTGAAATCATCCAATTCCAACTCAACCAATACCAACACAACTGAAAAGGGTAGATCAGCTCCACAGCATCAGCAATTTTCATGACATGCATCACAACATAATGAGTAAGAACTAATTGAACTGAAATTCTGAAAAGCTCACCTATCAATTTCCTCCTTTAATGCGGGATCAATCTCATCATCAATATCAACATCGTCAAGCTCCACTTTATGATAAAAAATGTCATCTTCTACATCTTGCAATTTCGATGTTTCGCTCAGTGTAGAATGTGATTCATTATCACCCCCAGTGCCTAAACAACCCAACCCATTTGAACCCTACACAAGTAGAATCATAAAACCAAGATTCTTTTTATGATTCTTTCATGGTACGCAGGCTAGAAATCAGAAGAGTAACCAAAGATGTAAAGGCTCCAACCTTTTTAGGCGATTCAGTAGCATGGTCAATGGAAGTGCTCTTTTGAGGATCCTTTCTCCGGCGATTTTTCTTTTTGTTTTTTGAAGTTGCAACTCCTTTGGAATCTGGAAAACCATACAACCAAATGAGGATGTGCAAATGATATAGAGTTCAGGGTACAAGATCGAAATAAAAGTAAATATGCTTGCTGGAAACAGTTGTCTTAGTCTATCTGAAAAGAAAGAATAAATGCAACTACTGAGTGCAAAAATAGAGCTACTTTATACAGAAACTACTGACACGAACCCTTTGTCGCGTTCCTTGAGTTTGTAACGCATATCAACTAAGGCTGCAGTTAAGGTATCCTCAACTTCACTTTGCTATGAGTTATTTTAATTGAACTGATTTAGAGGAGGTATTAAAGGCATGAGGTATGGCCAACGAATCCCACTCAACCAGAATTACAATAGATAGATCACCAAAAAACTACAGGACGCACCGAGTAAATTATGTTTATATCACTATCTCACTTCTCAAACACATCTATAAAACAAATTCCACAATTTTCCTTCGCTATAAATTTGTTCAAATCATTGTTACGAGCAAACACAAACAGTCACCTATCATATTATGAAACCATATGGAACCAATTGTTTGCTATAATCTTTTTTCCAAAATTGTAGAGTTGGCTAGCAGCAGATTATTCGTCGATGCTCCACATCCAGCAACTCAATTATGCTATTTTTGGAAATCACTTAAACCAAATATCCCCTCCCCTATAGTATTTTCTAACTGTAGTTGATTCAGTGTTCCCTTTCACCTATATAGAGTTGAAACCTTTTCCATAAAACCAAATCACTTTCCTATATTGTTTTTTTTTTTTAATTGTTGATTCGGTCTTCCCTTTCACCTACATAGAGTCGAAACCTTTTCCATAAACAGCCAGGGTAAACTAATACAGGGGACAACCAGTAAAAGCATAAATTAGTATAAGTAACAATTTCCCTCCATGCAACACAACGCAACCAATAAATCTGAGTGTTGCTTAAACTTTTTAGGATGACAACCCAAGTACTTATCTTCAGAGAATATAGCAAGAAGATTACATCAGGCACTCTAAGGTATGATCTCATGAAAATTTCAAGCACGAATTTTAAGTTCCTGATTGATAGAGAAAAATTAAGAGAAAAGATAAAAGTTCAATGCTACTTATAGGTTGCCTTGCCAACTGCACCTGCGTTTTCTCCATTAATAAATGACAAGAGGTCATCAACTGATCGCTCATCTACACGCTCTTCTTCCACCTCGATGTTCTGCAAAAAGGAGACACTTCTCTATCATCGACAATAAAGTCAATTCTAGCATACCACATGCATCAATATAAACACTATAAATTCACATCAAATGGTAGACCCTTGACAATGCAAAGCACTGGAAACTGATAGGGTGGATACACTACAGCAGCATGCAGAGCAAAGTTTCACCTTTTGTTTCTGCCTTTCTTTTAGCTCTTTCCTCTTCTTTGCATACAATCTATTCAAAAGTCGAATCCGGGGATCATCAGTTGTGTTTTTCAAAGGCTCCAACTTCTCTTCCTAAAGAAATAAGATCAGTACTAAAATAACAAAACGGGGAACTAAAGGGTGATATAATATATTAAATTTGACAAGAAACTTTCAGAAAGCACCAGACACCTCGGTCAGATCATCTGGCAAATGAAATATCTCGCGTATCTCCTCGGGGGTTTTCCCTTCAATAATCCGTGCCAAGGCTCGGCTAGTTAGATCAACCAAAGGCTTAAGCTGGAGGCTATCAGCAGCTGATGTCAACTCACAAAGCCTTTTTGTATCCATTCGAATGAACTTTTCATCAAAACTTTTCCGTTCCTAAGCAAAAGCAATGTCGCCAAAGTTCCAATAGAGGTTTAGTAAATGATGACAATTGGTACTATAATTCCACAGTGTGACCAGTTTATAATATTTCAGAAGCCAAATTGCGATAGAAGCAACAAAACAAGGCCAGAGAAACAGTAGATAACCAACCTTATTGGAGCGACCCGGTACTTGATGAAACCTACAGTAGTCAAGAATCAGACTCAACATGGCAGGACTGACGCGTTGTGGAAGAGATATGGCATAGTTCTTCGATGATCCCATGCCCTTCTGTATTATTTCGTGGCATATCATGGGACAAAACATGGCAACCTCTTGTTCCACTTGTTGAATCGAACCATCAGCAGTTTGAAGCCAAATATATGACTTCATCATCTGTAAAATCCAGAGCAAAGCACCACAAGTTGAGATCACGGTCAACTATCAATCAAATCTGTTCACCGAAAAAAGATACAAGATTTCAGACGAGTCCTATAGAACAATATAAAGTAGGTGTTCCAAACACAATACCAGAACACCGATGCAATAAAAAGATAAGATTCATGGTTATACCCACTGTACATATGAAACAGTAGCGGACATGGTGAAATTTTTAGGCACAAGATGGCATTAATGCAGCTCAAACAAAAAAATCGAGACACAAAGCAATACGATAAATAGCCAAATGCCCAAACACACATTTAGAAGTCCAAGCCCACTCAAATAAATAAACAATTACAAGTTCGAAAATGAATTGTTTGCCTGTTCAAAAAGATCCCAGTAGCTTCCTTGGAATAACTGACAGAAAAGTAGCAAAAGCATACCTCTGGTTTGATGACTGCCATGTCAACTTCTGACATTTGAGAATAATGTTTAAATACCGAGATGAAAATTGAATGACCTCTGCTGCTAAAAGCTTAAGGCAAGGTACACGCCACACTCAATAGACACATACAGCTCCAACAAATGGCAGGCTCATCCCCTCTGAATCCAATAAGTAGCCAAAACGTCATTCAACTAAGCGAACTCCACAGTGATTGTTAGTTTTTTTTAAGTATTCCCTGTAAAGGTGTATACAAGATAAAAAGGCAACACAGAACATTAGTGGGATAGCACAAAAAAAAAAAAAAATCATGCACAATATGCACCCATGAGAATGCAGCGTAGATAGTTAAAGAAGTAAATGCTCCAACAGATTGTAGCACAGCACATTCCTTCTACAATTAATCAGAGTAGCAGCACTCTATGGAACCTAGATATATGGGTACATCATCCAAACATGTACTAAAAAGCACAAGCCAACAACTTTCAATTCAATGCTATACAGGTTCCCAATTCAACAAAGCTCACAGTCCAAAACAAGAGTTAAGGAAATAGAATTTTAGCAAAGACAAGTTCAATTCCTAATTATGATTTCAGCCATGCCAGAGCATAAGAAGATGTTAAACTTGAACCTTGGAGGAACTCAACCACAGCTCTTTGTAACTTTTTCCTCATAAGGAATATGAATAAAGAACCTCAGAGGAAGCTCCATCCTCCCTACTACACCCTCGGCTTTATTGTTATCTTCCTAGCAGCAAGTATCTCAATGAACTCGATATATAATCCAAAGAAGCTAACATCCTTTCAGTACTAGTTGATGGATTTATGCCAGCTTTAAGAGTGACATTGCATGAAGAGATATGATTCGACTTAGTACAACTCAGGCCATAGTTTGAGTCAGTCTGAAACCCAGCCAACATTTCTACCCATTTTTGCACAAAAATACACCGTCCCACTAGTCAGTTGGCTAGACCACCTCTGCTGTGACACTCTCTAACTTCAAATTCGACAACTTCTGCGAATATTAAAAAAAAAAAAAAAATTCGACAACATCTGCATTACCAACGGCTTATTTCAAAGACTGAATCATTGCAGCATACCAACAATTCAAAACTCTAATGTAAATCCAGTAGCGTAATCAATCAAAATGGGTGGCAGAAAGCAGCATGTTGACATAACCGCGCCACCATCAGAAATGTTAGTTTCCCATTAGCTACACGAACGGAAGAGGGGAAGCAATACCCAGCTAGCAAATTAGATAAAAATCGCAAGTGGAGAGGGGCGCCATCTGACCTAACCCTAAAGAGAACGAATTTGAGGGGGGCGGGGTGGGGGAACTAAGTAGAAGGGCTCACTCCACAACGAAAAGAAGGCAACATGAAATGTAAAGTTAAGCAGAAACTCCCCAATTGATCGAAGACATGAGAATCAAATCAGTAGTTGATTGTAATGCAATCCAATTGGTACAAAAGCAGGCATTCAATTCCAGGGGTTTAGAAGCAAGGGCAGGAACCAAGCGCCGCCACTTCCCCATGGATAGGGCCCCCGCCCGAAAAGAAATGCCGGGTCTGGTGTTAATGGAGAGAAAAGAAAAAATACGAACCTGATGAGGTAAGGAGACAGGAATAACGGACTGTAACTGGAGAAAGAGGGTTGGGAAAAATTTAAACAAAGAGATGAGGAAGCAGATGGGCAGCTAGATAGAGAGACGGAGGGCTTTGAATTGCAGAGGGATTTGGCGGTTGTCGGCGAAGACAGGCAAAGCTTAGCAAAGCAGAGCAGAGCAAGCACGGATAAATGAGAGAGAGAAAGGGCCGGGTTCATAGATGTGAGATGAAATTGGGATTTTCCCCAATTTTTAGGTTAACAGAGGGAGAGAGAGAGGGAAAGTAAAATAATATGGGGAAATGACAACAGTATGTTATCCTGTCTACTGAAAAGAGAACACTGTAAAAAAAGTGAAACCAGGAACAGGAAGGATCGAAGATAGGCGGAGGAGAGGAAGCGAAGAAAGCCCGCTACTGCGCCCCCCGAGCTCTAGGGCTGGCTCCCCGCTGCTGCCCTGCGGCCCCGTCCTTGCTCACTCGAGCGAAACTAGAAATTCGAATGAGAAAGATTAAAATAATTCGTATTATTGTGAAATCCTAATTTTTCCTATATTATATTTTTCTAAGTCGCAGTTTCATGTTAGGTTGGCCAAATTGATGTCTACGCTTTCACTTCGATTGGATATTGCACAAAGTAGGGTACACATTCTGTCATTACAAACTTGACCATGACTATTGGATAGAACAATACCATGAATCGCTTCCTGAGAATCGTCTAAGAATGATCAATCACAGTGAATCTCAACAGTGAGATTGCTTGGCAGTGGGAAATGCTGATTACGGGGCTGATGAGCTGGTATGTTTGCCGAGGTAGATGTTTGGCGAGGGGCGGGGGCAAGTGGACCATTCCAGCAGATCACTAGACGCATTGGTGTATGTGCCTGGTGGCTAGGGGACAACATTGCATAATACCTTATCATTCATTGTCTTCAAATGTTCCATCATAGGGAGATGATCGGATGGATTGTTGATAATGCACAAATCATAGTGTTTGTCGCTTACCATATTTGATACATTCTTTCTTCTATCGATGCAGCTTTAGTACATTTTACTACATTTTGTAGGAATTCATAACTATATTTGACTAATGTGCTTGTAATATACCTAGGTTGTGTTTTAGGAGTATCAAAGGGGGGTAATTATCGAAAGATCAATGAGTAATTCGTCCAGCAAAATAAAGAGGAGCCCAATGAAGAAGTTTCAGCCCAAGCAGAGGAAAGAAACCAAGACGGGTCGGCCTCAAACCCTAACCCACAAGTCGCGCTGCAACCTCATGGGGAGGTTACTTGTGGCCAAGAAGCCCAATTGAGGAGGAAAATTAACGGCGATGCTGACCGCCAGGCGGCCACAATAGACCCAAGCCCAAAGGAAGCTTCCTGGAATATTCTTTATTAGTCCCCAAGTCAGAATCTGTGTTATGGACATACAATGAAGCTTCCGGCAGAGTTTTAGTAGGAAAATCCTAAAAATCCCTTAACCTATGTACTATAAATAGAGGGTCATGTTATAGAATTTCATGCACTGCAAACATTTACATAATATAATCTGCAAGTACTTGAGCAAGGAGCCACTCAGCTCGAGTAGAGTTCCAAATAGCATGCATATGGGAGGTGCAATTAAGGAGATGCATTCATCATTGATGGTGGTACCATCCTTTCTCTTATGTACATCTAATTCAAATTCGTTGTTAACGATGTGAATTTCTTTGAGGTTTTATATATTACTTACTATGAATTAATTAGATATTTTAGTCATTAGATGCTTTAGTCATTCAATGCTTTAGTTATTTGATGCATTAATCATTCAATGCTTATATATATATATATATATATATATATATATATATATATATATATATATATATATATGGGTCACACTCGTATGCTCCTGACGCATACTATGCTCCAGATTTTTTACACCGTTGATCTAATCTAACGGTACAATATTAATTCCCTTAAAACTAATTATTAATTAATAATTATAATGACGAACTACACCTACTAAAATTTTATACATACAGTATAGTACCCTAACAATTTCAATCATAAATTTTTACAGGAAACCACATTATTTCATCTTGTGAGGCTACGAACGCCCATCATCCCCTTCTAAATTCTGATTCACTCACCTCCGGCCGCCTCGAGCTCAACGGCTCCAAGATCCAGCTGGGCAACACCAACCTCGATCATCCATGTGACCGTAACCGTTTTCTCTCTCACCCCCACGCAATCAGCCTGGCGAAGGGGCCTTCAACTTCAATTGCTTCCATTTGAGGACTTCCCATTGCCGCCAGAGCTCGCTCTACAAAGCTGCTCCCCCAGTCTACCCCCTACACTTCCTATTGTTCGTCTCTGCCCGCTGCTCGCGCCGATCACCGATTCGCCGTCTCTCGATCTCCGCTCACTGCTGATCTTGTTGCAAGGTGGTTAGAGAACGGCTCCCCACTTCCTCCTTTGCCTCACCCTTCCTGCTCCGCTTAAACTCCAGAGTCCAGATGTCGTCAATTCGCTTCCAACGCCACCAGCACCTTTCTCCTTCATTAGAATCCTCCCGGCCGCTGAACCCTCTCTTATGTGGGGCTCGGGCATCGGAATTCGTCGCGTGTCGTCTCTCTTCGGCGAGGGAATTCGTTCGTGTTTTCACTTTTCCCTGCTCTGACTGAAAATGGCGGAATTGAAAGGTAGAGTTAATCTAGGCGCTGAGGCAGGTGCCTCCCGATGGCTCCCTGCTTCTCGATGCAACTCCCCATACTTTTGGTTGCTCAAAGGTCAAAGCAGAGGCCTGAGTGAGGGGGACTTGCACAGTTGCACTCGGGGAGTAGAGGGCAAAGGAGGATCAGAAGGAATTGACCCGCCCGTGGAATTCATTCAAGAACATAGTTGAGGAACCCTTCTTCTACATTAGTTCAATCACCGTACCCACTTTGCTGATGATTTCTTCTGTCCCTTCTCCGATCGCCCAATCGTAGTTAGTTAATCTTGCTGGTGGGCACAATTTTACCCGCTCAGAAGCAAACAGGAATCGATTAATATCCGGCGCCGGATAGAATGACGCATATGGGTCCCGACAGCGAACGACCTCCTTCTTCTTCGACGTCTCCGACAATCGATGACGAGTCCCGTCAGCGACGGCGGCACCGCAGGATTTAGGGCTGGAGTGCAGGGATGGAACGACGGTAACGAAGGAAAGATGGGATGAATTGTTGGCCGTGCGTTTCTGCCTTTCTGGGGAGTATTTTTATTTTTTAGGGAAGATGATTATGTGAAGTTAACTTGCATGAGTATATAATTGTTTTGGTTGGAGGATGAAAGGATTGCCATCGTATAAGAGTTTGGAATTTAATCGTAGAAAAAATGAAACAGATCTTTATAGACAACAATCGCAAATGTGGGTGTTAGAAAAAATGACTAAAAGAATTAGGTCTTATAAACAAAATATAATGGTAAAATTTGTTGGGATCATATTGCTTGTATAATTATTTAAGGGGTTCATGTAGTAATTATAATTATTTATAATTAATTGATTTAATTAGAATTAATAATGAGCGTTAGATTAGATCAACGGTGCTAGAATCTGGAGCATATGAGTCGTATCCATATATATATATATATATATATATATATATATATATATATATATATATATATATATATATATATATATATATATATATGGGGAGTTCTACGGTACCCAGGGTGAAATACGGGGTACCGCATACTTTGAGTAAAAAAATGTTATACAGAACTTGAATTGACTGATCTTTCGGACATGATACTATACTCTAACCCTTAAAGATCAACATCTAGGTCTTAATTCTCTAAATCGTATACCCCTAGATCAATTTAATTAGAAACAATAATCGACGGTTATGATTCGTCCAAATATAGGCAAAAAATCAATGCACAATCTTAGGGTTTATAGTTTATGATTTAGATAATTAGGACCTAGGGTTCACTCATTAAGGGTTAGGGTATAGTATCAATCCCAAAAATCCTGCTAATTCGAGGTCTAGATAGCGTTTTTATACTCAAGGTATGCGGTACCCCGGATTTCACCTGGGATACTGTAGAAGGCACCATATATATTATTTGTTACTATGGTGTTGTTTATAATATCATATGATAGGTTATTATGAAACTACTCTAATGTGATATGCTATTCTCTAATGCATATATGAATGAATGATCAACCATCAATGCTTGTATGAGTTCAATGCTAGATACCCTAGATCATCGATACCCAACGAATATGACATTTCATCTTCTTCCCATATTACATGGTGATCGATATGAAGATCGATGATGCGTACTCTACACTCTTCGGTTTATGTGGTTGACATCAGCATGTCTTTGTCCTCCAAAGTGTCAGCCAGTGGCGGATACATGCATGTTTAGGGGTGTCCCGGTACACCCCTTAAAATGTGGGGAAATCATTATTCAATTTCCTGCAGTAGTTTGTGTATGAGGACATATAATATTTATGTGGTAGTCTATGTGATTTGAATTTGGGACAATACTGCTACTATTAGTAAACATATTTTAATTAGACTTTGTTGTTTTGTTTTAGATCCAAATATAATAGTAAAATGCTATTTTTATCTCCAATTACTTTCAAAATCTAATGATTAAACCCAATTACGGGCTACCCTTGTCTAGTAGGATATGTCGAGAGATATTTTTTGAGAACTGTAGACACCGAATGTATTTTACCATTTTTCATAATACGAAACATGTCTGAACTTTTATTGTAACTTTTATTAGTTGTATGATTATTAAGTTTTATATTTTATATTTAATAATTATTTTTTTATTTTATTTAAATTTATTTTTGGGAAGATGACACCTCTATATAAACTTTCTGGATCCGCTACTGGTGCCAGCAATCTTGATTGTCATGGCCTTCTTCTCCACATGTATCACACACGAACAAGAATGCTACTGGTCCATTCTTTGGTTCCACTGCAGCATGTTTAAGTTGTTGAAAAAAGCTCATTCATCTGCTGATGTAAGATGATATCAACTCCTTGCTGGCTTAGGTCGACTAAATGGTTTTAGCATCAATCTCTTGGAAAAATTATTTGACTTTCTTGTAAAGGCGAAATGCTCCTGAAATTGAACTCCCATCATATGTGTGAAGTAACCATCAACATATTGATTCACCATCATCATGGTATCTCTATCTATTCCTTTAGCGATGTACTTTGCTACTTGCTCAGGTATGAATCCGTGATGGGGATACGCCTTTTGATGCTCTTGGAATCTCCTCCAAGTGCAATAGAATGTCACTCCATCCTTTTGTTGGAATCGAGTGATGTCGTCCTGATAACACTTAAAAATAGATGTTATTTAGACCTTATTCTCGAGGCGTTTGCGTGTTAAATCACCGTGTCTAGACCACATATCAAGTTAGATTCCTATATTTGTTCCTATTTGTAAAACATTTATTTTGGCATG